TAGCACGCTATTTCAAATGTCATTCTTAACAGTACAACGCATTGCGGCGTACATTCGATCCTGAATAATATACTCATATCAGAGTTACATAATGAGCAACTTGGTAGCGATTCGTGCCAAAACTGTTTAGAGATAAGCTTGGAATAATATTCAAATTAAAATCAAGATAACATATTAAATTTGACCATTAGACTCGACCGGATTCAGTCTCCAACGGCTACCCACGACACTTTTATAAGGACACGCTCTCATTCCCGACATCCTACAGGAAGTGCGACCACTTGCGTCATAGAAAAAAACCGTGCCTCGACCAGACGAACAGTCAGACATAAACACCTGTTCATAATGAAATCACAAAACCATACGATACATATATTTGGCGACTTTTAAGTGATATTATAATACGCAATACATTATTTTACATTTTAATAATTAGCCAACAAATTACAGCATTTTTTGGGAAATTCGTCATAGAGTATTTAATCTAGGCCCTCTTAATAATTTCTATGTTATAAGCATTTTGGAAATCATCATCATGGAAAAGTCCATGTTAAGCAAACAGTCCAATTCATCCTGTCAAATGATTCATACAGTACTGGGCTGGGTTGCTAAGGTCGTGCTATTCACGTGTCGGCAATGAGTTTATATTGCATTGATCTATTCAGGCTATAGGACCTGGAAATGTGTTGATTCGCTCATTCACGTCATACGTACGTAAGTTAACTGTTTTCCAAGAATATAACATCAAAGTATTTTCATCACCAACAAAATTAATGTATGGATCAGTGGCGGCTGGTGGGTTATCGAACTGGTGGTTCACTTTACTAAAATATTGACAAAAACAACAATTGACATAAAATATGTTTATTTTTTGTACATAAAATCTGATTCCAGTTTCTGTCCAAATCGATTCTCCGCCAAAAATAATGCAAGGAAAACAAAAGAATGCATTAAGACGCTCACATCCACACAACCATTTCTTTCTATTATACATTTCACTTTTAAAACTTCGTATAAATGCTTTATTTTTCGATTTACACTCTTGTTTTAAATTTAAAAAGGGCCGTGGCGGCCCGGCCAATTTTATGTTCACTTTACTTTGAAAAATTTTGTTATTTTCTTTAATATAATCAATATTTATACTCATTTTCAACTAATAAAAAACACAGTACAGAATAAAAGTTCTATTATAGAAACGAAATAAAAACTAAAACGAATTACGGAAATAATTATAAACAATAACGAATTAACGCGTCACGCATACAGTGAAAGTTGAAACAATACCAATAACGAATAACGAAATGTCAATCATAGCACCCATCCTTTCGGCCGGCCCCTTGCCGGCCGGCTCAATACGTCATACATCGGGTGCTCTCGGTAATCTTCGGCCGTGCGGCGCGCGAGAACCGACTCAATACTCGGTACATTTCTATGAACTATCTTTTGTCTCACGCGCCAGGCGTATTGATGCGTGTCTCATACAAGATGTATTAGCAGTCCTCGTGCACTCGCCGGAGCGCACGAGATATTAGTTTAGTAAAGCGCTCAAACTTTTTGACCATAATTGGAAATTAAATTTTTTATACCTTTTTGTATGTTTAAAAAATAAATATTAAAATGGTAATTTAAAAATTAAGATGACATAATATTTTGTAATTTTTAAATATTTTGAATTGGTGGTTCAGCGCACGGGCGCACTTAAGGTACAGCCGCCACTGGTATGGATATATCTGATTCGATGGTTTCTTTTAATTTAGATTGCTAAAACCATTCGTATATACAAACATATGTTTCATTCCAGATATTATGTTCCGTATGAGCATGTATATGATAGAAATATTCAGGATTTATGATGATGATGATGGATACGTCCGCTATAAAATACAACCTACTCATTCCTATAGTATTTTTCCTACGATGAACGCGCCTGAGTAACCTTGGTGTAAGATGAACGCGTCTTGGAGCCCGTCCTCTGAACAATTGCGGATGCGTTCAATTGTGGAGCTCGTATCGAACAGCGCTAAACACCGGGCAAGGCTGCACACGGTGTGCGAAGGTGCTCAGCTATTTTATGATAACTGTCACATAAAATTAATATTTCTTATTCGATTATTAAATTGCTTCTTGGTTTAAGTTCTCAAAAAATATTTGGAAGAGAAAAAAAACGTAATTTTCATGTCTTGAAACAAACTGTTAATGCCTTTCTATCAGTCATGAATTTTGAATAAAAAAATATACTATTATTAATATCATTCCCAAAAAATCACGATTGCAAACATCAAAAATGTATTTTCCGTCTCCTATTTTAATAAAATCAGTATCTATTAAGATTTTAAATAATTCCGTAAATCCTTGTCGGTTCGTTTAATAAACACTTCACACAAACATAAATCAAGGAGCAAGATACCGAATAGTGAAGATCCATTAGGGAATCTGTGGTGAAAATAATTTATTAAGCAAAAGGCCGGGGCGTTAAAACGACCTTGCTTCGTCCTTGGCGAGGGTTGCGCTGTAAAACTCAATTCTTGAGGCGGTCATAAAACTACGAACTATATACGAAAATTGGGACGCGACGAAATTGGAAGACATAGCCATGTTAGCTACGTAATATACAGAGTGCTACATTTTATTTTCATATTTTATAAGGAAAAATTCCATAGGAAAAATGGATGAAATATTTTATTCTTCAAAAAGAAAAACTAGAATTTTTAAGTAAGTAGATAAAAAAATTAAATTCACATCACTAATTTGTGACAAAAGCTTTACGCTTATCTAAAATAAAATATATTTATACCTAATTTAGATTTTTATTATAATAGCTGTTCAAAAACAGAGATATAGATGAAAATTACCATAAATAGAGGATGTTTTGCAACTGATTATATTTTTATAAAGTTTTGTTATAAATATACAGATATTGTATTAATAAAATTATATATGATTTGTTATATAACATTGTTGGTTTTTGTACTAACTTATCTGCAATTATTCAATGCAATACCAAAAATCTATTTACTTGAAGACTAAATCATGTACTTCTTGAAATGATTATTCAAATATCTTTTTTAAATCCCATATAGGTACAACTATTAAGTATTCTGAAAACTAATATTATTCTAACTAATGTTATCCTTTTTTTCATTATGAACAATGAAATATATTGAATGTGCTATTCATTTATATTTATTTACAGTAAGTCATTTCCTGCAATTATTTAAAAAATAAAGATTGGAGCAAAAGTATTTTTTAATTGAGATAAAATTGAATAGTGTGTCAAATATTATGGCAATATTCATTCCATGAGAAATATTTATCGGAATGAGAATTATATAAAAAAGTTGAGTCTTGCTATGACATGTATGCTAGAAGATTTAATATGGAAAAATAGAACTCGGCTAGTTACCACTTAATTTCTAACCCCATTTTTAAAATAACTACATTTATTCATAGATTTGTCTATTCATATCATTAAATATAACCTCTAGTAGAAGAATTGGTACAAAATTATTTATCTCTGAAACCGAAATGTATGTACTTTGAAAAACCCCATTTATTGGCAAGTAACGACTCATTGCTACATGATACAATATGGTAAAATGGCTCCCTCGGTCCAGTTATCACATAACGGATATAATAAAAGAATCAATAAAATAATAGAGACTATAATAGTGAAGAATTTCCTTGTTATTACGTTTTAAAAAGCATTTTAACAAAAATTTAAAAAGTTCTAGTAATTAGAAATTCTAGAGAAATCTCATCCAAGTAGAATCTTATTCAATATTATAATCAAGATAATTTGATTATTAATGAAAATTTTTAATAAAATGATATTTAATTTTAAATCATAGCAACAAATTGATATGAAAATCAATTTCTTGAAAGAAATTGATTTGTTTGCTGTAGGTGATGCCTGTTGTATTTAGTAGTTATTCTAGACAATTTATTTGGTTTTGTTCTTTATAAAAAATATAATGAAGATAGTAAAATTATAATAATGGTCAATTATCTTGAGAAATATAAAGACTTTAAATAGTAACATAATAATACGCTTAAAGAACTCAATGTAGTGAAAAAATTCAATTTAAATTATCTCATAATGGGATATATACGCAATTCTATATATTTTGATCAATGAGACTAAAGTTCTATTTTACTTTATTTTATATTATGTACTAAGAGTACATTTTATATAGTGAAAATGCCGCTAAATGTAAATTCTTTAGAAGTCGTTACACAGGGCGTGGTCTAAATCGATTACCTCAATAAATACGCATTGCTGCGAGCTTTTGTAACGATACATAAATGAAGTTCAAGTCACGTAACCGTAAGAAAACGATAATTAAGTAAAATACATAGCGAAAACAAAATAAAAATGTACTTACATCGAGAGATTCCTTTGACGCCATTTTCACACACAAATATTTGACATTTCAACTGTTGTTGACATTCGTATCAATATTTTCCAAATCAATACGGTTACGATAATCGGATCCTTGTACTTGACTCAAAACCATAATTTCAATTATATTGAAATTGTTGGATTTTAAAAATTTATTGTGAGTTGAATAACTAAATACATAACAGTAAATCACATACGCTAAAATTGACATAATATTTTTGAATAATAATATATTTTATAATCAAAGGAGAATAGCTGTCAAAGATGTGACAAGACAACAAAATTAAGTGTAATGAGAGTCTTGTAAAGAAGTTGAAAATAAATATTAAGCCGAACACATACCTACATTTGTGAAAGTATCAAGAATTATTTCCAATTTCCGAATTCTGATATTAGTATTCGTGTAGCTTACGTGTAACAAGTGTTAAATACACTTGCTAAAGTGCACCACTTTATAAATATTATCTACAAACATTCTTATAGGTGTAATTAACGATAATTTATTATATAATCTATTTTAGATCTGTAAATATTGTTATTTAAATATCAAAAAATATTTGGCATACATATTTAAGTGATAAGTGAAGCTACAAGTTACATTATGAGAATTAGAAGATTATCATATTTTTTTTGGGCAACATGCATAGTAGCATTTATATTTATTTTATACGTGGTAACAGATCTTAGCTTCAAGCTTCCAAGCATAAAACCGGCTATGGTGGAGCTGGATGATGTGAGTATTTATTTTTAAATAAAAATATACTTTATTCAAATATTATAACCATTGCAGTAATGCATTGGAATGGTCATAAAACAAGAAATTTCAGTATAGTTAGTTGGTACCATAGTAAAAATATCAACTTTACAGTCGAACAAATAATTTTAGTAAAATTATAGTTATTAATACAAACTGTGATTGTAACAAGTATTTAAAATTGTTTTGTTGATGAAATTAAACAGCGTTACATTTTTATAATATTTATTTTCCATGTAATTCTGTAGTTTCTAAAACGGACTCAAATTGTCTTTATATTTAGTTATTTCACTAATTTAATCTTTAACTTACTGATGACTGATATAGAATGAAAGTTTTTGATTTTAATAGACTACTTTATATTGGTATTACCAGAATTTAGATGCCTGTGGGCTATAAACAAATTGCATGCTACTTTACCTACAAAATCTATAGGTATAACATATTTTAACAATGGTCAACTAAATATTCCCATATAAACATAGCTGGACTATGTTGACGTTTTAATAATTTTAGAATAAATGGACAGCATTTGAATCAAAACTTCAGAAAATAGAGAAGGAGCTTGACCAACATCATGCCGTTGTGGGCGAGATTAAGAATGCTATGGATCAGATTGTGGAACAATCACAAGAGTTTTACCCACCACAGAAGAGACCGAAGGAACGCAAGGAAAGTAAAATACGAGAGTTCAAGGTGGTCGGAGATGAACCACCGAGAATGCATAAAAAGATTAACATGTCCTGTCCGGCTATACAGACATCTGCTAAGTCTGATATACAGGTGAATATGAAGGGTTTATCATAATTTTAATACAAAAAACACTTATAAGAAAATATAAAGCATTAATAAAACCATCAAATTCATGACAAATGCTTAATTCATGACAAATTTGGTGTCCAATAACTTAGTTGCTAATGTAACTTATGCATTATTCTGAAAGTTGCAGGATTTAGTTTTGTTCTGTATATGGATTATAAAAGCAAAAACATGATTAGAATAAGTGTTATTTAGCTTTATAGAGTTTTTTTTATTTATAAATAAATTAAACTTATTAAACAGTATTTTGTGTCAAGTATTGTTATACATATGATGAAATTGATACATATTTTAGATGCTCTCAATGTATGACCGGATCATGTTTGATAATATTGATGGTGGAGTGTGGAAACAGGGCTGGAACATTGAATACAAAGAAAACCAGTGGAGTAGCAAAAATAAGCTGAAGGTGTTCATTGTACCTCATTCACACAATGATCCTGGTGAGTGAATGAATGATTTTAAAACAATATATAATAAAAACGTGAATGAATGTCTATTAAGTGAATGATTTTGCTACCTATGAGAAGTAATTTAATAAAAATGTTGTACAATGCTATATAATTTGAAGGTACTGGTGAATAAATGAATGAATGGATGAAATCTATACTATGAAAAGGAAAGTCATAATTAAAAAAAAGGAGATCTAAATTTAAAAATATGGCTGATCAATTGAAATGTTTTGAAATTTATAGAGTGTAATAAATATAATTATCAACTGATAATTACAGACACTTAAAATTATCAGTATGCTTAGTCTAAGTTTTCATTTTCACACTACGAACCGTTTCTCGATTTTTTATTCCGTAAGCTGCATTAATAAATAATATGTCAAATTTAATTAATAGAAAAAAAAGCAATGTTGCGTTTGTCGTATGACTATGCCAACTTAGACTAAGAATACTGGTCAAGAACATTCTACTTAGATAAATTAGTGTAGTATTAAAGTTATTTTTATTTTATTTAAAATTAAGGTTAAAAAAACGGTTACTTAATGAGGAAGATTGAAAAAATTGTATAGAAAAGTAAATGGTTAGTGAGTGTTGAAAAAATTTTGCTTATATCTTGTTGAACATACACGTAGTTTAATAGTGCTATCTATACACATAAATAAGTTTTATTGACAAAATGCCGTTAAAAAAGTTTCCATATAAAAAGTGTGAATATCTTTCAGGTTGGTTGAAGACTTTTGAGAACTACTACAAAACTCAAACAAGAGCTATCTTCACTAACATGGTTGAAAAGTTGAACGAAGGTGTTGGAAGGAAGTTTATATGGGCGGAAGTGAGCTACCTCGCGCTCTGGTGGGCGAGCGACGCTACTGACAAAGAGAAACTTGCTTTCCAGAAGTAAGATTATATTATTTATATAGACCAGTATAATACAAAACACATTACATTAAAGCCAATTTCGCACAATTTTTATATGTATTTTTTTTTATTTATCTATGTGTACTTTGCCTTATTGTTGACAGAAAAATATATTTTTTAAAGCATATAATTGCTGCATTCTGAATCCTTATCATGGGTTTGCATCAAACTGAATACAAACAGTGAACAGTTTTTCATTCATATAGTTATCTTGAATTCTCGTGTTTTAAAGTTAATGGGTAATTTACCAGAACGTGTGTTTGTTTCACGAAACTAGTACTAAGCTGGTTATAATTTCGCGTCACCTGAACAAAGTAATATGAGAATACGAATTAATAGTTTTTACAAAATCCACAATAATATTTCCAAGTGGAATCTGTCAGGAAATAACATACCGGTTGGGTTCTAATAATATTTTGAAAGCAATAACTGATTATAAACTGACTTTTCAGCTTTTGTAGAACAACAAAAATTCATTTCAAATACGATGATTTGTTGGAAATTTTTGGGCTGTTTTAAAATTTTCACTACATTCCACGAAGACAATATTAAAGATATAATTATAATTTTTCTTTATTAAAAAAAAAGAATTAAACTATTTATCCAAACATAGCAAATATAATGTATTTTTTCATAGTTAATTTTTCTTTTCGGTGAAGAGAATATTCTGAATTTACACTATGTAAGATATTCTATGACGATTATTCAAAAATTTTATTGTTTCAGATTACTTAAATCTGGACAGATCGAGATCGTAACAGGAGGTTGGGTTATGAACGACGAGGCGAACTCACACTGGTTGTCGATAGTACAGCAACTGACGACGGGTCACCAGTGGCTGATGGATAACATGGGATATATACCGAAGAACCATTGGTCCATTGACCCCTTCGGATACTCTAGTAGCCAGCCATACATATTAAAGTTATCCGGTCTAGAAAACTCTGTGATACAAAGAGTACATTACAGGGTCAAGAAGGAACTCGCCATGAACAGACAATTGGAGTTTAAGTGGAGGCAGTTATGGGGTGAGTAATGTAATTGACGTTTCGGTGTAAGGTTTCAAATTTAATTTTCTCATGCTATTATGTGTCTAGCTAGTTTTATGTTACAAGGACTATGTTTTAAACGAAATTCATAGTCCTTAATGAAAGGACTTCACTGTTGTTGCCATATATTATGTATAGGCAGCTTTTTTGCTTCACTATTTATACGATTTGAAGATATACTTTGGTATTAAACAAAACATTGATATAAGAAACCAATAAATTTAATATCGTCGTTAATAGAAGAGATCATTACATGAGAATCCCATAGAAATTTTGCAAAAACGTAGATACTTCACACAATAGCACCTTCAATTTATTTTGCATACAAGATCACTACTAAATTGTATTTACTACAGCTAATAAAATAGTGAGAGTCAATATTTATTCAAAATTCCAGTTACACTTACCGATAACAAAGTTATGTGTATAAATTCTAAAGTATAGTTTTTATCCTAGACTTTTGAAAGGTTCCCTTGGAAACGCGATATAACCGAACTCCACGCGGGCGAAGCTGCGGGCGGAAAGCTAGTCTGCTTATAATTTCGTAATTGCTTGATTATGGTTGACTAACCTTCCATACTTATCCCATAGCACGTTTATAGTTAGCATGCCTTTCAAAATTGATAATATTGACAAAACTGAAGCTGCGATCATTTGTTCGTTTGTTTGTTATCTAGAACGTGTTGACTTCTACTGACGTCTTTCACATTCTTCTCGAGTTTTGCCTTTTATCTACTATCTTTTCGCCCGCAGCTTCGCCCGCGTGGAGTTCATTTATATCGCGTTTCCAAGAGAACCTTTCAAAAGTCTTCGATAAAAACTATCCTACGTTCTTTCTCAAGGTCAACTCTATCTCTGTACCAAATTTCATTAAAATCAGTTCAGTGGTTTAGGCGTGAAAGCATAACAGACAGACAGAGTTACTTTCGCATTTATAATATTAGTAGGGATATTTACAGGAGGTAGAATTTATAATGGGAGCAGTTGTTATGTTTTATGTCCTAATGACGAGTTTGTGTTATATTAAACACATATAATCTCCAGTTTTTCATTCATATTATCTCACACGTGATTCTGTCAATCCAAGTATATTGATGAAAAACTATTAAATGTTTGTGTTTATTTTATTACAAAAACTCGTAGTTAGGATTGAGTTCGTTTCGTATTATTACTAGTACTAATATATTAAATGCATTTAATTGTCATACAAAAAATTCCAACGTCTTATCTAACGAAATAGCAATAAAAGCTAGTGGTACATAAATTTATAATTTATTATTTACACGACAATTGATAAAAATAAATAATAAAATATTTTTACAACTTAGACGATATCTTTGAACAAATATAAGATGCAATCTATATATGGTTAGCAAACATTATTTTACATATACTTTTTGTTAATTAGAAAAAGTATATTAGTGTTGCCAGCCTTAAAAAAATCTTAAATGTTTTTTTTTCAGACGGTGTTGGTAAGACTGATATGTTCACTCACATGATGCCGTTCTACTCATACGACATCCCACACACATGCGGCCCCGATCCTAAGGTTCAAATTCCTATATAAATTTTAAATTATAACCGCCGATACAAAAGTAATTATGTAATTTTAATCTACTCTTATCTTATATTAGATATTTTTATTGAATAAAGGGAATTGGAATATTATATCTGTATGATTAAACAGTTACTATTATTATTATTATTATGTTATAATATGGCCTTCATCCGTGCAGAAAAGTGCATGATTAAACAGTATTAAGTAGAAATGTAATTTAAATTATTTGACGATTGCCAGATATGTTGCCAGTTCGACTTTAAAAGGTTGCCAGGTAATGGAGTAACTTGTCCGTGGGGAATACCGCCGAGAAAGATTATACAGAAGAATGTTAACGAACGGTAATTAAAAAAAATATATTAAGAAGTTTCTTTTCATTTCATAATTGAATTCGTTTCATTTGATTTCATAAATAAATAAAATACCATATGAAAGTAAAAGTACTAATAGTAAAAGCTATTAAACTAAAGAAATATAATATGTTGTTAGGAAAGTAATTTCGTTTTTTCTCAACAGGTGATGTAATAGTATTTTTTTGAGCCCAACTCCACATTTAAGCGTCATAATTATTGTATGTTATGAAGGTTATATCAAGGCTTGTACGAGAAAAAGATAAATTCATTTTACCTATTAAAATTTGATTGGTGCCCTTTTTAGTATGAAGAGCAATAACTAGCACTTAGCTATTCAAGCCATAAATAAATACATCGATATATGTATATGAGGTCGTGTCTATAAAATTCCAGTGCCAACACTAGTTTGCAAAATTTAAGTTGAAAATTCTTCACGTTCCGGAAGGCTGGTTGAAGCTGATAACTCCAAGGGGGTAAATCTGCTTGTTGCTAGGACCGGCCAGTCGCTAGTGTGCCCTGTCGCTGACATATCCATAGTACACCGACATAGCAGCCGAATTTTCGCAGTGATCTTAGTGAGTAAGGGCGTGCCCAGGCTGAGTCTCACACGTCCCTTCCGGCCCCACCAAGGTCGGTTGGACGGCTCGTAAAAAGAGTTTCCCTGCGTCATCAAAAAACAAGCTGATAAAACCTCATACAATTTTGGATACACGACAAAAGCTTTTACATCTTGAATTCGTGGCCTGCCACAACCACCATATTCTCCAGATCTGACGACTTCGGATTATTATTTGTACCGGTCATTGCTATATTTGTTGGTCGATAAAATCATTAGCTTATATGAATTTGTCAAAAATCATCTGAATATTTTTGTGTCAGCTAAGAGTAACATGTATTGAGTGTACATTCATGCTACCATCAAAAATATGGCAAAGAGCAGAATGGCCCATACATAATTTACTAAAATATAAAATATTTTATTCAGCATGCGAAAATCGTCTTTCATTTTTACAAAAAAAAAATTAATTTACTTTCCAAAGAACCTATTACATTTCTTTTGGTTAAAAAAACATTATTTTTTCCATAATGTTGGAATTTAAAAGCCATCCCGTAATCAAAACTTAGCCATCTACATATATACATATATCGGTGAGACATTTCAAGTACAGTGTAAACTCTATATAACGACACTGAAGGGACCGTGCATTTTAGTGCGTTATAGAGAGTTGCCGTTAAATAGAAAGAAGAAAAATCAGAATTAGAAAAAGACAAAGTTTATTTCAGACTAGTGTTAGTACTTATGTACATAAAAAAGATTAGTTATAGAAAGTTATAGTTTGAGATTTTGTGAGCAACTTTTTATGTTAACGTATAGGTAATACAAGACTCCTACTTATGGTCAAAAACCGTCGACACGTTTAAGCAATTTGTAATTGTAAACAAAAGAACGAATTTCTTAGAAAGTTCGGTATGCATGATAGGGACAGTCGAGTTTATTGCGGGCTAGGATAACAAAGCGACAAAGGAACGTACATAGCTGCACAGTTTTTACTGATTTTAGCAACTTCAAAGGTACTTTTTATTACTTAATTGTTGTCGTTATTGAGAGTGGGTGTGCCGCTATGTAGAGTGTATCATAGTATGGTAGACAATCGAAACCAACCAAAGTCAAATGATTTCGACGCTTTAGAGAGTTTGTCGTTAAATCGAGTGTCGTTATATAGAGTTTACACTGTATTTCTTGTATCAAAATTCTCATATTCTCCAGATCATCCCTAATCCTGGACCAATGGCGGAAGAAGGCTCAGCTGTATAGAAGTAACGTCTTGTTAGTGCCGCTGGGAGATGACTTCAGATATGACCGAGCCAATGAGTGGGACAACCAGTACTCAAACTACGACATGATCATCAGCCATATCAATGAGAACGACTCTTGGAATGCTGAGGTGAGACGAACACGATCAGTGCATATATATGTAAATGTGTGTGTGTGTGTGTATGCGTATTTGTGTTATATATGATAGATAGTAGATAAACAGTACACTAAAACCAACAAAAGTATGTAAAGTTAGTGTAATTGTTAAGAATATGTTCTTATAAAAATTCTTTCTAAGTAAGAAACTATAGATATTTCAGATTATACTAACGTAGTGTAGTGTCGGTAATCCAGCTTTTATATTTTTTTGATTATTTTTATATTAGCCAGAAGTGTGGTACGATACACTACGGACGAGTTTTTCTTGAATACCTTCCATAGGCACTTTATATGTAAGACATGAAATATCATTGCAATATTGTAGCTAACCACTACATCTGTTGTAGGGTCTCAATACATCAATTTGTTCTGAAAACTTTATTTTTGTTACATTACACTCAATTTTAACAACACGTACGATAACTGTGTATATCAAGACTAAGGTGTCTTTCTTTCAGTAATCCTCTAACATGGATAACATATAAATGAGAATCATTTATACTTTTAATCTTTGTAGTATATGAATATGTTTATTTGTCTGCCTTTACGTACGAGTATGTACCGTCTAAGTTTTTGGACTTTATGGTATTTCAATGTACTCAAATGTCGTTTATAAATACTTTAAAAAACATAGAATACATGAAAATTTGTTCCTTACACATTATTTACTATCCATAACTTTTCGAAGATATTCCTCAAAAAACTTTAATACCTAACTAAAGTAAATACCGACTATGAACTCCTATCAACCCTTTTTGCCCAAATTAAGTTCATCAAGAAGAGAAAGAAATCACATCTTTTTTATTCAACCGCGTCCCAAAAGTAGGTTATCGAATCGCATTTTTTCGTTTCTCACCTAATAACGTTCTACATGTGAGGTTATTTTTGGTAAATTATGACGGTTACGTCCCCAAAACTCGTAATAATATGTATGTATGTATAATATTACGTATATATGGATATTATCCAGGTACAATTCGGCACTCTATCAGACTACTTCAAGGCGTTGCACGAGGAAGTGAAGCTGGCAGACTTCCCGGTGCTGTCCGGAGACTTCTTCACGTACGCCGACCGCAACCAGCACTACTGGAGCGGATACTACACCTCGCGACCCTTCTACAAGAGAATGGATAGAGTGCTACTGGCTTATGTCAGGTAAGAATGCTTACATCACAGAAACATTATTGAGACGAAACCTCTTTGCATTCAATGGATTCACAGTGCAGGTGCCGGGTCCATCGTTGCAGTAAGAGGAGCTTCAACAGTGCCTGGGACTTGCGACACAGGTGTAGGTTTAAGGGGCCCCATATCTAACGCGCGTTATACGCTCACCTCCACTGTCCAAGCTCCTCTCTCTACCTAACCAAATTTGAAAAGAACCTACTAGGGCTGCCTTCGACGTACTACTTAATACCTTGATAGTATAATTGAAGGATTGTAAATAATTTCAACCGGTATATATTTTCAGTTTTTTTTTGTAATTTATATAAAGCTATCGTCTTAAGTATTCCAATAATTAAAGTAATTTCTTTTGATATCAGTTTAAATTTTAATCAATTTAACGCCTTTGGATGTTTATACGGCTCCTATACCAAAAATAAAAAATAATATGAATGTACATATGTGTGTTCCAATTAATTTCGAAAATGCCTGCAATGATTTTGACGCTACTTTCACTCCCAGATATCTGATATTCTAAGGAATAACTTTATTTACTTTAACTGTATATAAGTGAGAGATAATAATGAGTATTGTAATAGAAACAGTCATTAGTACAGTCAATCTGGGTAACTTTGATTCATCGGGTAACTTTGACAGCGGGACCATGAACTAGTTTCGATTATTTTTTCGCATGAAACCAACATTATTCATATACAGTAGGACCCCGATTATCCGGACCTCGGTTATCCGAATTCGCGATTATCCGGACTGCCAATCGCGACGAGTTTATTCTAACATTAACATGTCAGAACTTGCATATTTAAACCAAATTAAACTAATTATTTTATTTCATGATTACCTAATGCAAATTGCCAAATACATACATAATTATTGTAGGCAAATTATACGTAGGTACATTATTTACAATCTTCTATACATATAATAAAATTGTAGAAAAGTGCTGTCTGTACATTGAAAAAAAAAAAAAAAAAAAAATAGCAGGGGTTATTGTTATGTCGATGTCGAACCCAAAAATGTATATAACTTTTTTTTTGGCTGTTTGTCTGTTCACGCTAATCTCAGAAACGGCTGATCCGAGTTAGATGCGGTTTTCACGAATATATTGTGGCATGCTTCAGTTATGCTTTAGTGTTTGTTTCATGTCAATCGGTTCATAAATAAAAAAGTTATGTCAAATTAAAGAATCACGTCGAACACTATGTTTATACTATGCTGCTATTCTATGTTTCTATACTTGTACTTAAAATGACTGTGATTATGATCCAAAATAAAAATAAGTATATATTTAAAAAACAAACGCTGCTCATAGTCACTATTCCACGCGAACGAAGTCGCGGGCACAGCTAGTTTCTTAATAAAGGTTGATTCTCGCTCATATGTATTTGTTGTTTTAAATAAACACCTAACATTATATATGTATGGTACAGACTACATATGTACGTATGCAAAAATCCCGTTTTTCTTCATATATTGGATTATCCGGACTTTCAATTATCCGGATGCCTACCGACAACAATTAGTCCGGATAATCGAGGTCCTACTGTATGTTTATTTTAGTTTTGCGATTTTAAACAAGCTTCCTAAACGGACCTTAAAAATAATAAGTTGTGAAAGTAAAAAAAAAGTCAAAACTTTTTTTCTGAATATAGCGCACGAATTTAAGTTTATTTTAGGGTGAATAACTTTTTGAATATTTTGTGTTTTTGGTTGCTGATAAGGTAAGTGAGATGTTATACAGAGCCATTTGTGATTTTACTACCACATTTTCATGAAAAATTTGCATATAATTACGTCTTATTTTTAAATTTCATGCATAAATATGAAGATACGTATTTTGAACAGAAACTGGGTAACTTTGACACTGTCAAAGTTACCCTTACATAGAAACTAAAATGGTGGCGGAAAAGGTGGTAGAAGAGGTGATTGAAGAATTTGTTGTTAAAGGAGGAGTTTTGCAACATGCACATCAAAATATATTGAGTTCTCACCTAGAACAACAGTTATATTTAAAACAGAAGGCACACTGTTTCCAGGAAAAGTGACAAGTTACACATTCCCGTATTATACACTTGTTGTAATGAGTAGATCAACACAAGGTGGTTGGAAATGAGCAGATAAAAGAGAAATTATTAAAATTAAATATGATGATGTTGTATCTCCAGTAGATAACAGTAAAAACAGTATAAAGCAGCCTGGGCTCTACACAAGTATTATTGACGATTTGCTCTATATGGAGTGGGGAGAATAGACAAGTTATGCTCAAGATTTTACAAAATGTTTGTTTGTTAAAATTATTTTTGCTTGTTTTCTTTATAATTTGAATAAAAATGTTAAATTAAAGGAGTTTTTTAAGCGTTTTTGGTGGTGTTAAGCAATGTGTGTAACATTGCCAAATGTTGTGGACTGATTCTTCATTTTTTTTTTTAATATAAGACAAAATTGCAAAATGTTCGTTTTATTGTATCACATGCATCCATTCGTTAATAAATATATACCCCAATGTTACCCAGAATGATAAAAATAATACTTATTACTACATTTTTATGCTTGGCTCCGTGTGTGTCAAAGTTACCCATCTTAGGAGGGTAACTTTGACACACACAAAATTTTGATTTTATACTATATTGGTATGTTTTATAAACTTTCTGTGGATGTCTAGAGACGGAGAGTAATACGAGAGCACTGATAAAATAAAAGCACCCGAGTAATAGGTTTAATTTTTTTAAATATAGTATAAAATGTCACCCTTATCTGTCAAAGTTACCCAGATTGACTGTACAGCTATTGTATTAAATGATTATCATAACATTAGGACCTGGTCAAATTAGCCCTCAATTGTTGCAGGGCAGCGGAAACGATCATAATGCAGGTGTTCCTATCATCGTCGAGTAAACAGCTGATGTCTCTACAGCTGGAGGAGCGCGTGGACGCGGCCAGGAGGGCGCTGGCGCTGTTCCAACATCATGATGGAGTTACTGGCACCGAGAGGGACGAAGTGCGGGAGGACTACGCCAAGAAGTTAGTAACATAATAATAATAATAAACTTTTATTGGTTACAAAATTACACCACTACAAAGCAAACAACAAAATAAAAATCAATAACAATAACGATTGTGCAGCAGTGTAATCTAATCAAAAGGATAACCACTCAGTGAAAAATAGAAGCAATGTTGCTTCTACACTGATTTTCAGTGATCTCCTAAGGTTGCGGCACTGAACATATTACATTTCATTACATATATATCTTATGTATAAACTTCTCGTGTCACAATGTTCGTTCACGTACTCCTCCGAAACGGCTTGACTGATTCTAATGAATTTTTGTGAGCATATTAGGTAGATATGAGTTTCGGCTGACATCTATTTTTCATACCCATAAATCATAAGGATTGTTCACATCTAATTTTTTTTTAAATTTTCGTCCCAAATTTTTTGTTTCTATTTTTGTTATAATATGACATTAAAAAGTACGTACAACCCTAAATTTTTACTTTTTTTTATCACCAAGCCTTATTTTTTTATATTGCAAAACATTGTTTGTTGCGTGAGCTAGTATATCATAGGTATTCATATGAACAAAATAACTGTTATTATAAAGTTTTAGTATCATGGAGAAAATATTGATCAGACCCTTTTGTCTACCCATAGACTTTCGATTTAAAGGAACAGCCGAAAGAATTGAGAAAAAATTAAACAATTAAATTTGTCACCAATTCTAAATCAAAACGAAATATTAAGGAATCAATAAATAATACATTAATTATTACTAAAAAAAACTATGTTGCCAAAAATTGTCCCTGGTGTGCCCTGTCGCTGACAGATCCGGGGTACACCAACATAGCGGCCGATGGCTTTCGCAGTGGTTTTAGTGAGTAGGTGCCTGCCCAGGCCGAGTCTCACACATCCCTTCCGGCCCCACCAAGGCCGATTTGACGGCTCGTAAAAAGAGTTTCCCTGCGACATCAAAAAAAAAATATTGCCAAAAAATTTATAAATAATCAAATATATGTTGTTCAGACTGTTCCAAGCCATAAAGTACTGTCAGTCGGCGATCCAGCAGTCCGCCTACCACCTGCTGCGGGAGCCGGTTCTCAAAGAACAACACCAAGAAGATGTTTATTTCGACGTGGACGACATCTGGCGGAGACATGACGAGTTACCTTCTAGAATAACCATCACCTTGGACGCTATGTCGCCTTCTAGAAGAATAGTACTTTACAACGCGTTACCCTTCAGAAGATACGAAGTCTTGACGCTGATTGTATCTTCACCGCATGTTGAGGTAAGACATATGTTATGGAATTCTATTTGTTGTTTATTTTAGTATAACTCTTTTCTTTGGAGCACACTACTATTAATCAAAGCTTGAATTACTCTTATGATAAAGGTTTCAAAACGAATTTTCTTTTCTCATTCGTCTAAAGTGCATTTTCGGTCTCAAATAGTCCAGTATATTATAATTATTTCCTATCATTACTTTCTGATATAAATCCGGAGTAATTCTAGCATCTTGCCTAACATGTACCTAAATACAGTCAAAAAAAATACATGTGGCACTCGGAGACTGGCGCGATAAAGCTATTGCATAACCTTATTAATCAACTCATCAATTATATATTTTTTTATAATTTTAACACCATATACATACACAATAAGGTCTAACTAGTTACGAGCTTGAACTTACTCGTGGACGAACACAAAAAGCACCCAGCGTTGTGTGTGAAAGAGATAGAATCATTTGTGTGCAGTTAGCCTTCATACATGTTGTCGCACACACACATACACCGTGCCCAAGTTTGCCGAACTGAAGCGACGTTTCGTTACGGAATTTCTTGATTCAGTCTCAAGGTTCAAGGCCCGCGATAGAAGCTATGCAATGGCTTAAAAATTCTATATGATACGGGTTTCTGCAACACGAATACAAATGAGGACATTGAGCCTTAACCAGCCATGTTGTATTGCAGGTGTTCGACCACGAAGGCTCCCCGCTGATGTCGCAGGTGTCGCCGCTGGTGGCGGGCGAGCGTCGCCTGGGCTTCTCTGCCAACAAGTTCCAGCTGTCGTTCCCGGTCAGCGTGGGCTCGCTGGGGCTGGCCGTGTACAGCGTGGCCTTGAGAGACGCAGCCTCCATCAACAAGTAACACATACTTATACATTTAATATTACGTATAAAATTTTAAGACTTGTGATGATTTTACTGATATTAGTTACAGTTATATATTAAACAAGGTATTTAACTTCTCTCTCTTATATACCAATATTAAAGTATTTAAATCAATTGTCGGTTTAAATATGTAATATCTCTAAATGTAAAATATTAAGCCAAATAACATACTTAAATGTCGTAACAGTAAATATCTATATGTCCCATGTATCCAGATACACGTCGTACTCGCACGTCCGTATCTACAACGCGGACTACTGGTCGGTGGAGCTGCCGAATATGTTCGCGGTGGAGCAGCCGGCGGGGCGGCTGGCTGATGACGTCACACTGCGCGCCAACAACACGCGCCTCGTTCTCACCAAGGACGGACTGCTGAAGGCAATAGTGGGACCGAACGGAAAGACCACGCCCATACACATGGACTTCGTACAGTGAGAAACGATTATTATTAACTAGCTTTCCGCTCGCGTCGAATTCAGTTATATCGCGTTCCCAAGAGAACTTTTCAAAAGTCTGGGATAAAAACTATCCTATGTTCTTTCTCAAGGTCAGCTCTATATCTGTTCCAAATTTCATAAAAATCAGTTCAGTGGTTTAGGCGTGAAAGTATAACAGACAGAGTTACTTTCGCATTTATAATATTAGTAGAGAAGTAGGGATATTTTGACTTTTTTGCTCTATCATAGATACATTTTTGGCTATTTTAAGACTAAACTATGTTTCAAGGAAATCTTTCAACAATATTTTTATTAACTATTGTTCTGACTTGAAATTATATAATATGATGAACATGGTCGATTAGAAAGGACAAAAATTAGTATTACTCTTTATGACTTAAAAGTAAAACAACGTGTAAACTTAATCTTCTTTCGATGAGTAATTGTAACAAATCACATACAAAAGTATTATTCGTAGTAGTTTTATATAATCAGTATATAAGCACACATTACTAATATATACTGTCTTATAGATACGACACTCAGAAGACTCCTGATAACAACAGCGGTGCGTACCTGTTCATGCCGGCGGGACCCGCCACTGACCTCAATACGGACCCCTACCCCGAGATAGTCATTATAGAGGGACCCTACAAGGCTACCGTCTACACCGGACTCGTGGGACCTAAAGAAGCCGAGATAGTACTAGCTGTAAGTATGATTAACAATACATTTGATATTTTTTTACCTGTAGTCCATATTGATGGTAAATAAAAATGTTATTAATGGTAAGTGCGATCTCAGTAAATTATATTCATTATTTTCATGAAGACTATAGAAACTGTAAGTGAAACCTTTACTTCAATCTAAAACCAGCCCTGGTCGCATATGATACATTTAATATTACAAATCCCCAATCATAAACTTAGTTCCAATAAATACTAAGTAGCTTTGTGTGTTAATGTTTCCAGATGTCGTTGTACACGAACCCTTCCCTGGGTCACAGCGAGGTGGAGCTGCAGCACACGTTCCAGCTGGACCCGGCGGCTGATGACATCGAGCTGGCCATACGACTGTCAACTAACATTAAGAACGGGGACACATTCTACACGGACCTTAACGGGATGCAGGTACATATATACTATAATTTAGAGGAACGGATAATGATACTGTACATAGTAGTAGGAGAAAACATAGTTAAGGAGAGTTATGATAAAAAATACTATTAAATATGTAAGTTACAAAAAAAAAGCGGATTTGTTCTGACCAAATTAAATTGTCCACTGATATTATAAATGTGGAATTTTGTGAACATATATCCAAATATATTTCTTGCTCTTTTGAATTCTCTCAAGTTCACGAAGTAACAGTTGTATTTTGTTTAAAGTTATGTGGCACAGACTATAAATGTCGCTACCGTCATTTAACTCACTATGCATTTCTCACTTAGCTGAATTATCAAGTTCGTGCGAACAGGGTTGTTGACAAATACAAGTAGATAATAATAATTAATAAAAATATATTGATACAGATGATACGACGACGGTACTTCGATAAGCTTCCCCTGCAAGCGAACTTCTACCCTCTACCGGCGGCCGCCTACATCGAGGACGCTACGACCAGACTGACAGTATTGACGTCCACACCGCTCGGCACCGCCGCCCTGCAACCCGGACAAATAGAGGTGATACAATACAATATACATACATACATGCAATACATACACAACGAAGAATGAGTCATGTACACAATATATGTACTTTCGACTCTGTACATTGAAAGATATGTAATGTTAAAAAAATCGAATCACTAGATATAAGAAAATAAAAAATAGTGGGAGTATTATTACATAATTTGAAAAGTTGCAACGGTAACGGCGATAACAAAAAAGTTTATTTTAATATTTTATAGAGATTTATGAAATATGTATGTATATTTTTTTACCATCGTCGATTACGATTACAACGACGTGTTTGATATTTATGACGACACAACGAAAAGAATTCGGTCACTGTTAAACACCTTACCTCGGTCACCTTAAAATTGTATTTGTCCGTCTTATGGTTCACTTTTAGTTTTTAATTTAATCTTTTCATTGTTTATTTAAATGTTTATTTTATTTTATAAATTAACCTTTTTTTGAAATTTTTGCTTTTGTTTTTACTGAGGCTCGCGCTGGAAGGTCTTATTTAGATAGAATTAAGCATGATGTATCTACCTATAAATGTTTGTCACACCTAGTTTTAAGTTATGTGTATTGTATATTTTTCTTACGTATGTGATGATGTGAACAAATGTTGGTGGATCAAAAAATAAATAAATAAATATATCGTCATTTGATCGACGTGTGAATGTATGTTTGTCACCAGATAATGCAGGACCGTCGTCTGAGTCGCGACGACAACCGCGGAGTGAACCAGGGAGTCCTCGACAACGTACGGACAAGACACGTGTTCAGGGTGGTTGTGGAACACTCACAACCTAACTGTCAGGTGAGGTGCTTTGAAATTATATGTTAACAATAGATAAATACAATATTAAAGTGGTGGCCTATATCAGTCAGTGGTAGCCTAGTGGATAAGAAGGCCCGCCTCTTATGCATGAGGGCGCTGGTTCGATCCTGGCAAGGTCCAATGTAATTTTTCCGAGTCATATGTACTTTCGAAGAGTATTTAGACATCACTGATTAATGCATTCCCAAAGAGGATTGATGTGAGGCAGGCGGCCGGTCATAAAAACAATTAGCCAAAACTATTCACAACATGTAAAACAGACCCTGGCTAAAGCTAGGAAATTGCCAGGTAGAAGAAGAAGAAATACAATATTAAAATAATTTAGTATTTTTTCATGAATTTATACATATAGTGTTGAGATGTAGAATGCGAATTTACTCGCAAAACACACAAGCAAACACTGCAAAACTATTCATAAACACACATTCACGCACACAGACATAAGCACGTTTATATGGAAGTACAGGCCACGCCCATACAGTTAAAACACCGTTTATCCATATAGATTTGATTATACATTATATACCAGCTGATGTTCGTTATATAAAGTCGTGTCACGTCATAGTCCTCTGCGGCGGACCGTACTAGCGGGCAGCTGTCTCTGGGCGCGGCCGTGTCTCAACGCACGCTGCAGCAGCCGCTGGTGGTGATGCAGTTCACGTCCGAGGAGGTCCCCCCCACCACCGCGCCCCCCCACGGAGCCGCTGACATAGAACTCGCCTCTATACGACCGGCTCGAGGGGTACGGAGATATATTTATAAATATATACTAACAAGCATATATAATATACATAAGTCAGCATACCTATTGTACGGTAGATATAAATCTATAGTCTATAGTCACGCCGGGATTGTACAGACTCTAAAGTCTAGAGTTCTAGACTCTGTCACAACATTAATTGGGATGTTAACAAGTATTCAGAAATCCTTACATTTTATATGTATAAACAGATCTTTTCTATAAAAATTTTAGTATTTTCGATGAGAAAATATACTCCATAAAAATGGAGTAATTTAGGATTTTCCCGCTGAATCACTGAGAACTGTTATGTGACTGACAAACGTCCTCAACCACATACATCGATCCGTCGAGTATCGTGAAAAATTGTAATATAATCCCGAAGTATATCAAAAGTTCATTTTCCTTATATATTTCCTTATATATTATTCTATTTATTTGATGATATTTAGATGAGAGACGGTTCCAAACTGCACGGAGTGGGCGCGACCTTCAGACGACTACATTTTGATAGCTGTTATGGAAATGACATCGTCAGTAAATGGTACCGCGTAGGAGACGGACAGGTAACGAGAATACTCACAGAATATATTAATACAGCCACGGGCAAAAGTATTAGGCACCCTACAGTAAGACAAGTTTTGGGGTGTTTTAGCATAGCGAGTGTAAATAAAACTGCATTTATGATTACAATGGTTTATTTTAAGAAAATAATTAATATTTTGTAGGTCCACCTTTTGACTTAATAACCCCAGCCACTCTTTTTGGCATTGACTCTACCAGCCTGAAACATTCTTCTCTTGATATATTTTTCCATTCCTGCTGTAACGCGGCCAATAGAGCTTGTTTATTGCTAATCGAGTGCCTGCGGATATTTTTCTTTAAAATGGACCAAATATGCTCAATCGGGTTGAGGTCTGGTGATTGTGGTGGCCAGTCCAAAAGATCAATATGATTTTCAGCAAACCACTTCATGGTATGCGCGGACTTGTGGCAAGTGGCGTTATCTTGCTGAAATTCCAGGCCATCGGTGTTTGTATCACCGAAAATTTGCGTTATCGACGTTGCTAGTGCTGTTTCCAGAACTTCAGTGTATTTAACACTATTCATTCGTCCCTCACACAACACCATTTCGCCCACTCCGTCGGCAGCCATGCAGCCCCAGATCATTATTGAGCCTCCACCATGCTTAACAGTGGGAACCACACATTCTGGGTTGTATTCTTCGCCAACCCTTCGCCTAACATAAGTCACACCGGGATTTCCAAACACCTATGCCAAACGAAAAAAACACATTTATTTTCAAAGTTATATTTTTTTTTGCAGTACGTTATTTTAAAAACATTTATGTGTTTTAATATTGTACATAAAATAAATAACAATACCTCAAAGTTAGATTCGTCTGACCACAGTATGTTGGACCAATCTTCCACTGACCAATCTCTATGTTTGAGTGCCCACTCCAACCGATTTTTCTTATTGTGTTCTGACAGCCACGGCTTCTTCCTTGCTTTACATCCTTTTAATCCAGCTTTAAGAAGTCTTCTTCTCACAGTATAAATACTCACTGAGCTGCCTTTTGCCTCAGATAATGCTGCAGCGAGCTCTAAAGCAGTTTTTTTCCTGTTTTGTAGAGACTGCCTAATCAACAATCGATCTTCCCTTCAGTAGTAACTTTTCTTCTGCCTGTTCTTGGTCTATTTTCATGGGTGCCAGTCTCTTGGAAGCGATTTATAGCATATTGAACTGCACATCGCGAGCACTTCACTTCTCGGGATATTTTAACCTGAGACATGCCTTGTTCATGTAAAATCTTAATTCTTAGACGCTGTTCAGCACTAAGTTCAGATTTTTTCGGCATGATTAACACGTTAAATGTTAGTCTTTAGAATTGTGATAGGAATAGTTGCGTAGAAGACGTGTATGTTCACTGCAAGCACTGATAACACACTATAACCCGAAACGCAAAAAAAGCAAATTCGAAGAAACACCGCTTAGGAGCACACCTGGATGTCATAAATATTTTCTTTTATCTTAATTTGGTTAAAAATTGCCGCTAATACAATAGCTAAACCATAAAACACACACTTGACCGCAATATAATGAGATAGTGACTAACAATAGGGGTGCCTAATACTTTTGCACGCAGCTGTATAACTAAAAGAAATATAAACAAATATCTTAATAGTTCAACATGCGCTTTATTCTTAAAATAAAAACTGTAATTATGAATATTTTTTCTTTTAAATCCATTTCACACTTGGAAGGTCTCGATTCGTTGGAAGTCCAAATGTCTTTTGTATTAATAACTTAAAACGATTCTTTTGCAGTCAAGACCAATAGAACAAATTGATGAATACCCTATGTGGATATTTATATATTAGTCAAATAGTAATATAACATTTTTTTAATAATTTCCAAACTATAATTCCAGATCTCACTGAACGATATGTTTGAAGTCCAACCTGACAAAGTGTTCGAAAGTTCATTGACCTTCAATACCATACGGAACCCCATCGCAGACGGCATCCTGACGTTGTGTCCCATGGAAGTGAGATCAGTATTCATCAATCAAACCATAAAACACGGTTGAATGAACCTCTCTACGGTGTTTGTTCTATAAACAATCCTGTGTATTTATTTGTGATGATTCTCATCCAGTTTTTAAGAGTCACTTAATATAATTGTTTCGTACAAACCGAATTTTTAGAATAATTTTATATGACATGTAAATTTAATTTATACATTATTATCAACTTTCTATCTTCATAGCTTGATATAATATAAGTACTTACCGCACCACCAATTAGACATATATTTAATTATCACCCATAAATAATCAGTAAAATTTTTGTAAATACAGTAGGACCCCGATTATCCGGACCTCGGTTATCCGAATTCGCGATTATCCGGACTGCCAATCGCGACGAGTTTATTCTAACACTAGCATTTGCCGCGACTTCGTCCGCGTGGAATAGTGATTCCGGCAGATTTTTGGTTCTTCCCACATAGTCCCCGTTCTTGCGGGGTTTTCGGAATGGTCGAGTTCCCGTAGAATTTTCAGGATAAAACCTATGTTTTTTTTTATTCACAATGAAGTACTCTTAACCAAGAACATATTTATTTGTTTATTTGAATAAAGATTAATATTATTATGTTGATACAACTTAAACAAATTATTTCGACCAAATTAGGTACTATAAAAACGGTTTTTGTGAGTTAATCTTAAAAGATAGACATATACTGTCGCGGACTGTTTTTTAGATCATTAAAAGAACTATTATTCTTTAGTATCTTGAACCGTTTTCACGGCGCACGCAACGAAGGCTTCAAAGATGAAATAATTTCTCCCGTTTTTTACACATTTACCACTATATCTTTGCTCCTATTGGTCGTAGCGTGATATTATATAGCCCACAGCCTTCCTCGATAACTGGACTATCCAACACAAAAAGAATTATTCAATTCGAACCAGTAGTTTCGGAGATTAGCGCTTTCAAACAAACAAACAAACAAACTCTTCAGCTTTATAATATTAGTATAGATTAACATGTCAGAACTTGCATAACGCCACGCCACTTATAACACTTATACGTACATTATGTACAATTTCTTAATAAACGTTGATTTCGCTCATATGTATTTGTTGTTTTAAATAAACACCTAACACTACATATGTATGGTACAGACTACATATGTACATATGCAAAAAGCCCGTTTTTCTTCATATATTGGATTATCCGGACTTTCAATTATCCGGATGCCTACCGACAACAATTAGTCCGGATAATCGAGGTCCTACTGTAGCTCCATCTGTCTACCAGAAGTGTAACTAATGGCAGTATTTAATTACCTATTTGAAAAATCAACTCTATTATTATAATGAATGAATTGTTCCTAATGAGTTCTATAAATGACTTAAACATTTTATTTCTCATGTTACTTTTGTCAAGTTTCTAATTTCTTATACTGTTTAACGCACAATAATTCTATATAGTAAGTGTATGTATGTTTGTCCTATAATCGTGTAGCAAAAAGTAGCATGAAAACTATTAAAATACATTGATATATAACTAAGTGTAGTAGAAACCGTTTCTTGCATTGTTTCAAACTTTTTATCAACTGTATAGGAATTATTGTAATTGTAATATGAACATTCCTATTTTTATTTTAAATATTTTTCTATTTTTCCTATTTATGTAAATTTGTATATATTTGTTCAATAAATATTGTTTCATCGAGGTGCTATACTTACAAGTATGTACTTCGTTATTTAGATCAGAAAATAAAGTAAATAGAGTTTAAGTAAGACTTGAACGTGTTTAAATGCCCTTAATATAGTTCTCAATGTGTTGTATTAGTATTGGATGAATAAAATGTCCAAAATAATATTTTACTATTTTATTAAAGCTTATAAACTAATCAACACATAACTACATAAATAACAAAACGTGCAAATGGCAAACAGAATTTATCACAGCTTGTATATTAATTATATAATTGATTCCCGTAATAAATAAATTTGTGTGACCCTACAGAACGATTTCAGTATTTCTACTTATAAATTTTAATTAAAATTCTATACATTTTAAAAATTGTTTATGGAGCAATCTTGAAGCTCTGTAATCAAGTCAGCATATTACATAGTCTATGATTAGCTTAAATAATCTATGTATATAATACAAATACTTAGAAAAAGCATTCCAATTAAAACCTTGAATACTAAAAGTAATAGCTTCGTGGCACTAAAATAAGTTATTCTATAAATGAGACTAATTTACAATTTGGATTTCAGTGTTTCCTGGTTTAATATAACCGAGTTGTTTGTACCACATTCTATGTTAATATTTGGCAGAACTGACGTCACTAATCGATGGCATTCCTCCATTTTGTGTCCCACAACCTCATATGTTACTTGTTTCCTGAAAATATTATTATAAAGTTTTAAAAAATATTTCCACACTGTACATGATCGTTATTTGTTATTTTAAATCCGTAACGAATACTAATGGAAAATGTGTCCTTTTGTGTCTCTTGCACTCTCACAATATACATTATATTGTCATACAATGAATACAATTCTTTCCTCTTACTATTAATAATATAAGTTATTTTTAATAGCTAGTTAGAGTTTCTATATTTATTACCGAAGGTCTTTATAATAAAAGCTTTATACGCTAATACATATATGAAAAAATATATTTAATTTTGTACTTCATCATTCGAACTAATCAATTAATTGAAAACCACAAGCACATATTTATTTTAAGGAATTTGAGACTTAAAATATTTATTGTACATCACTTATAATAAGATGAACCGATAACTGGCTCGTCTTTTGACATTGCATATTTCATACCCTTATCTATATCATGTATATGTCATCCCCACTTACCCTCTGCTCCTAATAAGCGCCCCCTCCTCAGCGAGTCCTCGTAGACAGCGGCCGATAGCGTCCAGACTGAGGCAGTAAGGATGAACCTGGGACTCCTCCACAACAGCCTGGACATGTTTCAACGCCTGACTCTCTAGACACTTACCCACCTGAAGATACACATATGAAGAGTGTTACATAAGAATGGTGATAGCATCTGACACTACCGATATCTGAGGTCGTTTTATTGAGCATCTGAATAGTACATAATATCTCACAATTAAAATATTATATATAAATTTAGTTAATCATCTGTTCCCATTCTGGCAACCCCATCCAAAAACATTTAATCATCAAACAGTATATTATTATTTGTATAGTATAAATGTTATAATGACCTTCATCATATGTTCAGCGCATATCCTCATGGTGTGTAACGAGCTAAGTGTCGCTGACTGTAGCAGGTCTCCTAGTGCGGTCGGAGCGGTCGCCTCCAATAGGCCTGCGCCCTCACACAGGGCTCCGCCCTTCACCAGAAACTGAACACTCGAAGAAAATACCTAGAACAAATTAACATGCATAATAATCTTTATACAACATTAAGTATAGTACAAATTTGTTTACATATAGACATTTTACTTGCATTAGGTAAAACTTACCCTTTCCTCCGATTCCTCCATATAAAAGAATTCGTATTTTAATAATCTGCGGATTTGAAGATATTCAGCCAACAGCTCCTCTAAGAACATAGAATATAATGACATTAGTTAATTATTTTTCCAGTGAATTAGCATATGAAATGACGGTAGTTAGAAATATTTGGTGAAGGTACCTTTATATAAAGGTCGTCTTCTTACTAAGAGGTATACAAGCGCTGGTGGTAGCAGGTAATGCAGGACAGGGTTCATGTATAGCTGGAGTTCTATAATGGGCAAAGCATTCACCATCGTTTCAGCCTTTAATAGATGACCTGGAAGTATTACAACCACTATAACATTCAATATAATTCACTCCATTTCTTACAAATTTTAAATAAACCAAACAGTTTTGTTTGTGATTAATTTCTTTATAAGATGCTTGATAAAATATAAATCTTCATATAAGATTTTGTTAATTATCCGTGTTCTATTATTTTTAATGCTTTTATCAGATACAGATAAATTATGATATACTTAAATTTTACACATGAAACGACAATTAAATCCTTTATTTGTTATATAACCACTCAGTTTTCTTATAAATTAACGTTGTGATAAGAAACACATCCTGTTTAAGGAGTACAAAACGATTTTTTTTTATATTGCAACCATGACTCTTGATTATAATCTATATTATTACAATTCAATGGTAGTTATTTAATGTAAATTCATGATATAAAAGGCTTGGATTTCCTTTATGACATAATTACAACAATTAAAATCCATGTTATCTCTAAGATAAGATTACTTTTTTGCCTGATAATATATTAAAGAATTTATTGAAACTTTACTATAATATAGATCTCATATATATGTCAGAATAATTTATAAAGATTATGTGAAAATCCCTTGGGATCACAGCTTTATGGCTATATTTGTATGCAATCATAAGATAGAATAGATGGGGCTTTCAGAACCACATACCAAACACAAATGAAGTCCAAGAGTCATAATAATATAACCCCAAACATTTGGTATCATAATGATTAATATGAAAAAATGATTTTCCATATGTTTGTTTGTAACAAATCAGTATTTATCTCACCCTTCATCTTGTTCTGAACGTCCGGACTGACGTCCATCATAGCGCTGGACACGAGCTTCAGCTTTTTGTCCCTGTCAATTCTCATTAGGTTCTTGTGAACCACTAGTATCCTCTCCAAGTTAGGCTTGAGATCATTTTCGAATACAGTCGCGCCCAGGTCCCTCAACACCTGGATCAGCCAGTCCAGTTTAACCAAGACCTGGGTCAGTTCCAGCGGTTCGTTCCTCACCAAGCTCTCCATCAATACTACGGCCACTAAATTGGATATAGTCACAACTGTGCATTTCTGCTGTTGTGTGATCACATAGTTGGCCACGTGCTGTATCTTTATCATCTGTTCCTTTGTAATCTGCTGAAGTTCCGTCGGCTTCAACATTTCTTTGGTCAAACCATCTTGGTCTCCCAAATATTCCTTTAATGATATCGGATCGCCGACGTTCACGTATATATTACCGTAGTGGTCGTTCAGCTTGTGCAGTGATTTGATTAGACCCTGGAATTAATGAGACATAGTCTAAATCTTTACATATTAAAAATAGTACATTAGCCAGTAGCTCAATGTCATACTCCAGTAGATTCTTTAGGCTTTGGCACTCCGAGGTGTTCGTACGCGAACAGCTTCTGCTCCATGATACGGTCGTAGCTAATGTTGACCGGTACCAGTGTCACGTCTGTACATTCACGACTGAAGTACGGCGCCAGAGACATAGATAACATACCTTAAATGTCAGAAAAAAAAGAATATTCAAATCAATCTATTATATATTATAAAAGTCCTCTAAATATCAGTATTCTTACCATACTTGGGCGGAAGGCTCTTATTGCTTCTACTTCTGGTACCTTCTAGAAAGAATTCTACAGGCGCGTGATAGGACGCCACCAAAGCCCGCACGTATCGTCTCAAAGCAGCCGCGTACAGTGGAGCCCCCGCCAAAGTACGACGGATATAAAAAGCTCCAGTTTCACGCATACTTTGTCCAACAACCGCCATTGACGCGAAATCTGATTGGACATTACGAAAAGGTCACAATTACATTTGGAAATGAATTAACCATGAGTAAGACTTTAGGACTTTACGTTTTGGCTTAGACTTAACTGTTTCAAGGTTTTAATTTAAAATTCAACCACGTACTGAAGTTATTAAAGAAGGTTTAATTTTCGTAAAAAAGCGAGCTTGTACTAGAAACTAAAACGTAACGTAAATTTCTATTAAGTCAAAGTTTTTAAGAGAGAGATAGACAGAAGTTAGAGCGATCAAAGATCGTCTTTATTAGCATATAAATCATACTAACGCTATAACCACTTCATTAGTTTTAGTAAATGAATACATTAAAACGAAATTCCTTTCATGCGATTGTTATGATTGTAACTTGGAGAAACGAGTGAAAAATGTTTAATTATTTATTTATTACTTTACAGAGACAATATATTTTCTAGAAAAATAGTTAAACTTACAATAAATATCATAAAACGGAAATTGCTTTTCGACTAGTATTTAGACACAATATGTACTTGCTTCCATATTAATATAGCGAAAAAACTTGTATTCGGGATGATTTCGTGTTTTACATTAATATTTACATATTTTTAAAATTAGAGATTTATTTCTATTTCTATTACATAGTTTTGAAATATTAAACAGAAAAAAATATTACAGATTCAAACACGTAAAAATTAAGCTGGTACAGAATAACTATTGCTATTTCAGGTAAAATTCATACGTAATGTAATAGTGTAAAACGTTAGAACGATAAAAATAATATACGTTCGTAACAAACTATGTATATTTTTTAATTTCATACCAACCCTTTTGGGATCTACAATTAATTTAAATTATATGTCCTTTACATAATAATAATTTTCGAGTATTTCAGTCACCCTCGTATTCCTATAAAGTTTTACGATATCAAAAATAATAACAAACAGATAAACTGACTACTAAAAAAGTAAAAAAAAATTTTTGTAAACATAAATACATACGATGTTCTGCGTAGGAGAAACTTTAATTTAGTTATTTTAATATAAAAGTTGTAATAAGAATGAAATTCGGATTGAAAAAAATATCAATGTTTACGCATAACCCATATCTACCTAGGAACTGAGAAATATAATAATATAGATTCATTAAATTAAAAGTGTCCATCGCGATAATAATTTTAAAAGAATATGCATGATGCATATTTATAATATACAAATTCTCCCTTTTCTAGTTTTTTAATCAACCGGCACGGCACGGCGAACCGTAAACTAATATTTAAATTATTTACAAGGCCGTTAGTAACACACATATATTTTTCTTGTAAACTATTTGTTCTAATCGGACATACAAAATGTACGTCATAGCTCAAGGTTATACCTTTAATACACACATTGACATAACCGGCATGACTAATGTATTACATTAGCCATTAACAAGAATTTTATGATAATGACATCTTTTAATATTAAAATTTCTAATAGGATACTATACAAGCTATACACTACGATTTGAATATAAAATATTTATCATATATCACGGCGTTCTTTGATAGATATCAGAACTAATCCATAATACGCAGATAAAATCCTGTATCTGCTGAAAAATCGCTAGATGAATATTATATTTACACAAAGTTATAAAGAAGATAGCAACAAAATCTTTTAAGTGTAATAAAAATGTATGTGGCATGTGGTTTGTATGTGATTTGAAACAAATAAATATAGATTTATTATGTATTGAATTATGTTTTATTTACATATCTTACCCATGCCCGCAGCAACTGCAGGAAGATCAATATCATAATGGTAGCAAAGGTATGTCATGAGACAAAAATCTGCATAGCTTCTATGAGTGGGCAGAAACAGTACTGGATTCATTCCCATTGTTGATTTTAACTGTGAATAAACAATGTTACATCTAGTGTTTAATATGTTCGCTAATGCATTGTAATTAGTTAAATAAATATTTGTAATGTACACTTCTATTTGTATTTATCTACATATTATCTATGCATATTTGATTTTGAGCATTCTATACACATATTACATTTGACTTGTTAAAAGGAAATATTTTTGATGGTATAATATTCTAACATTGAGTAAATGCCAATGAAAATCGTTAAAAACATTCCAACAATTTCCTTATAAAGAAATTTAGAAAAACAGATAATAAATATAAGATATTATATAGATTCAGATGCCATTTAAACATGGATAATTTAATTTAAATTTATATATTCTATCATTTAACACAAAAACTTGCTCGTAAAATATGTACTTAGTATTGTTTTTACATCATTATACTATGTTAATTAAGTGCATTCTTTATATTAAACTAGAAATATAGTTAAAAGTTTATTTTTTTGCTCCTCTCAAGGAAACATTAAACATTAAATATCTAATCAAATCATATAGAAAATGTTTAAATAGTTCTTCATATACTAGTATATCTATCTATGTATCTGTAATGTACTATTATTTATTTAGTATATTTCATAGGATTAAACATTTTTATTTGCATACCATAATATTTTAAGATAAGCCAAACAAAACCAAATATTTTACACACCTTTAATACAGCTGCTTCATTTACAAATACTCCTATTTTCATCATAAAACAGATCTTCAGGAACACAACTCCCATCCACCTTACCACATGCATTTTCTTATCCATTGCCATTTCGTCTAGATATTCCCATATTTCCTTTTTCAACTTCTCTTTAGAAACACCACTTTCATTACTTTCCTATCGAAAATATGCATGGTTTTATATGTAACTAAAATATCACAATTACATCTATTTACAACAAATTTGCTTATAAAAGACTAGAATGAAGTCTAAACCCCTCACAGTAAAAGACTTCGTTTAAGATATGTGTTTTTTTATATTTATAAGTAAAGTTCTTACCGCTTCTATAATTGCATCAATGTAGACTGAGTTCGCGACCACATTTTTTAATTCTTGCGGTGAATAAGGTTTATCAAAATTTAATGTCTTCGTCGGTTCCCATGATCTGCTCATAAATTTTATTATTCCGAATTGTGTATTACGCGGCTTTAATATATCAATGAAATTCACGGTTTCATTCATTTTTTTAATTGTAAAATTATCTACAATATATTAAACACTATCAAATGTTTTACACGAAAATTATTATAAATTTGAAACACCAAATAATTAAAAAATGATACGAGAAATATGTAAAGTTTTAAATTAAATTATTGCGGCACTTCATACACAATCATAATTCAAAGTCCGGGAAAAATATTCACTAGCATACTCCATGGCCTCTCAACTGTCACTGTTAAGTATTATGTTAACTTGTTTGTTTTTGCTTGTTGCCAGTAGAATGTCAAGTTTCCGTAAAATCAAGGATTTGACACTACCATGTAATAATCAGAAAAATATGATAAAAACTTAAGACAACAAATCATTTGTGAAATAAAAACGAGTTGATATAATTTTCTATAACTAAAAATCGTGGGGATGAAAGGTAAAATATAAAATCACAATGAATACATATCCCACAACTGTTATGTTATAAAATTTGTTTAAATAAATTAAAAACCACGCTTTTATAAAGTTGAAAACCTAAGTAGATTTTTTAAATAATTGAAATTTAAAATAAGAGTTATAAATAAAAGAAATATATTTAAAGTATAGTGCGCGAAATTACTATTGCACTTGTTAAGTCATGTGGGCAAGTGTTCACGATTCTATTCACTTTAGTGACTTTAGGCTGAAACACATGGACAAGAATACTCTTTCAAACAATGGACACTTGCCTCACATTACTAGATACTTATAAGAGTAACACTATCTTCAGAATGTTTTTGAAAGGCACCCTTACATTTATACATATAATATATTCCATACATCATATAATTGAACAAAAAATTACCGTAAAAGACTAAACACAAAGTCGGAAGACGTATTTTATACACTGATTGGGAAGTTTCTTTCAGTTTCAGTACAGACGTTTTGTTTCTTAAAATATTACTCAATTGTAAAAAAATTCTCATCAATTAAAAAAACATTTCTATACCCTATCTTTGCATTTAATTACCGAGTTGTTTTTATTTTACCACTCAAGCATTTTATGTATATCGATTAAAAAATGTCAGTGTGTTTCTAATAAGTAATAAGATCTAAGTCAACTTTTGAAATACGCGCCATGTCTCTAGGTTCTACTTTCAATTCCCTAAATATCTTCACTTACGCACTGGATTTCTTTAATTTCTTTTCCTTACTACTTACATCGCCTTTTTCGTTCACCTGAAAGCCTAAAGTTAAAACAGGAAGTTGCAAAAGAAATTGTTCTATAAAAATATTTTATTTCATTTAAGTGACAATCACTTATTACAATGTTAAACACTACATCAAATTTTGCACATTCATATTTTAGTTACTGAAAAAACACGATGACAATATTATACCAATTAAGTCAAATATTACACCAGTCAAATAGCATTATGTATATTTATATTTTTATACACAAATTGTTGTACAATTTAATAATATTGACAGGAATTAAAATGTATGGACTTTATATCATACTGAATCATTGATCCATGTGTACACTATATTTACAGTACTTACCAAGAAACTATAGATTTATTTTTTAAGTTTTATAGATTTTCTGTATGGAAATCAAATCGTTCTTGTGTACACTTGCTTTTATCATGGCTTGACATAATGGAACCAAATAATATATTGATTGCAACCTGCTCTTAATTAATCTATATATATATGTGGATATATTGTAAATATTAAATCAATCATTTTGTAGAAATTCTTATATAACACATTTAATAATAAATTTTCACTGACTTATTAAACTTAGTTAAACACAATTGTGACTATATTTAAACATTATGTACGGTTTTGGTGGACATTATAAAGATATCAATGAATGTTTAAATATATGTCCAAATTGTGTTTGTTGTACTTAGCTTTGTCACTTATAACTTATTATTTTCTAAAACTATCTCTGTTATAACAGTTCTTTCCAATGATATAAACGCTCGGGATGTTGTATTTTAATAATTTTTGGTATCATTTTAAATTATACAAAAAACAGCTATTACATTTAGCTGTAATCTCTTATGTGTAATAATATTCTACAATTTACAATATAATTTCAAAATCAATAATCATTATATTAATATATAATTATAAAAAACTTTTTAAAATAAAACAATGTATATAAAATAAAGATTACAAAAATAATTATCATATTAATATCCAAATAGTCATTCTTTTTACCTCATTCCAAAAGGGGCCATCTAAAATATATCACAGAAATACTATCAAAAAACGATTTCTACAATTTATAGACATTTTAATAATACAATAATCATTAGAAATTATTAGCCTTACAAAAATAATGTTAAGACAGTCAAAACTCGTTTGAGCACCGTCATAGAAGGGAAGAATCATTTAATGAATAATTTTACTTATATTATAAAGATATATATAATTATTAAAATTCGGATTACACATGGGATAATCTAACTTATTTTTTCCCCGTCAATAGCTCTCATTACAACACTATCATAATTAGAAATATAATTATTACAACTACATCTGAATTAGACTAAAGCGTCATATAAAAAAAAATGTAAATTGATAGAAAAAAGAAAGAAAGAAGACAGATTATAAAATATAACATATAAGCTATTAATAATCATTATTAACATATTATATGTTTAAAGAAAACATACTAAAGAATATGCAAATAAAAATATTTTAGAATATTAGTTAGAAAACATTTTAAACCCTAAGATTACTTTAATTGTATAGAGAAATGTCATTTCAAGGTTGTATATGTATATGAATTATAGAAATCCATTACGGAACTTCGGTTCCTTTTTCTTTTCCTTTTCGTTTCCTATTTTTTTCATTTCATCGAGTAGACGGCACCTCTGGAACCTAGTCTTGGCCACTTCTATCAGTAACCGTGAATCCCTCGTTATCTGTTCGTTCTCACGGCCGTAGTACGTGTCATACTCTTGACACAAGGACATGTACTTCCTCCATTTTTCGTCGCGCTTCAAACAAGTCGAATTCCCGATTATAACAATCTTGGCTTTAGCTCGCGTAAGGGTTACGTTGTACCGCTGTAAACATACACTTCATATTAAACATTCCGCATAACAAATATAATATTTGTCGCCAATTGAACACAATTTATGAAAATTAATTTTTAATACCTATTTATGAGCTTTTTTTTTTGATGACGTAGTGGAAACTCTTTTTACGAGCCGTCCAACCGGCCTTGGCGGGGACGGAAGGGTTGTGTGAGGCTCGGCCTGGGCAGGCCCCTACTCACTAAAACCACTGCGAAAGCCATCGGCCGCTATGTCGGTGTACCCCGAATCTGTCAGCGACAGGGCACACCAGCGACTGGCCGGTCCTGGCAAAGACCGGACTTACTTCCTCGGAGAATGGGGGCGATCCCGGCAATTAGGACCGCCCCGACGACGCCGGGCTTTCAATAGGGCCGGGTTACCACGCCGACCCCAGCCCGGAACACAGGGGTGCTATTGGAGGCGTAGGAATTGCCTCCGTCGCACCCCCGTACGTCGCCTGCGGGTGGAGGGAGCATCAGCGGCCTCTCCCTTTCCCGCTGAGATGCCTCCTTCGTGGACATGACCGTCTCACAGAAGGAGGACACCGCCAACCAGGACCCATCACTCTCGAGCATCTTCTCCACGACACTGGAAAGCGACAGGTCCACTCCGCCGAGAGCCGCCACAAGGTCTTGGCGCTGCGCAGCCCATCTCGGGCACACCTCGAGGGTGTGCTGGGCCGAGTCCACCGTAGAGCCGCACTCATGGCAGCCTTCTCCTGGCCGTCCGACACACGTAGTAACCAAAGCACCCGTGCCCGGTTAAGACCTGCGTCAGACGGAAAGTGAGGGGTTTGCGTTTCCGCCTCAATTTATGAGCTTCAAGAAGTCAATCCAATCTTAAAATCTATGTTTGTATAATTAAAATCTATGTAAGTCTATACATGTATTATGCAAAATTTTGGAATTAAAACTTCTTTACGCACGCTTGAAAGGTAAGATTACGAAAGCGTTACGAAAAGTGTGATCGGGCGAGGCGATTGATAGTGAGAGGGAGATATAAGTTACTGAATGGATGAATGGATCAATACATTCAGAAGAAACGAAAGAAGTTTTACTTCAACTGCGTGGTCTAAAGAACATGGGTTTTATTTTTTTTGTCAGTGGATGTACATGAGTGGTTAATGCATAGAGAAATAAAATTAAATAATAATGTAAAAGTATTGTTATACATATTGACCTTGTCTTCAGCCAGGAAGCCCAGATTGTACTTGGCGTCAAAGTCCAGCAGCCTACAGTTAGCTCGTACTGTGGACACTAAGATCACTCGCTTCTCCTTTCCTTGGAACGATTCAACGGATCCCACTTCAATATCCGTGTAGTTCATACTTGTCAGCCAACCTTTAATTTTGTATACCTGAAATGTATATAAGAAATAATATTGTGGTTTGGATGACACAATCAATTAAAAACTTAATGCTGATAATAATATTTGGTGTTTGTCTATATTGAATGAACACATGAAGAAAATTATATTTTCCTTTACATGTATAAATCTTCTATATATATAAAAATGGATTGCTGTTCCTTAGTCTCGCTAAAACTCGAGAACAGCTGAACGGATTTATCTTATCTTAGTCTTGAAATGTTCGTGGAGGTTCAGGGAAGGTATAAAAGCTGAAAAAAATTGATTCATTACTGGGAAAACCATAAAAACAGCCCTTTTCTATTTCCCATACAAACGTTTTTTTTGACATTAGATTTGACAACTAACTAATATGTCAATCATTCTGTCGCACTTCAAAACACGGAGATTTATGAAAAAAACGTAATAGATATTTCTTGATTATAGGGCGATACGAAGTTCGCCAGGTCTTCTAGTCTGATATATATTATACGAGGGTCAAACTGAAAGTTCTTAGAACTGGCCACTTATAAACAATATAATAAAAAAATAATTCTAAAATTTTAAAATATAACTATTTGCCAATATTACTGAGTATATATTTCATATATTTGTCATTTGTTTTACGATTTGGCGGCAAATTGAAAATTGTCTGTGTCACGTCAACATGAATTCAACACGAGAAAATTTTCGTGCAATGATTTTTTATGACTTTAGATGTCATTTAAGTCAACAAGAAAGTTACGATAGACTACGATTGGCCTTTTACGATGAGGCCCCATCTCGTGCGACTGTTTACAACTGGTTTAATGAGTTTAAACGTGGTCGCACTAATCTAAGGGACGGCCTTCTACGGCGACGACTGAAGATAAAAGAGTGACCTATCAGCAAATTCGGACAAGCTTAGGCATCGGTATGAGTCAAGTGCACAAAATCCTCCACGAACATTTAGCGGTCAGGAAGCTTTGCGCCCGGTGGATACCTCATAATTTGACTGAGGCTCAAAAACTCCATCGTGTGGATTGATGCCGTAAAATGATTGAAAGATTTAATGGAGGTGACTCAAATGCTGTGTTCGACATACTAACAGGTGACAAAAGCTGGATTTACTGTTATGATCCTGAAACCAAAAGACAATCTGCTCAGTGGGTGTGTCCTTTCGAGGAGTTGCCAACTAAAGTGAAGAGAGATCGAAGTGCGGGAAAAAAAATGGTAGCCTCGTTCTTTGGAAGGATAGGTCATTTCGCAACAATTGTGTTAGAGGATCAAAAAACAGTTTCTGCAGAATAGTACACTACCAATTGTTTGCCACTTGTCTTGGAAAAAGTTCGAGAGAAACGACCTCGCAGTAGGATCCTCCTTCACCACGACAACGCCTCGTCGCACACCGCCAAGCGAATGATCGACTATTTGGCGGCATCAAACGTTGAATTACTAGGTCACCCGCCGTATAGCCCCGAGCTCGCACCTTGTGATTTTTAATTATTTCCAAAAATTAAAGAAAAACTTAAAGGAAAGCGGTTTACGAATGCTGAAGAAGCGGTGGCTGCGTATCGCGATGCCATTGAAGAGACCCCTAAGGACGAGTGGGCAAAGTGCTTTTCCCAGTGGTTCCATTGCATGTAGCGGTGTATTGACGTGAATGGGCAATATTTTGAAAAGATATAATAAAACTAATAACTGGCTAATGTAATCAGTTTTTGATTTTCTAAGAATTTTCAGTTTGACCCTCGTATGTTTTATTATAATCCCGTGGCTTACATTAAATTGAGTAATAAATTTTATTATTAGCATATAATTTATTGAGTTTATAGGCTATATGATAAATAGTTTTATCCATAATGTCATCACAAGAGCTTGAAAGATCTGAATTTACAAGTCAACACTTAACTTGTCATTGTGAATTTAAAATATGTTTGTGTTTCCAACAATACTCACCTGTCTTATATAAGGTGCTATAATTCCAATGTCTTTGCCAGACACACTGTGATTTTGAATCAAAGCTGTGGTGTATCTCTTCAGCATCTCCAATTCTTTTTCATTGAAGTAACTGAAATCAATATTTAAGTTACCTTCTGAACTATATTCATCTATATATTTTTGAAACATTACATAAATTTATGTAACAAATTATAACTATAGTGACTTTTGTTATACCTTAACTTTATAGTTAGAGCCATATTTAAATTCTGTCATTTTCTTTATATTTAGAAAGGACATCCAATGCCTATATGTAATTTCTAATGGAAGACTCTCGACTCGCGCGCATTACGCGCGAACGCCGCGCGAGTCGGGATACTCTGGCGCCCTTGCAGCGACCAGAAAGACGCGCGTGTCCGCGGCGAGTGGACGTATTCGTTTTTTAAAAATGGAACATTATCTAAATCCATTTTTATAACTGTCCAAATCCGTCTCATGACATACGCGCGTGATTTTGCCGCATCTGGACATAATACAAATCAAAACGCGCGAGTTGACTCGCGCGTAAATCGTGCTTTCTGGACAGGCTCTTATTGTAAGGAATATGTGCTTTGTTATCCTATTACAAGAAGCTTATTGGCTCTCAGAGAATAATAAGAATAACAGGTCCTGTCAAACATTGTGTTTAGGAATATGGCAAATCATAATAATAATAGAAAAAAAAACAGAAATCCCTTTTGTATGTACACACAGAAACGAACACGGGAATTTTAGCGTCAAAATACTTTGGTTTTCCTTCGATATCCAAAATATACAACTGTATATCGAATTTGTTATCGGAGGTCTATCAAAAGCATGGGATGTCAGTGAATTCCAGACAATAATGTTTCACTTTCTATCATAATTTAATATCGTTGCATGTACCTGGGTGCGTTGCCTATCCTTTGTTCCCTTGAGTGTACTGTGTGGAACACCACAGCTCGTTCTGCACCATACCCCAGGATGCTGCGACGGCTCAGAGGATCTGGGTCCGCACAAGCCTGCATACACATATAAAAATATCTATTATTTGCTATATAATATGTTTTGCAAACCTCTGTTCTCTGTTAAAACGATACATATGGTTATTAAGAGGCAGCGACATCTATAGTGTTACTTGATTTCATTTCAAAAAATGCAACTGTTATGCTGGGACCAAGTGAAAGCTAGACAGAGTTCAAATATAAATTACAGTCTAACATATAATATTGAAGTTTTATATAAAAATTGTTGAGAAGTTTTTGCGTGACAAACTCTCAAATTTTTTATATAAGAAACATGTATTATTCTAGTGATCAATTTTATTTTTGAGAAATATTTGTTCTGTAAAATCACAGCTTTTTAAGTTTATACTATTTTCAACATATATATATATACAGGGTGACTGGTGAATTACTATCAATATTTAAGGAGCATACTCGGTACATGATTCTCATTAGAATTATGTAAAAAAAAATAGGCACTTAATTTTTGACAAAATTTCCGTATAAATAAGTAAAGTGTTGACACGTTCCAAGTGTTCAAGTGTGGACGCGTGCGGCGACGTGTTGATACAACACCACGTCACGACATGCGTATGTGTGAGTGTCAGTGTATACCTAATCTGTAGGGTGTTCACACGATGCGTAATTAATTACATAACTTTTGGTTAACTTTACTAAGAAGTTTATTAATATTTATGTTATATTAATTTTTATTTTGTCATATATGATCGTCAAATATCACGTCCTCAAGTATCGATAGTAATTCACCAGTCACCCTGTATATATATATTTGTGAAATAACTTTTAATTTAATTCATTACCTGAAGGCAGTTGTCATAGAAGAGTTCGTTGGGGATCGCCAATATATCTGGATCGGATCGAAAGTTCTTAACGAGCATTGTTATGAAATTACGATCTGAGTATAGATTCTCGTAAGTCTTATGAAGGCGTTCCAACAGCGACTGACCTATTGAAAATCATATTTGTTAAAAAATTTGCTATATATTTCAGATTTTGTCTAAATTTATATGGCAATGACGATAGGAATAGGGCAGAAAAATTAAATATGACATTTTTTTTTACAAAACTTTGGATGAGAAGTGGATATGTTGTGAAAGATTTCTTCTGTGGGCTAGGTCCTATAAAGACCCTATTATATAATAATAATAATAATAATGGTTATTTATCCCAAACACATTACAATTGTATAGACATTAACATAATCCGATCACAATGCATAAAGGTAAAAGGTATTATGTATATGTAAATAAAGGCTACCGTCCCTGAGCTAGGTATAAACCTTTATTTCAGGCGACAGTACTCTCCTGTTGCAAAGGATTTATTTTACCAAGTTTACTAAAGTGGAATAGCGAAAAAAGTCAACACAATGTATGTAGTATATGCTAAGCATATTATCTTTAGCTTATATATATAATAAATAGCAATTCCACCTAGGCCTCTGTCGCGGGCTTCTTTGGATAAGCACACGGGTCCTAACTGTTGTGGATCTCCTGCCAGTACTAGCAGACCGTTTGGTGATAACAGACCGCATACTGGAATTAAGGTCGCCGGTTCAGTAGCTTGAGCCGCCTCGTCGATGAACAGGTGTGACATCTGCAGCTTATAAGCAGACTGGCTTCGATTCCTAGTAAGAAACATCGCTTTTATATACAAATAATTACACTCGGCCTCTAAACTTACATACGTTACGTTACGTATATCGTATTATCCTTATAAGAGTATGTAACAGATACAATACAATTTCAGATCATATAAATATTTAGTCTAATAGAAATGTTCATCATCTTTTATTATTTTTGTAATATATTAATTTTAATTATGGACTCACGATCCATATTTAGCCGCATGCGATAGTGTGGTGACGAAGATCCTATACTTGGAAACCTCCGCGTTGTTTACGGAACGGAAGGTACTGTAACTCGTACCGTTGGAGACAGAAGCCAACCCTGAAGGTAAAACGCTCCTGGAACATAACATTATGTAAACATTAGCTAATAATACCAAAACTACTAAGTTAGCACTAGTCTCTTGTATTGCTATTTACATAAATGACATAATAAAAAAAAAACAGAATAGCAAAAGCAAAGTAATATAAATATTTACATAGTTATGAAGACGAGAATTAATATTTAAGTTATGAATTATAGTTCGTACCATTCTCTAGACTGCGAGCTGGCCCGAAGGAGAAAGTTACTGATATTAAGCATTTTGTTATATTTTAACAGCATCAAAGCAATGTGGTCGGCGGCCATATTGGAATCAGTGCACACCATAACACGGTACTTTGGATTGCGTGCTACGATCTGCGGATAAAAAAATGTGGGTATGACGAAAAAACATCACTAGACCACACATGTTTTGTTCATGGAAGGAAGGTTGGCTAACAGGAGAGTTAAAACCGGAAATATTGATTGTAGATAGCCTTATTACAAAATAAAAAACACAGCGTTTTCTATATATACACATAGCGTTAGGATTAGATAGGAAAGTTATTAAATAATATGCTAAAAGCAAATCCATCGTTACCTGAACGATCGCTTCCACAATGGTCATAGTTTTTCCCGTTCCGGGAGGTCCAAATACGATGTAGGGCGCCAAACCACAAGTCCCTGATACAATATGCTCCACAGCCGACTTCTGTTCTTCGTTCTTATATATAAGTTCGTTATAGAATCTATTAAACGGATTGTAAGATTTGGTTAATATATTGAGATGAACTATATTCGTAAGTTAAAAAAAATATATTATTCCTTTAATGATTTACTAAAGAGAATATGTGCTTTGGTAACTAATAATAAATAGGCAATATTTAATTTATATTAACAACGAACAATAAAATTCAATTTAATTATTCGTATGCGAAATATTTATATTTTGGGCTTTTATGTAAGTTCTATAGGTTAATGTGTAAGGTGGTAGAGCTTAGCTGTGGTAACGTTGCTACAGCCCAAACATGGGCTGGCTTGACCGGGGAAGTACCACCGTCTTACAGAAGATCGGCGTAAAGTATTCTTTAATGGCTACGTTTCGTCCGATGTGCTTTCTTTGTTCCCACAATTTCCTGCCATTTCCTTATTCCCACCCTCTCCTCTTCCTCAACAACTAAGGTCGGCAACGCATCCGCAACATAAGATATGTTGCGAATGTCCAAGAGCGATTGTGATTTGTGAATACTGCCTATCAAGTAGGCCGTCTGCTCGTTTGCCACCTTTCTCATAAAAATAACTCACTTAGTTATTGTTGTGACGGGTTTCTTCCGGGCTGGAGCCTCAGGGAAGACTCGGCAGTCTTGCTTCCTTTCAAAAACACGAGACACAGCCTCGTGAGCACGTTCCACTGGAACACGGGACATGATGAAGCGGACGTTGAAAGGAACATCCTCTCCATAGAATTCCCAGAACCTGGAATAAAATAGGAACTAAGATAACAGGAATATACTTATTTAAATATTACTCCTAAGAGTTCCCAATGTTATTTTCTATATAGAGCATATTTATCGCGGAGATATTCTTACTCAAATACTGAAAAAATCGAATAAAATAGCAAAGGTTAAAAAAGCTTTTTTTGGGGGTTGATTCGAGTATTACAGTACATTTTTACATTTTACCCGATCAATTTTCAGTTGTCTTAATCTTCTAGCGATGTAGTGGTTGTGTGTTACGAAAACATTGGATATCATTAAAACACAGTTATGACTTTGTACATAAGTGAGTAGTAGTAATGGTAGTAATAGTAGTGGTAGTAATAGTAGTGGTAGTAATAGTAGTGGTAGTAGTGAGTAGTAGTAGTAACTTTTTCTTCTTCCTTGCAATTTCCCAGCTTTAGCCACAGTCTACCGTAGTAGTAACTATCGGTTATTAAAACATCTGTTGACTTGACTACTTGCGACTTTGCTATACGGCTTCTTATTGAAGAAAAAATAGCGCAACAAACCATAACAGTTCTTATGTAAGTATCGTATATACTTTCATATGCGTTATTGAAAGTTTTACTTTGAAAATACAAGCTGATACCATAAATTTATTAATTATTATAGATATATATTATCTTCATAGTTATCACTATTGTAGATACGAAATTGATAAAGAATTTAACCTTGATAATTTACATTTTAGATTCAATCTACATGTGAGAATATCTTAATGAATCCTAAAACAAAGACACACTTTTGTATTGTCAGATATAACAAAAGTACTCACGACTCATCAACATTGGCCAATTGGATAGAACAATCTTCTATATCTTTAATGGTAGTTTCGAACACCGACTCGGGGTTGTTTTGGGACCTCAAATAAACGTAATCACCTGTATACACACAGAAATATAGAAATAAGTAAAAGCATGTATAATTTATATACTATGGTAGTTATTGATATTGATGTATGTATATGATGTTGATGTAATTCACCTCTCAGCAAAGAGGGCCTCTTTTCAGCCAATCCTGGTACCTCCATTTCTAAAAGTTCGCCGTTTAGTTTGAGATACACTCTCTTCATATTATATTTCTGAAATAAGATAAATATTGTATTGGCAAGTATTATACAAATAAACGGTTTAGATATCGTCAAATAATTACCCTTAAATTTATTCTCGCGATGATTTCTTCCCACCAAAGTAAATGGTGGAAATATTTCATGTAATTATTTTTTGTTGGACCTTCATTGAATATAGCCCTATAAGAAAATCAATATGAAATCTAACATACTTTTCTTATATTAAATGATAGGATATTAGTAGGAATGTGGTTATTTACCTCGTACCAATCAAACATAACCGAATTTGGTCTAATTCCACACCCACTGGCACCTGCAAACCTTCTAAAGCTTTCTCTTCGAGGCCTCTTGGAAGAAGAATCTTTAGAAGCTTTGGTATTTTAAATGCTGTTTCATGTGGCCTAAAATATAAATGTTCAACTGATTATATCATAATTAAAGTTAAATATATATGTACATTTCTTCCTTTATAGATATGTGAAATAGTATGTTTCCCGTTGACTATAAAAAAGATTCCGTCACAATTTTTCCTCATACATTCTTTAATAAACTTACAATAATAGTATGTATCAAGATATTAAAATATGAATTCATAAAGTACATACATATGAAAAAGTGATGGTATGTTATGCTCCACCCCTACCCATGGTTCACTGTCGTAAAGACTTTTATTTGTGGTGAATGACACTTCATGTTCTTGCACAAAAACAACCTGAAACAAAACTTATAGTCACATATTGAACAAAAGATTATAATTTTAACTGACATTAAAATTATTATTATTTCTGTTTTGGGTTCATTGTCATTATATTTAAATATATTTTTGGTATATTACAATTCTAGTATGTTATAAGATTTTTTTTTGAAAATAAAATAATTAATGTCAATTTCATACAAAAAAAGAATTAATTATGTATATTTTTTAAACCAACCATTTCTCTTATAATAATTAGATTTTTCTCAACTTGGGTTTCTTTGCTTTGTTTAACAAATGTAAACATAATCGGCATTTCAAAATGGCCAATGTCATCTGACTTAAAGGTGATGGTAATTTTTTCTTTAATCGAAGATTCTGGAAGAGAAAAAAATTAAACAATATAAAAACAGTAAATTTCAGATACATTACTTCTACAATAATGATAAAAGGTTCTTATGTTTTATAATGTATAAAAAAAATATCATTAAAAACAATAGGCTATATAATAATAAGGATATAACATAATAACCAAGACCTATAAACACATGCAGGAGTAGAAAATAAATTATTAATTTACTTTTAAAACAAGCTGAAGATAGATTGAAAAGGTTTTTACTTGGTCAATTATGTGATGTTAAAAAAACATGTACTTCAACTTGCTTAATACACTACTAATAACACCCAACTTTATTAACTGTTCATTCCAATTATATACAGTTTCTTCAATTATGATGACACTTACTTTTTTCAAGAACTATAGGATCTCCACCAAACTGATATGGATGATCGTTCATTTTAAACTGAGGTTGAGGATGCGCTAGTTGTATACCAACAACTAATATATCATCATTATTCATAATATTAGACACACTGAAGCTAAACTTTGCTTCCTGGTTTGGTTTCACCTAAAACAAATTTTACATAAAATTAATCACAGCTATACATATTTATAGAGACAAATACAAACTTAATCATTTTGTATTATTATGAATGGTTTAAATAATACATACATCAATTCTAATTTTATGTTTTCCTATGCTTTCTATGTTTGTTTCTGTAGCAGCATTAAAAGGTTCCTTCGTGGCTCGGCACATTATTATCATCCCATCTCTATTTCCAGAAAAGTGTCTCCTAAAACAATTTTAAACATTGAAATGGGAAACATTCACTTGTGGTATGTAATTCAAACAGAATTATGTAAATGGAACATAAAATCAAAACAAGCAGCGTAAAAATGGTAACAAATAAGAAATTTACTGTCAAATAATAAAGATTTCAATTCAAATACTTAAAAACAAATATTAAAAATATTACGAAGTATCTATATTCTTGAGGATAGGAAATAATATATCAGGAGAATACATCACTACCACAATTTTTAAACCAGTATATTGTAAATGCTTACTTGTTCATTTTGTAGTTCAACAAAATCAGGAGAATACATCACTACCACAATTTTTAAACCAGTATATTGTAAATGCTTACTTGTTCATTTTGTAGTTCAACAAAATCAAGTTACATTGGTGTTTCGGTGTAGCATCGTGGTGAACATCAGCATTTTCATTGTAATGCTCGTCAACAACACCGCATACTTTACAAAACATTTTCACTAGAAGACAGGAATGAATTCACTTAAACTATATAAGTCGGCCACTATTTTTTATAAATTTAAATATAATTTCTCAAAATATTAACGAGCCAAATGACATTTGACGTGAGTAACAAGTGCTAAAGCTAAGGCGTGTTTTAGATATATAATTAATAATAATTTGTACCTTCGTATACTAACAATTACTATAAAATAGAATAATAAATTTTATTCTAGAGAATCAATCCTTTATATATGTACCAGAATTAAATATGAAACAAGAATGACTTACAAAGAGAATCCGGAAAGTCCCAGAACGAATATTAAGAGGTTGCCATTAATTTAAAATAAAAAGAAATCTTCTTTAATAAATATAAATTATCCTCTCTAGAAAAAATATATATTAATTTTAATAAAAGCTTCTATCCTGTGTATAATGAAATAAAAAATAACGTCTCTTTTATGTTTCAATCAAATTGATTTGAAGTTTAAATTACACAACTAAAATAAAAATAAATTTCAATAAACATGACTAAATTAAATTTTTGAGACTGCGGAACAAATACTTTATAGATTTAATCTTTAGTTTCTGGTCCCAAAAGTTAATATTGTAGTAAATCTTATTTTTTATAAACGTCATAAAAAATATATATTTCTTACTATATTAATAAATATTTTTTTATAGTAACACAATTGGTCTGAGTCAACGGTAAAATGTTTAGACCTAATGATGGCGATATGGCCAACATAAAATAATTAAATTTATTTATCAATTTCTTAAGTTTTGATAAACCTTCGTAAATAATATTATATTATGCAATATAGTTGCAATAAGTAGTCTGGATTATTTTGGACGAGAAATTAGAACGTAAAAGTGAGACGTAAAAATGCAAAATTTTTCCTTATTTGTTTTTTGCTTTTATATATTATTTAAATTCGGTTTCCTCTTGTCAGTTTTATTAACGAAGATCCGTGGTCATGAATCAACAATTTTATCCGGAAATTTAATATTTTATATAAATTTTATATACTTACGTTATCATAGACAAATCACGTTTATGAGTCCTTGGCATCGACATATACTAATGGATATGCCGTACGCGTATAATCTGCAGTAATTTTTTGGTTTGAAAAGGGTGAGAGAGATGGCCTATGCTTTCGGTCTAGCACTATCTCTTTCCTCATAGAGGATTGGCGCTCAGTTTTCATGACAAGCACGGCATATAAATTTATTTCGCCCTTAACTAAATATAAGCGCTGGCATCTCATCACTCCACAATTCACATTGCTCTGTATTGTGGATAGCGTTGCGTCCGATGTGTTTGTAGTAAGTAAATACTGATTGTTTTAATTATGTTTTAATTTATTTATTAGATTAATTTTTGTAAGTACGGTACTATTTTGAGAGAGATAAAGATAGACCGAAACTTCGTTTCCTCTCTTTCTTTCGGAGTGCCACAATTCTCATCTCTAAGGCGTGTCTATTATATAGTATATGTCGATGGTCCTCGGTTTCTATTTTCTGGTACTTTACGAGTCACGAGTACTCATGAGTCATGCAAGATAAAGCGAGGCTTCAGTTATGTGTGTTGTTTAGGTATAACATACGTAACTTTATCAAATACAACAAAGAAAGTGGTAAATTTAATAAGTTGTTATTGTTATTAATACATAGTTACATATATTATAACATAGTTAATATGAATAGCCAAAAATACTTTAGGTATATATTGTTTCTTTATATTTTTTTTACTTTATCACACTCTTTGCCGTGGAAATACCGGACTTGTATTGTCAATTACGTAATTCTTTTCATATCTCGGGATAAAACTCGAACATATTATGTATATCACTAACTTACGTCAAAATTTTTCTATTCATAAAAGAAATTGAAGCAATAATAATGACATTGCATTGCTTATATTTAAAAATCATATTGTAAGTAATTACCATTATTATTTATTACCATTATGTCAGTGGTGGCCTAATGGTTAGAGGGCCCACCTCTCGTTGCCGAGAGTGCGGGTTCGGTCCTGGCCCGGGCAAGTACCAATGTGATTTTTCCGAGTCATATGTACTTTCTAAGAATATTTAGACATCACTGATTAATTCTGATTCCCAAAAGAGGGTTTGATGTCAGGCAGGCGGCCGGTCGTAAAAAAACAATTAAGCCAAAACTATTCACAACAAGTAAGGCAGACCCTGGCTATAGCCGGGAAATTGCCAGGTAGAAGAAGATTGTAAGTAATTACCATATTATTCTTGACTTATTATTCCCTATTATATATCATCGTCCAACAGAACACACAGCGGGCTTCCCTCCTTTTGGTGTATGATGTATCTCATCCTTCCATCCGGACGATGCCATACGCTTTCTCTCTTCTTCATTAGGCTCATTGCAAAGGATTAGAACAGTAGGTACGTGCCTACGAGTATTTTTTATAACATAAATTTTTAACTCTAAATATGATGTTGACCGTCGTATATATTTGACTAATTCGCCATTTTGTAAGCGCAGGTTTTCTTAGCTATTAGAAGCAATAATATACCTAGTTGTGTTATTTAATATTTTATAAATTGTTAGAGGCATAAGAGGTAGGTAAATTTCTAGATTACTAAAATTAATTGAAACGTAGGTGGGTCTTCGTGACGTAACAAATTGGTATAGTTGTCCTCCAGTCTCCAGGTACAAGGGATGATAATAAAGATAATATCGTGAATACCAGTGGGCGACTTAAGCTAATGATCATATATAAATTTTATACATGAAATAAAGTGAAATGTTGAGCGGAACTAGTGATTAAAAATAACTATTTAGTGGAACAACTATTTTTCAACAGTCAACTGTTGAAATATTTAAATGAAACTAATATTTTTCGGATGTACTATGCGATGTTATTGTTGATAAAAAACTATATATTCCCGACGTTTCGGCTACTTTACAGCAACCGTCATCACGGAAAGACGAGATGTGAATCTTCACTGTCGTTCATCCGATAAATATTAGTTTCATTTAAATGAATAAAACCCGCGAAAATCTTAGATCTCATTAATTGTTGAAATAGCCCTTATTTTTAAATATCAGCTAAACGGAGGCATATCTAATGAATGCATTCAGGACATGGCGAATAGTTAATATTGGAGGAAGAGTAAACAAAATCATTGATTAACACTCTTAAACAAATATAAACTTCGAGAAAAAAATATTGAGGTTATTGAGAAGCGAAAGAAGTTAAAGAAATGCTGATACTGACTTTACTAATGAGGTATTCTAATCAAAATGACATCGGAGAGTAAAAGGGAAGAGAAGGTAGAAATAAACTAATTTAGGTTAACGTTATATTTAAATCCAAATACCTAATAACTTAGAATACTTTGAGCATTTATGAGCCATACATTGAAGTTATTTCGAAACGTGTCCCACGTTTTCGATACTAAATCACGAACAAAACCACGTTGTGAATCAGGACTTTACAGGGAAATACTGTTTCCGGCTATATGATAAGCATTAAAAGTGGAAAGATAATACGTTAATTCATGCACTGAATAAAATAATAATAATAAGTTTTGTCTAGTTCAAGAACGGAATAAACCGTGGTGGGTAAAATTTTTTTAGGAACTCAAATACATTCCACGGTATTATGCCAATTTTAATAGAATTTGGACATATTCCGCGATTAAAAATTATAATTGAAGCATTGTTTTGTATTTAAACCATTTCGATGCTACCCGGGTTTATTCTCGGGAATAGACATTTTTTGTCTTTTTCAAAAACCACCAAGAAGTAAACCTTACAGATTGAAAAAAATATGTAGGTAAAACAAACAAGAGGATTTAAGGTTTCCTAAAACAGTGGAGTTAAAATGAACTAACGAAATGTGTATCACCAGATTACTAAATGTTTCACGTTTATATTACTTAAATTTTAATGTCATATTATTTGAAACCGTGATTTCGTTAAAACTATAAAAAATTAAGCATTAAAAAGACAGTTTTAATCGGTATCGTTTATTGAGCAGTTTTTTGTCAATCGGACGTTCGGTTCGACGTAGTGATGAGTGAGTTACGCCAGATAGAGTGCTTTTTCTCGGAGCTGATCATCATTTTGGTTGCCGGGATACCGTGAGACGTGGTTGAGCAACCAGCGCATATGACTGTTGATAGTGTAACCGTAACCAGTGCATACATGGAATGTGCCATCACAGTCGTACCCGCGAGCGCATTTCTGTCCGTAATAATCGTTCTCCATCGACTCAGTGCATTGCTCGCCGGGACCCTGTTTTATTAACTTTTATTAATATTATCTTCTTTAACTGTTGTTTTTTATAGGTTATTATATAAATATTTGTTACCCTGAAGCAATCGAGACGGTTGCCGCAAACGGTATTGGTGTAATTTCCCATTCTGCATCTCTTGTATTTCTTATTGCCTATTGTGATGTTGCAGACTTCACGGGTTGGCAGCCAGCTGACCTGGTATTGGCAGACAGGACACTCCACCAGACTACATCAGTTATTAAAATTCAATATACATAATAATATAGTGCTTAATATTGCATACAAAAACATGTAGTTTCTTTGACGTAAAGCCACACAAGACAAAAAGTTAAAACATTAATCATCAGAAGCACACAACAATGCTTTTGATCAAAGCATAATCAAAAACATAATCAAAAACAATTGAAATAGAAAGAAAGCAAAAACAAAAAGAAATATCTCATCAAAATAGGTACATGTTGAGCTAACAAATAAAACAAAAATAGTGTCGATAAGTAAAAAACCTGTTATTTGTAGTATTTCGTGTTATAGCCGAAATCTAAAATCCTGTTGGTGCTGATCTATTTTAGATCACATATATCGTAACATAATTAAACTATTAAGTTTAAATTTTTTTTCACATTAAGAATATAATTGAAGAAGTAATTCTATGATTGGAGAAAAAACTTTCAGTGAATAAAGAAATATATGCAAATAATATCATACCATAATAAAAACATCGACACAGTTGACACTGAATTACCCCTCCAGATCGAAAGGCTCCTCTCTCACGATGAGGTTCCTGGATTCGTAGCCCCTGTAGTGGGCTGTGGTGAGGTAGAAGACGCTGGCGAGGATGTATATTGAAAGATGCATGGTGTTCAGAGTTCTAGAAGTTTTGAAAACGTGACGATTATTGCACTAATTCGTTATGATGAATGAGCAAAACATGAGCACATGTTTGCATGGTCACACTACACATTAAACCTCTACTTGCATTTGAAACTACGTCAACGCCATTGTTTGCAAACATATAATAATATGAAAGAGTAGCTTTAACCGCATTTTTTAAAGCCCGTTAGAGTGGTTCGTTATGATCTTCAAGTAGTTTTATTCGATTTGACATAGACTCTTTGGTCCCTTGTTAACTATAGAACTACCTCAGGTCAATGTCCTTTCGATCAACATTAAATTTGCATTTAATTGAAGGTGAATCAGCAAAGAAAATATTTAGTATATTTGAGAACTTCGTCTTTTTTAAAGTCCATGTAATTTTACTATAAGTTACTTATTATGACATTACCTATCTGCAAGTGAAAGTACCATCAAAATCGGTCCAAAATTCCAGAAATTTCATGACGATTATGGTACGAGATTAAAAATTACATTCAACATAGTACGATTCGGTTTTGTTTACAATAGTAATTTATTCTTAGTCTAAATGTGAACAATATTTTATAACAACCGGCAAAGGTGTAAACAAGTTCCATAGAGAAGAAGAAGAACTTCCATATTACGAAGAAGAGATGTAAAAAGAATTATGTAGCACCTAATATCAGTACGGCAATTAATGATAAGATTTGTTTTTAGATTTTTTGTAGAATAGAGAATATGACTATTTACTTCATATGTATGTTGTCAAATATATCTAATATATCTGTGATATTCAAGTTTTTTAACCAAAAAAAATACGGAGCACAATGAATGATATCAATATCTTTAAATAGAATATGATAAGCGAAATATTTTAGACCGCTATTTATTCTTTGAATCTGTGACGAGATCGACCACGTATTCCGACGAAACTTGGTGATCTCGTGAATATTTCCTTGTGATTTTCGTCACGTACCTCGTGATGATTCATAGTTTTTTTCATTAGCTGAATATGTTAAAGAAAAATGTACTGAAATGGCTAGCGTTTACAATACGTTTATTATTATTATCCGCTGTCTAAATGTCTTCTTTTGGCGTGTCAATGACATGATATTAAATAAAAAAAAATGTCTCTCCCGTTTTAGACCGAGCTTTGACCGCGATGTTTCCCACCAAAACATCGAACGCTGCACATGTTTTCACTCATTTGTTTATGAATATAGAAAAAAAAACAGCTTTGGAATCAAAAATAATATTAATGTATTGGCACCGAAGTGTAAGTAGAACAAATGCTTGCGCACGCGCCGCCCGCCCTCGAAATGCGCATTCGTGAGATAAAATCCGTGCAGTACAGTTGTACCGTAGAAATATATTCAGAATATTAATTTACTAATAAGAATATCGTATTTATATAATCTTAATAGACTTTGTGAGTTATTTAGTCATCATGGGTATGATATCAAGAGTACGTGGTAGAATAAGAAGTGATTCTTTCTCGAAGATTCATAACAACAAATCCGAGGACAAATTAGCGAACATTGGTATGTGATAATGTAATGTTTATGTATTGTCTATTATTCATTATATTATATTTAGACGAACAAAGTTTCTTCGTGAATACACATATAAAGATCATATAAATATAAGAATTTGAAGAAGTTAGTTTTACTTAGTATTAAATGTATTAATTGTGAAATATTGCGAAAGTGTTAAATAAAAAAAGACTTAGGAAGATTGCAAATGAATAAACAAAAACATTTATGTACACAGAGTACGTAGTATGAACTTAATTAATACGTAGTTACTCTATACAGACGCATAAAGATTTAAAAAAACGTAAAAAAATATTCGATTCAAATGATTATGATACTTTGGCAAATCCACATGTATAAATAATATTATGAAAAATTGCGATTTTGACTCGCGTTCAGAGGAAAACGTTCATAAACAATAACAAAAAACCTTTCCTTTTATTTTTAACTACTACGACATAATTTCAATTCGCATTTAATAAATGTAGGTAATAGCTTTGCACATTTTACAAAGATATATGTATTTTATACGAAATTGATTTTTTTTTGCGAACAACGAATTCCTTTTAATAAATTCTGTTTGATCAGGTTGAAAAACCAATTATTAGGGCTAACTTTTATAACTTATTAATAAGTTAAACTTATTTCCATCTCTGCTCTCTCATTTTCGGGGGTAACACAAGTTTGTGTCAACATAATGGGAAACGTTAGGTGTTTTTCATTTGATAAACTAAGTTTAAACTATAAGGTTCCTAGTAATGTATACCTATACCTACTGTGACAATGCAATGTTAGGTAAGAATACAGACCTACAATATTTCACCTTTCCATTTAAAAACATTCTTTGATTCTTTAATTATCTGTGAAGATTTATGATTTAAAAACTGGGAAGGATCCGTATTATGACGATGGAAAAGCAAATGTGCGCAAAAGGCATGTAGTACTGAAAGTTAAGTGGATACTTAATTAACCAAACGAGCAATATATGTATTATCAATTTGAAAAGGGAGTTGATTACAGAAAAGAACAAATAAAATAACAAATAAATAACTATTTGGATAGAGCGAGTAACTGTTTCGTTCCTGTAAAATAAGTTTTGTAATAATTTTTTTAATCAATTAAATCAACTGTACTTTAATATTGTATCTTAAAATAATACAATGCAATGGGTTCCTATAATTATTAATATTTACAGTGTGGCTGATCTCGTTAGTGTTAGTGCTGCCATACTGGGCACCACGGGGACTGCTTGTGGCGCTGGGAGGCGCGTGGCTGATGGCAGCTTACACCTGTCTGGTGCTGCCCGTTTTAATATCAGCGAACTACCGATACCCAGCGAGATGGTACCCGGCCGTCGCGAAGTTAGTTCGGAGTGAGTCATATTTTTACCCCATAAATTAGACTAGACTTCGTAATGGCAACATACACGTATTTTTTTCTAAAGACGTCCATGCATTTCATATTTTTCTTGTTGACTGTTTATGCGAGATGTGATTGTGTGATGACATCGCAGTTATTAAGACTCTAATCGTAAACACGACCCGTGCCAACCTGACCTATCCGCGGACACCCACGTCAAAAAAACTACACCCGTTGATTGACGGTACACCGTCTGCGTTTTATCTTCCTACGTTGACATATTAAAGTCCAAAAAACGTATCAACGTCACGCTGAATATGATTTAAGTGTAATTTATTTAATTAAGTCCACGTCAAGGAGTTGAATGTTCACAATTTGTATGGAATACATAAGGATTTTTAAACGTCTTCGAGATTTCCAAAAATAATTTTTAAACGCGTGAGTCATAAGTAACATCAGCCTTTGCTGGGGACAGTTATGTTTGTTTTGTGTTTCAAAATATAATAATAATATATTTAAGACAATACACTTGTCGCAAATTACTGACATTTTGCTAATGTTTGTAATAGTTTTATTAGTTTAACAAAGTAAATGAGAACGACCATCGAATACTCAATGGCTGTCTATTACTATGTCTATTTACGTAAAGGATATATGACAGATTAAAAATATTATCAATTAATGGAATATTAAAAAAATATATAGAATATAGTCCTTTATCCTTTTTTTTCTTTGATAATTATTATGGAAATTTACAATTAAAAAAATCTATATACCTATCTATCTTAAATTAGTACCGAAGCATTTATTACTTCAATACACATTTCAATTTTACATAATGGTTCTCGATTCCTGAATACAAATTAATAGGGTATTAAATTGATTATTATGTATTATAAATTATAGTTTGATACGTAAATATTGTTGTTGGTGAACTATGTATACGTATGTGGGAAAGTCAGGTCATTGTGAAAAGCTGAATGAAGAACGGAAACTGGCCAAGAGCCAGAATCCGTGCGTCAACGGAGATTTAAATAAAAACATTCTTCACTTTAGGCTTAACATTTTCTATATATTTTTGATTATATATAAATATATATCTTTATTACATTATTGTACGGATGTAGCAGTAACATTTTATGTATACTTCTATTAAAAATACGAAAAGTATAGTGATTCGGTTATATTAATGAGCAATTTTTGGTAAATTATAAGTTATTGGTGATTATAATCAAAGAAGAATTTCGAGAGCATTAATTGAGATAATAAAGAAATATTGAAATTAAATATTAAAATATTCTTATATTAATCATAAACTCTTACCAAAGTCCTTAGTGTGATGAGTTGTTGATACCAATTGAAAACTGATGTGAACTGATGTTGGAAGGACTAGGGTTGCTCTTTTATAGTTAAACCCTTTGGAGATACTTTTTCTAGAAAATATCTTGGACGATGTTATGCAACAAAAGAGCAGCTGGAAATTTATATAACATTTAATAATTGAATATATTTTAGTATGTAGGGTACTGTATTGTATGTAACCATTATTTCAAGGTAGTCTATTCGAATCAAATTACGATTAAACTATTATTATTATAATATCGAAATTTATATACATTTTAAACCTAAATTGTTGGTCTCTTTCGCATTATGCCATCCACAATGTTTTAATAATTTTTATATTATTAAAGTAAATGAGTCCACTGAACTGGAAAGAAGCTGTGGTCAAATCATTGTGACAGTCTTTTTTAAATATTGGTTATTTTAATTTATCATCATTATAAATGTTGAAATCGTTTGTAATTTAAGTATTTTTTGTAATTAAAACTTTATTCTATATGAAAATTATAACCTACTAAGGTTGAATTTCCCTTGTACATTTTAAAACTCAATTTCATATAACTATCGCGTCATTTCTATAGTTCAATTTCATATAGTTTACATATGTTCTTTTAATCAGGACTAGCCCGTCGTCTTCGAGCCCCAACAGCGTGTTTGTTGGGTGTATTGAAGACCGCGTACGCTCCAGTAGACCGAGCTGAAAGACTGTTCTTGCAAATGAATAATCTATCAACTATGGTCAGCCAGGTAATTGAGATCAGACTCTTTATGAACCTGATTTTTGTTACATACGTTCCATATATGGCTACGAGACCTGGTATGAACAATCTCAAGTATAAAGGGATAGTAGTGATAATGAATATTTAATAGCTAAGTATGGCTATAGTGATGTTCTAAAATAATGATATGCTTTTCTCTTTATAAACTTTCTTTACAAAAACAAATTAAATATACCTACCTAAATGAAAGTAATAGTTTTGAATGACTATTTGTTATTTTATTTAAAAAAATGTATACTCCCAACTTTGCAGTAACCGTGATTATAACTCATCTACCATGATCACGGTTGCTGCAAAGTAACCGAATCGTCGGGAGTACGTCGTTTAAAAAGTAATAAAATAAGCGTAGTAAATCCGAAAATATTAGTTTCATTTAAATGAATACTCGCGAAAGTCTTCGATCTCATTAAATGTATAATTCATTTGTTTTCAGCTGTTGATATTTACAGCCTGCGACAGACTCCTCGTGTTGCAAGGAAGGCTGACGTGTTTATACTCGCTGATGTTCTACAACGTGGTCACTTATTCCGTCAACTATGTGAAAGAAATCTGCACCAAAGAAGACTGGTCTCCATACGTGAATGTCACTCGACACTCCCGCGTCAAACACCTGGCAATGTCTGCCACCAAGATCGTGTTAGAATGGACGAAAGCTGTTACCTTCATAGTGACTATGACATTCATTCTTCTGACTCTTGGACTTGAACAGGGCTTGGAGTACTTCCGTCCGACGACACTTTATACGCTCATCACTGGAACATTCTATCTTCTTTCAGAGAAGACGTTTCTAGAACTATGGCCGCTTGCGTTATCTGCTTTGAAATTGGAAAGTCTTGAGGGTATGGAGGTCTTGTACTGCGGGGTCTGGTCAAGAGCTATAACTACAATGATAGCGGTGCCTTTAGTCCCAGCTCTCGTGTGGCATGAGAGGTTTAGGTTGGCGTTACTAATACTGTATATCTGTGTCATAGTCCATGGAAGGCATAGGTTGGGCGAAGAGTTGATGAAGTTGAACGAGGCTCAAGGCTCTCTTGCAAGATTTAGGCGTGCGACCGCCGATGAAATATCAACGCTTGAAGATGTTTGCGCTGTTTGTTTGGGGACAATGAAATCAGCTCGGGTTACGCCCTGTGCTCACTTCTTCCACGCTGATTGCTTGAGGAAATGCTTAGCATCGTCAGACAGATGTCCGATATGTGTTAGGGAATATGTCTTCTGTTGAAATATCAGTATATACTTTGCTCAGTAATTCTGGACGAACTGATGTGATGTGAAATGAAATGGTAATGTGATATAGAAAATAAGTGCTTGTGGTAAAATTTCTAACAAACGTATTATATATTATAAGTATTCCTAAATGAAGTATTTAAAGAAAATTATTACTGTATCGTTACTACGAGTTTTGCAACGTTACGCTACATAAGAAGATTTTCGAGTTTTTCGTTGCAAAAACTGCAAGTTTAGTTGGACGATGCAAATTTGTCGTAGATATTAAAAAAGGTGTACAATTACTTAATGTGAAATTCGGTACTATTTTTTAAAAGCAAAAGCTTTTTGTATTTACTCCTATTTCTTATGAATTGTAGTAAATAATATTTTATTTAATATATTAAGTTAAGTCACTATATCTACGTAGCAAGTGTAGATTAACATTTATACCCATTTTTTCATGATTGTGGGTCCAATTATCTAATAATAGTTTTATAAAATTATTGTATTATGAGTTTTCATTTCTAAATCCCTAATTAATATTTTGTAAAAGCAACCGAGCTCACTAATTTACTCCAATAAACATTAAACTTAGTAATTTGAACCCGTTATAAGCAAAATAAAAAGAATAAGGAAATATACGATATAGGTGTGTCAGCAGAACAGATTACTAACCAAACTGTGAACATACTATAGAAAACGAAAAACTTTAATTAAACCCAATAATTTTCATTGGTTGTTTCAATATTTGAAGAGATTAAATAGATTTATGGACTATAACTATATTTTAAAATTAGTTTGTAGGCATGTAGGACATTAAATATACAAATTTTGTACCTCAAAAACTTTTTATTTATAGCAATCAGAAAAGGATTTCATCTTTTTCAACTATTATAACGACAGCATAAGTTCTAACCAAAAACGAAATTATTATTATTAGTGTTAATGTTATGGTTCGAAAAGGCAATTAGCTTCTTTAGTGCTTTTACAGTACCAATTTGTATAATAAAGACATTTTATTTTCGACGCTTATAAATCAAAATCGCTTATATCAAGAGATGATTAATTTTGTGTGAAGTTTATATAAGGAAATATCACTATGTAAGGAATAAATTTGAACGCAAATAGTGCATTGCAAAAATGAGGAAACATCAAAATTATTGATATCGAACAAATTGTAAAACTTTGACAGATAAAGTTATAATGATAATAAAAATATAATAAAATAAAATAAAATAGCTTTTTCCAAAAAAAGGTTCTATCAGTTTCGTCTTATTGATATCATGGAATATAAAAGTTTAATATAACAAAACTATATGATAGGACAATAAAAAAAAATTGTATCAAATTATAACAACATAAAGGAACTACGTAATTAATTATTGATTAATCTCTATTTTCCTCTATTCTCGAACATTCGGCTGTTCCTGTAAATTATTACATTTACCTGTACATATTTCTGTATTTTACCCGTATTTACCTGACCTTGAAACATATCGTTGACCTACATGATAAATAACGTTGGAGATAGCACTGAACCTTGGAGTATACCTTCATCAACCAGCCTAATATTCATAGTGTGATCTGTTTGAAACAAAGTGCCTCTATAAAACTGGTTATCTTAACTCAATTTTATAAGAAGAGTTTATACATAACAACAGCCTTTTCAGTACCAAGGATTGACAATACTTTTTAATAGTAACGGTTCACTAATCAAGTGGATATACTATGTAGTAAATTACTGTTGCTTCGCTCCTTCTAAATTTCACTTAAGTTACAGTTGTGTAGTTGTATTGTTTATAAGTTATTGTCGTCGAGGTCAAATATTTCATCACGATATGTCAAATGGTTCTCACAGACGATTTTTTTAAGAAAAGGCTTATTTATACTCCATTATTATATTCATGCAACCAAAAAACTTGAATGGTGGTAGAGCTGTGGTCGAGTAGCTACAGCTAGAAAATGGTCTGTCTCGACCGGGAAATACCACGCTCTCACAGAAGATCGGCGTGAAGTCATCTTTAATGGGTGCATTTCGTCCGATGAGTGAGAGAGCCGGTTACCCTTTCCCTGTCCCCACTCTTTCCTACCATTTCCTTAGTCCCATCCCTTCCTTTTCCACAAAAACTAAGATTAGGAACACATCCGAAACACATGTTGCGGATTTTCATCAGCGACGGTGACTACCACCCATCAAGTAGGCCGCCTGCCCGTATGCCACCATTCTCATAAAAAAAGACATAAAAATTTAATCTGTTATCTTTTCTTTATTAATATTTACCTACTACTTATTACAACGATAAAATGACCAACCAACCAGTCATGCATGACCATTCATAGCTCAGCACAAAGAAGTCATAATACTAAAAAGTAATAACTAATAAGATATTGATAAAAGACCTTTTCGATATTACTACTGCGAATAGTCATAACAATTAAGTTCAAATACACGATGTATAGTATTTATGTAATCATGTTGTTAATGATACTTTAAGAGAATACAGATGATCCTAATATTATTGCTTTTATAATAAAAAAAATAAACGGAATTTCCATCTAATTATGTTATCGAAACAAGTAGCGTCTATTTTATCTGTTCAATAAGTATTCGTTATTTAAGATTCAACTCTTCAATAATTTTTATTGAAAAGAATGTTTCTAACTCATACTAGTTTTTTCATAATTATAAATAAGAATTATTCTAAGATAATTTTATTACACTCGTTACGAGATTTATGAATGTTTTTCTGATATTCAGTTTTTTTTTTAACTAACGTAGGACAGCGTTAGTTCCAACCAACAAAGGAATAATTTTTGTTAGTGTTGCTTTTCGTAGAGGTAATTACTAATTAGTATCTTCAGCGCTTTTACAGTTTCAATTTAAAAAATATTATTTTATTTTGCGCTTATAAATCTTTGAATTCCTTAATTAAAGTCCCTCTGCTTTTGTCAGGCGAGAAATTTTAAACCATTTCTCTTTAGTCCTTTTTATATATACGAATTATATAATTTTTCATACTGATATAAAAATATGTATATAGAATTCGTCTTTGAGTAACTGCGCATGCCCCACTGTATATCCTAGGATACGTAACATTGCAGTTATTGCATAATAATGAATCCATAAAAAACATTTTAAAGGAAAATATGAAAAGGGAAGTGAAAATTTTGTCATTGTTTTGCAAGTCCATATAGCTAATTATATATATTATTTGAACTAAAATTTAGTCGAAAGAAATCTCATTTTTAAACACAAAAACCCTTTTACGAAATATAAACTAATATAAAACAGATTATCCCGTTTTATGTTGGATGAAAATGAAATTACACCAGATTATTGAAAACCACATGTAGATCTATTCTATTTTCGAATTAGAGTTCTTAACGCCTTTTTTTCATGATTTTTGTTTAACTTCAGCGTTGCCATGACATCATGAATTTTGTTCAGGTCACTATAATTAACAACTACACACTTGAAAAGCTGTGGATATAACTTTATCCTTATCATTCGCAGTGTATCCGACCAACTAAAAATTTGTACTACATGCTCTATCTCTTTTTATATCCTAAGTTATCCAATAAGCTATCTCTGTCGCACTCACGTCGTCTGACAGCCATAATTATGAGAATTGAGAGAAGTTTAGTCGCCGACTCGCGTGCTGCGTTTTAAAACGTGTGTTTTGTGTTCAATTTATTTATCTTGCAATAACATTGTATTTTGATAGTAAAAATACATGTTTCGTGGATTTATATCTTTGAAAAATTAGTTCGTGGAGGACGCCAATGACAAGGTATATGAATAAATATAAAGTGCATTTTTTTAAGATAACATATTGGGTCGATTTGATAACATGTTGTGTTTATAAAATATGTATATATTTTTTATTTTTAAATACCTGTATTATTGATAGTGAATCATGTATACTTTTTTATAGAAGATAATTTAAATATTTTAAATAAACTTGTCCGTAATTCAGCAAAGACCTAAACAAATTTTTGTTAACTTTTATGAGTTTTTATTCTTACTAAAATATTAAAGAGGTAGATTAAAAAGGAAGAAGGTCCTATTAACTCTCAGAGGTATAAGAAGACTGAAGAAAATATCTTTAAAAAAAATATCATGGCATCAGCCCATAAAATGTATCAATAATAATTATTATATACTTTTTTTGATAAAAAAGTTGATAAACTCTCAGAGTCAAAACAGAAAAATAACCTTTTTTTCTTTTTTATAACTTTACGATGCTTTTACAGTTTATTATTTTGCAGCAAAATTATTTATAATATTTTATCCTATTAATCCTAATACGTACCAATTATCATATTTAAGTAAGCCTAACGTTTTGGACATTATTAAACTCAACTCTTACTTTATTAATAAAAAATACATTAAACACGTGCAAAATAAAATTTCAAACATATAAACAATTTTATTAATATCGATTTCTTCTAGTTATTGACATATTTGTGTTCTATTAAGACAGAATCCTTGGCTGTCAAGTGTCAACCTTGAAACAGTCGCCAAGAGGCTGACGTCACGTAGGACATCGGTAGCCATATTATTGTTTAGCTTTTAACTTTCAAGCATTCGTAACATGGTTTATATGGCCTCCATAAAACTTTAACGGGCTAGCAGAACGACAAAAATATGTGTACATTTGAGTTTATTAAAATTAGTTTAAGATAAGACGGTGAAACATTCACGCGGACGTCCTTATTTTTTTATAGAAACGTCATAGATTCCTGTAATTTTAATCTACAGATAACGTATCCGCAACTTTTTTTGTTATACAGTCATGTGTTTCATTTATTCAGCTTTGTCTGTCATATTATGTAAAAAATAAAAAAGTACTGAAATACTAAATACCCATAATAACAAATTATATAAAAATTTAGGTAAAATTTGTTCTAGTCATTGATAATAGTTTATTTCTTTTTAATTTTATAGATATGTTCATTTTCATTATTTCATCAAGTTTCACTGTATTCATGCAAATATTTATCAAGTGCTTACATATGTACCTGTTGAATTAAGAATAAATTAAAACTTAAATGTAATAGTTTATATTCGCTTGTAGTTAAAGTTTTATGGTTTAAACAATTTTATCCTTAGAACGAGTTTCCCTAGTTTTAACAATTTGTACGAGAAAATGACAGAACTATTCAGTTCATTCATTCATTTAATACTTATTCAAATAACGTTCTTATGAAAATATAGAGTTCATTTATAATTGTAGTCCTTAAATATATCATTATTTTCAATGGCTATTTTTTTACATTTGAAGCATCCATAAATAACATTAAGTTTACAATCATGCGAAAGGCCAAGCATGAGCCGCGAGGGAAAACACGACAGAATTAATTTGCTTTTCATTATTGCCCAAAATTTCAATCGAAGCTTTCTCTATCAATATTCTATTCGCGTAAATTCATTTGCAACCTCAGTTGGTGGTTTATCAAGAGAAAGTCGTATAATGATGTGTATTCCTTTTTCCTGAAGACCGAATTTCGGTTGTAAGCATCGAATTTTGGTCCCTAAAACATGCAATAACATTTGGTTTATAAAACATAGGCATGTAAATTTTTTTATTAAAAGTATAAAATTGTATACTCGTATACAACATTGAAAGAATTATTTGAATATAACCTTATCTCACTAGAATGAGTAACATTGAGGATTTTAATATTATTAATAATAAAATTATCCTGTCGACTACGTTTATTGTACGAGATATTTAAAAAAAATATATTTTAACAATTTATTTTTTATGTAGTCACCAGAACTAAGGATTGTCGTGAAAGGAATAGACGCGAAATGACTATATTTGAAAAGATACCTCTTATAATTTATATTTTAGATAACATTCTAATTAAGGCCACCATTAACTTTGTGAATGCTGAAAAAAAATATTTGCCGTTTTAACCTATGTGCTTTTTTTAGAAAAATGCAAATAGAACAATAGCGTTGCCTGTAATTCGTTTTAAAATTTTATGTAATAATGAATTACGTCTTAAAGTGCAAGATTCTTTGCAAGCGGACTAACATTTCTTTTAATATGATATTATATTGCTACAAAGATTTTAAATAGAGATGTAAAACGTAATTTTATGCGCTTCTATTCTGTCATAGTTTTAAAAAATATAACAACGTTTCGTTTTTGCTTGAAATATCAATCTACATAACAATTTTATTTAAAAAGAAGCCAGATTGAGTTTTTAAACCTTATAAGAACTATGTTATAGTAAATGTTGATTAGCAATAAAAACATTCGTATAAGTATTATTCAAAATAATGGAATCATAAAAATGCTATTAAACCGTAATGAAGTTTTGTACACAAACGTGAAGGGATGTTAAAAGGAATTGCGTTTTAATATTTCAAGTTTATTGTTACTATATTTATAACTCAGAAAAGTATTCTTTTTTTATTTTATTTTGTACGTTATTGTTACTTATGGTCGTCAATCAAACAATGTGAAGAAATTTTTTATTAAGACTGCTCTAAAAATTTACTAAAACCTTTAATACTTTGATTTAATCCTCTATTAATCTAAAAGTTATTGAAACCAACTATTAGTATGAGTTAAGTACACAATGTATCAAGATGACGTCATAGCATGACGAGATACGATGGATAAGATTGTGTAAAAATTAACATGGGCTCGACGCAACCATGGGTGACGCTTTGTAAATGACACGGAATTATTAATAGGTATTAGAATTAGGAATGATTCAAATTTGACTATCATTTATTTAAAACGTTCCATTTTTGATTTTGCAGCTAATGAAATTTGATACTCAAATTTTAATAAGCGTAATTAGATATAAAAACTTTTTGCTCATCTAACTCTATTAGAACATGTTATACTAAAAAGGTATTTAAAACTGATTATTATTAGACGATTTCAGGCTAAAGAAAACACAGTATAGTGTTTGATACATTAATTATCTTCAATAAATTTATTAAAAACATTTAATCCTACGACCCAAACCATTGCTGACTCGGTACACAATAAAAATAAGTCATTGTCCTTATTCAAAACAATTATAATACATTACACATACATACAATAAACATAATGAAATTTAACTTTGTATTCGGGATGAAACTTGTTGACCTTGGCCGGGCTGCCGTGCTTTGGAGATGACGATGACATCACATTAAGATTTAAACATTTAACATAACATTAGATATTTGGAAACATTTGTTTAAATATATTTAAATTTTGTTAAACTACATGATAGAAAAGATTAATGTTTAAATGAAACTAATATTTTTCGGATTTTACTTCGCGTTTTATTTTAGAAAAAACTACATACTCCCGACGTTTCGGCTACTTTTCAGCAACCGTGATCACGGGCAGACGAGATTTTATTATGATTAATGTTGCCATTTCTTCTACGAGTAATCTAAATAAGGAATGTTATTCTTAACTTCAACACTTAGTTTCAATGTATAAATACACTAGCTTTTGCCGCGACTACGTCCGCGTGGAATAGTGACTTTCGGCAGATTTTTGGTTCTTCCCACATAGTTCCCGTTCTTGCGGGATATTCGGAATGGTTATTTGAATAAAGATTAATATTATTATGTTGATACAACTTAAACAAATTATTTCGACCAAATTAGGTACCATAAAAACGGTTTTTGTGAGGTAATCTTAAATGATAGACATATATTGTCACGGACTGTTTTTTAGATCATTAAAAGAGCTATTATTCTTTAATACATATTTTTTGTGTATCTTTAACCGTTTTCACGGCGCACGCAATGGAAGGCTTCAAAGATGAAATAATTTCTCCCGTTTTTTACACATTTACCACTATATCTTTGCTCCTATTGGTCGTAGCGTGATGTTATATAACCTACAGCCTTCCTCGATAACTGGACTATCCAACAAAAAAAGAATTATTCAATTCGAACCAGTAGTTTCGGAGATTAGCGCTTTCAAACAAACAAACAAACTCTTCAGCTTTATAATATTAGTATAGATTGAAACTTAATTGAAAGAAATATTTGTACTGTCGATGACTGAAGATGTAACATTTTAGGATAGGTACCAAAAATGCCAAAAAATATATATATTTCTTACTTTGTATTAAAAGTAAGAAAAAAAGGGAGAGTTATAAAATTATTTCAAGCACATGTACTCAGATGTTTCATTTAAATGTACAACGAAGGATATTTACTGGTGTAATTTAATTCATACTAGCTGGATTTTAATTATTTGTAGTATTTATTGTGTCAATAAATAATAAGTCAACAGTTACGAAAACAATAAATAAATTTACATGAGCTCCGTGGGGAAATAGACACGTTATTTTTTCGTTAATTAAATGTCTATGGCATGACAATCGCTAATAATTATGTTACGGTATAAATTATTGCTTAATTCTATTAATTATTTCAAATTAATTTATTCTTTACAGATTATTAAAAATGAAATAATTTGTAAGAACTTAAAATGACTATAGTTCTTTATAACTACCGGGAATTGGAGGAACGAGCATCCAGACATCTTAATGTATGGAAAGGTAATAGTTGCATATAATATAATCAAAATATATTTGGTTGGATAGAGAGAGGAGCTTGGACGGTGGAGGTGAGCGTTTAACGCGCGTTAGATAGGGGCCCCTTAAACCTACACCTGGGTCGTAAGTCCCAGGCACTGTTCAAGCTCCTCTCCCTGCAACGATGGACCCAACACCCGCACGGTGAATCCATTGAATGCTTAGAGGTTTCGTCTCATAAAAATCTAGTCCAAGAATTTTAAAACCCATTTTTATTAACTAACTAATGCGTTGATAGTAAAGATATAAATATATGAATATAGGACAACGATATATATAACGAACGAGGTCACGTTTGCGGCGTACCGTTCATTTCGGGACTGATTTATTTTTGTATGCAATTCTTACTAAGGTTTGTTATAATCGCATATTTTACCTCAACATCAATATGTTTCAGCTTGGCATCTGATATTGTACGCTCTGGCTGCGGTATTTGGAATTCTAAATTATGTTTTCCTTCAAAATACGATGCAATTGGTCGACAACAACTGCGTGTTGTATCCACGACAGTTGGCATTTACTGTGATCGAACTACCAGAGCCAGTATCAACTGTTGATAATGATTTATCGAATGCTACGTACTCTAACATGACAGAAGGTGTGATTACTGATAATGTCAATGAAAATGCTCAAAATCTAACCGTCCTTGATGAGAATGCAGCAGATGGACTGAAAAATAGAAGTGTAAATACTGGAACTAAGACTAATGTTGTTGAAACTGACAATATTATGACAGGTGAGACGAAATAATATATACGGTTAGTTAATTAACATAAAGATTTCAGGGAAATATAAAGGAATAACTACCACTAATTCTCAGTTGATAGTATAAATAATTAAATACGAAAAAAGTGAACCACTATAAAACTAAGCGTAACAATTTAGTAATGTTAAATGCTAAAAAACAAACCATTTTGCAACTTTTTAATTTAATTAAGTAAATATATAGTAAAAACTTCTCTGTTATAATTTTTGTCGTGGTTTTTGTCTCTGTATCCAAATAACTTGGTCATAATAAAACATTGAAAAACAGAAGCATCTTGCGGGCGTAGTTGAAGAATGATAATTGATATTTTATTTTTAATACTGACTTGGACTTTACACGTGAATACGTGAAATTACACCCGCGTGAAATCGAAAAGGTCTTATTAACAACGATAACCAGAGTTTTACTGTCCGTTACCCGCTTAATTCCTATTTCGTCTAGATGTATTTATGAGAATCATGGAAATCACTATGGATATTAGGTACGTCGGGAATAAGAAATAAGTATAGATAATTCGTAAGCATGTTTTGACAAACGAAAACTTATCTGGCTTCAAAGAGAAATACTAAAATATTGGTTTATTGGTGTAGAAACTGAAAAACAATCTTTTTAAATCTCTTGTGGAACAATAATATGTCCAAAAACAATAACAACTTGACATATTTTGTGAACTTTTAACAACAATGAAATAGTGCTATAGATTTTTCATTGGAAAAAGAATAATTTCGAATACAAGTATACATTATGGGTAAAAATAATAACCTCTAGTCTACTTCTAAAAAAAGACCTTCTAATGTCTTCATATCTTATTCTCATTATTTAGGTAATGAAACTCATCGCCTGGTGTTGGACACATCACGTACCCTTTTCGGATATGACAGCGACTGTCAGTTCGCGGAGTACATGCCCATAATGTCGACTATTTTCGCGGCTTCATGGGCCACGTTCTTCACCATGTGCCCGGGAGGAGGACACTCGAGATCAGGGTGAGAAATTACGCAACATACATTAGTAACATGAAAACTAAGCAAGATATTGGTGTTAAATACAAAGACATGAAAGTAAAAAATATTTTGCCACTATTTGTATCTTTTTTCCCGCAAAATTGAAGTTCTTTTTGTATTTGTCTGTCATGAATTTGCTAATATAATGTGTTCTATAAAACATCTTACTTTTTTTTACTGTAGAGTGTAGATAATTTGATAAGTTTAAAATAAAAACGAGAATAGACACGCCCAAAAGAAGCTTTATTCTCATGTTACAACTGAGGAAATTTTTATCTGTCATGAATTTGCCAATAGCTTGTAAAACATCTTTCAAGATACTTACAACTGTAGTAAATAATGTTATAACTTAAAATAAAAACGAGATTATATCCCCCAAAAAAATAAAGCCTTTACAGCTGAGGTAATTATTTCCTATGATCATCGTTTCCCAGTCTCCAGAGGCCCTGGCGTATCCTATCTCCGGCGCTCTTGTTCTCGCTGGTGATGGTGGCCCTCACCGGTCACAGCTTCTCCTCCACCAACAACGGCCTCTTCACATTCTGCTCAGCCTTCCACAACGTCACCAATGCCACCACGTATGATGAGAAATTGTCTAACATTTTAGAGTTAATTACCAGGCTATCAGAAGTTCTAAGAGATATTCATTGTTTATATATATTTATCTAAAATTTTAGCGATCCCAGGCAATCAGGAGTTTAAAGAAATATTCAGTTATTTTGTTCTTTGCAACATTTTAGAGATTATTTACCAGGCAACCAGAAGTTCTAAGAGATATTCCTTTTTTCTAAATATTTATTTAATATTTTAGTGATCATAACCAGGAAATCAATAGTTTAAAGAAATATTCAATTATTTTGTTCTTTGCAACATTTTAGACATTTACCAGGCAACCAGAAGTTATAAGAGATATTCAGTTGTTTTATTCTCTTAATTCTATTTTTAATAAAGTTATTTATAGCGAAAACTTTTAAAAGAAACCAGCCACGAACTCCAGAATGCTAACGATATTGTTGTAAGAGGAATGTATTCTTAGAACGGTTTACGTTTACATTCATCTTTGTAAATTCAACGCCTCAACGTGGCTTATCGCATGAACCGCTAACATTTTGGACATTATTTTTAAACATAATTAAAAATTCTCAACATTTCAGTTATTTCGTAATGCATACCTGGTTTTAATCGTAGAAGAAACGTAATTATAATTTTTAATACAATTAGGTATGTATCAAAGTCATGTTTGCATTCTGTCAATGTTTTATACAACCAACGCTAATGAACCTATTCGTAAACATTTAAATCGCTTTTAATTTTTCTTTCTTGAATTTATCTTGTAACACGAAAGTATTAATGTGGTGTTTTCTATTAGGACCATCCCACAAGCTCACATAGAAATATCTTGTATAATTTATACATATGTCTTTATATACATATAATGTAGATGTTTTCCCCTTTCTGGAGATCACCTTAGTAGAAGATACTAGATTCATCAATATATTAGTTATCCTTCAATAACGCTTTTAGAAATAAAAATACCATTGTTAAAAAAATACATATGTACTTAAATTAAAATATAAATTTTACTATACGATTTTTGTTAGTGACTTATCTAATAGTTTCAATTTTCAAATTAACGCACTGAATTTAATATTTCTTCTAAATATTCAATTTCATTCCTATGATTTAAAAACAAGTAACAGTTTCAATAAAACATATAGATACTACACATTTTAATTTTTCCTCCTCGTTCCTCGCGTCTCAGTTGTTCGTCCGTGGAGCCCCACCTATTGCTTCACCCTACCTGGTCGTTCGGTGGTCGTGTGTCCGCGACCCGCGCGGCCTCCGCCGGTGTGTGGGTCAGCTGGGCGTGCGGCGCCGCGCTCCTGCTAGTGAGGTGTCTCACGGCACCTGATTTCCACGTGCGAAGAACCGCCGTCGTGCTCAAAGATCCTCAACAGGTGAAACAAAACAACGTTAAGTTCTTTTAAAGAGGTGTATTTTGTAGGTGAGCCTAGCTGTGGTCAATTACTACAGCTCGAATATGGGCGGACTCTATCGGGGAAGTATCACATAAGAGATCGGCGTGAAGTAGTCTTTAATGGCTGCGTTTCGTCAAATGAGTGAGAAAGCCAGTTGCCCTTTCCTCCTCTTTTCCCTTTTCCCAACCTTTCCTCTCTCTTCTCAAATAAGAGTGGCAACGCATACGCAATACTATTTTGCAGACGTTCTTGGGCTACGGTACTAGTTACTACCTCCATCAGGTAGGCTGTCTGCTCGTTTACCCCCCTCGTTATATAAAAAAACTCTAACAATAAAACTCAATATTGTTGAAGGTGGTTCATAAAATTTCGGCCTATCCTAATTTCAGAAGATCACACCGTATTTGAAGAAGTCATCAAGGAAACAGAAGACGATCAGTTCTCCAGATAAGAGAGACTCGATGTCCGTGAGGTCGGAGCCCACTCTCACGACCGAGCTGGTGACTGTTTCCATCGACCACGAGACTCCGCCCTCCTCCATACAAGCAACACCTCAACACACACCCGCGAAACTTAATAGAGAGAACATCGAAATGACCAACACTCCCGTATTCAATCAAACGCCAAAATAGTCAGCTAATTATTGTTTTGTATATGTAACTAATTTATTAATATTTAATTTCTATACGAGATGTTGATTAAATTAAATCGTTATATAATATGTGTTTCTGATTATTGTCACGCTGGTTAACTTTATTAAAATTTTAATATATAATACTGTTGTTTTTTATTTTCGAATTCTATTAATGAAATTAGATAATCATTTTAGTTTTATACGTTATTGTGTACATTTTAACATCCATAACAGGAAAAGTATTTTTGTAATACAAAATGTTTATTAAAGTAAAACTTTCTATTGTTTTAAGTATGAGCCATTGTCGAAAATTCGTGGATTTGTAATTAATGAATTTGTAATTGATTAATTTAGAGATGCAGAACGAGTGGTTAGACATATTAGATTTTTGAATACCATTAGCCTTAAAATGGAGCACCTTAATTCAATATTGGCAACCCAGTATAGTAAAAAAATTATCTCAATGCATTCATGATAACTCTCCCAGATCAGAGTAATTTAGTAAGATGGGGTAAAGGTACCGAAAAAACTTACTATATTTGTGGAAAGCATTTGATGGTGGGATGTCGGGTACTCCTGGACAGCGGTCAATACTCGCGTCCTCACGATAGGGTTCTGGAAATTATACGAAACGAACCAAAGAAATCATTAGTCTTTCGGTGGCCAGAGAGCAAAGGGAAGTAGAAACAAACGAGCGATCAATAGGTTTTAAGAGAGGGCACTGGGACTATAAAATCAAACGTAAAGCCTTACGCAATCCTTAAAGTGACTTCGGATTGATTCGAAGGTAGCCCTAGATAGTTAATTCATTCTTCAGCTGAAATTTTAGTATGAAGCCAATCCTAAAACATCAATAATACATATGAATATATTTTAGGGATTGTACCGGTATACAAAAAGTATCCAATATAAAATACCTTGGAGTCATGTTGGACGAGAAAATGACTTTCAAGGAACATATCGGTGCTATGTTGGCAAGAACCCGCAAACTTATCCCCGTTATAAAGCTGCTCAAGGAAATTGCAGAATTAAATGTTCTTAAAATCATATATTTTATGTTATATCAGTCAGTAATTTCTTATTGCATCAAGGCCTGGGCCTGGGCAGCTCAAACTCATCTCATTACACTGGAAAGATGTCAACGCTCTCTAATAAAAGTAATGCTTAAAAAACCATATTATTACCCCACAACAACCTTGTACAAAGAAGCCAAACTCCTAAGCGTACGACGCCTTTTTATTTTACAAGCCGTCTTAGCTACTCATAAAATTGTATCAAACTCCGTGCCCAATAATACAATAAACCGCAGATATACTAAAGGCTCCAAGTTTTGCAGTAAAAACCGCTTTCGCAGCTCGGTTTTCTCCTCCTTTTCTCTTCCCCTATATTTACAATAAAATTAATAAGATTTGCGACCTCAGAAACCTGTCATACAAGCATAGGCCATCTCACTAACCTTTTTTCAAACCGAAAAATTACTGCAGATTATACGCGTACGGCATGTCCACTAGTATATGTCGGAGGTCCAGACATCAATTCTGACAGGAGATGTTAATGACAATAGATTAGTGACAAGTGACAACTGAAGATATATTTTTACAGAAAAATAGTGTATTTAAATATCGTAGAATAACAAGAATTCATCGACTAAATATACAAGGTCAATAATGATATTTTATCAGGTAAATAGAATCATAGGCAAGAGTCAAATTATTAATCAATGTTTACGAAAATTTCACAATACAACTGTGTCACCGGCCAAAGTATTGTATCCGCTTCGAAGTCGATCTTTACTTAAAATAAAAGGCCAAGAGGCTTCTGTTTTTCTACAGGGCTTGATAACAAATGATATGAAACATTTTGATGATGGCGCCAGGTCTATGTATGCTATGTTTCTTAACAACAAAGGTAGAGTGTTGTATGATACCCTCATACACAGATGGACAGAAGAAGAATCTTTCATGATTGAGTGCGACAAACGTGTATTGGATCAATTACAAAAACACTTGAAAATTTACAAGTTAAAAAGAAAGGTGCAAATAGAAGATGTAAACAATGATCTAATGTTATGGGCATTAATAGATTCTACACTGCCTGAAACATCTGATATAAAAAGCACGTTTACTATTTACAATGACCCCCGTCTTGTTGAATTAGGGTCAAGAATTATTTCGCCCCTTAATTTACAAGTATCAGATATTGTTAAGGCCCTTGGAGATGATGCAATAGTGGAGAATGATGAAACTGGTTATAGGTACTTAAGATATAAGTTAGGAGTAAGTGAAGGAGCTGAGGACTTGCCTCCAGGAAGTAGCTTCCCATTAGAAGCTAACTGTGACTATCTTCATGGAGTTAGTTTTCATAAAGGTTGTTATATTGGACAGGAATTAACAGCTCGGGTCCATCACACTGGTGTTGTGAGAAAAAGAATCATGCCCATTAAGTTTAATGAACAAATATCTGAAAACATAGATCTTAACACCGTTATCTCAGCTAGTAACAATCCTAAGAGTAATTTGGGTAAATTAAAGGCAATAATGAATGACCGTGGATTAGGATTAATCAGAGTCAAAGAAGCTCTCGATGCAAAAGTTTTATGCATTGATAAATATTCAGCAGAACCATTAAAACCTTCTTGGTGGCCAATGGAAGCCCCAAAGGAGATTCAAAAGAATGAATAACTGTTTTTATAGTTGATGCATTGAATGCTACTGTAATATAGTAAATTACAATATAATATTTAATTAGGTAATAATATATTAAATAAATCACAGTGTTTTTTGATGTTTGTTATTATCTCTCAATGACACAGTAAAATTTTGAATTTGTATTTACAATAAAATTATTTTTTAAATATTGCTTTTTTAATTTAAAGTTACTTAATAGAATACAATTTTATATTGTTTCAGAGCGATGGATAGTTCAAAAACAAAAGATGATGGTTCTCAAGCTGTGATTACTCATGAATTTGTATGTGCAAGATGTGGTTTAAGTGAAACTGTTCATTACAAAGGAAAAACTCCACCTTTTTCAAGAAAGACAGAGCTAAAATATACAAGTTATGTGATGAAGGATCCTTTTAGCCCGCCAGGGAATGGAGAAATCTTAATTTTGGGTGCTGATTGTGCCATCTGTGAGAAACCTGTGTGTGTAGATAAACAATGTAGTATATTCTATTTAAAAACCTATTGCTTAGAATGTGTAAAAAAGACTGTGGACAAATTTCCACAGGAAATCACAAATAAATTGAAAAATAAATCCTAAATGTTTATTTTTTATTTAATCGGATTAAATTACCACAAAAGAGCGAGGAAATAAGAGTTATAATATTTTTATAATAATGTTGTCGCTAGTGAAAAATATAATGAAAAAAAAAATGAAGGGACATTGAAAAAAGACTAATAAAAAAACTTTATAAAATACTGTTTACTTTGGCTTTTGAGTCTGATTGACAGTATTTCCAGGGATCACCACGAACAAATTGAATAACAGGCATATTAGATTGGAAGATTCCCAATCGATTCTTTTATACATAAAATAAAGTAACCATTTCAAGCCATTAAATGAGTGCAACACTTAAAAAGCAATCAGCTCACGCCACATTTCATTAAAGACAAAATACAATCTTAAAATTATTTAAAAGATAGTTACAGCTTATCACTATTCAGGTATATATATTAATAAGCTCTAAAATGACAAAATGAAATACATATTTTGTCTCGATAGCCAGTCACCATGTTTTGATTGATAGCACCACAATACATAAACCCTTTCCAAAAACGTGATCAGCCTTAACCAAAACACGTCACCACAGAACAACTATAGATAATGCATGTTCATAATCAATAACAGCATTTATAAATGTATACAAATTACAGTTAATTATTATTGCTTCTGTGTTCCCTATTAAGCTATTGTTTATTGAATATTCGAGATGGGGAGAGTCACAATCACATAAGTCATAAAACAACGTACGCATAAGCCTTGTGATGTGAAAAATATATCAACTTACATATTATGATTATGAAAACTTAAATATATGTGTATATAACCGGGCAGTGTACTATTTCACTATATATTATAAAAAATTCAATAATACTAGAGATTAACATGTTCACTGTAAAAATCTGACATTGTTAGCATTTAACTACTTTTTAATTTCTCATTATTATTACCATAATAACAATTTAAATGTAGCAAATCTGTATACCTATGCACTGTTCTAAACTACAAAAAATGCTAATTTAAAAAACTTTCCTAGTGTTATCAATCATTTCTGACTCCAACTATTATTACTGAATATAAAAATGTCAATAAAATCGGTGTCTCCATCATTCTTATAATATTTCTCACAACACACTTCGCCATTGAGAGCCGATGACAAATACTTTGTATTACACGAGACATTATTTACAACCGCCTACAACATACTGGCCTAGTCGAGGACTTTGCAAAGGAAATTATAGAATTTGGACGGGATTTTACTTAGAGTAGGTGTAAATAAAAGTAAAAAGACCTCAGCCTATATGATGTAACTGGGATTTTATAAGTATGAAAAACAAAATATAAGTTTTTTTTAATGATAACCTTACACTAACAAAATTTCACAGCCGAAAACAAAATAATCATAATTTTGATGGAAAAGAATATTAAGCAAAGTATCATCGTCTTCGCTTTTAAATATACAACATGACGTTTTAAAACTATTAGCTGGCGACATGTTGGTATTGTACACTTATAATTAAATACGAGGATGATTCCACTGATCGCTTGCAGGAACTAATTTGATTGATTCCCATCGGTCAAGCGCAAGCATCGTACGATCATCAAACAAGATGGACACCGAAGTCATCAATATGTACACTGGGATCGGAATGATACATTACACGATAACTCCATACAATATTCACTCTTATATATCCAAATTCTATCAATATTAATAAAGGAGATACATTTTGTTTCATAAAGTATTCCTCGAGCTACATTCGATAAGCTCCAGGAACAGTTTATGTCCTAGTCCACAATATTATAATTAATAATTCGTTATATAGCCATATACAATAGAAAATATTTAAACCTTATTACAAAGTGAGCCATCGAGTTCTACAACAAAAAAATAAATAGAACACATACATTTCTTTTATACAGGTTTAAAGTAACGCTAGCCAATCAGGTTATTTTGTTTAATTCGCTTCACTCACCGCCTTTTTCGGCGGAGGGTGAAGACGTTTGCTATAACTCTATAAAAAACCCTTTTTAGTTCGTATTTATTTTTTTCATAAATATGATCTGAAAAAGGTTCCATAATCTAATCTATTGTAGTGTTACTATATTCCACAACATTATCTATACAAGTCCATTCCATTTCAGTCCGCCGATCTATCATAGCTCGTGACTGCAGGTCCGAGGTGAACACATAATTCTTGTAAACAGTCTCAGTCTAAATAAAAACAGTGTTCAATGACAGCAAGCCCCTGTAGTTCCATGTTACACGACACACGCGATCCGCTCACACACGACACGACACTAGCAGAAGTAGTGCGGGGGGTACAGAGTGAGAGACGGCAGGAGGTAGTCTCAGTCGTCCGGGGGCGCGGCGGAGGGGGAGGCGGGCGGGGAGGGCGCGGGGGAGGGGGACGGCGAGGCCTGCAGGCGGTGCAGGCGCCGCAGAGCGTGGGACAGCAGCGGCAGCAGGTCCGCGGGGGGCGTGTCCGCGGCGGGGGGCGGGGCCTCGCTGGATGAGTCGCTGTCTCCGAGCGGCTCGTCCTGGTCGCTACCGTCCGCGGACGGACAGCGCGCCTCGACCGGGGACGCGCCTCGCTCCTCCTCACCGTCCTCTTCTTCTAGAAAGAAGATTTATTTAATTCAATGAATATAATTGTTAAAATAATTGATAATCTAATATTTCCTGCCTGAGACCACGCAATTGAGCTCGGAAAAAAATAATATAAAACAATATAGATATGATATCTTCGCGAGTGTGACATGTATAGTCCAAGTGTAACATCACTTCATAAACATACAACTGTTATGTACTCAGCTGGCAGGATCTACATACGTACAATTCCAGGTTAAATTATAGACTATGTCTTACTCTGTTGTATAAGCTACACTTCTGTAAAGTATCATCAGAATCTGTTAAGTAGTTTTTGCTTAGAAGAGGAACAAACATCCATACATATTCACAAGTTTTCCAATTGATTAATATTAGGAGCTACGTGAAGGGTTATGTCACTTACCGGTAGGTCTGATCAGTCTCTGGTGCAAGGCGGCGGTCGCTCTATGTAACGCGCGGGCGAGTGGTGTGTCGGGGGCGGGGGGCGCGCGCTCCGCTAGTAACAGCAGGGCCCTCGCGGCCCCCAGCAGAGCTGCCAGCGGGGCGGTCGCGGCGCCCCCCGCCACTTCTTCCGCCAGTGCCTCGGCCGCCCGCGCCGCCCCGCACACAGCGCCCGCACCGGACACAGAGCCGCTCGGACTAGACACTCCGCCGAGCTGCGATATATAAATAGTTAGTATTTACCTTTAGTATCAAATATTAAAGACATGCATATATATTTTATTTATTCATGTACCAAAAACAAGTAACACAGAAAAAAAGAATAATAAAGAAACAAAGTTATACATAGGAAAGCTTATCTCTATGAGAGATCTCTGCCAGCCACCCTGTAGTGTGAGTAATATTATGTTAAATTACAGGTAATTTACATAGATACATCTTTAATTTTGGTGACAAAGAGAATAATTAAATTGCGTATTATTTATTACTTTACATAAACCTACTTAAATATACATAAAACTATTATAAACTACATATTAATTTACATAAATACAAATAATATATACATACATACATACATACATATACAAAATAAAATACACATATATATGTATATATCTAATTTCTAATGTTGTGATGAAACTGTAAGATAATATTTTTTTAATCTGAATTTAAATGTATGCACTGAATTACAATTTTTTATAATATAGCCCGGAAGAGAATTCCAAAGTTGAGCACCAACCACCGTCAAGGATTTTTTGTAGAAAATACCATTATAAGGGGGTATATCAAAAACTTTGTTCAAGACACAAGATCGAAGTGGTCTTTCACGCGGTGCAGAAAACTTGAGTCGTTCGAAAAGGTAGTGTGGAGTTGAGTGATTTAAGGTATTAAAAATTTAATATGTATAGTGTATGTATGTACCTTGGGATAGTAGTGCTGCATAAACTCGTATATGGCCTGGTCCGCCAGCGACTCCCGCTCGTCCAACAGCACCGCGTCCACGTACTCGCCCACCACGCTGCACTCTAACAGCATCTCCTCTAGCTTCGCATCCGCCTGGAATACATATACACAATATTGAATTTGTATTTGCTAAGTCCCATCATGAGTGTAGGAAATTACTTCAGATCAATATCTCATAGTCTGTACAGAGCTAAGTAATGTATCATAATCTGACCGGTGAAGCTGCTACATCTCTCCAGAAGGCCGCGAAGTAGTTGAATCTTAATGGCACCGCTTCCAGCGCACACAGCGCAGACAACAACACCAGCTGCTCTGACATACAGCGCTGACTGCGGGCCACGCGGCAACACGTGTCTGGAACACGAACATTGGTTATTTCATTATGATTGATATTTATAGACTATATAGGATATAGGACTATTAAGACTATTGAAAAGTCGTAGGACTATTCAGAGATTTATATTGTAAAGTATTTACAAATGACTAACTGTTATTTTTGAAGCTATATAGATAATAGTTTGAGATCTGGACATTACTTCATATTCAAAATAAACCAATAAATAAATTATTTATACAACTCACCGATGAACTTGTGGTAGGGTCTGTACAGCGCGGGTCGGGGGTGAGGATGTGGGTGTGGATGAGGGTGAGAGTGAGGGGTGCGCAGCCGCGGGCGGGAGGCGGCGCGGGCGGCGGCGTGCGCACCCGCGGCCAGAGGGACGAGAGCACCCAGCGCCGCCCCGCCACCGATCAGAACTAGTTCACGGAGCACGCCTGGACGTACACGATGGAATATTAGAAAATATTTATGTTAGGTAGAAAGAACATAACAATAAAATTAGGTTCTTTAACAAATTTGTAACATTTGCAATGAGTATTATTAAATTTTGTTTTAACTTAGGACTCTACTTACTTTCTTAATAACAATAAATACAGTAGATAGGGCAATTCCATCACACTCATTTATTTATTTTATTAGGAAGCCAACATAATGTACAATGATCTTACAAAGTACACTACAATTAAAGCAACATATTAAATAATATAGATTAAAGTAGAATAAAGTAGAACTCTTTTGTAAGAGGTATTATTATATATATTATTTACAATAAGTATATTACATTAAAAGTTTAAAGTTATTTTTTATTTTTGTTTTATAAGATTTTAGATTATCGTTATATATATCAATACCCACTTTTTTAGAAATATTATTATAAGTTCTAAAAGCCCTATTTAAAGGTGCCTTTATTCCTAAATTTGTTCTTGCAAACCGACATTTGAAAGTTGGTGTATTTGTATGCCTCGCGTTAGGTCTCGGTACTACTATAATTAAATTCTTTTAGTAATTGAGGACAATCAATGTTACCTGATATTATTTTATGTGAAAAGCATAAGTCCAGCATATCTCTACGATTTTTAAGTGTTATAATATTGTAATGTTTTAATAAAGCATCATAATTATTAAGCATAATCGTGTTACTATCTTTGAATCTTACAAATTTTAGCAATTTCTTTTGAATTCTCTATATCTTGTCTATATGAACTCGATAAAAGGGACTCCATGCTACGTAATAATATTCTAATTTACTTCTTATAAACGAATTAAATAATGTTATTATAGAATCTGATCATTTAAAGGCTTTTGCACTTCTTTTATATGAATCCTAATATTTTAAATGTTTTACTCATAGAAAAATCATCATATAATATAAACATCATAATACCGAGCGCTGCGTGCGGCAGGCGCGGCGTCCGCTGATGTAGGTTGAGCAGTGTGAGGAGTCGCCGAGCACACTCGGGCCAGTCCTTGCAGGCCAGCAGCAGGGCGCGGGCTTCCTTGGCGTCCCGGCGCAGGCGCAGGGTGCGGCACAACGTGCGCGCCCACCGCAGCGCCGCTCCTAGCTCGGCGCGCACCGCCGCCCCGCCAGCGCCCACTCCGCCCACACCGCCCACGCCACCCACTCCGCCGACCCCACCACCACCCTCCACGTACACAGCGTGCAGACTGTGCAGTGCCTGAACAACATTAAGTGTAATTTCATTAAGTGAGTACTTATATCCAACACTTCATCTCAGCGTCGTCAGTTTCCTCCGCGTCGACTCACTTCAAACGTCATCTGTAGTCCCCCGTTGTAGACCACATACAGCCGGTCGTCCTCGGTCTCCACGAGCGTGCAGAACGCTGATATCAAAGTCGTCCAACATGTTCGTCCGTTCAGACCTGATTGGAACGTTTATTTTTTTGCTTATTATACCTGATTGGAACGTTTATTTATTGCTTATTATAACTAAGCCATGATTGTCGGACCGTTCCTCACCTTGTAAGTATGCAGAGAGCGTGCTCCGCCTGAAGGCGGCGGCCTCCCTCGGCTCCACGCCCTCCACACTCACAGCGCCGCCGCCGCCACTGCCGCGGGCAGCCAGTATACGCGCCAGTCTACATACATATGCATCAATGTTATTATATACATTTATACCAGGGGTGGCCAACTTGATTAGACCTAAGATCTACTGTTTACTAACAAAACCCTGTGCGATCTACTAAGTACATACTTCTTGAAATAGAACTGCAGAGTTTAGTACACAATCATGTATTTTTTATTAACCTGTCTTAGTAGTTTCTTTTCATATCACATGTGAGATCGTTTTTGTTAAATTTACTTAACTTTATATGGGTCCTATATATTAGTGTGAGCATTGCGCCTGAACATTTTCCACTAGTTAAGCATAATCAGGTTATGAGAGTCTGTCAAGCGAGAACGGTATTTAGTTTTGGTTTGTTTTAAGTAGGAAAATGCTGATTCACATAAATATGTTGAACCAAAACACGAATGAAGTTGTTCAACACATTTTTTCAAATTTGGATATTTTTCTTTGGAAACCAGTGCCCAGAAATCTTGACCTGAGAAAGACCTTGCTATTAGAAATATGTCGCAGCGCAGAGTAATGTTTTCGTTTTGTAACATTTGGTTCATTTGAAATGTATCTGCAAATTTTGTAGCCAATTCATAGATATCACTGTGGTAATGGATAATCAATCATTAAACGGATCAGTTGCGGCCGGTGAGTAATCGAACCGGTGGTGCACTACTAAAATAATAAAATTAGAAAATGCTACAAAACATAACGAGATGTCAATCATAGCACCCATCCTTTCGCGCCCTTGCCGGCCGGCTCAATTCGTCATACATCGGGGGCTCTCGGTAATCTTCGGCCGCTCGTGCGGTTCTCGAGAACCGACTCATTACTCGGTACATTTCTATGAAGTATCTTTTGTTTCACGCGTCAGGCGTATTAATGCGTATCTCATACAAGATGTATTAGCAGTGCTCGTGCACTCGCCGCAGCGCACGATGAGTTTAGTGAAGCGCTAAAACTTTTGACCATAATTAGGAAATTTAATTTATTATACGTTTTTATATGTTGAAAAATTAAATATTAAAATGGTAATTTAAAAATAAAGATGAAGTAATAAGTGGTATTTTTAAATCTTTTGAATTGGTGGTTCAGCGCACGAGTGCACTTAAGGTACAGCCGCCACTGAAACGGATAACTTAAAAATTGAACTAACTTCTCAATTTATCTGAAATCACTAAACCAAATTTCAAAGTCTGCTATCTAATCTAATTTCTGTCATGTACTTCTCAGAAATGAAATTATATGTAGGATGTTTTTCCACATGATCCTTGATGTTTACAAATTAGGCTAGGGTAGAAGCCTTTAAAATTAATGAAAATTGAAAAAAAAATAGTAGTATGAAACCTATTAGAAAGGGAGGAAAATATTTTAAAAATTAAAGGAAAAATAATTTACGAGCGATCTGAGGTCGGGAAGGGTATGACGATGGGTATTTAAGGGTAAAAATGGGTTTTCTCGATTTCCGGCAAAACTAAAAGTCCTACGGAAAAAAGTTTTATGGCAAAGTTGTAGGTAATAAAAAGATCTAAAACTTTTGTACTAACATTTTTTTCACATAATTTCAAAATTTATGCAACCAAGTTTTTTATTTTATATTTTTATCTCTTCCAAAAAACAATATTTTGTCACGAAATTTGGTGAAAACTTATCTTTTGATGTCCCAAATACACTGTAATTTATTTGATTAGAAATATTTATTTTTTCAGCTTATTTTGAATAAATTTCGAAAAATCAGCCTCATTTTCAATCGAAAAATCACCCGTCTAAATATCAGCTTGTTTCAAAAATTTGGTATGTTATTTATTTGTTAAAATGTCTATTTTCCGATGGTGTAGGAACCGACCTCAGATCGCCCATAAATTATTTTTCCTTAAATTTTTATAATATTTCCCACTTTTCTAATGGGTTTTATCCTACTATAATTTTTTTATGTTTTAAAAGCTATCGATACTGGTCTGCAATAGAACTTATCATATCTATTAATGTTTTATTCCTTCCCTGTAGATTCAGATTTAATGTACTTAGTTTACCAGTAAAATCAGCCAAAAAAGCTAAATCATACTGCCAGTATAAATCACGCAATTGATGCCAATCATCACCCCTTTAGTCAACAAATATTATTATGTCTTCCAAGATATTTCGAAATGTTTTGCAAAAATTTGCTTCGGCTTAACCACCTTACGTCAATGTACAATGTCAATTCTGGTTGCTTTTCATCTCATTGCTGTTTAAATTGTGGACTTGGAAGGGAAAAAAATTAATGTCGTCAACTGTCACCCGACCGATTATTGGGTGACACGGGACGGTTTGACACTTGAGACACGGCGCTCCCCCGTAACCCACACGCTTCCCGCTTATTGGTCATTGCGTGTCGAAAACAAAACACTATACTTTGTAGAATAGAGCGTAAATAACGTGACGGAACAGCGATTGAAAAATGATACAAGACGGTGCTGAAGTTGTTGATAATTAAAATGCGCAGTCTGGTCTATTTATTTATATTTTTGACGCCACGATTGACTGGACTAACGATCGCGATCGACTGGTTGGCCGCCCCTGATTTAAACGTTTCTATTTTTTTTTCAAGTTATTCTCAAATAGCGGTATTCGATACCCTTCATACGGGAGTTCAATAAAAATGTCTAAACCGCCATCTTCACATTCCGCTTTGATAGAAATAAAACGACGCGGTCTTAAACTTTAACATTAGTCATCCAAATTAAGAGCGCATACTAACATAAATCTCAATAATTTGATGTGTTGTATTTTCAAAATTGCTTCTATTCAATTATCAATTACTAATAATTATTACTATTAACTTCCTAAGGCAGCGTATATCTCCAGACCCTGTATAGAGTTACCAATAGTAAGAATATACCTCAACAGTTCATCCGCAGCGCCGGGGTAGAGGTGAGCGTGAGGCGCTATGTTCCTGAAGGCCCAGTGTATGTTCTGATGCTGCGCCAGCGAGCGCGCGAAGGCAGCTGATCTGCGACAGCATAACCTCAGCAGAGCGTAGTAAGGCGGCAGCATGGCGCGGTTATAGGCCACAACTTCACCGTCCTCGTGATCCGCTCTGACATAGGAAATATAAGACATAGGATAAACATACTTCATATTTCGTTATATATTTCAACTAAAAAATTATAATACCCTTTAAATACACAGAAATCAAAACCATCACACTGTTGGATTAACATCAAACATATTTGATTTAAGACATTGAAACGTTCATCGATACTGAATTCAAAAAATATTCGGTATGCGAGAAAAACCAATTCTGTTCTTCTACAACTCTAGTAGAAATGAATCATTGAAAAAAAGCTCATTCAACTCACAGTATATAATTGAAAGCTATATGTTTGATGAGTCGTTGGTTGGCCAGCATAAGTTGAACGTTCTCTGGGCAGTCGAGCGTCACCGCGTGCCAGAACGTAAGTAGGGCCTGCTTGTTGGGGTGAACAGCCACGGACGGCTCAGAAATAGCTGGATGATACAGATCCCACAGATCAGGGAAGTACTGACCGAACTGTAATACAAAGATCAATATTATTTAAAAGACAATCGAAATAGAATCTACTGTTAGTTTTGAAAAGTGTATTCGGAAAACTGGTTTTATTTGGTAGTTTTTTAATATAATTTCCTATAATAAGGCGTATTAATTAAAGAAATCGATGTTGATCAATCTGATATCATACCATTAATTTCTCGACCCTACTGACCACACAGTATGACATGACGCCAAAGTAAGCTGTCAGTTTCATGGTGCCGTGGACCGCGATATCTGTGTACTTTCTAGCAGCTTTCAATTTGCCCAACAACATCGTATACACCTAAGAAAGTAAAGAAAATTTTTATGTAGATAACTAAAACAATTTTATTTATTTATTTATTTATATACTCTTTATAGCACACCAATACAGACAAAAATAATGGGAGTAGAACAAAGAAAAGAAAAATATACAATAGGCGACCTTATCGCTAAAACAGCGATATCTTCCAGGCAACCTTTGGTAGAGGAGAGAGATAGGATGGTAGGTGTGTACAAATTACTTAATACATAAAAAAATATAACACAAATACAAACAATATAAGCGTCAAAGGAAATTATAGTAGAATAAAACTATAATATACCTGATGTAGCGTGTGATGAGCCGTGTCCGGTAGCTTGGCGAGGTGTAATGGTTGCGAGGCGGTTGCGGCGGGAGCGGGGTTTGGGGTTGGGGCGGGTGTCGGCGCTGATGGTGGCCGTCGGGCGTATCCTGCGCGGAAATGCTGCGACGGTACTAAGGCTACGAGCAATAACGCCGCCGCCGCTCTCACTCGCGCCGCGCCCGCCGCCAGCAGCTGCGCTTCAACCCAGCGATCGGCCGTCCTTAAAGCCCAGGCGTGAGCCGCCTTATTCCTTGGCACCTGCATCGCCAGCCACTCGAGCGCCGCGTGCGGACAAACTTCACCCGCCTCCCAAAGACGAGACAGCACCAGCTGAGTGAAGCACGGCAACCCTCCAGAAGATCCCCCTCCCCCGCCGCTGCCCTCCACCAGCAGAGTCAGCAGTTTGAAGAACGGACTACAACTCTACAGCGAAAGATAATGATGATGAGTGATAATCTTCCACCACCTCACTGTACTAAGATACATATAAGGCCTTAACTCACTTCCGAATGCTTAGCTATCGCCTGGAATATCATGTTCACAATTTTCTGCGCCAGTGCCTCGTTCCACCGACACAGGGCGAAAATGAGCGATCTAGTTTGTTGCAAGTTTAAGCAATCTCTAGTTTGTTGATAAATGAAGGGAAACCCCTGAAACATAATTAGTTTATGAGTTTCTTCTCCTGGGTCCGTTCACACGAAGAAAGTCAAAACTAACCTTGGCGTGTAGCAGCGCCCGAGCGTCAGGTTCTTCTAATACTAGTTGTCCCGAGCTGTCTCTGGACCTCTCCACCAGTCCACTGACGAGGGCAACCATTTTATCTAGAGCTCCGGGCCGCAACTTATCACATCCATCCGTCGCTCCACTCCCGCTTCCGCTACCACTAGCTTCTTCTGATGGAGACTCCGCCTATAAACAAGTTATTCATGGATAAATTCAATAAATTGCGATTTATATACATAACACGAGTTAGTAATACTAATAAAAACTCTCATATCGTTACTTATATTAATATTAAGTATACTATATAACCTACCGCGTTGGCATTATGTCCCAGATAGAAGTTCAGCATGGTTGATATAGCGTGTGCCCGCAACATGAACTTGCCCTCCTCCTCCCCCATCTTACTGAACTCATACAACAGACTGAAGTACTCCGTTAGATGTCGCAAGTGACACCGCGCACCGCTCTCCATCTAATAAATAATATATTACACATATTGCCTCTATGACAAAAAACATGTAAACCGTAAAATATAGGTTATTCAATTTCACTCTATTTAAACATTTAAATATATTAAAAATGCTGTATATTTATGTATTAAATTACAAACAAATGCTTTCAATTTTATCTCAACTTTATTTTAACTTTATTGATTGTTTAAAATCAGTTTGTTCAAGTTTGAGTGTTCATACAAAACAACTAACCAAAATTTTTGTATATAAGAAGAAAAAATATGCAATACTGACATATGTATCATAATCTTACCAATGACAACAACATCCTTATAAACCTAGTAACACAACTCGCTTCTCCCAGCTTGCTCTCTCCGCCTCCCTCGCTGCCCTGCAGGTACAGGGCGCAATGACTAGATCTGTTAGGAAACATTCTCATAAGATACAGGATACATGTATTAATTAGTTCTTCTTCTACCTGGCAATTTCCCAGCTTTAGCCAGGGTCTGCCTTACATGTTGTGGATAGTTTTGGCTAATTGTTTTACAAGATACATCTATTAATAGTTCTGCTTACAAATTATCTCTTACAAGTATTATTAGGACTAATTAATATAAATATACAGTCTGTCGGCTGTTTCTTATGTTTAATTCATGCCTACTATGTTACTTTTCAATCCATTTTTCTAAACACTTTGATTTATTTCAAACTTACTCCTAAAAAATTAAGTTCTGTATTTTATATTTATATGTTTTTTGTTATAAAGAATATGAAAACAGTTTCACACAATTTATATATATAAATAACAACTAACCTCAGTCTTTGTATTACATGCATACAGAGCCTCTGAAACATCTGACGCACCATTTGATTTGGACATTTTATTAGGACCTGAAAATTATCAAAATATAACATATCTCTTTTACAATATCATTAAATATTAATCAATAATTATATATTTTAAATATTACCTGCATCGGCCACCATGTATCATCAGCCATGTGACCCAGAAACCATTCTGAAGCCGCAGCGGAGGCGTTGAACTGTTTGGTGACTAGTTCTACCCAAGACACCATAGTTGGCTGCAAGTTTAATACAAAATTTTAATATATGTTACAAATTTCAACTTTATTTGCATAAGATTAAGGTTCAATTTATTTTAGTAATCATTTTGTTAATAAATGACTCACTTTCTCCTTAGCGTGTATGAATGTTTCTATGAAGAAGGATGTGGACAGTCTTGCAGCCACTTCAGTGATCTCCGGCCGAAGAGTCAACAGAGACTGTGGAACTGAACTACACATCTGACCCATGAACCTGTAGGAATTTGTACACAATTATATTATAACATATATTATCAACTTATATATCATACAAAATATCTTGTTAACCACTCTTTATCTAAAGAGATTCTGTTACTCCATATATATCACTATACTAGAAGACCTGGCGAACTTCCTACCGCCCTATAATCAAGATATATCTATTACGTTTTTTATTTATATTTTTAGAGTTTACCTGTAAGCTATAAATATCCGTGTTTTGAAGTGCGACAGAATGATTGACATATTAGTTAGTTGTCAAATCTAATGTCAAAAAAAACGTTTGTATGGGAAATAGAAAAGGGCTGTTTTTATGGTTTTCCCAGTAATGAATCAATTTTTTTCAGCTTTTATACCTTCCCTCAACCTCCACGAACATTTCAAGACTAAGATAAGATAAATCCGTTCAGCTGTTCTCGAGTTTTAGCGAGACTAAGGAACAGCAATCCATTTTTATATATATAGAAGATAACTGTTTTATTACTACTATGTTACAGAAGCGGACTAACTTCAGATATCTTTCCAAAAATATAAAAAGTTTTATGATGTTTTTTTATACGATTTCCGGATTAGTCAATAAACGACTATACTATTGACATTGTCTTATACTAACGTGAAGTAAGCGTGCTGGAAGATGTTCTTATCGTGTAAGAACGTCATGTTGTCGTCCCAGATCCAGGCCAGCAGGTCCGGCGGGAGGGGGGGGGGGGGCGCGGCCGCCGACAGCGACTCCCGCCGGTCAACACACGGAGGACTCTCTGATGTACGAGACGACTACACACAGACAATATTAACAGTTAATTATATAGATATATGAATCTAGCCCTTTATACTATTTGCGCTGTAGCTTGGTGCGGGTGACATTTGCCCATATGACGTTGATATCTGTCAGTACCATATGACTAGTGATGTTGCGTAATTCATTTTTATCACTAACGATACTCGCAGTATAAATAATGTAGTACTTATATAAAATAATTAAAATCGGGTTTATGTTTTTTTTTCGTAACAACATATTGACAATATAATGGACTCATCGTTAATAATATCCGTCACAGATACAGATGATGAATTTAGTGACAATTCAGATGTTCCTGGTTCTGATATGAGTTTAGACGAATAAAATCATTTTTATATAAGATCTGTTGTTTCATTAATATAATTATAGACTTTTTACAATAATAATTGAACTACAGTCGATATATGTATATTTTTTTATTATAAAAAAAACATCGACTATCCATTGTAGCAGTACATCCCATCACTAAATACGTCTATGGCATTACGTTAAACGCATAATACTTTGCTTAATTTTTCTTTCCATTACATTATATTTGTACACTAGAACATTCTGGTTTGGTTTAATTTAAACTACTTCAGTAATTAATGATTTAATTTATTACGAATGTGGTACAGCTGAAATACTAAGTCATAATTTGTAAATCGCGGCAACTTTCAAGAGTGAAACGAAACGTTACTGAAACTGTCAACCGCACCATGCTACAGCGCAAATAGTATAGTTAAATTATATTGTAACGTCAAATATAAAAACAGTTGAGTTCTAAGACATTCATGAGTATTCATTTAAATGAATATTTTCGGATTACTACGCGTTATTTTATATTTTTTGAATTAGATACTATAAAAACGTCGGGTTTTTGTTACTTTTTCAACTACCGTCAATCACGAGCAGACAATGTGAGAATGGGTTTCACTTAAATAAAAAATGTTGTAAATTTTATGTTGACCTGTCAATTTTTGTGTACAGTCATCCTTATAAAGTAGACTTATGAAGTAACCCATTAATATATTTGATTGTATGTAACCTGTGCCTCCTCCAGCTGCCCCGCGTCCGACCCTCGTTGTGTCCGCGGCGGACTGAGCTCGTAGAACAACATGTACGCGCTGTTCGTCTTCTCGAACGAGAAATCCATGAATTTATCCGTCACCGAGTCGTAAGTTTTGCTCTGTTAACAAAATACATTAGGAAGATTTACAATACAGTACTTAAGCCACACTATTAAATTATTATTTGACTATTATCTATAGTCTATTATACTGTTGAACATACTAAATGGTCTCCACTTTAATCAGGGTTTCTGAAAGAGATCTCTTGTTAGAGATAAGTCATCCCTTGTACACATCTATTATTATTAATAATTTACTGTATACTTTGTTGGTACAAAAATGAATAAATAAATAAATCAGATCGTTATTTATATGCCATAACAAGCGACTCACCGTCATCTCCCCTCCGAAGCACTCGGCCGCTATGTGTGCGGGGTCGAAGGGCTTGACCTCAGCGTCGTTGAACAGCAGCCAGCGGTCGTGGTCGTGTTCCCGGTCCCGTATGAACGAGTAGTAATGCCCGCCGTCCGCTGTGCCCGTGTGTACAGTCACGCCGATCAGCTCGTATCTATAACGGATTATACAGGGTGAATACACTAGATATGAACATTTAGTAGATACTATCAGAATATATAATGACGTACATAGTTAAGACGTAAAAGTCCAATTTTAATTCGAATAGCATGGGATTTTGAATAAAAGTTTCTGTATATAATATATAATTTCGGACGGATTTTGGACACATATGTATATGATTGAGAATGTAATACTATATGCATACATTATACTTACATATTATATATGATTGTAATGTTACTCGTGTTGTACTTACTCGTAATGTTCTTCACCGTCTGAATCGTCTTCATTGACCTCACCTTCTTTCTTCTGTTCCGCTGACTTTCTTTTCTCTTCTATAAAAAATGTGTTAAGGAATTGAAAGCAACACTATTATATATTATATTCATAGTAATAATATCTTACTAATTTCATATTAGAACATACAGATTCCCTTAAAAAGAATCTTTTATGTGAATTAAAATTAATTGGTTTGGCTATTTTTGTACATAACTCATTTTGTATACATAATAATAAATATTAAGATTTTATTTCGTATAAAACATATTTTTACATATAGAAAGTTCGTGATTATATGTAAATGTGTACTATTTTATAAGCAAATAATGGTGTTTGGGAGACAATTTGTATATGGCATACTGAATTTATGAATATAGAAATATATTTTTACCTTGATACTGTGCGGGCATGAGATGTTTCTCGACGTACCCAGACATATCTAATCTCATGGGAAATGAGAAGTGTGTGTTGACCTTCTCCTTGAGCATCGTCAGCATGTTGAAGGTGTACCGCATCGTGTTGAAGCACAGGATACGGGGGAGTTTCTTGAAGCACGCCCTGAAGTTATACGTAACAATTGTTTCAATAAAATGTGTATCTACATACAAAGTATTTTTTTTTTTTTGGTATTTGAGATTTTAATTTTAGTCCAGAATAAATATCGGGCAATAAATATGTTGTAATATTAGCAATTACATGGTTGGTATAGCTGTGTTTATTTTGTGAATGTTGCCGCTCTGTCGGTAGAAAAAAATGTTTATCTACTATTAGTTTTATAATAACTTGTATCTGCGCACTTTATGTACGTAGTGTCTAATATTAAAATAAAGTTTTGTGCGTTCACTGATATCATAATTATTTTATTTAATTTCAACTATACAGGGTGACTGGTGAATTACTATCGATACTTGAGGAAGTGATATTTGACGATCATATATCTTCTTCTTCCTGGCAATTTCCCAGCTTTAGCTAGGGTCTGCCTTCCCACACAAACGCCTCCACTTTGCCCGGTCTTTGGCATCCTCGGTGGTTAATCCATTGGCTCTCATGTCCTGCTTCACGGTGTCCAGCCATCGCTTCTTTGGGCGTCCTGGGGGTCTCGCTCCAGGGACACACATATCAAGGCAAATCCTTCCGACGTAGTTCTCAGGCCGGCGTGCAACGTGGCCATACCATCTCAGGCGACTCTCCTCAAGCTTATCCGCTACGTCACGGACTCCAAGACTACCTCGGATGAATGTGTTACGTATGCGGTCAGCCCGCGTAACGCCACACATCCACCTCAGCATCTTCATCTCCGTGACGTGAAGCTCTTGAGTGTGCCTGGACAGTACTGGCCAACATTCGCTGCCATATAAGAGAACCGGTCGGATTATGCTCTTATATATTAGTCCCTTGAGCTTGGGCGGTATTCTGCGGTCGCAGACCACACCTGTGACCTCACGCCATTTCGCCCAAGCAGCGCTGATCCGGGCTTGGACATCGTGATCGATGCCTCCGGACTCATGCAGAATAGATCCAAGATACCTGAACTTCTCCGACTTAACGGCTGGTTCAGGACCTATATGGATGGTGCTAGAGTCCGGGCTCCCGCAAGCCATGTACTCGGTCTTCGACACATTTAGTTTAAGACCACCGTCCTCAAGCGCACCCTTCCAAAGGTTCACTCTCCGCTCCAGCGTCAGCCGGTCCTCGTCAATGAGCGCTATGTCATCGGCATACATCATCAGCCATGGAGGCTGGTCCTGGATGTTAGCCGAGACGGTGTCCAGCACTACATTGAACAAGAACGGGCTAAGAGCCGAGCCTTGGTGCACCCCTACTGAGATCGGGAAGGGTTTTGTATCGCCAACAGTAGTCCTAACCATGGAAACGGAATCGCGGTACATGTCTCTGATGATGTCAATATAGGCCTCAGGGATCCCTTTGGTTCGCAAAGCCCACCAGATACATTGACGAGGCACGCAGTCAAAGGCCTTCTGCAGATCTAGGAATGCGACATGCAGAGCTCTCCTTTTTTCCCTGTATGCCTCCATCAGGGTTCTGATGGCAAAAATGGCGTCCAAGGTGCCCGATCCAGGCTGAAATCCATATTGACACTCCGAGACAGTACACTCTCGGCGGAGCCTGATTTGACGATCATATATGACAAAATAAAAATTAATATAACATAAATATTAATAAACTTCTAAGTAAAGTTAACCAAAAGTTATGTAATTAATTACGCATCGTATGAACATCCTACAGATTAGGTATACACACACACACACACACACACACACTCGCGCGCGGCGGCGTGTTGTTGTATCAGCACGCCGCCGCACGCGTCCACACTTGGAAGACTTGGAACGTGTACACACTTTATTTATTTATACGGAAATTTGGTCAAAAATTAAGCACCTATTTTTTTTACATAATTCGAATGAGAATCATGTACCGAGTATTCACCTTAAATATTGATAGTAATTCACCAGTCACCCTGTATATACTGTCATAGTGGTCATAACATGGAAAAACCCCTTGCTTTCCAACAAATTATATGACGTAATAATTATATACATTATTGTCATGCAAAAATTAAAACTAATATAGTGTTAAAATTGATATTAACCGAAATTTAATTTGATATAGAAATATACGAGGTAATATTGACAAACCGGAGCAGGCTTGGAGTCAATAACCTCCGGAATTGCATATTCCTGAGTGTTATATATGTAATACTTTAGCGAGCATTTATTTAAATGAAACTAATATTTTCAGATTACTTCGCATTTTATCATTACTTTGCAGCAAGCGAAACGTCGGGTGTATGTAGTTTTTAAACATAAAAAAATACTCGAAGTAATTCGAAAATATAAGTTTCATATAATTGATTTAACATAATCTATATATATAAAAGAGATTTCCACCTAATTTTCCAAATTTGGTAGGATTATTCCTTTTACCGAGTAGAGGTCAGCTAACAACGGATTTTACGAAATTCCAGCCACAAGGGGGGGTTGCGGGGGGTAAACAATGGAAAATACGCTTTCACGTCTAAACCACTGAACTGATTTTAATGAAATTTGGTACAGAGATAGAGTTGACCTTGTGAAGAACATGGGATAGTTTTTATTCCAGACTTTTGAAAGGTTCTCTTGGAAACGCGATATAACCGGACTCCATGTGGGCGAAGCTGCGGGCGGAAAGCTAGTCTATTTATATTTTAATATGTACATTAAATTGTTTCACAATATACTCACCTCTTCTCAGCCCGCACTTTACTCGAGCATGTGCTGCACGTATAACAGTTGTCTCCCTCCAGCGTGTCCTTGACGGTCACTTCATCCAGCGACTGGTGCAGGTTCCTCATGTCCGCCACTTGACACCGCACCGTGTAGAACTCCTCCAACGTACGAGACACGTGCGGGCAATCCTGAGGATTAACGGCATTTTGTTTAACAAAAACGTTTATTAAAACGCGCGTACATAACAGTGATTCATACTATTTATAAATAAATTTTTAATTTTAACACAGTGGTGGCCTAGTGGTTAAAAGGCCAAACTCTCATGCACGAGGGCGCGGGTTCGATCCTGGCCTTAGCAAGTATAGTCTGTTAGACTTAAGCTGAGCTTTGAATTTGTTCGCGTGAAAGGAAAAGTAGAGTTAGACAAAAAACTTTTAGAACTTTTTTTGACGTGATAACGTCTTTAAAATCGTTTTAGTCGAGTGACATGTTTAGAAACTTGTGTCACACCAAAACCTCACGAGCGCGATCGCAGGTACAACGAGAGAGAGACGGACCGATCTCCCGTCTCATCTCGAGCGCTGCCAGTCATTCCGTGAAACTTGTCACGCGAAATCCTCACGAGCGGAGGCAGGCATACCGTCCGAGTGAGTGGACCGATCTTTCGTCTCTCTCACTCTAGTGGCATACAAACGAATGAATACATACAAGCGAACACACCCGAAATTTATCATCAAAAGTGTGAATAAAACGATAGATATAATTTAAAATTTGAAAAAATTGTTATCTTCATTAATTCCTCACTTCCCAAAAACTTATATCACCAATAAGACGTTATCACGTAAACATCTCGATCGTAAACCTACTTTACAAACAACCAATTTTTTTTAATATAAAGTGTAAACTCCATATAACGTCACTCAATTTAACGGCAAACGTCACGATAAAACGGTAAAGCGTCGAAATCATTTGACTATATAGTGTCACACCCACTCTCAATAACGACAACAATTAAGTAATAAAAAGTACCTTTTAAGTTGCTAAAATTAGTAAAAACTGCGCAGCTGTGTAAGTTCTTTTGTCGCTTTGTTATCCTAGCCCGCAATAAACTCGACTGTCGGAATCATGCATACCAAACTTTCTAAGAAATTTGTTCTTCATCAAGATGCCTCAATATCGCAAGATATGAATAAAATAACTAAAAAAATACAACAACATTACTGGTGCAGCAAAACGCGTCAAACAAAAATAACAGACTATACGCAATAGCGTTCGAATAACATTCTTTTTTATGTACATAAGTACTAACACTAGTCTGAAATAAACTTTGTGTTTTTCTAAATCTGATTTTTCTTCTCTCTATTTAAAGTCAACTCTCTATAACGCCATAAAATGCAGTCCCTTCAGTGTCGTTGTGTAGAGTTTACACTGTATTTTAAATAGATACATAACATAAGTGCTATAAAATAAGCAAAACTTATAAGAACCAGATGGAAATATTGTGAATATTATGAAACAAAATTATTTATTAATAATAATTATGAAAAACTATAGAAATTCTTATTCACTTGACATTGCGTTTTCAACATTTGATTATGCTACCAGTACAAAAGGTGAAGTGAGGAAGGTGCGGGGCGGAGTTAAAGCAGAATAAACCGGTTTAAAACTAGAAAAGAACGTGGCATTCAAAAATTTGACGTCACACTTACACTATCCGTGTGCGCTCACACAAATATGCAAAGCTCAGCTTAAATCAAACGCATTATACCAATATGATTTTTCCAAGTCATATGTACTTTGTAAGAGTATTTAGACATCACTGATTAATGCGTTTCCAAAGAGGGTTGATGTCGGGCGGGCGGCCGGTGGTAAAAACAATTAGTCAAAACTCTTCACAACATGTAAGGCAGAGCCTGGCTAAAGCTGGGAAATTGCCAGGTAGAAGAAGTTAAATATTGAATATTTCAAAGGACAATCTATCAGTAGTAAGTAACTCACCAAGGACACAACGTTGTTACTAAGCACGCCGCAGAATAATGTTTTTACAAGCTTTTTAAGCTCGGGCGTCATTTCTTCCAACTTGGAGACGAGGTCTATAAAGAACTCCGCCATGTCCTTCTGTTCGCCCGTGTTTAACGGCTGATGGTCCATCTGGTAAACTTTGCAGAAGCTTCGAGGATTATAAGCTTTGCGTTCACTTTCCTATAAATAAATAACAAAAATTACAATACAATTATGTAAATCAGATTTTTTTCCTAAACAGTAGTGCGAGCGCGGTTTTTTTGTCGACTCTTATCGAGGCATTTATCGACGTTTTTGACATTATATGTAGATATAACAACATTGGTAGCATGGATCTCAATTTTGTCGAGTTATGTCTACACCTCGATAAGATCGACATAGTTTATCGAATTCTGTCAATTTTAAATTACAATGTCGGCATGGTTCTTATTTTTGACAGTTGTCATTGATATATTTTCGTTAAACTAGTCTACACTTTAAAGTTGGGCGATAAAGAAATTCGATATAAAAAGGAAGTGAATTTCAAGGAAAACCTGAAAAATTTACTTTGGGGATATTATTGTTTTGGAGACAGAGGCCGCCAGAAGAGTCCGCGATGAACGAAGAATTCATCGGCGGAATCTCCGAGATCGAAGTAACCCCTTCGATTTAGGAGATGAAGAATTCCGAATATACTTTAGAATAAATAAGGAAATCACCTTATTTTTTAACTCAGTTCAATGAAATGATGAAAACCACACTTAGTGCATAAATATATGTACTGTTGGAAGTATTATCAGAAATTACGAATTTTTCATATAAACTCGACCCCGTTTTTTTTCTTTTTGGGGGGGAATTTCCAAAAAACCCGAATAACGCTGGTCTTATTTTTTGACTGAATAGCTAAATAAGAATTTTCTTAATAAATGAAAAAAAAACGCATTAACTTTTATCACCCCTTTTTTACATGTAAGGGGAAATTAAAAAAAAAAACGTATTCTAGTCATCCTTAGTTTTTCTTATGTTATTATTTATAGGTATTATGTTATTTGCTGCTACGAAACCCTTCATGGGCGAGTCCGACTCGCACTTGGCCGGTTTTATTAAGAGACTAGCTTGTCACTATCAAGTGCCAACAACATATGGTTAATTAAATTGCTATACACAAAAATTTAATAAAGGAGAGAACTGGCAACATCTATGAACGATGGATGAATGATAAATGAATGAAATATATTATTTAACTGACGTTGTCAATTTTCACATCGATAAAATAAAGCGCTCGACAAGCCTCGATAAACATATCGAAGCGAGCCCCATGCTACCATCCCTCGTTAAAATTCGATAAGTATATCGATTTATCGTCTCAACATGTTTATCGATCAAAGATCCGTGCTCGCACCACAGTGTTTGTTCAAACCACATGGGTAAGTTAATTTTAAGTGCAGATACTTATTTGAGTGCCAAATCTAAACAAGTGACAGAAATTTGAAGAGCTTCCATTGAAAACAAATGAATATTATATCTGGTAGAAATCGTTACCTAGCGATAAGACCGCCTTATTGTGCATCTACTTTTATTTTGTATATATTACATTTTTATTGTTAAATTACTATGCTATTGTGGTGTAGAATAAAGTATATTATTATTATTAATTACCATGAGGTAGGCGAACATTCTCTGCATCTCATGTAGGGTGGGCGCGTGCCTAGAGGCAGCGGGATCTGCTGATAGCACCGCGGCGCGTGCGGCCGGCATCATGAATAAGTGCTGCATGCACGAAGCCATGTAACACGTAGCGCCCAAGTTAGTGAGCCCCACGTACCCGCACTCAGAACGAGATTCCTCCGCCGGCCAGTAGTCCCAAGGATATGATGACGAGCCACCTGTAATGTAAATAGTATTTTATATTATCAAATATAAGTATGAAGGTCACGAACAAATTGTATTTAAAAATTTAGCAAAATGGCTTTATATTACTGAATATATATTAGTTTAATTATAGCTTTTTTTTAACTTATTTCACAATATTTAGGCTAGTTATGACTCAAATAGCTATTTTGAAAAGTCTTCTTAAGTTCGATACAGCGTTTGTAAATATGAATATCGCTACTGTAAACAAAGTATTTTAATAATCAATTTTAAAATGATTATTGGTATTAATGTCCTATTATATTTACACAAAAATTCTGACAAAAATATAATAACTACAAAATAATTAATTTCAATATTGCTTAATGAGATCTAAGATTTTCGCGAGTACTCATTTAAATGAAAATAATATTTTTCGGATTTTTACTTCGCGTTTTTATTTTTGATTATGAACTACATACTCTCGACGTTTCGGCTACTTTTCAGCAAAAGTAAAAGCAAAAATATTAGTTTCATTTCAATATTGCTTAAAGTAAAAAATTATGATTCCTAGAAAATATACATATATGAAAATCCGTCTCTTCCTTAACATATCTTATGACTTGTATATCTCTCATAGTGTTACCAGGTTTATGATGTTCCATGAGCTTGTGATGCAACACCATATAGTTGTCGGGCGCCGCTCGGACCAATTCAACCAGCAGGTCGTATGCCGCGGCCCTCGACTTCTGGGACTTACACTTGGGCAGATTCCGCTGGGAGGGATTTGCTACATCAAATAGGAAACCGAACACCTGGAAATAAAATATTTAATAAATCATTCTTTCAAATTTTAGACCTGGTGCTTTGCTTTAATATGGATATGAAGATGTTATTTTGTCTTACATCTATCATAAGTACAAAATTACATCAACATCGATCAGTAATAAGTAATAACTTAAACCAAAATTGATCTTATAAATTGTGTGAGGTGTAAAATAAAGAATTTTTTTTGTTATCCAAGTCCTAGGAAGAAACTTAAGCTAGTAAATATCAAGCCGTCATTATTTGGTCATTATTTGGTCATATTTTCATGCCTCATATTTTTTGAGACAGAATAATAGAAATTATTAGTTTACCATACAAAACCCTTACAGTTGTACCATTTATATACCTATGTATTGGGTGTTTTATGAACTACATATGAATGAAAGTATTCTTTTACCATTTCCAAAGTCCTAGTTCCCCGTTCAGAAGTCTTAAACCTCAGAGGATGTTTCAGGAGGTGCGTCAATAGACTCAGTTGCCCGTACAGCCCGTCGTCAGGTGTGCAAGGCTCCGAACGTTTTTCTATAATTTCCCTTTTCTCCAGAGAACAGCTGATTTGTTCGCAGAGTTCATTCAGATCTGGTGCACCACTATCCTCTGATAATGCTCCTTCTATATAGAGAAAATATATTCTATTATATGTACATACTAGCATTAAACATAATGTCAGGCCACCGAACTTTGCTCGGTATTTAGGAATTATTAGTACTTATTTTGTGTTTTTATTTCGTTTAGGCATTTTTAAGTGAACAAATAAGAAGGCACAAAACAATATAAATCTTTAATTAATTTCTTAGTCGAACCTCAAAACAAACACTCATTGACTTCCTGTTATTTAACAACGCCATCTGCTGTTGTGTCGTTCAAACAATTATTAAAATCAATTAGCAAAAACTAGTATTACTATTCGCCAATAGATGTTAGGGAGAGTCATATTTTAAACGCCTTTTTGTTATATTTTTCATAAAATAACGTTTTCTAAAAAATTATTCCTAGCTAGATCGATTTATTGCCCCCGAAAATATATAGGGGATATATTAAATTTCATGAAAATCGTTGGGGCTGATTCCGAGGTCCCAATAATATATATACAAGAATTGCTAATTTAAAGATATAAGATATGTGTATGTATATAATAATGGAATGAAAGGTCAAACCTTTAAAGAAATCCTCCGGTAATCCATCTATCAGTCTGCACACCAACCAAAAATAGTCTCTACATGCTGGACCGTAAGGTTCCTTTCCTTCTTCCGCGTGATGATGAACGACCTAGAACAAAACAATATAACCAAACTAATATATAATTGTACCAAAAAAATACTGATAATTTTTTACTGTAAATAATTCGAAATTCATATATTTTGGTATTAAGACAAGATGATAATAGTTAAAGAGAGTACGCAAAACCCAAGTAGATATAAAGACATTGACTTTCAAATTACATTGAAATGATACACATTGAAATAAAACAATTCACAACTTTCACTATACATACAATTAAAATAATATGATTGAAAAGATGTTCTTACTAAGAAATAGCGATATTAAGATTATAGTATTATTTTTCACGTTTATTGAAGCATTAAGTAACACATTCTATGGGGTGTCAACTACGATAGCTCCTCTCACTGTATGTACTTCGTACCTCATGGTGATGATGAGGCGGATGCGGATGCGGCCTCATATCCGCTGCTCGCGGCATGTGTTGCAGCAGCAGCGTCAGAAGCGGCGCCAGCACGCCCGCCTCGCCTCCAGCACACAGCCGGTATAGAGCACTACCCGCCTCACGACGAACCTGACGGTAGATCATTCATTATACATATAGATTTTTATCTAGGATTTACTATGGTATAGAAAAAATCGGTTTGGTGAATTTTAACATGGCTTTACGTAAACTCATATCACGCATTGTATTATTGGAAATAAAAAACAAGTAATTCTATACTAGAGCTTATAACTAGTATTAAAAAAACAAATATAAATTTGATATCAAGATTCAATACTTACAGCAGGATCTGCGTCGTCTAGCAACAACCTGGGCGCAGCTCGCCTTAGAGACCAGGCCAAAGACACGGCGTCCCCCCCACCACGCGCCCACACCACACACACACGCATCGCGTGTTGAACCACCTACATGTGACGTCACAATGATAGTACAAATACATACATATAGATGGAAGGGTGTATGACGTCAATTTGGTAGAAATCACATACATAGAGTGGAGAATACGCCAGATTATTATTATTTCGAACGTTGCTTAAGTAATCCAAGAATATCATAAGAAGGCACACAATTTTTTTTTTTTATAATATAAATTTCTATTACAAAATCAATCGTTCACTCAGTATGCTACTTGACAGTAGATAGCAGTTAAATAATTCCGTGTGAGTTGTTACCTGTGCTCGTCCCCAAAATCCAGTTTTATAAGTGGTCGGCTCCTTCATAGTGGCGGCTTCACAGAGGATTGATATCAACCTCTCAGTAGTCTCTTCAACGTTCATTAATGACAGTAGAGACTGAAAAACATATGTATTATTTTTTGCCCTATACTATAAATATATATAATTTTTCTCATAAAATAATACTTACTGGATGTAACTTAGGTGTCTGTCCGGACTCCGTAGGTGGCAGTGTACCGATGCGACAAAGCAACTGTAGCAGAAGCGCAAGACAGTCTTGTCGCCATTCACTATCATCGCTCCTCTGTAGAACACCTAAACAACATTCATTTTATGAGCAATTTTTATCAATAAACATAAAAAGTAAAAACTAGCATATTTGTCCTTTGTCGACCAATCCTACCTGACATCATGATGTCATATAGCAGCCGCAAGCCGCCCTTCTTAATGAAGAGTTCGTTCCAATTCTCGACGCAAACTTTTTCTTCAGTCTTGTCTATAGTTCCCGTGGAATCTTTAACGCTGGATCCGTTGTTGGAGCTCAGTTTGTCTATGATATGTAAGGAGTACATTAGTTTCTGCGGGCTGGTTGGGTCTAGTAGCTCCGGGAGTTTGTTCTCTGAAGGGTTCTGGAACGCTTCTAGAAGAGTAGGGTTGAGGGGCACGGCTTGTAGAATGTCCCAAACACGACGGGACAGGAGTTGCGCTTTTGTGTGGGCAACTGGTTCCTAAGACAGAAGTTATTCTTTGTTTATAAATAATTACTAACGAAGTTTCCGAATCCGTAAGTAGATTTATAATTTATTTTCTTTGAATTTTATTATCAGTAACGTTTTGAATAAACTAGTTGCTGGTTCTGACGTCACGAAATGAATATGTGTAAAAAAATATTTCAATAACCAACTAACTGCGCTCTATAGTATGCCGCGTAAATTACAAAATACAGAATTTATGAAGTATTACGCGATTTTTTTTTGATTATAAACTACACACGTTTCGGTTACTTAACAGCAACCGTGATCACGGGCAGACGAGATGTCCTCGAGATCTTATTTATGAAGTATTGTTGTAGAAAATACATGACATGTCCGGTGTAATAATATCTGTCATTTTAATGTTAAAACTATATTATAATGCCTTATAAATTATAATATAAACATGATAGTCCTATAACTTACTCCGGTAGTTCCCGGCTCCTTCATCTGTCCCAGAGCCTGCATCAACGTGAACAGGTGGTTGAAGTACGTAGGGTCTAGCAGTAGGTGTGTGGGCAGACGAGCTCTCGCCGGAGCAGGCTGGGCGGACGGCCACTCCGCCCACGCGCCCCGCCCACCGACGCCCACGGACACGAACACCAACTATTATAACAGAAGTTATTTAGAAATTTGTAATACTTCAGCTTTTTTAGTATGACATACTAGGTTTCAACCAAGTAATTATTAATGTTTTGTTTATGTAACGAAGATTATATTAAGGATCATACATACATACATAGGTGTGAAATTATTATTTTACTGATACTGATACTTAGATCTCATTACTGATACTCGGTTTTTTCTACTATTATTGCTGATTTTTTTAAAATTATATACCTTTTAAATTTTATGAATTCTTGATAAATATAACTACATAGTACACTCATGTGTATAATGAAGGTTGACCAGTAATAATTATTATTACCTGATTGTCTTTAAAGCCCATATCGTATAACGTTCTCTCGTCATAATCGATGGTGAGTTCTTGACCTTGTGTTATCATTCTTAACGGACCGTCCGTCGACAACGCCGTCACGCCATCCTCACCCTGTATCTAAAGTTTAAATAACAGTTTTTATTACGGCACAAACATGACAGATCTATAAAAAGTGATATCGTTGGGGATAGTGAAAATCCGCGTAACTATCATTGGATAATACCATGTATCTACATTTTAGATTATCAAAAGTAAGTTTGAGCTGAAATATTTTCTAAATTAACGACTTTAATATACATTTTTGACAATTAGCAACTAAATAATTAAGCGCAATTGTAATGTGTGTGTGTGTGTGTGTGTGTGCGTGTGTGTTACCTGTCTCTCCCACCACACGTGCACGTGAGCCCGCAGGTGAGCGACCAGGTCCGAGTGATGCAGAGCGAGCACCGCGCGAGGCCCCGCGCCCGCCGGCTGCAGCGTCACACGCACCGAGCCCGCGCCGCTGGCAGACCCCTCCCACGAGCCGGACTCACATAGGGCCCAGCGACGGAGGTGGTACGCGTATCTGAACCATATTATTAATTATTAATTCTGCCTAACCTACCATAAATATCTGTGGTAACCGCTGAAAGATGTAAAAGTTAGTAGATTCAATCTTAATTTGTTCATCATCAGCCTATTAGAGCCCACTGCTGAAAGACCTCTTCTTCAAGAAGGTTTGAGCATTAATCACCACGCTTGTTCAAGATGGATTAGTGATATCAAGATTATAATTTGAAATTATAAGTCCAGGTTTCCTCACGATGTTTTCCTTCACCGTCAGTGGTATCTACTCTTAGAAAGTTTATATGACTCGGAAAAATCATATTGCTACTTGCCAGGTTTCGAACCCGCGTCCTCATTACGAGAGGCGGGCTTTAACTACAAGGCCACCACGATCAAATTTGCACTTAATACATGAATATCCTACAATTGTATGACGCGGTGTGTTTAAATATCTCCTTAATAACGCAGCTGTATGACAAACACGCACCTATAAAACCAATCAAAAGAAAACATCTTCCAGCACCTTGGTTGACGGACCAAATAAAATACCTTATAAAACAAAAGAATAAGGCCAAGTACAAATTTAAGTTAAATGACTCCGACTCTAACAGGGAGAAGTATATCAAAGCGCGAAATCGCTGCAATACATCTTGTAGAGATGCACAACGACGCCATATTTATCAATCTGTCGAAAACGGCGACACAGCTAAAACATGGAAATTTCTCGAATCACTTGGAGTTGGTAAATCTTCTCTTAATTCTCCTGTTAATCTAGATATTGAACTTTTGAGTCAACACTTCTCATCTTCAAGCTTACTTAATAGTGGCGATAAAACAAACACATTAAATATTATTTCTACTTACCCAACTCCTGCCTTTCCTCCGTTTAGCTTCACGTCTTTTACTGAATGTGATGTTAAAAAGAACATTATGTCTATATCCTCGAATGCTGTTGGCACAGACTGTATCAGCCGTAATATGATCATTCCCATCCTCGACATTGTGATTCCCATTTTGACCCATATCTTAAATTTTTCCCTTACCTGCAGCAAGTTTCCTGATACATGGAAGGATGCGCAAATTATCCCCATCCCTAAAAAAGGTAATCCCTTAACAGCTTCTGATTTCCGTCCTATTTCAATTCTCCCTTTCCTATCCAAGGTCCTTGAAAAGCTCGTCTCACATCAACTAAATAGTTTCCTTAATGAGCATTCCCTTCTCAATCCTCTCCAATCAGGCTTCCGTGCAGGTCATAGTACGGCTACAGCTTTAGTTAAAGTCACAGACGACATTCGATTGGCCATGGATTCCAAACAACTCACAATCTTAGTGCTTCTTGATTTTAGTAACGCATTTAACTGCGTAGACCATGACATCTTGTTGAGTATGTTATGTTCTTTTAACATATCTCCATCCGTAAAAGACTGGCTTCAAAGTTACCTCAGTGGCAGAAGACAGCGAGTTCGTGTAGACGAAACATACTCGTCATGGCGCGAAGTCCGCGCTGGGGTACCTCAAGGTGGCGTGTTGTCTCCGTTACTTTTCTCAATTTTCATTAATTCAATTGCTCATGTCATCTCTTCTCTCTACCATATGTATGCAGACGATGTCCAAATTTACCGACACTCAACCCTTGATAGATTATCTGACGCTGTCGCTGCCATCAACAATGATTTGTCGGCTATTCATAAATGGAGTCAACAGTATGGGCTTAACATCAATCCCGCAAAGTCACAGGTCATTGTTGTTGGCAGTTCAGCCATGATGGCAAGGGTTGATTGGGCGGAGATGCCACGGGTTGTGTACAATGGTACTAACTTGTCCTACTGCTCCAATGTTAGAGACCTTGGTATACAGCTTGATAGTACTCTCTCCTGGTCGGAGCATTTAAAGAATATTGGAAAAAAAACATACGCCTCGTTAAGTTCCTTGCGACGACTACAAAACTTACTGCCAATTCCTACCAAAACTATGCTTGCAAACTCTCTCCTTCTTTCAATACTCGATTACGCGGACGCAAGCTATCTTAATCTTACCGAGGACCAACTTAATTATCTTGAGCGATTACAAAATCTAGCTATTCGGTTTATTTTCGGTCTCCGAAAGTATGACCACGTTTCAGAGTTTCGTTCAAAGCTCAAGTGGCTCCCTATACGCCGTCGCCGGAACCTGCATACTCTTTCTCTTCTGTACTGTGTGTTATTTAATCCAAATGCTCCTCAATATTTGAAGGAGAAGTTCGAATTTGTAGGAGATCAGTCCAGAATGCGACCAGCACGTAGGCTCATTCTGAAAATGCCTGCTCACAACAGTAAATATTACAGAAAGTCGTTCACTGTTCAGACAATAACTCTCTGGAATGACCTACCATTGAGCATTCGACAGTCTAAAACCCTTTATGCTTTTAAAAAATCCTTGAAGAACCTATACCTCTCATCAGAGTAATGATGACGACATAATTATGATAAATGTATGTATTATGTATATATATATGTATTTATATGTTTGTATGTATGTATGTATTTATATGTATTTGTATGTATGAATGTAGGTATGTATGTATGTATTTATATGTATTTGTATGTATGAATGTAGGTATGTATGTATGTATGTATTTATTGATATATGTACGTATGTATATTATTGAATATTTATTAGTGTTATTTATTTTTGTATGTGTTTACGTTATATATTTATTTTAAGAATATCTAATGTACCACCCTATACTGTCTCCAAGCACAATCCTCTGACCCCAGGTTGCCTGGAAGAAATGGCTAATAAGCCATAAGGCCGCCTTTTGTTACACTGTTAGTTTTAAGTTTGTATTTTTTTTTTTGTAATTGTCTGTATTGAGAGTATGGTGTGCAAAAAGTATTAAATAAATAAATAATAAATAAATAAATTACATATAACAAATTCTACCAAAACTACCACAAATATCAATACAAGCCACAGCATTTTTATCTGCGGACAGTTAGATGTAAAAAGTTGATAGATTCAATCTATATTGGTTACTCGGATTAATGAGTAACATACACAACTATAAGATATACCGCCTTAAGAAATATATCAACATCAACAAGCTTAATGCAAGCTACATTCCTGTTTGAACCGGTTGGAACTATGAATAGAACAAACAAATATATAGCCTTCATATAACTAACCTCCTTTTAAAGGTATCCAAATGTGTCTTCAGCAGCAGCAGCGCCCTCTGTATACATTGCAGCGCGGCCTCCTCCGTCATGTGTTCGTATATATTTTGCTTGTCACTGGTCTTCTCATTTTCTTTGCCGTCTTCTATGGCCACGCTGGGAGTGAGGGAGGTTCCTTGGCAGTCATCGTTCTTTGATATAAGCCTCTCAGCGGCCGAAGACAGATGAAACATGCATTTAGATACGAAATCGTCCTCTTGTTGTAGCTGCTGGCCCATGTAGTAGCTGTTCAAGTATTGTATGGCTCCCATTGATACATCTGTTCAGACAAAAAATAAAGTAACTTCAATTATTAAAACTAATAGACTAGGAAGAGAGTTGTTTTATATTGAAAAATTTAATATTTCCTGTGTGTATCAGTATAATTATTATTACTTTATATAATTATTGTACCTATACTATACACATATACCATGATATCCGAAAAGGAATCTAACATTTTGACTTCTATTATACTATAGCTAACAAATTTATTTAACTACTCAAATGCCTTCCCATATTTGTAACTAGCTTTTGCCGCGACTCCGTCCGCGTGGAATAGTGACTTCCGCCAGATTTTTGGTTCTTCCCACATAGTTCCCGTTCTTGCGGGGTTTTCGGAATGGTCGAGTTCCCGTAGAATTTTCAGGATAAAACCCATCATTTTTTTATTCACAATGAAGTACTCTTAACCAACAACTTATTTATTTGTTTATTTGAATAAAGATTAATATCATTATGTTGATACAACTTAAACAAATTATTTCGACCAAATTACGCGCGGACTGTTTTTTTAGATCATTAAAAGAGCTATTATTCTTTAATACATATTTTTTGTGTATCTTGAACCGTTTTCACGGCGCACGCAACGGAAGGCTTCAAAGATGAAATAATTTCTCGCGTTTTTTACACATTTACCACTATATCTTTTGCTCCTATTGGGTCGTAGCGTGATGTTACATAGCCCACAGCCTTCCTCGATAATCGGACTATCCAACACAAAAAGAATTATTCAATTCGAACCAGTAGTTTCGGAGATTAGCGCTTTCAAACAAACAAACAAACAAACTCTTCAGCTTTATAATATTAGTATAGATTATATTGAATGGAAAGCAAAATCCTGCTATAAGTTTCTTTAGTATTATTACTATCTTTTATTAATTCAAATATGTCTAAGACTAGTCACAATGAACATATTATAAAAGACAGTATGTGTACCAGTGCTATTAGCTCTAAGGGCGATTTTCCACAGATGGTCCATGGCGAGGGTGTGTGGGTGATGAGGGTGATGTGAGTGATGAGTGTGGTGGGCGTGGTGTGGGTGTGTCTCTCTGGTGTCACCCGCCCCCAGCGCCATTCGCGCCAAATTACACAGTTGCTGGTACAGGCTAAGACCCATTATGCTGATGGTCTGAAAATAAATGTTATCATTAAAAACTATTTCATTGAAATAACTATGTTAGTAGACAAACATACAAAGGTAATCTTGTTCAATAGTATAAATTTATTTCAACACTAAAATTTTATAAAAATAGGCTTAATTACACTGCTGCAAAAAGTATTACATGCAGAAAGCTATTAAATATTGATTTATTTGTTTACAAATGTTCATAAATATAAACGAACATACCTCAGGGTCTAGAGTAGGCATTTTTTCTACGTAGAGGAATCGCAAGGCGTCCAGTCCTAGTGCATGTTGGTCGGGCGACTTGGTGTGAGATAACAGCCAGGAATACAAACAATCCGCACACTCGCTAGTACCGCGAACAACCAGACACTGCCACAATTCTTCAACCTGCTCCACTGTTAACCTGGATATGGAAACATTATTAAGAATATATGGAATAAATATGAATTGATTTGGAACATTATGGATATTGTTTGTGTAAAGAACATTTTAACAATGACCATGTGATTTATAGACTAATTTAATATAAACTACTTCTGATTTTCGGTCATCATACAATGTATAATGTATATTTATATTGCTTAAAGATATTTTTCTCGATCAACAATTCGTTTCGAAAGGCATGTGTTGTATTTATTTAAAATGATATGTATCATGGCTTATTCTTAAGTCATTGATTTGAAGCATGTTACAATTTTATATTAATTTGAAGGGTTCAACTAATTCTTATAAAAAAAGCAATTTTTTACAATGATAAACAGATGGTATCTATGTTTGTTAAATAGGAATATACCTAAAATGATGCGGTGATCCGACTGGCGAGAATATAGCTGTTAGGAAGTGTAGTCGTACTGTGAGCTCGGTTATGTGTGCGTAGTGTTGTGCGTCTGTTGGGGCGACCGAGGGACGCTGTTGGACATAGTGACGAAGATCCTCCAGGAACAGACGCATCATACCGCGCTCACGCTCCGCCCACATCACAACCTGAGAACATACTCGTTAGGAACGACAGAGAGAGAAACAAGGATATATGGAGAAAGAAAGAGAGGGATATATAAAGATATTTAGAGTAAGAAATATAAATACTTGATGCATATCCATGCCACGGAGCTGTTGAAACGATGAAAACAACTTCGGTAGGAGACGAAGAGACACCGCAACGGACCTGGAAACATATTTTAATATAATGTAATATTTTTTTTATTTTCCAGAACGGATAATCTGTGTCTTCCCAATAATAGTACCTGTGATTTGCCAAGTTATCGAGACATCCCTCGATAAATTTTATACGAATAAACTTGTCCGTGCTGAAACATAGTAACGCGCAAAGAGCTTTCTCGGCTTCCAGAGCCAGACCTTCACCCAGCTGCTCCTGTAATAATAGGATTTTCCTTTTGAATAAAATAATAAGTTCCGACAAATATTTGATTATTATACATAATGTATGTCAAATTGCAAAATTTTCATTAATATGGAAAATAATGAATGAAACAATAATCGCCACGAGCAAGAAATGAACCTGTTACCATCGGAATTCAGTCGATTTCCTGGTATTATTGAATATTTCTATCAATATTTTCCTTCGGAACCCTAAATCAGTATACGCCCAACTTTACCGTATTGTTTTAGAAGTGACATCCTACTAATATTATAATTGCGAAAATTTGTGAGTGTGTGTGTATGTTTGATACTTCTTCACGCTCAAACGGCTGAACCGATTTTGATAAAAAAAATTATACAGGAAGCTGACGTCCAGGAATAGCACATAGGCTACTTTACATCTCGGAAATCCCGAAAATCCGCGGGTAACACCGCGGCTCGCGGCTGGTAATAATATAAAGTGATATAATGTTCGGTCATACGACTCACAATGGCGCCGTCCTGCAGCAGGTCCCACAGCAGCGTGTTCCCGGGCCGGCACACGTCGTCCACGCTGAAGGGCAGCACGGGCGCGGGGGACGGGGGGCGGGCCTCCACCCCCACCCCGCCGTACTCTGTTAAACACTGCGCCTGGAAATATACGTACTGATGTTATTATTAGTGTTTAAGTTTGTGAGCCTGTATGGATGTATGGACGTTTGTTGCTATCACACAAAAATACTTAACGAATTTTAATGTAACATTACAGTTAAAAAAGTAAGACGTCAGAATAAGACAATAATGTAATTAAGATTGGAAATTCGCCTAGTTACAGCGGAGTTTCTTCTATTTTAACAATCTGAATGCGTGTTCCTCTGTATAGATGATTTATCAAATATTTTGTTATGATATCAATCGCTACGAACTTCATGCTAGTAGTGACTACCGCTTGTTGCTAACTTTGTATTTCATTGTCGTACTATACTAACAACGCATGTGCACTTATTGTGATATATTTCCCATGAATATTATAAATCGATAACGCTTTAAGAGGCTGAATTTCATTTCTACGTCTCCTATCACAACGAATATAAATGCCAAGTGGCCATATAAGTTGAGTTAATTAGGTCATTTATTATTTTTCCATTAACCTGAGCAGCGAGCCTGGCCAGTTCTTCCTCGCAGGCGGAGTCATCATCATCTAGGTCGGGCAGGTGCCTGTGTGAGTGTACAGAGAGCGCCGAGGACGCGCTGCCCTCCTCCTCCGAGCGACGCTTGTAGCTCTCCATTAGACGCAGTTCCATCAGTCGCCTGCTAGCAGTCAGATAATACGATATAGAAGATCTTGTTGATTAGGCAAGATGTGGACCAGTACTTAATTCTTTTGAAGAACCTCGACCATTATATTTTTAATATATTGTCAAGTACAAGCTGTGAAAGTTTTAAATGAGAGTAATTTTTCCGAAACGAGTATGTAGTTTAAAAAATAATAATTCACGCAGTAATCCGAAAAATATTAGTTTCATTTAAATGAATGCTCGCGATAGTCTTAGATCTCATTAAAAAAGATATTTTTTGGGTCATTTCAATGCATAATTGTTTTATGTGTTTATGTTTTAAAAATAGCTCTCAGACTAGATAAGACTTAAATATGCCAATATAATAAGAAAATTGCCAATATAATAAGAAAAAAAGGTGATTTATACATGAAACTTCTTGCTTAACTTCTAGAAATATTTGATGTTATAAATTTCTAAATTTATGGTCCATGTTTTTGATAGAAAGATACCTGGCATCCACGTTATCACAGAGAAGTTGACAATGGGCTGTATCACTACCGGACGACTCTTCCTCCACCTCGGAAACCGACTCAGCCAATTCAGCGGTTTTAAGTTGCGTAGCTAGTGGCGGAAATATACGTGATTATGTATCGGCTCAAAATTAATAAATCATATAATATCAATGCATAGATCCAATGAGGTGTATGGACCATGCACTCACGGAAATGTCTCGTCTTGCCGGCCTTGTGCCGCTTCTTGTAGAGCTTCTTCTTCCTAGGACGCAACAGTTCCTCCGCCCCACTGCTGGCACTGCCGCTGCTGCCCGCACGTTTGTTCCGTCTGACAAAAATGTTATATAAGAAATTTTTACATATGTAGGTATATAATTTAAGAATCCAACTTCAACTCACTTTTGGCACGTCTTGATAGTGAGGCATTCCTTCTTCGTGAGCTCTTCACCTTCTCGAAGCCATTCTTGCTCAGCTGTTATAGAATAAGTTTTAAGTAATGTCAAAAAGTTTTACATCATATTTAATATAAAAAACTCCATCAACCTGTCAGTTCCCTTTGATGTTTGCTTTGTTTCCGCGGCGTAGGTCCCGCCTCCTCCGCAGACGTGCTCAGTTCCTCGCACTACAAAAACATACCAATATGACTTATATACATACTAACGAAAATTTATACTAATTATAGTCCAACTAAATAAAAATATAACTCTATAATTAATTGCAATCATCAGCAGAAACGTAATTAATAGATGTATACAGGGGTATTAACCCCGCTTTACACGAGGGATACGTTCCGAAGAAAAACGCGTTAACTAAAATTCGCTTATATCGAGGTTTACATAGTCAAAAAATTAATACAAAAAAATACAAATCATTTTAATCAATCACTTTAATTCTAAGAACACTTTATGCAATACAGACTACTCTTATTTTTTACGGAAAAATACATCTTTTGTATTTTGGGTAGCATGTTGTTACATAATTGTAAAATACGTTCATAACTCCCAACACTGTTTTTAAATTGTTTGACACGTTATATGTCCAATATGTCCAAACCTGCATAAGTTTTTGTAATTCTCGTTATAGTGAAACCGCGCATAACGAGGTCGCGCAAAGCGGGGTATTACTATATTAAAAAACAATTCATCATACCGGATCATCGTCCGAATTTGTCTGGTCCATACTAACGGAGGCTTCAGACGAGGAGCGGTGTGGCTTACAGGCGGGAGGGGCGAGGCGAGGCGGCTCGGGCGCCGGGGAACCACCGCACCCACCGCGCGCCCACATGGCACGCATTAATGCTGATGCAAGGTACAGACTCTACCCAGATAATATAAATTACATATTATAACATTTCAGTATCAGTTTGAGTATCAGTGTGTGATATTTATATAATAGTATTTCCTTTAATTACATAGGGATTTATGCATAGTATATTATATAAAAATGTATGCTTTTTTACATTTAAATTTTTACTTCAAAATAAACACTCAATGGTTGGTGTTTGAACCAATTTCAATGAGACTTTAACAGACAGGTATAGTAAGAGGTAATGATTGAGAAAATTCGCTTACATACGTTCAAAGTCGCCTGCAAAGTTTTTATTCCAAAAATTGTTACGATATGATAATGACAAGACTCTATAGTGATAAACATGTCTCTCTCTTAGTATTCTTCTTCTTTTTACCAATGAATGAGACGAAACCTCTTAGCATTCAATGGATTCACCGTGCGGGTGCCGGGTCCATCGCGTTGCAGGGAGAGGAGCTTCAACAGTGCCTGGGACTTGCGACCCAGGTGTAGGTTTAACCCCTTAACTAACCCGCGTTATACGCTCACCTCCACTGTCCAAGTTCCTCTCCCTACTTAACCAAATTTGAAAAGAACCTACTAGGGCTGCCTTCGACGTACTTTCCAAGAATGAATTAATGTTAGTTCTGGACAGGCCCAAGTCTTTTAGTAGGTTATAGATAGAGATAGATAGATAGATTTAGCTTTATATTTATAAAAGTTTACGTATAGTAGATTGTTTTAAAAATAATAATTTATATAAGATTTCTACAATTATTTCAATTATAAAACGATTCTGCACAAAAAAAAATTGTAGTACCTAATTAATTATAAAATGGAACTCCTACAACATTCATTGATATATAATATTCCACTTTAATAACATTCCTATGAAGAATAAAGAATTTTAAAGAATATTAATATAGAATTTTAACCTGTTCGGTATGCTCCTTAGGTGGCAAAGAGCAGAGGAGGCTGTATAGATGTGAGCAAGGCTTAGGTGCAAGTGCTCTTATGAACCCAGGCAGTAGATCATATACTTGTCGTCCGCAGTGTTTCAGCTGAGCCGCTGCCCATACAAGCTCTACATGCTCTGACGTCACCCGACCCTCTACAGCCAGAAACTTTAGAATCATATGTGACTGCTTTATAACCTGTAAAAAATTTGAATATATCTTATTTAGATCATAAAAAAAAATAACATAAAATATAACTGCTTTAAGTAATATTCAATTACTATACTTATATTGATAGTCTTAGAGGTTTTGTGGAATTTAACATTTAATATGTAAACTTATAACTAAGTATATAATAAATATATACAACTTTCCTTTTCATTACACAAAATTTATTGAAAGTCAATGCATTTATTTATCGATTAATAAAATAATACAATTACAAACCTCGACATGTAAATTTGGTCCAAAAAGATGTTCTATAATATTATTGTTGGTTAGCCAAGTGGCTAGCTGCTGTCCGGCTAATTCTGCATCAGCAGCGGGTTCTCCGGCACAAAGCTCATTGTGTGCTGCTATATGAGCATTGATCTGAGCTACACCTGCCAGTCGCATAGTGAGAGTACTGCTGTTAAAATATTTAAAGGCCAATGCTAAGCCATCACCATCAAAAGCCAATGGGGCATCAAGAGGTTCTTTAGCTGCTCCCCACATGAAATCTGAAAAAGTATGTTGTTCATGGTAATAAAAAGTGGATTTATATACAAAAACATTGTGACAATCTATAAAACAGTAAAATTGGGTGAATCATCATTGAAGCAAAATATTATTGGTATACAATTCCAAAAATATAGTTGTTGCTTTATACATAAGTTTAAAAAGGAATAATTTCAAATTATTAATATTAATAATAATGTCATATTTATACAAAAACAAAGATTATCATTGAAAATTACTTACCTGCCATAGATTTAACTGCCGGTACCCTCAAATCCTTGTCTTCTAGACTGCACATATACTTTAAGATTTTGCTTCTAAGAGGCATGAAGAGTTGAGCGACTGCTCTAAAATTCAGCCACAGTTTTAAATTACCGACAGCTGCAACTATTGCATGGGCCATGGACAACGGTAGGGTGGTGGGAGTGGCAGTCTCAAACACAGATGTCATAGCACATACACCACCTAATTTGCAGAACAAACTCACATTCCTTAATAGATATGCTGGTATTTCAGTGTCATGGAGGTCGCAGTATGAGCTTAAGTTTGATATCTCTTGTGCCGTAAGGTCGTCTAAGCGACTTAAAGCTGAATGTTTACAGGCCAGATAGAGCGGGAAATTAAGGAGGAATATCTTTGACACAATGTGCATTAACTTTTCCTTCTGCTGTATTGACCATACTTCACTATCGGCAACTGGCACTGGCTTATCTTGATCCAAGCTATTTGGTTCAGTCGGCTCAGTAGATATTGTACTTTCTGGGTTTTTATCACTGTTTTGAATATTGCTATCTTCAATTTTCTTACTCGTCCCATCTTGTAGCTTTTGTTGTTCTATATTTTCATTGCAATTTACGGTTTTAGCAGAAACTATTAAGTCATCTTTTAGCTGCTTCAGTTGACACACAGATAAACACAACACACTCTGGACAACTAAATAAAATCTTTCAAAATTCTTTACATCTCGATAACAGCACATACATTGCCTAAAAAATATAATATCGGTTATCATAAAATATTTCACTTGATTTCATATTAATATAATTTAAGCACATTGTATTAAAGTATGTATAAAGACTTGAAAATAAACTCTCGCTATTTAACGTGAACACTATAATATTATACCAAAGAATCTACAAAATTTATATCAGTGATAAAATTGAGAAAAAAAACTTATAATTATATTTTTATTAACATTCTTACCTCTGAGGCCAGGACAGAATGTAATTTAATACTGTTTCAAGCTCAGACTGACTTATAGTTGGATATTGAGACACATCGTCGGTTAATCTTGTTTCACCTATAAGGAAGAGAGTATTGTAATAACTTAGACGAAATATAAATCACAAAGCACAAAACAGTAACCCTTTGATATTTTTGGTATTGTTTTTCAAAAAAATAGTTTAATAATTAAATGGACCACGAAATTTCGAAACAATGTAACTTACAATTTATTAAAAGCTGTGAAAATTCTGAACAAACATCACACATTCTCAATGATTTGTGTCAATATTAAGCGAAATATTGTTAAAATATTATCGCAACTGTTATTATGATTGGAATATTGATCATTATTGATATTTTCGTATCAGAAAACGAACACTGCCTTAGAAATGTCACAGAATCCGTTCCACCATTGTTGACGATTGTTGTCAAAGGGACGTTTAGTTAATACTAATTTCAAGTAAGGTATGTAGAAATTTTAAGTTTTATAAAATTATTTTTTTAATTCCTAAATAGTTAACAATTACAATGAATTTAATTTAAAATTTTATCTTTCCTTACAATGTCTGAATATTACTTCTGTAAAGTATTATGAAAAAAAAAATGTTTAAGATGCGATAAACTTGCTTTTGTACTTCTAATAAGGCTAAGCTTATAGGGGGACTTTCCCGGGGAAACTGAATCAATAAGATATATTAATATATACTTTTACATTTAAAGACATGTAGATTGTAAGAGAGTAAGTAGTATCTAAGAGAAAAATACCATCTCCTTTAAAATATTGTAAAACTTTGGAAAACTATATCCTTTAATTAAAAATACTAATAATGTGAATTTCTTAGTCGAATCTTAATTATTTTTTATCACGTTTCTGTACCATTACTTCAGTTTTCAAAGTCACAATTCTTGTTTAGACATTGTCACTTTGACAATTCAGTTAAATTAAAATTACATACAATAATGAAAGAGTTATGGGTTGAGTCTTTAATTTTAGTGTGATAATAAATAAACAAAATGGTTCAACTACTTTATATAGTTGCTAGTTTACATGTACTATTGTGTCCATTCACTAAAGTCGAAGAAAGTTTCAATATGCAGGCTATGCATGATATTCTGTATCATCGGTTTAACCTATCAGAGGTATAATAGAAATTCTAATTTTGGATTCATATGCGCACTGTCTTCTTTAATAATCTATTTTTTTCCAGTACGATCATAACGAGTTCCCGGGTGTAGTGCCGCGTACTTTTATTGGCCCACTCATTATTTCCGTTTTATCCTCACCTGTTGTTGGTATATTACATTTATTCGGTATAAATAAATTTTGGATGCAATATGTCGGTGAGTAATCGTCGCACTAAAATTGTACTTATACTATGTGTTACCCATTTAGTAGTCAAACTATTTTTATTACAGTCAGACTGACTCTAGCGGTGGCTGTGATAGCAACATGGTATCAACTTCGGAATTCTTTGAAAAAGCTTTTCGGAAGTACATTTACATGGTGGTTCACATTGATAAGTGTCTCTCAGTACCATTTCATGTTCTATATGAGCCGTCCATTACCTAATATTATGGTGTTACCATTTGGTATGATCATCTCACTAAATTTATACCTATTAACTATCCTATAGGAATTATTAACATATTTTTTAAAACTTTTCTTTCAGTACTCCTGGCTTTGGAAGGATGGTTGCTTGGAAAACACAAACAGTTCCTCTTATCAGCTGGTGCAGCTATTGTTATATTTCGAGCTGAGCTGGCTATGTTGTTTGGCTTGTACCTTATCATAGACCTCTATTTCAAGAAGATTGATATCCCAACGTAAGGGGTTTGTGTATATAAATATTATTATCAAGTTTCACTCAAAAAAAAGTAATCTTATATGTTATTTTTACAGATTAATCAAAATAGTTGTTCCATCTGGTGTGTTCTTGGTGCTGGTCACAGTATCAGTTGATTCTCTGTTCTGGGGTCGCCTGCTGTGGCCCGAAGCTGAAGTTTTCTGGTTCAATACAGTCCTTAATAAAAGCTCCGAATGGGGTGTATCCTTTTAAATATACTCAGTAAAAAAATCGTATTTAGGCAGTCTACTTAAACCTCTGTATATATTATTGTAAATTTTGTAGTAGTGTAAATTTTGCTATTTCAAAATAATTTAACTAAAAATAAACTACTCATTAATTGACAATAATATGCAAAAATGCCTTACATATTTTTATAAAGAGCTTATACTCTTACCAGGCTGGACAAACAAAAAAGTGACAAAAAAAGGTAGATTCATTTTTAGAGCTACAATTTTAACAAAAACATATTGATGACAAACATAAGTCACATCTTTTTACGTCAAGGTTTAAAAGACATTTATTGATCTTGGCATTTGATGAGAAATAGTAATGTATGGTACATTAAGTATTTTATAAATAAATAAATAAATATATTTATTTATTTATAAAATTATCATTCTTAACATATGCACTCAGACATCTCCATTTCTTTGGTACATATATTCAGCTTTACCACGAGGCCTTGGACCTAGTATAGTTTTGATACCCATTGGACTGTATTTAGAGAGACGGCTTACTCCTATTGTGATGCCAGCTATAGTGTACATAATATTGTTCTCTTTCCTGCCACATAAGGAACTTAGATTTATAATCTACGTCTTTCCGATGCTCAATATGGCGTCTGCTGCAGCGTGTACATATGTGTGAGTATTTATTAAATACCTTTTGGTTTAAAGTTTACATATAAAGTTTAAACATGTCTATTATTATCATTCAGTAATATTATGTTCATTATAAAATCTTATCGACTGCAGTTATCTTAAGTTACATAAATATATGTATATAGATTTATAATGTCAGGAATGATATAATAGAATATTATATTTATTTAAACGTTTGAAAATGGTTTATATTTAAAATATATATTATTTACTTTACAGATATATACGGCGTACGAAAGCTCCGATATATGAGCTACTGTTCTGGGGCATCGCCGTAATAATCACACTTAATATTATATTCTCAACAGCATTGGTGCTGGTAGCGATGACGAACTATCCCGGTGGAATAGCAATGACGAGGTATATAACACAAAATCATAAAAATTAGGTTTACTACGATATCACTACAATAAGTTTCGATTGTTAAACCCCTAACGAAGAGTTTCTAGTTTTCCATTTATAATCTTCCATGCCTATGGTAATAACATCTGATATATCGTTGGAAAATGGATATTCACATAGGGGTACATACAGTAGGAAACTTATTGTAAATTATTGCTATAGTTGAAGTTTATATACCTTAAAACAGACAAAATACGACTCATACAATTTTGTTTTCCAGATTCCACAAGCTTTTAAAGAACGAACCCTTCGTCCACGTACATATAAGCAATCTGGCAGCTCAAACCGGCGTCACCAGATTCACTCAAATGCATTCCCATTGGAAGTACAGCAAGAACGAGTCTCTAAACGTCGACCAACTACAAGAATACACACATTTACTTATAGAAGCTAAGAGCAAATACTCACCGAATCTAAAAGCTTTCACACAAACTCATACAATATTGGACAGTGTTGAATCTTTTCATCAGATAACAATGAACTATAAATTGATACCGCCCATCAAAATTAAAACCAAGCCAGCGTTGTTCATATTAGAGAGAAAGAATTTCAGGGATAGTCTAAGTGTAGATGTCAAAGAAGATATAATAGAAAGCAATATGTATGAAAATGAATCTAGCGAAGTTAGTAAAGAGTTTACTGATAATTTAGATGCTTCAGAAGATATAATCATTAATAATAATGATGAAATATCTGAAGTAGAGAATGAACAACTTATGATTGAAGAACTTGAAGAAGAAGCTCCTGTACAAGGCGACGATGATCGTAATAACTCAGAAAAAGCTACCTTGACAGTAGTTGATGACGACAGTAAAGAAAACATCTCAGTGGAAGAGGCAGAACAAGTTGACGTATTGAAAACAAGAAAGACTAAAAAACCTTACGATGAATATAAATTGACTAACAGACAAGAAAAAAAGAAAAAGGCCATAGCAAAAATCAAATCGGAAACACGTAAAGAAGTTGTCGCTTCTGCTAAAGAAAAATTGAGGGAATTAATGAAACGACGCAAACATATCACAGAGAATATTGAAGATAATGTTACTGTAGAAGTCACTCAGGTAGAAACTGATGGACGAGGCGATATACCCGAAGAAGAATTAATGATAGAAGAACCCAAAGAAGAAATACAATCAGTTAATGATACGGAAGCCGCTGAAGCTGATCAAGTTCAAGAAGACGAAAAGAATGTAAATAATAATGAGGTTAACATAGATAGTGTTGTGGAAGAAGTCATCGCACGACTGATTGATAAAAAAATATATGACGACAAAACGAAATCCGAAGATATTAAAGGCGAAGAAAGAATCATGATCCAGAAAATAGTCGAGGAAGTGTTGTCAGAAAAGTTTAATGTAACAACTAATTATAATGACGATAGATAATAAAGTTTTAATACATCTCTCTAGTGTTGTGTCGGTGCCAAATCATTTTATTGTATTTTGTTTGATTTTTTTTCTATGACTATTGATTTCAAGTGCAATTTAACTCCTGTGATGTTGTAAATGCTTAAGAATAAAATGTGAGTCAATTTTAGATTTTTTCTTGTACCTAACCAACTGGTTACTTACTATCTTAGACTGGTGCCATATTTAATAAATTTTAATGTTCATGAAACTTAAAACAGTGTAATATTGAAATATCTTGCATTTGTATTTGGTTAATAAAAAAAAAGAAATTTCATGATGATCTATAAATTTAAACAAGTACATGTATAATTGTTGAATCTAATTTTATTTTGATTTGATGAAAGATAAAAAATTTCATAGCAACTTAATTTATATATTTTGAATCATTATCAAAAAATAAATAAAATCTATAATGGTCAAATCGGCTGTAAACAGATCTTGTCACATAGATATAACAAAAACATTTTTTTTAGACATATACATACATACACATATGCACTATCTGTAACCTTCTCTGGTTACAAGAATTTATAATAACAATTATGAAGTGTGAACCACAATAAAAAATATCTCATTGGTCAGGATAAGTTTAAATAAAACGATATATAGTGTTAAAAATATAAAAATTTAATCTTAAAGACATTTATTGTCGATTAAAATACTTCTCACAGCATGCACCCGGTTTAATATGTGAGCTAAGAAAAATTGGCAAACATTTATTTACCTTATCACATATTTTTTAGATCTTGAAATATTGATGGGACATACAAAGAATTATGAAAGGTATAATAAACATTATTAATATCTCACAACCGGGGCACAGCTTGATTTTACAATACCAAAATATTTAAAAACTATAAAGATAAAGAAAATTAAAAGTTGAATATTTGTGTAAATGGATTTTCGCTGATTGCATACAATCCACTATTACAAATATTCACTAATTCTAAAGTTGCAAGAACATCCACTTTATTTCCACTATGCCCTATGAGAACAAAGTCAAAAAGCGTAATAAAAGTGGCTTTACATAATTTTAAAAATGGAATACAGTTGTCTGCGCATACGCAACGTATCTAAGCATTGCTTATTTTAAATATAAACTATATTTGTACTAAAAATAATTGTCATAAAAGTCATCACCTCATAGATGACTTTGGAGGTAGATTTAGTTTAATACTCTCATAAAAAGCTTCCTATCTCCCTCACTTGATATGTTCTTGCAAACAACCATTAAATCTATTTCTCACAATAAAACAGTCTACATATCATCACATGAATCACATGAAGTACATAAGAGCACTCAATTCATTAAAAACTAAAATTAAAAATAGCTTTCCCATCATTATCAATCAGATAGGAAAGATATAAGAGAAAAATGTTATTATAATAAAAAAGAAAAATAGTATAAAAATAAATGAATATAATAATGTAATTAAAATACCAATCAATTGGACAAATTCACACTACAGGCACATCACTTTAGGAACTTACATATTTTTAAATTGCATATTAAGAGTTTATGTTGACATATTTCATTGAAGCATACCTATTGTTATAATTTTAATTAATATTCAGATTTGATTTAAAAATGTATGAAAATAATCTGTTTTATATTGAATGGTCGTAATAATTACTCATACTTCTTCTCAACTTCTAGAAGATCTTTCCAGTTGTAACGGGCGGAGTTAGTATTGATGCTGGGTGGTATAGGAGGTTTGACCACAGTCCAAACGCCCTCGCGTTCCCTTAGAGAACCCAGAGCACAGTACGGCACACGCATCAAGTTATCACCGAATTTGTATGGAGGTAGATCGCTGGCGTTACCCTTATTGAGATACTTCAAAGCGGTCACTGTCATCTCCAAAGTAATGGCGTGACCCACAAACATTAGGTTCTGACCTGAAAATATTTATCAATTATTAATATAAACAATGTCTGATATTATTCGTTCATAGAATTCAATTATTTTGTTGTAATACTTTACAAGAAAAAAAATTAATGAGTCTTCCCTTGATCACGGTTGCTGAATAGTAACCGAAAGTTCTGGAGTGTGTAGTTTATAATCAAAAATAAAAACGAGTAGTACATCCGAAAAATATTAGTTTCATTTAAAAGAAAAAAACTTTTAAACATTCGAATATTAAATACATAAGAAATTAGTTAAATAATTTTACATCTATACTAATACATATTATAAAGCTGAAGAGTTTGTTTGTTTGTTTGTTTGTTTGAAAGCGCTAATCTCTGAAACTACTGGTTCGAATTGAATAATTCTTTTTGTGTTGGATTGTCCAGTTATCGAGGAAGGCTGTGGGCTATATAACATCACGCTATGACCAATAGGAGCAAAGATATAGTGGTAAATGTGTAAAAAACGGGAGAAATTATATCATCTTTGAAGCCTTCCGTTGCGTGCGCCGTGAAAACGGTTCAAGATACACAAAAAATATGTATTAAAGAATAATAGCTCTTTTAATGATCTAAAAAACAGTTCGCGACAGTATATGTCTATCTTTTAAGATGAACTCACAAAAACCGTTTTTATGGTACCTAATTTGGTCGAAATAATTTGTTTAAGTTGTATCAACATAATAATATTAATCTTTATTCAAATAAACAAATAAATATGTTGTTGGTTAAGAGTACTTTATTGTGAATAAAAAAAACATAGGTTTTATCCTGAAAATTCTACGGGAACTCAACCATTCCGAAAACCCCGAAAGAACGGGAACTATGTGCGAAGAACCATAAATCTGCCGGAAGTCACTATTCCAGGCGGACGAAGTCGCGTCAAAAGCTAGTCATTTATAAATTGTGTGCAGTATTTTCTACATGTATATAAATAGTTATGTTATTATATAATGTACTACACACCCTCATAATTGGGATCCTTAACGGCTGACTGCATTACATATTCATGTCTCTTGTAGAGCTCCTCCATTGTCTCCGAGGTTTTTATATTCAGATCTATGTACGGCTTGTAGCTGAAATATAAAGTACATATTATTTATGACAATACATATACACAATTAGAAATGAAAATATTATCTTTAGCAGACACCAAATTCAAATCAAAATTTGAATAGTATATACAAATTGTATTTGTGCCATTTTATAGAACTGGAAACATTTTGATTTGATACAAACTTAACATTTACTATGTCTGTTTTTTTGATGTTGTTAATATAACATTTCCTGCACAATATTACTTTTTAGCAAAATATGTATTAATTGAAATTTGATGTGCTCTTTTTTTTCATATTTAAGACTATTTATTATTTTGTACAATAATGAATTCTTTTGTATGTTTTTGTTATGAATTATTATATCAGTTTACTATTTGTTACATAATAATTTTATGAGTCTACAATAAAGTAATAATAGATAAACTGAATCCATAAGTTAATCTATTGTTGAATTAAAGTTTTATTACCTCAGATCAACATTCAATCCGGCCTTGTGCAGTTCCAGTGGCGTCATGAAAGCCAATCCTCTGCTCAAACTCCAGTCTTTATATTCAAAGAGACCAGGCTCCACCTTAACCTTGATTGATGGATCAGCTTGAAGGCCTGCATTATATCATTATATAAACAGCTGATAAGGAATATTAAAGTGATATATTTTGATTTTCTACATGTAATTTAATCTTTAAAACAATGTGAAGTTAGGTTGGATCTAATAAGTTAGAAAAAAGTATCAATCTTGTGATCTAGACGATGGGAAAATAACTGTGATATTTACAAATAAAGGAAAAGGTCAAACAAAGGAAATGTTGAATTACAAATAATGGAGGTATAAGAAGTCAAACAAAGGTAGTATTCAGATCCGACCAAAGGAGGTATTTTAACCCTTTATAAGTTAGAGGCGATATTTTCACCACCATGATTTTTTTTATTTTTTAACCGAAATTTCTTCCATCGGTCGTATTTTTTTATTCATTCTACTTTTATGATTGTCAATAGACAGTTTGATAATGAAAGGTTTAACAAATATATACTTATATATACAAACATATGTTTTTACTTCTATTATATACCCTTAACCAACATCAATTTTGTTTTACCACTGTCCACTCCTTATGACCGGTAAAGAGTTAAGTCAGATACAATGTAGAATAGAATATACTTTATTGTACACCACAAGCAGTAAATTTTACACGGAAAAAAAAATAAAAAATTGAAATGTACAAAAAGGCGGTCTTATCGCTAAGTAGCGATTTCTGCCAGACAACCTTCGATTTGAGGAAATTGTGCAGCGAAAAAGTAGGTGGTGCCTTATCCTTATATATACACTAATACATATATAAATAGATACATAAAATACATACATATATACATAAATATATATACTAATAAAGGATATAGATATTGGAGTAGTACACACCTCTTAGCAGATGATGAGCGGTTTCCACGGATCTGAGGGCGCAGGAAGCGTACACACTGCCGAGTTTGATGCCCGCTAGCCTCATAGCCTCCCCCACTAGGTAGGCCTGCAGGGCTCCCACACGCGTCAATGGAGTGTCCAAGGAATACGCTACCGCGCCACCCTCTCTGTAAATTATACATTGTAATATATGGACATTTTTATATACAACCTTGTTCTTCTTTGAGTGCGATTTGTCATGAAGACGTGATAAGAATACGTATAGATTAGAAATAATATTTTTTATATTTTAATTGGAGTTTCTCATTTCAGCTTTAGTTATATAGACCTTTTAATATTGTAGATTTTCGGTAAGATTCAATCTTTGTTAACAATTTTCAACAATTTTTTTTATTACAATATTTTTCTTGAAGATACCTAAAACTAAGTTATGACCTATAAAACAAATGAATAATTACATTTCATTAAATTGTAAAAAGTCACCTACGTATTAATCGCCTTTTAACGATTTTATTGGCACGTGTGAAACACTTAATCGGGTAATACGACTAAAATGCTTTACGTCATTTGGAAAAAAAACTAATACTCTTACACTACTTGAACAATTTTAACCAAAACTAAGTAAGAACTGTCGTAAGGGAACAAATTTTTAGATGAAAAACGTAAAAAAGTCAGCGATCCGTTTGAGAGATACGATGTCACAAACAGACACACACACACCCAAAACATGCATGCACGTGCGCAGGCGCATGTATCCATGCGCAACGTCAAACTTACAATTTATTTAATCTGTGTTAGGAGTTAGAACTTCTAAAAATATTTACTGCGATCAGGTGTCGAAGATATAACAAGGAAAACGTATAGAGAAATTGAAAACAACTTCCCTTCATATATTATATATGTATGTGTGTAAAATATTCAAAATGCTAAAGATAATATAACTGTCATAGATATTAAAGATGGAAACATGATATTATACATACATTATAATATGTACCATGACTACATACTGTATAGCAGTGTATGTCTGAAACTAAACCATACTAAAGACTTAGGCAGATAATGTTACTGAAGCCTTGCTTGTAGGTATTATGTTTGACGTGATGTCATTTTGTAATAATGAATTAATTAGTATGAGAAAAAAATTCTAAAAATTTTTCAAACAGGAATATGTTTACACAAATAACTTTCCATATCAGTCTGTTAGATGCCCTTTACTATTATGTACCCCTAGTAAGGACACTGTTCTATGGTTTGCTAATAGTGTTATGTATTATAGTACATATAGTATATTGCCAATAGCATATACGTGTTAGTTATCCTGTATTACCTCGGAGCCAGCTCCACTGGCAAGTTGAGATCCTTCCTGACATAAGTGTTATTGTCGGTGAAGCAGAACGGGATCCACGAACCATAGGTCAGGTCCACTCGCTCACCGTGACGTAGCGCAAACACCCACCGACCTTCAGGCTCGCCGTTAGTTACCTTGAGTACGATAAAATTGTGAGTCAAGCCATTTCCAACTAATTTACATATAAAGTATATGCAATATATAGATAACGTTGAAAAAAACTTTTAACCTGTGCAACTGTAATATAGTTGAAGTGATACCATATTCATGTGGTAATTGAGTCATTTGATACATTTGGTTTTTTTAAGACATAAAAAATTGTGATGATTAACTTCAAATATAATTTTGACATTTTTAAATAAATGCAAAGGACTTTTCTATAAATATGGATAAAGATAAAATTTTTAATTAAACTTAACCCTATAATAATTTTTTTATATAATTTTATTATTTAGTTATGTTTGTAATTGGGTCTATGGACAGTATTTTAGCTCTCTTACTAATTAATTTGCTTTAAATTTTTATTAAACATACAAAAAATTAATTGAATTCAAAATGAACCAAGAGAAGAAAATTACAAAGATTTTTTTAACACATTAACAACTTAATTATGCGAGCAGGAGATTCTCATTTGTTTTGAATATAAAATAAAAAAATGTAATTAAAATATATATTTAATATACCTCATTCCTGGAGTTGCCACTCGTTTCAATCTGATTATCCGATTGACTCTCTTTTTGTGCTAAAATATTACAAAAAATAAAAAACAATGAATAATCAAGAAAACAAGATGAATAAGAATAAAGTATTATCAATCAAAAATTATTTTTAAAAAATTAATTGCTTGTTGCAAGAAAAATATTTTAAAAAATTTAGTCCAGTTTAAATTCCTTCATTATTAGTAATATTTTTTTCATCCCGTTTATATTAAATTAAATAAGATTAAACAAAAAAATATATATTTGTTGAAGTTCTCTACAAATATGTGTGTGATGCATTTATTATTAAATCTTTAGTACTTTATTCAATAATATCACTAGGTGAATATTTTGTTGAAAAGAAACAGTTGTTATCATTTCTAAAACTTTTCTTTGTTTTTGTACATCTCTAATGTGATTTTAATAATTTGTAAACAATTAATGAGAGTTCATAAGTCCAATATAAAAACTAAATATTGTACTCTGTACAATATTTACATTTACATAATTACATGCTTCTGTATAAAATTTTTAATAAGTGTAGATGATAAAGTAAATAAATAACTATAATTACTTACTTTAAATAGGGGAAATTGAATAATATGTTTCTAAGTGAAGAATATTTTGAGTAGTTAATATAGACACTTATCATATCAAATTTTCAGTACATACAAACTGTGACTCATGTTGCTACGGTACTTTCAATAGCTCTGAATTAGTTATCATTGCCTTATCTTACTTAGTCACTAGCGGTGAATCATGCTCGGTAACAATTTTAAATATTATCTCCAAATATAAAATCGAGGCTCTAATAATATTAAAAATATATTTTTTATTATTAATAACAAAATTAATTCTTACCATTTTCATCATCTAGTGCATTTACAGCCTTATGCTGTATAAGTGACATGAATAACTTCTCCCAATCTTTGAAGATTTCCTCCGATTTCTCCTGAGCCAGTTCATTCTCCTTAGAACTCATGGTAGATATGTTAAATCTTGATCTCGCTTGACTTGATTCACCAACTGTAGAAATAACATAATGAAAAAATATTGAAATTATGAAAAATTTTAACATAATAGTTATTTTCTTCTAATATTTTTTTAGATCTAATTGTATGGTATGTGTGAAACCAATTAAATTTGTACTTTGAATGTTACATTAGTTGTAACAATGACATTGTATGCTCAGTGATATTTGTATTTACTGTTTGATAACTTTTCTCAAACACATCTTAACTAAAGTTAGGTAATTTCAAATACACACTCGTAAACTTCTCAATACAATTTTTTTTAACACTACGAATGCACGCCACCGACATAGCTTGGGTTGTCATGAAACAAAAACTTAAATTTACGGATTGAATAAAACTGTTTATCCCAAAAGCACTTTTAAACAAAACTTTTACACTCATTTTCGTAATAAAAGAAATATTTTTCATTAAATTAACTCTAAGTTTAAAAATAAATACGGGCGAAATAAGTTGTTTTAAAGAATAAAATGTTTTGCTATGAACTCGCTATACTATACTATAATATTAAAAAATGTAAAGTGAAGCGAAAAATGTACGATTACAACAGTCAACAGGTAACAATAAAGAGTTGAATTAAAAATAGAATATTGAATAACGTGGTTTTTAAAACTAAAAATATTCGTTAAGAGAAATAACTATTATATAATAGGAAAAAGTACGTACTATCGTTCTTTCTCGAAATACATCAAATTAACGGCCTAATGAAACAACACAAAATTCGTTGGTATTGTTTTTTCACTAATGTTATTTGTTTACAAGCCAAAGTTGAAGGTCAATGGATACAGGATAAATAAACAAAAAGTTTATAACAGCTTATGCTTTAACATGAAACTAAAGTATATATTTAAAAAGCAAAATTCAAAAAACTAAAATACTTTTCAATATTTAAACGTCAAAATTTTTTTAGCGACACGTAATAAAAAGTTTAACAATTAATCTAATAAACTGAATTTATAAATGTATTAATCAAGACCGCTAAGATTAATTAAAAAAATATATTATGTATATATTTTTTGGGAATATAATCAAAGGTTCCACTTAACTCTCTGTTTAACGCTGCTCAGCAATGAAGCGACAATCACTCTACGAATTATTTTGAAAGACGTTGAAACAAAAATATTTCTCCGGTATATATAGCTAGTAGCAAAGCTAGCTGACGTCATAGATAAAAATTCATTCCCAATATTGCCATTCACAAAATTTTATTCTAGATTAATGTTATTTAAAATATTTATTTATTGTTTATAACATTAAATATCAACAAAAGATGTAAAATCATTAAATTTTAAAGTTTATGACTTAAAGTAGCATAAATAGCTTATAAATATATTTTGAAATTGTATCTTTGGTTTCCTAAAATCAATTTCATGTATTAACTTACGATATTCTGGCAGGTATTATAATAGTTGCTACAAACATAATAGATAGATTAAGAAAGGATAATGTTTATATGATATTTCTTTACCTGAAGTGAAGAATGATTTATAATATACTTTGATTATTTCTCACCAAATTTCAAACTGTTACTGCTACTATTTTCCGCTGTACTAGTATCTAAATATCCTTTAATGTATAAGAAATAAATTTAATATAACGTTTCGCTATTAAAAGTATTATTTTGGTTATACTTGGTATGTTTCAATAATTAATTTCTTTTCTAACCTTTGTTCTATGTCTTAAACATGTTTCCATTTGTTAAATAGACGCCACCTCAAAGTAACCTAAATCGAATCTTATTATATTCATCATAAGGCGGAAGAGTAAAGATTTTACTTTCAAACTCCTCCTAAAAGAAAAAAATGGTAAAAAAAGATACTGAGATGATGTAAAAGGGTTTCATACTTATATCCTGAGTCCTTTTTCGTGCGGCGGCTGCGATTTCAAAAATAATACTCATTCCGTTTGACCTTTTTTTTTCACCTTAATTGTTACCTGGTTGTAACAAAAACAGAACCTTATTTACTACATCCCTCCATGTACCTGTCAATAGTTTTATTTCATCCTTTACTGTTTGAGATTGACGATATAAAAACGTTTATTCAGGCAAAAGATATTTGTTTAATATGAAAATTCAAATATGTCAATACTAAACTGAAGATTGCCTTAAAAGAAATAGGTAGGTTTTTTGTGCAAGTATTAATCAAAAACATTTATATATACTGTAATTTTGACTTATGACATAATTATTGATCCTAACTTGTATATATTCTATATTCGGATTATTTTTAAGTTTGGTTTATAGTACTCTTGTCTGGTCGTTTTTAAATTCAATAGATCTAATAACTTAAAACTTTAGTTCCCTTAATGAATTATTATCAACTAGCAAAGTTTAAGATTGCTAAGATAATTTTTTTTGATGTTTTTGGTGGTGGTAAAATATAACTGGGTGATTAAAAATTTCGCCGTTATTCCATTACAAACTACTTTCATATTTTCTCCTCACAGTAGTCAAAATAACTATTATTTATTCATATAAAAAAAAGTTGACATGTCCCAAAACATTCCACCATTGCAGTGTGAATGAAGGCCATAGCATAAAAAAATTAAAATCGCCTTCCAATCATTTCTCACGACAATCTTAGAGTAAGACTTAACTCGTTAAAAAATCCAGACCTTTGAAACAGGACCTTGTTTATATATTATATAAAAAAATACTTCAGTCCTTATTATTATAATTAGGTACCTAAGAGAAATTTTAAAAAGATTAGACCACATATTTTTTGAACAAGACTGAAGTTTTTTTTTTTTAAGAAATCATCCTTGCTCTTATATATGCTAATTTAAAAAAAAGATAGCAAATTATAGTTTTAATCTTAATTCTAATTAAATTTTTCTTTAAAAAGTACAAGATTATGTTAGACTACTTATATCGACTATCATATAATGCATGCACCGGAACTACGGATATTTTACCAAGTCGGTAAAACGTCAAAAATAAAACTTGTCAGTTGTGATTGCTGTCACTGAGTTGTGTTGTATTTGTTTTGTTAGTACTTAATTTGACGATCCAATAATTTTTACTATTCCTGACCGTAGGTGTATATAAATAAGACGATAAATATGTATTTAAGATATTATTTAAATGAAAATGGGGATAGGCAGTACACTTTGGCGGTAAGTGTTGAATCTTGTTATAACCTTACAACTTATAACTACACGTGTTTGTGTTATTGAATTTTTAATATTATATTTTGTTTTTAGACGATCGATCCATCAGGCAAGCCTACTTTGTCGGCACATCCAGGTAAGATAATAGATTTTTAACTCCTTTGTTTTTTCAAACAGGATCACTAAATAAATATATTTTTCGCAGCCCGCTTCTCACCAGAAGACAAATACTCCAGGCAGAGAATAACTATTAAGAAGAGATTTGGTTTGCTCATCACCCAGCAACCAGAGCCAATTCATTGAGTATTTTAAGTGATCTATTATTTAAGCTATTATAATTAAAAGTTAAAACAAATATTTTTTATTATTATTCTATCCCATCTTTTTTGGCGTTGAAGTTTCTTACCATATTCATATATAAGAAGTGATTGAAAATTTATGGTCTTAAATATATTATAATATAAAAAATAAAATTCATAGATTTCTGTGGTAAACCTGAAAGTTGAAACGGAGTCATCATGGTTGCTGCAAACCAAAACATATGGAGCATATAGTTTTAACATGATAAAATCTGAAGATATGTTTCATTTAAACCTTAATATTTAATGCCGTTGACATTATCCGCTATAAATATTGATGTCAAGGTATACAAGGAAGTCTTGTAGCTTATAACAGTATATAAACACAATTGATAAGAAATCAACATTTATTTTTAGCATCTGTGCAAACATACTATATTGATAACTTATACAAATTAAATAAAACTTTGGAAATAATGACAAATCTAAATTGCTTGGCTTTAAATTGTTTACTAAATGAAGATCTAAACTAGAAAATGATAAGTATGTTTGATTTGTATCAATAAATTATTGGTTAAACCTTTTTAAGGTAGAGGCAATATCCTACCTCCAACATGAATTTTGTTTATTTTTCTATGTGAGCTATAAAACGATTCCTAATGTGTTGCACTGACAACTAAGAAGGTATGCCTTATTATTTAAAAAAAAATTACGTTTGTCTAATTAAATTTTTTTTTGCGCCGTTAGCTGTCATATAATAGCGCCAATTTTGAAACAAATTTTGTTACTCTGTTAATTTTCATATTTTTTATTCGAAAAGAGGTAAGAATCTGTTTTTTAATTATGTATTTATGTTTATTCTTTGAGTTATTTGCTATACCTGCAATGAGTTACAATGAGAATACTGCACAAGAAACGCCTGATACCACAACGTGAAATCAAAATTGGATCTTTGCTTAGGTTTATCAAATATAGTTCCTTTCAAATTTTGGACCTATGTAAAATAGGTATATATGTTTAGTTGGTTTAAAATTGTAATATAGAGTGTTTTCATCCACTGATGCAAGAATTGATGTTTAAATGTTGCTGTCAATGTTTGTGTGTGTGTCTGTAGCATTGTAGCCCCAAACAGTTCTTCAAATTTTAATGCTGTTTTTTCAATTGAAAACCAGTTTCAACACTTTGCTTCTAGTCTATATTTCTTCAGTACTGTTCTATGAGAGTAAAAATATCAACTTTTTTTCCGAGATGGTGGATGTTAGTTTTGGCGTAATATGTGCATAAAGTGCATTACGCGCAGCTATATAATTGTTAATGACAATGTCTTGGCTTGACATACCTTTTTAAAATGTAGCAGTTTTAAAATGTAATAAAATTTAATTATGTATTCCTAGAGCTTAGAGCCATAATAATAATGTGCCTTCTAACGAATTCCTAGTAAGTGATGCAGTGAAAAAGATTTGTAGGTGCAACTTTGACGAAAAATTACTTTTTGATAAATTCAACTCCTCGATTGCTGCAGATAGAAAATAGACGTACTTACTTCTTTCAACCTTTTTAATATATTACATCCCATTTTTTTTGTTTTATGTACCTACTTTATTCGAGGACAATTTGGTGCTGTTGAGTTCAAAATAATTTTCATACTATGATAAAGAAGTATTCCGACTAAGATACATGTAGTTATTAATGGACATGTATTAAGAATATATTTTTTAATTTTTTAAAAGAGAAGTTGTAGTACAATTTCTATCATATAATAATTATAGTTATCTTTAAAAACCTAGACTTATAAAAAATTAAGTTATGGCTATGAAAAAAATTCAAGCTTATCATTATTTCTTTACATTTTAATGAGTCGTGACCTATGAAGTTAAGGGTTCTTCATACACAGAAGCCTGTTGTGTAATGGTAATACATAAAATATTACGAAAAAGCAAAAATAAATCCTAATATTTCAATTTATTCCTAATATAAATTATAATATAACATCATATTTAATATTTTACCATAAGACTAAATGTCAAACAAAAGCAAACTTAGAATCACTTAAAAGTTAAATTCGTTAGACTAAATCTTATCAATTTAAAACATGAAGGTTTCTTTAAATTTCTGTGTTCAAGCATTACTTCAAGTGCTCATATTTTTTTGTTTAATCAATATTATCAAAAGTGTAATCTTTCTTTGTATATAGCGAAGTAAATAATCAGTTCAGAAATTATTTCTTTGAAATGTGTACCTAGCTACTTTGTATTTCAAAATTAAATGTCAATGTCAAAGTAGAGGCCAAAGAGGACTCATGACTGGTTGTTGTTTTCAAATATACGGATTGCAACTATTTCAATATTTTATTCCTTTTTGAATTAAAATAAATGTTCTAAACCGGTGCTTACAGTATACTAACTTCAAAACTCAAGTAAGAATGGCTAGCAGTAGAGACGAATTGAAAATTTATTGGAATAAAATTTATTATGCATTTCCAATTCTAAATGATATGCTGTTTACTGATTGCTCAGATGAAGAATATCAAGAAATTCAAGAAATTATCATCGGGTTGGGCATACAAATTAAAATTCGTGATCTTGTTTTAGTGCACATCGAAAAATATTTACGTCAACATGTAGCTCCTTCTTTTTGGGCAAAATTTATAAAAGTAGAAGAAGAAGTAAAAGGTTTCCAGTTATTTAAGTCAGCTGTAAACGATTTGTACGAATCCTTAAAAAATTTTTCGCCTATTCTAAATAAATTAAACACTTTGAATAACTGTTGTGGTGATAATAAGCCAATATTTGGTGAAAGAGATGTTCTTATGGGATTCAAGCAGTTATTACGTGCCACCTTACTCTCCCAGTTGCCATTGGACTTTCCTGTTATAATTAATCACTTTTATAAAATCTCATTTAATGTGTTTGACAATGAATATGAGAATTCGGAGATGCCTGATGATATAATGTGTTCTGGCTGTTGGAATGAGTCTATTGATTGCAACTGTGCTTACATTGTGAAAATATTTCATGATACTAATAGAAAACTAGTGGAATTACAACTTCTTGAAAGATTAACTGGTCAAGTATTGACTAATTTTATACAGTTAAGGATTGAATCACATATACAAAAAGTATGTGCAGGTACATTTGATGTGTCTCACATTGGTTTCCTTGAAAACTGGTTAGATACCACAGTAATGTCCTGGTTGACTAGAATTTACTGCGCCGGTTCATCAAAACCTCAGCCAGATAATCATATTGTTTTGAATGCAATATCTAAATTTAAGCAAAAATTAAGTTATTTTCTATACCATAGTTACACTAAACTGAGAATTGATCAGTTATTTAACATAGTCATTGATTACCCAGACTCCCAGGCAGCAGTAGATGATATCAAACTATGCTTAGACAAAACAGATTTGAGATCTACGCTGTGTAAAAAATTACAGAATGCTCTAGAAACTAGGTTACTGCATCCAGGAGTTAACACTACAGACATTTTAACAGCATACATATCAACCATACGAGCTCTGAGACATTTAGATCCATCTGGAGTAATTCTTGAAACTGTAACCAAACCAGTCAGAAGTTACTTGAGGAATAGAGAAGATACTGTAAGGAGTGTTGTTAGTAGTTTGACAGAAGAGGGAGCTGGTAGTGAATTAGCTGAGGAATTGGTTAAGTTTGCTGTAGATAATGATAATGAAAACGATAAAGAAGAAGATTGGGATGAGTGGGAGCCAGATCCTGTAGATGCTGATCCTAAAGTTAATTCCTGCGATAGGAAAGCTAGCGATATTATATCAATGCTTGTAAATGTGTATGGCAGTAAAGAGTTATTTGTCAATGAGTATAGAACTCTCTTGGCTGACAGGTTACTGGGACAGAGTGTTATAAATACTGAAAAGGAAATAAGATATTTAGAACTGTTGAAATTAAGGTTTGGTGAATCTCAACTGCATTTCTGTGAAGTTATGCTGAGGGATGTCTCGGATTCAAAAAGACTAAATGCTCTCATACAACAGGACAGGAACTTTGAGTCTTTAAACAGCAAATTTTCTTCAAATGCTATGATTCTTTCTGCACAATTTTGGCCCCCATTTAAAGATGAGAGTCTTGAACTACCAGAGGAAATAAAACAACATTTTGAAGCTTATACCAAATGTTACGAGACTCTCAAAGGTAACAGAACGTTAAGTTGGAAACCACATTTAGGTAATGTGAATATAGAAATTGAAATAGGGACAAAGAAATTAGATCTCATTGTTTCACCTTTCAATGCCACATTGATAATGCACTTCCAAAATAAACCAGAATGGTCTCTTGAAGAATTGCATCAAGTAATGAAGGTACCAATTACAATATTAAGAAGAAAAATTACTTACTGGCAATCTCTTGGGATTATAACTGAAAAAACCACCGACAACTATGCATTAGTTGACGGGAGCGAAGCAAGTAAACCAAGTGGTAGTAGAAACCAAGTCCAGGATATGATTTGTGAGGATGAGGAAACAGAAAGTGTAATGGCTTCTGCCCATGATCAAAGGGAGGGTGAGCTTCAAGTATTCTGGTCATACATAGTTGGTATGCTAACTAATCTAGATTCATTACCTTTGGAAAGGATTCATCAGATGCTAAAAATGTTTGCATCACAAGCTCCTGGTACCGAATGTAGCTTACAGGAATTAAGACAATTCTTAGATACTAAAGTTCGCACACATCAACTTATTTTACAGGCGGGAATGTATAAGTTACCTAAAACATAGAAAAAAGAATTTTATACTGTGCTATATATGGAATTAAACGATTTAATTACATATAAGGGGCTTTTATATCTTCTACCCATATTGTTTCCATACAATGTAAAAAACATATATATTAGTAGTAAATAAATCAAACACATAAAATTTAACAGAACTTTATTTTTACAATGTGTTTATGTATAAACTTTTGGTGACACTAATATCTGTGGGTTAATTTGGGACATATGCATTCTGGAAAGGGATTACTCATACATTTGATTCAGAGGAAAATTCAAATTTTTCAGACTTTGAATACCACCAATTATAAAATAAGTTTCAATACTTTTTACAATATACTTTGTCAGTCTTAATATCTATATAAAATACTGAAGGAATACATACAAATGTTAACACTTTCTATGTACTGTTAAATGATACAAGAACATTTTCAATGGAATGCATAATGTAAATACAATAACATGCATTTAATATGTATTGGGCCGGCAAAATGCACTACAGCTTATTGATAAAGAAGTGTTATTAATATAATATTTGTCTATTTATATTTTCTATTGAAAAAAAACCTACTTTATAATTTATGCAAGTGAAAAAGCTTTGACATCATAATACCATAACTTTAATTTCAAAGTATGTATTTAAATTATTAAGTAAGATCTTTAAATTTCGGAATGTTATTACCAATTTCCTTGTAGCACCAATAATATAATATATCTATTGTATTCTTTTTTATAGTAAACAAAACATTCTCATAACAGATCAATCTCATGTGTTAAATACTTCTATCTTAACAATAAACAAAATTATTGCCTAAAATTATATTTAAGTATTACATATAGTACATAATATTGTGTAAAATAAAAACTAATCAATAAATAAAAATATAATATAAGAGGTAAATGGTGCAAGAAGTATCTATCTATAAGTAATTGCGTTAAAACTCAACATTCTAAAAAGTTTTCAAGTCGTTAAATGTAATTATTATTAAAAGTGGCCACAATATACATCTCAGTTGTAATACATTAGTTAAGTATGTAATGATAAAATTATGTTGATCCAATATAAAGCTTCTAATACATTAGAGCCGTATCTATAACACAAATAAATTATTAGTCTACAACAGTTAAAGCTCTACAAGTAGTTTACATATGTACACAATTCAGTGCAATGGCAATAAAAATTACCAGAGAACATCTGTCACAATATGTTTTAAAGCGTTTTTAGTTTTATTTCAATTAAATATATCTATACATAAAAATAATACGTTACAGATGTGGAATTATAAGCTTATTTCTGTTTGTATACAGAATTTTTCATTATGAGTACTGATGTTTGGTGTATTCACGAAACGTTCTTTTTAATTAAGCCACACAATAGGTGCAGAAAATTTCTTTTTTTAAGAATATATATAATATATAAACTGACAATAGCTTTGAAATTAAATGATGAAAGTTCTTTGATATTTTAAATATCACAAAGTACAAGTAATTTTATGGTCAGAGAATATGAAATTTATTACTGATTGATTTTGGATAACACCATATTGTGAAAGATGATCTGAGAAATCATCAATCGATATTTGGCTTGTTAAAAAAATATACATTGAAAGTTATTAAAACTATAATATGTTAAATATTTAAATGCGTAAAACTATAAAATATCTTACTTATTAATAAATTATTAAGTACACGGTTTCATTAAGTCCATATATTATTCATTAGTGCTAATCTCATGCGGACGATATTGTTAATTAGACTAATAAAATCAAATCCTTTCAACTTTAATTAGATAAAGAGAATTAGACTGTAGTTTTGGAACATTAAATGTTGCAATTCTTCTATATATCAGTACTTAAGTAACGGTGTTTTAGAGTATGTTATTAAATAGTATCGTGTAAAAAGATATTATTGTATCGTATAGTTCGAAGCAATCTTATGTATTTTTACATTTTTGCGCAACATAATGTTTTGTTTGAAGCTCGAACTATACGGATTAGTTTGTTTACATATGTGTGTGTTACATGTGTATGTGTGTATGTGTCTACCGGTTGTGTCTGATGAGTCCTGGTATGGGCGTGGTTGTGGGGTTCTGTGGTCTCTTGAAGGGTCCCAGTCTCTTGGTAGGTCGCGGTGACACTGAGTGCGGCTCCCCACTAGCCCAGGAGCTCGCCCCGTGGTCGATCAGAGCGTTAGCTAACCGGGCGCCGTTATGATCTGGAAGTTAGGTTATTTGTATTATTTTATTAATAAACTACATTGGATTTTAATCATGAACATCACCATGATTTCAAATTTATAATTGTGAAACTGTAAGTCTAGGTTTCCTCATGATGTTTTCCTTCACCGTATGTCAGTGGTGTCTAAATACTCTCCGAAAGTACATATGACTCTGAAAAATCATATTGGTACTTGCCAAGTTTGAACCCGATGCTAGATACATGTTATTTGAAAAATGTCAGTTTCAATTAATTTGAACAAAGTTTGACTATCGTTTCTTAAATACTGAATAGATTATTTTTTGATGAAAAAGCCATCCTTTTCAATCATTAACTATTTAGTGAAATTGCGGTTGAGCGAAAAGAATTCCTATTTGGCAAGGAAATATATTTTAGAGTACCGTTCTGTATCGCGTGTTTGTCTGTGGGCACGGGGTCCATGATTCTCGCCACGAACCCCTCGAAGCTTGTTGGTTGCGTGTGATCCTGTACGAGTGCGTCCAACGCTCGGCGTCTCTCGGAGCAGGCGTGCTGGTACAGCGGCATGGTGGCCCGGACCGCGCGCCCGCCAGCAAACGCCGCGCCGCGGACCAAAGACGCCGCGCACGACAGGCGGATCACACACTCCTCCCATAGAGGACCGAATACAGCCACCTGTAGGAAAAATAGAGGACAAAATTACTGGTGGTAAATATATTGAAAATTGGTTCTTCAGAGTTGATCGGTTTTGTTATATGACTAAAACCAGTGGTATATTATGTCGTTTTGTTATTACAATGAATTTATAGGTAAGATATAATAATAAATATTTAAAATGATATATGTATTAGTTAAAATAAAATTTACCGGTATGACCCTAATAGACTTGCACACATTAAGTTCGATTACATATTTGATTCCTTTCCTATAAACGTTACATTTTATTTTTATTCTTACAAAAAATGTGCATAATTTATACAGTATAAATAATTAATAATCAATATTTTCAAAATTCAAATTATATACATACTTCACTGTGTTTCAAGGAAAGAAACGAGAGTTGAATAGTTTTTCACTATCATCTCACTCAAGGACATTTAGAAACGTATGTAGCTTTAGATATAATGTTATCTCAGTACAAATACAGTATACAGTTTTTCCTTGAAAACCTATATTGGTGACGTACATCTGGTTTCCTAGAGACGGTACACCTCAGCAGGCCGGCCGGTAGCGGGTACAACACTATGAGTACGTCACAGAATTGTGTGGGCAGAGTGTCGCGGCGGTAGGTCCGCCAATGTTCACTCCATACTACATGCACCTCGTCGTTACCGAGGTGACGGGTCTGAAACATTATTATAGAAAAATTAATTATATTTTTCTAGTTATATATCTAAAATATAGGGTTTAGTTAGATTTTTAGTGAGCAGTTTGAGAGACAGATAGATGTATGTATATGTTGTATGTGAGTTAAAAAAATTAAAGTACATTAAGCAATAATTGTTAACCCTATAGGGTAAGCAGGCAACTGAAGTAGTTAGAATGATTTTTATCCCCCGTTTTTTTTTCTAAAATATTGAAACTGCTCTTATTGGCGGTATGTCATAACTAGGTGACAGTATTTCATCTACAACTTTTTTTGATAAAAGATATATGTACATATCCAATATTAAAAGTATTCCTCAAAACAGACTACGTTACTCTAGATTAGCTCATTCAAACTATCCAACAAACTGTTCAGTTTAACAACATTTTCGTTTCAATATACCTTGTTAAGTATAGCGTCGGGTGTGTCGGCCGGCATCCGTGTGGCGACGTGGAACAGCGCCTCTAGTGTGAGTGTAGCGATGTAGGGGGCGCTCACACCGCCGCCCCCACCGCCCCGCAGACCACCCGTGAAGCCCACGTGACTCTCCAGTTCCACCTGAATAATTCATTTAAATTAGGATATTATTATTATATTATCTTTTTACCTACTAATATTATAAATGTGACAATTTGTAAATATGTGGAACGGTTATTAACATAAATTTACAATAAAACAGTTTAGATATTAGAATAACACTTAGGTGTATCCCTTTATTCTGTCTAGATTGCCATTAAAAACATCACAATATTTGTATGTAGTATGAAAACGATAGATGTTGCTGTTACTTAATAGTTGGCTGATAGATAGCTGTCGCATAAGCACATCATACATTCTCTCTGAACACAACACATAAGACAAAGTGGTCGAAGTGGCGGACGAAAACTAGTTTCAAATAAGTATACAAAGCATGTACCTCCCACGCCAAAGCAGCCAGGAAGGCTTCGTAGGCCGGACTGCCGCATCTGTTCGATAATATCTCGTTCCTTGTTTCCTGGCCCTTACCCACGTAGATGACCGCCACCTTATGGGTCTCACGGCATCTGTATACAAAAATATTTAGATGAACACGTCACTGTTTACATATATACATATGTAACCTATAAGCATGTATGCATGTAAATGAAACTAATATTTTTCCGTGATCACGGCTGGTGAATAGTAGGCGAAACGTCGAAAATATGTAGTTTTTGACAAAAATAAAGTCGCGCAGTATATTCAAAAAATATTAGTTTCATTTAAATGAATAAAACTCGCGAAAATCTTAGCTCAAGTAAATTATGTGTGTGTGTGTGTGTATACCTCTGTGCGTCGAGGTTCCGCAGTTCCCTCAGCAGTCTGTCGGACCTCCTCAGCAGGTGCGCGTGTGGTCGTCTCGACGCCCCGAGCGTCCCCAGCTGCGCCAGTAGCAGGCGACACTGTTCAAAGGAGCCCGAGGCCCCTCCCCCGCGGACAACGTCCGGTTCTGGCTCACATTCTTCATCACTGTACAGATAATATGACGTATTGTACAGATGTGCAGAATTTTTTTTTGCGAGTTAATATTTTCATGACTGTAACGTACGGGCTACATATTGAAAACATACATGAACATCACAGGGGAAGCATCATCGTATGGATAAAATATCATATAACGAGGTGCAGCTGACTCCGCGGAACGAACACCAAGCCGTGAGAACCAGAAGATTCCTGATACCACACAAGCTATGGAATGGCATTGCTATCCTAACATCGCGATTATCATGTAGTCTTGGGTATAGGTTATAAGTTTTAATATGTAATTCTTATCATAATATAGATACTATCGAGTTAGGATAGCTTTTTGCTCGCTTGGCTACTCTAGTATGTAGTAAAATCTATGTAAATTTAGTAGTGTTTGTTACCTATCTCTATTGGCGAGGTAGTTCCTCTCAGCATTGCGATGTGCGACGAGCGCGCAGACCAGCTCGTCCTCCACGCCGGGCGGGAGGGGCGAAGCACCCACCTCGTCCAGCCGACGACCGCACGTCACCTCGGGAGACGTGTGGCCGATATACGCTAACACCTACATACAGGAATAAGAAACTATGAAGAATGATAAGTATTAGACGTTTAATATGCTTTAATTCATAATGTATTTAGTACTAGTAAGTGAGATATTAGTAAATTGGAAGTTTTTATGGATTTCAATGATTTCTTAAACGTTACCAAAATCTAAATAATCTTTTTAACTTAAGAAGACTGAAAGCTGTATACAGGGTGACTGGTGAATTAATATCAATATTTAAGGAGAATACTCGGTACATGATTCTCATTCGAATTATGTAAAAAAAAATAGGTACTTAATTTTTCACCAAATTTCCGTATAAATAAATAAAATGTGGACACGTTCCAAGTGTAGACGCGTGCGGCGGCGTGCTGATACAACAACACGCTCCCGCACGCGTATGCGTGTGTGTGTGTATACCTAATCTGTAGGGTGTTCACACGATGCGTAATTAATTACATAACTTTTGGTTCACTTTACTTAGAAGTTTATTAATATTTATGTTATATTAATTTTTATTTTGTCATATATGATCGTCAAATATCACGTCCTCAAGTATCGATAGTAATTCACCAGTCACCCTGTATATTATAAATGTCACTCATTCAATGAACGAATTAATAGAACTACTTTCTGTCAATTTTTCTCGACAGAATCTCTCTACTCGTATGGAGTCATTCTGCCGAGGTCTAAAAGCGTCTCATAGAAGAGAAATAATTATGTTTTGATAAGTAATAATAAATCTAGTATGGAATGTTTATAATACTAGGACTTACATGATCTAATTGGTGTTTGTCGGGCGGAGAGTTCTTGTAGTCTGGGAGCAGATCAGGTGGTAGCGGCGGAGGGAGAGATGATAACGTGTTATCGCTAGGACTCTCCACACTTAGAAATAAAATTAATACATTAATATTTGAAGGATATTTAATGTAGGCTATCAGTAGAAACTTTTTAAGGGCTCTAGGTCAGCTAACGTTTCTTAAGTATACGAGTGAATTTAAGTGGAAGGTATGTATGAAGATACAAGTTTTTGTGACGTATTATATTCAATATCCCGTGTATGAATGAGTTTATTTTGGTAAATAGTCAAAAATGATGAGTGAGTTTAAAACATTGTTGTCCCTACGTATAGGCCATAGCAAAATATGCTGTAGTTGCTATATGGCTAATAAGGAGCTGATGAAATATTGTTTAATATATTATCAAGGGTAACTAACGTTTTCGGAACTGGTATTTGCTGAGGTTGTTCGGCACCAGCGACTGTCGGGTCGTAGTGGAGAGCGGAGGCGTCCCAACACGCCTTGCCACATATATCACGCAGCAACACACGCACTTGACGGTCGGAGGTTGCTAGACCTGCTCGGAAAAAATAACCAATACTGACAACCGGAAGGACTTGGGAATAATCACAGGCTTAGAACTTACTCTTCCTATTTTGTTGGTCAAGAATTTACCAAAATTGGGAGATAAAATATATGTTTAAGAATTTTGAGTAAAATATTTAGAACTAAACCTAAATTTTAAAGAAAACAGTATCAATATAGCCATTATGTCTAAGATGAGATGTATCAAATAGCTATTGGCTCGCCTTATTAGTTCTATGCATAATTATGTCCACTTATTCTGTAAATTACTAAATTTCACTAACAAATAAACGCGTCTTCATTACACATTACGTATCTAAATTGAGCCTTATCGCCTTAATATTAGAGTTTAAGCTTACCAGGTGCAGTACCACTGCATGGTAGGTCCATCGCGGGTAGTTCAATGAGGCTGGCTAGTGTCGAGTCACTGAACCTCATGAGTTGTAGGTGAGGCGCCCGGAGTACGGCCGCGCCTAGCTCCGGGCCTAGCGACGGGCTGTCGTGTTGTTCACACACACTGGATGATGTCTGACAACCGCTCCACAAAGGCCATTGACCCAGGTACAGGACCAGCTGACTGCAGATCTGATAGTACAATTATAAATACACTGTAGAACTATTGTATTTTCTTCCGTTACTAAGGGTAGGGATGGACTGATGGGAATCGTGTGAACGCCTACAATACCACACGCCTGCATGCAACATTTTTTCTTATTAAGGACCTTATCTCAACTTGGAGTGTCTTTGTTAATTTGTAACTCGCCTAAACAAGTCCATAGGATGGCAATCAAAAATCAATAAAATCATTTTAACATGTTGAAAATTATGTATTAAGGCAGTAGAAGATCAAAATAATATTGCTTGGAATATTTTTCTGTTACTTCGTCTTTCAATGGTATAGTTGTGTTTCTTACAGTTTGTGCCCATAGCTTGACGTCGATGGTGGAGGCGGGAGTGTTCTTGGGTGACAGGTTGTCAAACTGAACGTTCGGGTCGAAGTCTTCATCGACCGGCAGCGAGAGGATCTCGATGTCTGACCCGCTGGCACCCTTCATGACAGCGTACAACACCTGGACATTTAATATTATGTTAATTTCCTTAATATTTTTTGCTTAAAAGGATACTTATTATAGAAGTTTCATATTTGTACCTATATTACCATAATGAAGTCCCAAGCTTAATCTTCTAAAACGAAAATAAGTGAAAAATTTTATTGGAACTATTTAACTTAAAACTTAAATTCATTTCAACCTTACATTAATTTAAATATGCTATAATAATGAATACAATAAAAATATTTTAATTATATAGAAATAGAAAATATGCCAAGGTTTTTCATATAAGGATTCTAATAAAAATAAAGTTTTACGTAAATTTTATTGAACAGTTATTACATGTCTCTCATTAGCACCGTGTTACGTTCTACTGCGAATGTTGTCATAGTATCGGGTACAGTTTATAACGCCGCAGCATCCAACACTCATCACAGTTAAACATCTGATTCCAACAACAACACACGTTCTATTCAGAATCAAACCACAAACATGCAGAAAATCGTAAGTATTGCAAAATTAACTTGTGAATCATTTATTAGTATGTGTGTGCATAAGTAAAAGTTTTTTTTCAACACATGTGACAATACATATTATTTTAAGGCTGTGTGAATTGTGAAAGCTGTTTGTGTTTGTAGTGTGATTCATAGATGTCTTTTGGGACTGAATCATATAAATAACAAATCTCGTCTGCCTGTAATCACGGTTACTGCAAAAGTACCCGAAACGTCGGTAGTATGTTGTTATGGAAATAAAATGTGCCTAATATTCGCGTAGAAAGTCTTAGATTTATTCCCAAAGAGGGTTGATGTCAGGCAGGCGGCCGGTCGTAAAAACAGTTAGCCAAAATTATTCACAACATGTAAGGCAGACCCTGGGTAAAGCTGGCAAATTGCCAGGAAGAAGAAGCAAGTCTTAAATCTCATTATATAATGAATACTTTTCTAGGTGTTTTTCGGTCTAGCCCTATTGGCTATCGTCGCCGCGGCCCCTCAAGACCCCCAGGCTTACATCTTGAGACAGGAGTCTGATGTCAATCCCGAGGGTTATAACTTCGAGTGAGTATTTATCAACCAGATTTTATTTTGATAGAACTGTTTTCCTATATCATATAACAGCTGTACTTCATATTTTGTCATAATATTATCTTGATGTATAAAACAAAGTCGTGTTAGTTACATTATTTATAACTCAAGAACAGTTGTTGGGATATGGTTGAAAATTAGTGGGGATATAGCTGAGAACAAGGGAAAGGACATAGGATATTTTTCATCCGATTGAGAAAAAAACCGATCAAATCCAAAATCTTCTTATCTACTGTATTTAAGATGGTATAGAGTTCGCCCGGTCAGCTATACATTTCTAATTATGAAAGTAACGCGTAGAAAAGCTAGTATATAATAAAAACATGTTTGTTTAAGTAAGTGCTAGTTCATTATAATATAAGCTTATAACATTATATATTCTATAGGTTTGAAACCAGCGACGGTATCACCCGTCAAGAGCACGGTGTTCTCAAGCAGATAAGTGAAGATCACCAAGGTATTGAAGTCCACGGCAGCTACAAATACACCGCACCGGACGGCCTCGTTTACACCGTCAACTTCATAGCCAACGAACACGGTTTCCAACCACAAGAACATGTTGAACATCCCTCACAATAAACCATCGAAATTATTCTTAACAACACTTCATTGTATGTAAATATTAATTAGGATTCGTTTTTGTAATCCTTTGTATAATTTTTTTATGTTTGTAAAATGATTTTGAATAAATATTTGTTATATTAAAATTTGTTCCATTACTCATCCTTAACTTAAAATCTGTTAGCTTTGAAGGTAATAATCAAATAATTTAAAATATAAACCAAACAACAAGATATTATTATAATGAGATGCAAATTGTTCTTGAAAACAAAACAAAAAAAAACTTAACGTTTAAATTTTCTAAATGTCAAATATAGTAACTTTGTTTATCTAGTAAATTAATTATTGAATATTCAAATTATTCAAAGCTAACAAAGAACTAATACGATATTTACTTATTAATACTACACCTTAAATATACACTTATTATGAAAAAATAACTTTAAGACTTAAGTTCGACCAAAAACTATAACTTATTCCAAACAAATTATATACTTACAAACATACATTGTAAAGTTTTTTGGAAGATATGTTTATAATTATTTTCCTGTACACACACACACACACACATACATAAGTTATATAATGAAGACACGTTAATAATATTAGTCTTCATCACACATCTTTTTCTTCCTGGCAATTTCCCAGCTTTAGCCAGTGTCCGCCTAGTCTCCATTATACATGTGGGGGTGTAACATAATCATAACATAGAATGAGATGAATGAAAGAAAGAATTAGAATGCAGAATGACAGGCCCTTACAATAGCGAGAACTGGTATGAATGTAGTTAGCAGAAAAAGACTCTGACCATGTTAGAGGGAGTAGCTTTAAAAAATATATATATATATATATATATAGTCATTACCTTGAACACCATCAGCAGCAGCGATCCCCCGTCCTCATGATGCGCCAGCAGCCGGGCCGGGCCGCACCGTACCGAGTACTCAGCCAGACACAGTAGAAGGGACCCCGCCAACGGCTTCACAGACTCACGGCCACTCATACTTGAGATTTGTGCCAGACACGCGCATATCCACTTTATTATCTTCTCTATACAACAAAATACATATATTATTCAATTTTTATTCGGTCATGTGGAGTCCATTATATATTTGTATTAACTTAACTGATGGTGAATACGATTAATGCATTATCACAATGTACTTATATGTGTAATAAATACATTTATATGATACTAGGACATATTATTCATAACTTTTATATTTTAATTTTAATCTAATATAATTAATTTCAAAATAAAACTAAGAATATATATCATTCATTATCAAACTATCTATTTAAGTCAGAAAGATATAATTATAAAAATATGAACCTCCTTGAAGTATCAGTGGTGTAAACAAAGGAAATGCTTTAAATGATATAATTGTACTTTTTAGAATTACCTTAAATATGAATTTGCAATAACTCAATCCAAAATACATAGTTTTATGCATTATAAATGCTATGTATACATCCAAATTTTACTCAACTGAATCTTAATAAATCAATAGTTCATTTAAGTAAAAATAAATTAGTATTCCACTCAAATCAAACACTTAATATTATGTGCATGTTATTATTATTTCCCATTTAGTTCGTTCCTGTAAGTATTCCTTCACTCACCTACTAGTCCTGGATATAGTTCAACTATCCGGTCCGTATAATCAGCTAACACCAGCACAGCATCACTGACAACCTTAGCTATGGTTTTATTCTTCATCTGGAACAATATAAATAGATCAAATGTAATATACTTTAAATATGCGTTAAATCATGTATATATTTAATAAAATATATTTTTTTTAAAGTTCAAAACAGATGATTGACTTTTTCAAATCTTGTGTGGAATATGAAGTAATGTTAAGCATTAAGCGAAACATATTAAGCAATTACCACAACTAAAGATAAAAATTATCATGTCTTTATATATGTATATGTTCTTGGGCTTATATTATTGATATCTCATATTACAGTTCAACTCACCATGAGCATCTGTAGTAGGCAGGTGACGTATGAGGGTAGTCGAGGAGCCTCCGCCCTCTCAGCCAGCAGGTGCGCGACGTGGGCCGCCAGGGCACAGGCGCCGGCACACCGCGCCGCTGCTGACCCCTCGCGGCGACACACACGAACTACTATGTTGAGGACGTGTTCCTGTGAGAGTAACGGTAGATATTATGAGACATTATATATTGAAATTAAAGTTTATTTATTTATTTATTTAAGATTCACCAGTGGTAAATACATCAATACATACAAAGGTATAAAATTTTTAAACAACTTAAAACTAAATGCATTACCTATTAAGATTATAGATTATGTATATTTATTTACGAATATTTTAAACGTATAATATATATTTAACATGAGCGAGAGAGTTAAATGTACAAAAATGTATATTCCTTATATTAATATACATATAGATTTCTTTTATCACCAACTTATATCATGAGAAATGTTACGTCAAAGATGTTAGTATGATAATTGCTTGCGGTTAAAACGCTTGCAATGCAACTTTACCTTCAAGTCAGGGCATGACACCGTGTTATACTGATGAGGATAGGGCTGCAGCATGGGAGCGTTCATGAGCTCGTCAGGTAACGCTAGCAGAGAACCCAGGAACGTGACGGCAGCGGTGCGAGGACACTACGAATTATTATGAAACATTAAATAATTATAATTTATAACCATTTATAAATGGAACTAATATTTGCAGCCCGTGATCATGCCTGCTGAAAAGTAGCCGATACGTCGGGAGTATGTAGTTTTTAATCAAAAATAAATACGCGAAGTAAAATCCGAAAATATTAGTTTCATTTAAATGAGTACTCGCGAAAATCTTAGTTCTCAATTATAACTTTTAATGTAACTTTTTATAAGGAATATAATTAAATGACTGTCCGCCCATAACAAAATTTCTAAGAACCGAGGAGACTTACATTCAATTATAATAATTATTAAAAAAATCAAATCAATTTATATTTCGTACTAGAAAATTAAACGCAATTTAATATCATAGTAAGACTAAACAAACTATAAATTGTTCAGGGTAAGTACTAAATAAGAGTAGCGTTCAATTTTAGATATTAAACTTATATTACTTTTCGATACAATTAATTAAATAGGACTATACTCCAAGGTTTTGGTATAAGATTTGGACTATTTCTATCAGTTTTCCATACCGAGGGTCCCATATCAGAGGAATTCAACACGACTGTTGATGCGTGAACGAAGTCCAGAAGTAGTAGTGAGTATCCGTCGAGGGCTAGCGAGAGGTAGCGGGGAGCTGCGTGCTCCACCAGAACATCCACTACTGACCGGTCTTCACCTGTTAGACCTGGGACGAAAAGACAATTAGCTTAGGAAAACTTTAGTACTCTGAGACATTGTCTTGGTGTTTTTAAATTATAATAAAAATAACATCAAGACTTTTTTTTTATTGGTTTTTACATCGCTAGTATCGTTAATTTTTCAGATCAATATGGATTAAACCATTTATTTCTTTCTAAAAAGTCGCTTATTTTTTTATTAAGATCGTCGAAAATATGTGACACTTTAGTTTAAGTTTTAATAATATATATAATTTATACATAAAAATTACACAAATAAAGTAAATATTATGAAAGAAAATTAAAGACGCTGCAGGGGTATAAAACCAGGTTAGATTAGTATTTACCGTGATGTAGTGCTCGCTGGTACAGTTGTAGGTGAGCGAGGTGTGGCCTGCCCGAGCAGGAGATGGGAGCGCCCGGACCCTGCGCCTGCGCAGCCGTCGACTCGCACAGCAAACGGAGTGCCACCAATTTACCAGCCCTACATACAATACACAATATTTTATATAAATGTATGTAATTAATCTACTTAAGATATTAAAATATGAGATTTAATTTATTAACACAACCAGGACTTGAACCTACAACATCAAGTACATCGCGTTCAATTTGCTTCATAAGTTTTTCTTCGGTGTCCTAATTCCGATCAGTAAATTAAACAATTAATAAATTTAACCACGAAAAATGAATATAATATCTCAATTAAATATTTTCTAAAAGAATTTTCTATAGGAGTTTATTTGTATATATTGTAAGGCATTAGAGAGATAATAAATTTGGACATGTTTCATGATTCATTTTCAAAATTCAAACATACTTTGCATAAATATTACTCTCTAAAATTGTAACTGTTTCACTTTTAATTTGTGTTGTTTTTTTTATAAAATAGTGTTGTTTTTGTAGAAGTAATTTAATTTAGTTAGATTAAGGTGTTGTCGTTGTTATAAAACTTTTTAGACAGTGCTGTGAATACCTGTAATAGGTGTACATATGGAGACCTATACTTTTGACTGTATTGAATGTTGCATATGTGTACTGTTGGTGTTCCTAAGTAATTAATATAAAATAAGTCATTACCTGTGTGATGGTGGAAGTGCCTCAGCCTCGAGACACCAGCCGGCCACCAGGTTGAAGGGCACGTGGATCTCCGTGTTGCCATTCAGAGTTTGATTCTGACTTATCTGTAGAGCATCACTTACATTTACTTATATTCAACGCATTTATTTCGTATATCAATGACCAAATATATATGTATATATTGTGTACGCTTGTTTAATACTCAAAATACATTACGCTTTCTTTATATCAAAGTACTTCCCATGGTGTAAATTTCTGAATCACTAGTAACTTTTCAACGACCTCGTATATTAACATAAATTCATTACTGCTATATAATTAAAAATACATCACATTTCTTAAATAATAATATAATTTAAAACGCTATTTACAAAACTTTTAGAAACATATGTTACTTGCTTGACATTTTGTTTAAGTCTACCCTCATATAACTTTTCTTTATGTTTCCGACTTCAATTGCAATTTGAATTTTTATTTGTAACCGTCCGTAATGTTTTTACTTTGAAATTTCTTAAACTGTTTAATTTAAATGATACGCAATAACGATATCTAAAATTTTCGAAGGTACACAGTTATATGAAACTAACTTTTTCGTATGACATCCGACTTTTATGTTATATCAATACGATCCCAACGTTCCGGTTCCTTTTCAGCAACCGTGACCACGGGTAGACGAGAAGAAAGTATTTAATTAAGTCCTTTTATAAAAAAATATCGTCTACTAAATCTTCTACAAAGTTTTAATCGAATGCTATAAATCATTAATAAAAGTAATCTTTTTTAAATAATAAATTTTACGAGCAGAAATATTCACGTACAAATTCAAACAATACAATAAATACTGAAACTAGTTTACACGATAAAACTAAAGATATATTTACGACGTAATTTCAATAAAAACAAAAGAAATTCATTTCTAATACTTCTCTTTTGCGACGTCGTCTCAAAAGCCTTCTTTTTCCTGCGCCTCTTTCGCATTGGCAGTCCTTAAATAATTTCGTATTCGACAACAGCTCGCACAGTTTCAATAAAACCATACATAAATCTATCTCACGATATAATAACGTTTACACTTCACAAACAATAAATACCATCACGATCAAAACACGACCGATGATAAAAATATTAGAGATAAATCAGCTATACGTTACAGCATCTGCCGAACAAGCGGTATCACTGATAACTGACACATATATTGACAATATTAAATATCCTTTAACATTCTAAATACGTAGGTTTTCACGGCGAAGAGTAATTGATTACGTTATCCGTTGTATTTGATTGGTATATTTAACTATGAAAACCATAAACGTGTCACGGTTTATACAAGTTGAGAAATATTCTTATATTTATATGGTACGTGTTAATTTTTTACTTCTACTATAGTATTTTGTGACGATAGATTGTTTATGTCACAGACCTTGACTTTCAGACCTCTGACTAATATTCGATGTATGAGTAGGATAAAGGTGCAATTCATATTGGAATTATTTTTATATAATAAATATTTAAAACTAATAATAACAAATATGTAGTACTTTGCGTGGAACTGTTGAAGGTATTTGTTGGAAAATACAAATAATTACATGAATAATTCATTATCATAATAATATGTTATTTCAAATGTATCGATAATGTTCGAGTCGTTGTATTTGTAAATCACAACTGGTTCAGTCACGTATAACGAAGAAAAAACTTTGTATAAATGTTTAATCAATGGACATTAAAAAAAATAATTCTTGAAAGCGTTTGTTAGTTAGTAAAAAGAAAAAAATTAACTTGAAATAAATTTTATAGTGCTCTAAACATACTGATGTCTGTTTTCGTAGTTGCGTGTAATAACTAAGGAGGAAATCATAGAATTACATGACAATTAGAATAATATAACAAAATCTAATATAATGTTCGAATATTTTCTATAAAAAAATACATCTCGTCTACCCGTGATCACAGTTGCTGCATTGTAACTGAAACTTCGGGAGCATGAAATTTAAAAAAATAATAACCTACGCGTAGTAATTCAAAAATATTAGTTTCATTTAAATGAATAAAAACCGTTGACGCCCTTTATGTAGTGAGACGAAGCACACTTGTGCTAAGTATACAAATATGAAGTTTAATATATGTTGGTGAAATATTGATAAACCGATTCGGTCCAATAAAATGTATCACGAATGAATACAATTTTATTCGTAATTATATAAAAAAGAATCTATGTAATTTCTAATTGAGTGTCTCTGTGGTGGTCACCAAATGCACTGTCGTCAATTTATTTGTGTACAGTAAAATATATATTTTTATCACTCAACAGATGATGCCACATGTACAGTAATACCCCGCTTAACACGACCCCGTTATACGCGGTTTCACTATAACGCGAATTTCAAAAATTTATTCAGATTTGGACATATTGCAGAGTATAGATAATAATGATGACCGCGCCTTGACCGTGTGTCAAACAATTAAAAACAGTGTTGGGTGTTATGAAATTATTTTACAAGAACGTAAACAAAACGCTACCCAAAAGACAATACATGTATTTTTTCGTAAAAAATAGAGTACCTATGTATTGTATAGTGTTCTTAGAATTAAAATGATTGATTAAAATGATTTTTATATTTGTGTATTAAATTTTGATTGTGTTTAATCATAACTCGATATACGCGAATTTCAGTTAACGCGATTTTCTTCGGAACGTATTACTGTAAACATTTAAGTAAGCGACTGTACAATAATATAAGTCAACTAACTAGCCTCCTTTGTAAAAAATAATAATAATAATATAAGTCTAAAACTATATGTCATATTAGCATTGAGAACTAATGCGTAGTAAATAATTTGTTTTAAATATTTTTGTTGACATATCTGCTACTTTTTGAGTCTTTATTACCGGTTAGGTTAGACTAAACAGTACTGTTACGTGTTCAGCTATTTAAATATTTAGAGAGTTTGAACTACGTTTATAATTTAACTATAATATATAACTGTTTGTTATCACTGACTTCCATTTAACCGTGATCACAGCACATTATATGTATTGGTTCTTCAGATTGATTACAACAATATAATGTTGAACAATGTAACACTGATATAAAAAGTCTACCAGTTTTGAACAAACAAAAGTAATAAAATCTAGGTTTAGTTAGTAATATAAGAATCTATATTTTATGAGTAGTTTGTATAACAATTTGGGACTAAAAATATATATTTTAAGTAAAGAAATTATAACATTTGAAATGTAACGTAAAGTATTCTAGAAAAAAAAGAACAGAAATATGTTAATGAAAATTTTAATATTTATTTTTATTCAATCTTTAAAATTTTTTTAACTTTTACAAGTCAAATAAGTAGCGTCTATATGAAAAAAATGTAATAGTTTTTATAGCGTCTTTAGCTGTAGTGTTGTTTATAAAAATGAAGTGTAAAACAGTGATTTTCTAAACTCTGGTATTAGTCTAGAATTTAACGATGACGTATCATCAATACAGTAGAACTCCAATTATCCGAATTAATGGGGACCGGGACCCATTCGGATAATCAAATATTCGGATAATCGGAGTTTTTTTTAATTGCCATTGGAGAGAAAAAAAAGTTACGTTATAATATTGCGCTATTTTTTTATTGAATTAAATGAAAGAAACATGATATTTTCACATGTTTTAAATATAAATAAATTGTACTTATGTACAATTTTAGAAATAAAAATCATTGTTTTTTAAACATCTTCGTCAATGTAAGCTGTTTTGCGGTCCTAACTTGCCCTTGTGCCTACACTGACTTCGCGGAGGGAAGAATAATAGCGCACTTAGACTTTTTTTTGGACAATTTTTTTTTTCTGAAAGTGATTCGGATAATCGACGATTCGGATAGTCGGAGTTCGGATAATTGGAGTTCTACTGTATATAGAAATCTCTTAAATGTATTACATTGTTTACGAACACTCGATCCAAAGTTTAACAATTTCGTTTATAGTTGGGGAATACACTACTACAATAAAAGTACCAGGTCTAGGTTAGCAAAACCTAAACTGGCTTATTAGTACTGTAAGTTTTGAACTATCTAACTGTGGTAATTTATATAGAAATCAAAGTAGAAATAATGAGATACTCATAAAACATGTCTCCTGGCATATCATTAGATCATTCTGGCAACGTTCAGAAATATAGGTCGCGGAAAAAAAGAAAAAAAATTAGACATATTGGGTATTGAGTTCAGAAATATAAAAAACCTACCTTGATCAAGGTAGCATTCAAATGTACGAGGTATTTGAACAGGTTGTGATGAGCTTGAGGGTCTCTGAGAGCGTTAGGGTCGCCCAGCGCAGCCAACATGCGTCGCCACAACACGCAGGCGACATCCGGCAGCCAGCCACGAGCCGCGCCGCCTAGGACCACGCCCACGCCCGACGGAGCGCCCACCACGGACGACCCCACGCCCACGCCTGACGAAGCGCCCACGACCATCAACCCGCCCGCGTTTGAATCCGTCTCCGACCATTCTAAAAAGGGATGTCGTGTTATTTATTGTTAAGATAGAAATTTAAATAGGGTTGTACATAAGCAACACCACTTTGTGATATTTTTTGAACAACCCTATTGTGTGGATAACACAGACAGTTTTCTGTGTTTCATTCATACAGCATGGAACATTCTTGAGTTTACTTTACCGATAACACTCATAATAATATTAATATCTACTTTCTTAATTAATAAACTTCACCCACCAACATTCCCTCCGTCTGATGCCAGGTCTATCTGTAGAGGTGAATCTTTGATGGAGCTGCTCTCTACGCCGCTGGAGGGCGCTGGGGACGGTGACCTTGAACCTACATACACAATAACATCAAATATTTAGTAGTATTATAAGTTACAATATATATTTTTTTATTAATGATAATTTTATTTACTTAAAATTTTTCTTTAAGTTTCAATTCTTATAATACCAAAAATTTAGGCAGTTACTTTATTAACTACGCATGTGTTTGGGATGTATAATTTTTTGTTCTAATTTCATTGAAAATAAAAAAAACCAATAATAATTACCGCTGGCAGAATCTCTTTCCTCCTGTTGTGAAGATTGCCTTAGAGAGTCTAGCGAGTACCAGCGCCTCGGTTTGACAGTGGATGAATCTTTGGTGTCGTCTGCACGAAAAGAAATGTTATGTTATACGTCATATAAGATTAAATATTAGATACAAAAAGAAAGTTGTGTTAGTTACACTGTTTATAACTCAAGAAGGGTTGTTGCTATGTGGTGGAAAATTGGTAAGGAGATAGCTTAGGATCAGGAGATGGACATAGGGTATTTAATTCTGTTCGATAAAACGAAAAAAAACTCAATGAACTCCAATATCTGGTTATTTACGGCCTGTAGGGCGGCATAGAGTTTGATCCGTCAGCTATACACATATGTATTGCTAATTTCGAAATGAACGCGGATGAAGTCGTGGACAAAAACTATATAAATATTCTGATTCAAAAGGAAATTTAGTTTTACTCATTTCAATACTGATTATAAAATGTTTTTGCATACCTGTATGTCTGTTCAGATGCGGGTCGCTTCTTGCTCGCGCCAGTCTTCGAGCGACCTCTTTTCGGGACGGTTCTCCTGACAGTCGGGACTTGCCTGTACAGTCAATATATATATTTAATAGTATTTATTTCTATAATATTCGCCATAGAAATAAATTATTCTTATTTGATTTAATATCAAGTCTTGTCATAAGTGTCATTTTATATACTGAAAACGTAGAGCTCAACACAATTTTCTGCCACAAAACCGATTTGTAGGTAGGATGAAGCTATTCATTTGAATAAATTGTATTATTTTTAAAGACTTATCAGTTGATTTAAAACTTGTAGGAAGAAGTCATGGTTAATGCTGTTGCCCATCAGATAACATGTTGTTACCAAAAAGGTTTATTATGTTCAACTTGACCACTGGCGAGGAAGACCATAGACATATAGATCATAGACTATAGACATAGACGCTCAAGTGGAACGTGTGTACATTTTGCCTCCCTCTATAGTATTTCTCGAAGGAATAAAAAGGTTAATAATCATAATGACCTTCGCCGAGGAAGGCCATAGACATATATACCATTGACCATAGACGGTCAAGTGTAACCTATGAGCGTTTATCTCCCTTTGTAGTTATCTTAGTAGTATACCTGTGTTTCGTGCGGGCGGTCGCAGGGGCTGCGGTCTCAAGGGCGCGGGCGCCGGCACGGGCCGTCGGCCGCGACCTCGCCCCTCCACCGTCGCCTCTGACAGCTCCAAAGAATACACGTGTCGAGCCAACACACGGGTCAGTGTCTCCATAGTTTTCTATCACAATACAAACGTACAATTAATTTTAAACTACATATATTTAAGATCTAAGACTGTCGTGAGTTTTATTAATTTAAATGAAACTAATATTTTTCGTCATCTAATGTTAGACACTCACATATCGTCTGCCCGTGATCATGATTGCTAAAAGTAGCCGAAACGTCATGCTCCCGACGTTTTTTACAAATATAAAACACGCGTAGTATATCCGAAAAATATTAGTTTCATTTAAATACGTATATGTATATTTTATAAATTTATAGATTTTTTTATATCATCGAAGATAGAAATATAAAAAGCGGTTTTAATATCAAAAAGCAACAGATTGCTTTTTAATTAATATATTTTTTTAAAGTTTCCAGATGATCTTATTTAAGTGCGTATTGATGGATAGAATTAGATTATAGGTTATAGAAGTGACATCTAATATATAAAATTCTCGTGTCACAGTTTTCGTGCCCATACTCCTCCGAAACAACCTGACCGATTTTGATGAAATTTTTTGTGCTTATTCGGTAGCTATGAGAATCGGCCAACATCTATTTTTCATCCCCCTAAATGTTAGGGGTAGTCCACCCCTAAATATTTTTTTTTTATTTTTTAGACAAAATTTTTAATTACTATTTTTTTATGATACAACGTACAAAAATACATACAATCCTAAATTTTCACCCTTCTACGATCAACCCTTATTTTTTAATAGCTATTTTAGTAATTTAATCATTTTTCATCTCCGGTCGATAACTGATCAATCGTCATTTAATAAGTTATCCCCGCCAGATATCTACAGGTGTCACTTCTGACCCAGTAAACAGCACGGAGTAGGGATGAGAACGAAGCCGGTCTTCTGTTTCTCTCACACAATTAGACTTCTCTCACTCCCTACACAGTTGTCGGCCATCGTTATTGTTTGTGCATCAAGTGTAGTAGTAACGTTGACAATTATTATTTTGCTAGCTCAGTGTAACTCTCATATTAACTATTAATCATTCCTAATCACTTCAAAACACGGAGATTTATGGCTTTAATAGGTAAACTCCAAAAATATAAATAAAAAAACGTAACAGATATTTCTTGATTATAGGGCGAAACGAAGTTCGCCGGGTCTTCTAGTTAAAATATAAATATTAAACGAAAACATTTTGCTAACAAATATATAACCGATAATGCTAACCAATATATGATTAAAAATGTATATATATATAAATACATATAAAACATATATGTATATTCCTCACCGCCCACTCCTTAATAAGATCCTCCCAGTGCGTGAGTCTCGTGAGCAATTCCATGAAGTCTTGCCACAGTTCGGGTCTCACAGCTACGTTCAGATTAGCCTTAATCCAAGTCACTATTAAAGTCTGGAACAATGCTGGCGCCAAGGATCCACCTGAAACATTTAAAAAAATATATAGAACGCTATACTATATAATTATTATGTAATGTTTTATTGAACTTATTATTATTTTTAATTTAAATCTTGATATACTACAATTATTATATTTTGAAGGATGTGATAGCCTATAATTAAAAGGACATTTAAGTTATTGTTAATAGTTTGATAGTGAAATGAATGTAATGTTTTCTTTTGTTGGTTATCCAAATAAAGAAATACAATGTATTTTTATGTAATTTATTATTATAATATATTATTACCTAGCGTATAACCTTTACTCTTGGGTGGAACTTTCGTCAACACCAAGGACGTTATTTGTAGCAACACCAGTAGTAGCTGTTCCCTGTAAAAAAAAGTGATGATTAAATTTAAACAGATATTCTTCCACGAATTTGGAGTTTACGTAGCACTCGCATGCACTTATGCGCACACACACATAACATTTTATTTACAATTCTCATGTAACAATGAAATTATTGACATTTTATTTGTCCAATAAGAAGCCTAAATTATATTTTTATAAAATTTAGCCAATACTAAAATTCCCAATAACTCTAAAGTAATTTGATATTACAATATTATTACTAACTGACGCTTTAAGACAAATCGCCAACATTTAATTCCACAACACAGGTTATATTAAAGACTTAGGTTATTATGTAATCACGTTATAAACACTACAAATAAATATCTGATAGTTAACAATACAGTGTGTTCATATAATTATGTATATGATTATATAGTAAGTACCACGAGCTGGCGTCCATTGCTATATGCATGACCATGTATCTGTATATGTTGAGGACCCGCTTGCAGGTGTCCGTCTGTTCGTCCAGCAGGTGAGGCTCCGCCCCCTGGCCGCTGGCTCCGCCCACGAACACGTTCGCTGCTTGCGTCATGAACACCTGCAGAACGTTCTGGAAACAACGAGATCGATATATATAAATATTATTTGATACATTACCTAAGTTGTTTAGTGGCTTATAAATTAAGCTTTGATATATAAAGTAAACAGAATCGCATTTAAAATCATACTATCATAAAATATGTATTTTTCAATAAAAATACATTGGTATATTATATTTAACCTTTATTTGTACTTCGTCTATTCAAAACAAAAAATGAATTTATCAATTCCAATCAGTAGTTCCCGAGGTATGCTTCAATCAGGCTTACAACTACTAACTCTTTTACCTTATACATATGTATTAGTATTCTGTATATAAAACATTATCGTTACCTGCATGCCAGCTCGGACCATAACGTTGTCTCTCCCAACTGCTCCCAGGTAAGAATCATTCCGAAGACGTCTCGGAGGCGCGAGGGGTTCTCCTGACGGCTCGAGTGTACTCTCCATTAGGAACGGAGGAATTTCTGCCACCTGATGATATTTCTATATATATTTTCTATTTTACTAGACGTTTTGACAATATTTGTTTAGATAAAGTAAAATTCTAGACATTATTAAATGTCACCTATGGTCTGTGACAAGCGGATATACACTAAATACAACTATTATGAAGTGATCAGACAGGAGCTATAGGAAATTTTGAGGTAAATCATTATGTCGTATTCTAATGTCTAACCTACTTTACTGCGAAGTTTGAGCAAAATTCTGAGAATAGTTTTTCATTTAAAGAGCAATAAACATATAGTATTAGTAGGATTACATAAGTTATCTTAATTAACAACATTTCCATGTATTACAACCTTAAAAACATTTCGAAGTTGTGTTAACCTTTCTCAAATAATACTTAGTGGTGTATAGAAATGTAATTTTAAATAAAATAGCAGTTTATGTTTTAGAGAAAATTTAAGCACATTCAGAATAATATTATTTAAAAACATTGTAAATATGAATAAAGTCTATATATTAAAAAGACTTCGCATACTATTTAATTTATCAATGAAATAAAACAAAAATAATTAACATCAAATTCCTTATTGAGTAATATGTATAATTTTAACGATTAAATTATTACTAAATCTTAATCCGTTTCACATCTAGGAAATATAAGTATAAAAAAGTGTTAAATAACAAATATATGAATATGGCGTCATTTATAATACTAAATGAGTCATTGGGTCTTATATGGTATAAGTTAATTTCAACACATGACACATAATGTTGAACAATGTTTACATACTTGTGTATTGATTTTCTATTATTTTCCCCTCACTTCCAGTAATAGGACTGAGTCATACCTCGTCTGGTTTTCGCCAAGAAATTAATATTTAGGGATAAGTTAAGTAACTTGTATAAATTAGGTGTTATTGATGACTTTACACAATTCCTACTTTTTATTTCATTGTAATCATAGTCAATTTTTAAGATGAAACAAAACCTTGACTCAGAGATCCATAAATTAAACTAAACCAGTAGGTTTTAAAACCTATCTTTGATAAGATTTCATCTAAAATATTTCATCAGTTCATCACCAACCAGTAGTGCATGAGCTCCGGAATGTATACCAGACTGGAAAGAAACATCTAGAACAGTCAAATATAACTCAAGTATTTTATTCTTACATTCATCTGAATCCAGTCCTTATAAAGAGCGATGACCCTTCTTATGGCTGGTGCGTGGCTGAACGGTAGAAGGAAGCCTTGACGTAGCACCTCCACAGTGAAGTCCACATGCTCACGGGACCAACAACACAGGACGTCACGAACTGCCGCCTCGGACACCAGCTCTTCAGCGCCACCTAGTGCGAAATGGAGAAATGAAACTGGTTATGATAATAGAAAACTGGGAATAATGTATGTTATGTCAGATGAGCAAAGTTAAATACTGTATTACCCAGATTTATGCTTGAAAATCGTTATTATGATGTAAGTTTAAGAGACAATGCCACATAGTTAATATAATTATAAGCTACACATATATGAATAACTTAATTACATCAACTTAAAGATAACTTTACAGATGGGTAGAAACATTTATTATTTACCTCTACATTTGCTAAAATAGGATGATCTGTCTGATCTAATGACTTAGCTATGTAATAAAGTACCCATCTGAACACAATGTTTTAGATCACTATTACCAAAACAAGTATTGATAGCCTTCTTTGTGAAAGGCATCATGTACTGAATTTTCAAAATTAAAAATTCCATTTGCCATACTTTTAATAAAGATGAATTTACAATATAAAGTATACCTGATTCCAGACTCGGGTGTGGTGTTATAGAGGTAGAGTCATGAGAGGAAGCTCTGCTGGAGTCTGAAGGGTGTCCCACGGTGAAGGAGGTCTCTTCTTCGTGATGTAGTGACGTAGCGGGTGTCGGGGTGCCTGAGTGAGGCTGATGGGAACTAGTACTGGTCATAGAAGAAGGTTGGCCACCTTCACTGCCAGGCTTCTTCATATAGTGAGCGTAACTGGCCACCCATTTGATTAGTATCACACGACAATGGACGAAATCATCTTCTAGTATAGTATGCTGGACAGGGAGCTCTGGAAATCATTTGGCATCATTTAGCATGCGTCAACTTGAAAATAAGGAGGTTTATATTTCATATTCCTCACCTAGATTCGGTTTGTACAGTGAATTCTTGTGATTGAACTGCGGACAAATAATCGGCAGGTAGTATATTTTAAATTTCTCCAATAGGAAAGCAAACGACCTCATTGCCTTCGCGTGGGATCGGTCCTTCCAGTGTATTTTGGTGACTGATGTTGCCATACCATCTAGTAGTATTTCGAAAAAGTATTTAGTTTCATTGTCCACGATTTTTTCGTTGGCGTTCGCTGTTAATAATGGCTGGATGTCGACGCTTTGGACAGGATTTAGAGCATTGGTGTCATGGAATATAGAAGCCGATACATTTGCCAACTTCCCCATAATACCAGTTGGTGTCTGTTCCACAACGACTTTCTTGACGCTATCGGCTGCTGTGTTGAAATTTGGATGATGCATTATGTCCTCCATTTTAAAGTCACCAGTGTCGCTGGATATGTTGGTCACGACATCGAAAGGTTTGGATTTAAATGGCGAGCCTATCGATGGTATACAAGTGTCTGGTAAACCTGGCACGAGGGTCGCGAACATCCTGTGAGCTTCTGCCGTCGCATTGTCGCCTAAAGCTTGATACCATAGCAAGAAATAGCTGAAAAAATGTCTCAGTATATATAACTTATCAATATTAAATATTAAAAACAAATCAAAAATTTATTACCGTATGGCTTCCGCTCTTAGTTTCTGTGAATTTCCACTGTGGAGTAGTTTTGAAAAAATTCGTGTGAGGGAGTGTAACTGCCATCTTTTACCTATCAGTTCCGGTAGAAGACATAATACCTTTTCTAGAAGTGACAAAGCACCTTCTAATTCTTCTCTGCCCGCTTTGTGAACTAAAATTTTGGAATTCAATTATAATTTGGAATATTAAAAAGTATGAAAGTTAGAAGTTAGGTGTTAAGTGAAATAAGCAAAACATGGGTAGTGAATGGTATTTATTATACAAGGTGAAATCGAGATTAGTTCACAAATTAGATAGAAATTCTAATTAATTTCAATCTATGCATATAGAAATATTTTTGGTAACAACTTAGTCAAGCTGAATGAAAATTAGTTATTACCAAGTATTTGCAATGTTGATTGTATAAAAAACAAAATTTTTAATAATTAATTACTTCAATGATATTATTAATAATGCTTTTAAAGTTATTTGTGTCCATTAATGTCTTAAAATGTCAAATTTCATTTGGTTCACCATTTTCAATTTCACCTGTATATATTCACCAATAAGCTTCATGTCCAATACCTAAGCAGTAATTATATGATACAAAAGTAGCACATGCATATTTATGACACCACTGATTATTAAAATGTATCAATGATTTCCTCCTAATGTTCCCAAAATTTATCCATTTTTAAACATATAGAACCTTCACAATATGAAATAGTAAAATCTCTTTGTTCACTCAAAAAATAGGGTAGGAAAAAAGTATCTATATTATAAGTGTATTTTAAGCTGCTTGATAACTTAATGAGATCTAAGACTTTTAAAAGTATTCATTGAAATGAAATTAATATTTTTAGGATTTACTATAAGAATTCTCATCTCGTCTGCCTGTGATCATGATTGGTGCAAAGTAAACGAAACATCAGGAGTATGTGAGAAGTTAAAATAATAAAAATTACCTAGTAAATCTGAAAAATATTAGTTTTATCGCTTGATTACTTTTTAATATTTAAACAAAAAGATTTTATTATACTAAATTGGAAACAGCAACCAATAGACGCATTGGAATTTGTATATTTTGGATTGTGTACTGTGTGTGAAGTGCTCTTAATGTACATTTTATTGAAGCCTTTATGATATACCAAAATAAAAATAAAGAAAAGATAATTGCCAATCACCAAAACATAAGAAATGTGTATAATAAAATTATTATTGATGTAACTACAAGTCTGGAGTGCGTGTTAGTAATGATATCTCTGCCGACCAGAATAATGCGGTCTATACATATAGCAACACCCAAACTCACCTAGGTGAAACGGAAGTTCTGTTCACCGAAAACAGAAAAATTATAAGTCAGTGCAAAATATTACAAAGGATTGCATGGGTGAGTTTAAATTAACATAGTAAATAGAACAAGATAGAAATTATACAAATTTTGAATAAAATATTACACAAAAGTATTGAATTTTGTTTAATTTAAGAATATTTATTTAAATCATATACAATTTTTTTTGTTGTTGTAAGGACATTGACCCAAATCTAATTAATAAACATACCTCTTTGTCTTAAATTATTCTCGGCTAGTATAAAGTTGTCATATAAAATGAAATACACATGGCTAAAATTATTTTCGAAATAATTTTTGGCTTCATCCACATCATAATGTTCTGAAAATGAAAATATCATGAACAGTTATTATTACTATAATTTTTTGTATTTATAGAGTTCAAAAATGTATACAACTCTTAAACGCATTAAAATCATCAGTAGTTGTTATGTTATGACAAGTTAAACAAAGTTTATCTTCTCAGTAGGTAACTATTACGAATACAACTAGAGACTTAAATTACAGTTATTCTCAACTAATTAGCATGTTCTCTGTGTATCGTCGAGTTTTTTCATAAAATGCGACTATAGATTGTACATTTTCTTCTTAATTGATTATTTACTCACCTAAAACGATTTTTAAATGTTTAAGTCTAGTGGTGGAATCCTTTTTGGAATCCTGTATTTTAACAGTCGATTTTTTGACATCCTGATGAGATTTTTTGGTAAACATCACGCCGGATTTAATTAATTCTATTATTTTCACATGATTACGAAGCGACACTTATAGATTTGAGATTGATTTTCGAAAAGTTTATATTGCACATAGCTTTCATTTGTGCATTGAGTTTTCACTTCACATCACAAAAGTCATCGGATAATATATAATATGATGACAAGTTGACGTAAGCCATTTTTTGACTTTTCACTTTAGTGACTTAATCGTTCAGAAATCATTGCGTTGTTTATTATTGCATTATTAGGTTCTGTTATGAGTATTGTGTGCCGTTGTTGTAGATAAAATTAAAATTAAATAAGATTGAAGTTAAAATAACTATGATTAAATTTACTAAGATATAAATATAATTAAAGTGTATATGTTATGTTAATAAATGTATATGTTAATTAGAGGGGAAATAATGTGTATCGTTACTTTTATGGTTAGTTTTCTCGTTTTATTCGATATGCTGGACGGGGATAGTCCCATGCTGATTAAATTTCTCTGACATTCACCTCTTTGGCCTCAGTGGCTACTATCATAAGCATTACTTCACGGAAGGAGTGTCTATCTCTAGTTTTCCTTATTTGGCTTCTCTTCCTAGTCGTAATTAACGGACTATGTGTTTGTGTGCACGTGTGCGACTTTATTGTCCTTCCTGTTTAGGAGTTTATAGGGAAATTATTCTCATATATTTCAGGAAGTACGAAAAATATGAATAATAATTTGTATTATAAACATGTTGTACATGTATAATTATATTATGTATAAATTAGTTACTTTATTATAGTGAATAAAAAATAATGTTTCAAGTTTAAAACCAATTAACTCTTGAAGCAGATGTACAATACAAGTCGTTCATTGTTGCATAATGTCTTTATTAATATTAAGTGATATCTTATGGTTGAAATTAAGCTACTAATAAAAATGTTGTTACTTGTTATTTTGGAATGCACTGCTTTAAATAAAATATAAAAGTAATATAAAAGTAGAGAAATAATGAAATCATGTTAATAATATTGGTTTCAAATTAAATATTATTCCGTTTGTTGATGAAGCAATTATATTAAGCATTTGAAAACAAGCCTCCTCGAAAATAGTTATTCAAAGAAGATCGGGACATAATTTAATAATGTTAGAGCAATAATAAAGATGCCCTTACTTAAAAATAAAGTTACACAAACATAAATGACTCATGGTTTATTAGAGAAAAGTATAAACCTTACTATGGCTGATATATGTAATGAGATACAATAGGTGACAGGCCTAAGAACGACTAATACTCCTACCAGATTAGGTAAAATTATCTAATATGAAAAAAGCAATACAAATAATGGAAGCAATTACAAATTATTGCTATTCCTAAACGAGCAGGAGTTGCTAATATAATAATACTTATTTTTGTTACTACATGTAAAACTAAAATACTTCATGACGTGATCAATAAAGACCGTCTAGGTAATTTAAAAAACTACGTTTTTATACAATAACAGGGGATTGAAAAAAAAGGGAAATCCCGTATCAATAACTTGTTTGACCTTGTTTTACATTTCCAAATAGGCGTCAAAAAACAAGTATGAAAACTATGGTTTTGTCGTTAAAATTAGAAGGACGAACTATTGGTTCTATCTTAAAACTTTATGATACTTTTTCAAAATTTATGTGATGAAATTATAACACTATATAAATAATAAGAAGAGTATACATAGTAAGAAAAAGAATTGATAGAACAAAAACTTATTTCCTGTAATAAAAAACTTAAACAGGTAGAACTTTTAACCACAGACATTCATAGTGTTTAAGGTGGTCACAGCATTAATTTACAATTATAAGTATAGGCAACAATCTTAAATGTTATTCTATAATAATAAATACATATTTTCAGACCATATACTTTTATATTATTCTAGTTTACCTAAGATTTTATTCTAGCATATCTTAAAAACAATAGAGACGAAACTACTCAGCATTCCATGGATTCACCGTGCGGGTGCCGGGTCCATCGCGTTGCAGGGAGAGGAGCTTCAACAGTGCCTGGGACTTGCGACCCAAGTGTAGGTTTAAGGGGCCCCTTAACTAACGCGCGTTATACGCTCACCTCCACTGTCCAAGCTCCTCTCCCTACCTAACCAAATTTGAAAAGAACCTACTAGGGCTGCCTTCGATATACGTTCCAAGAATGCATTAATGTGAGTTCTGGACAAGCCCAAGTCCTTTAGTAGGTTGTAGAGAGATTTCGCTGTTATACCTCTCGCTCCCACCTCTACCGCGTACAAATCTACTACGAACCTATTTCGAGTGAGTTCGTTAGTGAGCTCGTAATATTTGTTGACCTTGATGGTATAGTCTTTGGGGATGTTGGTTTCCCAAGGGACCGTAAGCTCTATCATCACTACGCGCTTTAAAATTCGCGAAAACAAAAATATATCCGGTCTGGAGGCCGACGCACAAATATCCTCGGGGATTTTATATTGTTTTTTTATTTTATATTGTTTTTTAATTATATCTTATTATTTATGAATTTTTGATCTGAGACTTATAATCATTTTATAATTTAAAAATTACTTTGCATTAATGCTAAAAACATAAGAATTATTAAGTACCGCTAGTGGAATTTTTATAATGTTTCTTCGATTCAAAAAAGTAAGAAAATGTGGTACTTCCATCTTGATATGACGCTTTAAATATATGGAATGTTTTATTGACCGACTCGAGTCATGCCACGATTGTTTGATTGGTAAATCAACTGGAAGGTTATACTGTATGGGTTGCAAATTTTAGTTCTGCTTACAGAGATGGATTTTAAAACTCACAAAACTCTTTATGTATCTTAAAATAAGTATTAACTAAAAATATCATGTTTCGAACTTTAAAATATTAAGTCGCAAGTCCCAGGCACTGTTGAAGCTCCGCTCTCTGAAACGCGATGGACCCGGTACCCGAACGGTGAATACATTGAATGCTAAGAAGTTTCGTCTCACTATTTGATATTTCGATGGTAGAAGAGATGGAGATTTCAACTTGGTGAAAGGGTTTCAAAAATGTTGTCCAATAAGTTGTCTACTTTCATATCCTAGGCTGTTTTAAGGGTATAAGAAGAATTTCAGCAATTTATACTATTTTAAATGTTTTGTGAAAACTTAGTTTAAACCTAACATCTGTACCGGCAAGATGGAAAATTAAAGACATTTCATCACAAATTAGACACCGGTAAATAATGAAACTTATATTTTAGCAATTATGAGAAAAATAAATCCTGTTATTTAGATTATAACCACCCCATTAAGTGTATAGATCAAACTGAAAATATTAATTATAAGTTTTAAATTAATTATCTTGAGCAGTAATTGTATTTTATTTCAAATATTTTGACGAATGCCCTAAATATTACGATATGGTACAAAATTGGTCTCTTCGGTTTTGAAACTTTGTCCCAACTCAATGATCAATAGGTTCCCATAGTTCTAAATCTTCCTATATTTTACCCATTAGATTCGGTTTAGAAAGGAAAAATTTGAAACTTTTCAGAAGCTGACGTACAGAGGTAGCGTAGGGTTTTCCTAATTGCAAATTTTGTTACTGGCGCCGTGATAGCTGCTTCGATTTTCCCGTTCAAATCATTCTATCCAAAATTCAGGTATTAAAATTGGTTTATTGTGAATTACAAAATAATTAGTAAAAAATGTATAATATTTTGTTTTAAACTTGTAATTTTTCCTACTTTCATAGCAACTACCTATCGTATAATATCTTCTAAAGTTATAGAAAAGTGCTTATAGTCAAGAATAGGTAATCTGTGTGTTAGCATCAGATTATTTTTAGTGCTTTTACGTTTTAAACAAACATAAATATATCATGTTTTATAATCCTTAGATTAAAATTTTCATAAGATTTCTTAGCTTATTTATATATCCGCCTTTTTATATTTTAATTTTCAGAAAACTTAGTAACTTAGTTATAGGTCAGCAATATAATTAAGAAACACTAAACCTTAATTCTTTTTTTATTAATATGGTAATTCTGTATCCTTGTACGAAATCATTACTCCTTTTGGGTTTTCTAATTGTTAAATGTAAATTAAAAGGTTTAAACATCAAACAACTGAAAAATCTACTTCATAACTTTTCAGGCTATATTCAAATGATAATGTCTAAAAGTAAAAAACGTTACATAAAAGATAAAAAAAAACAATAATTGGGTGATAAAAAAATATCTATTAATACGTGTGTCTTTTAACAAAATGAGCTTTTTTTAATATCTTTTATTATATATAACTCTTAATACAACTTTAATGAATCAAATTGGCAACAATATATTAAACACATATCGGCTATATGACGTCTATTTCCTATTTATATAGTGACTGATTATTAATCGAGTATCATCATATGAATAACAGGTTTTCATAAATAAATGTATTCTTATATGTTACCGCAACTTTAATTGCAAAGCATCGTAACGTTTCATACTAGTCAAGTTAAATACTTCCAGCGCAGAGCGCGTTTTGTGCTCATGATCTCTATAAGACCGAAATATTATTTAATAAATTAAAATCAGTATTATGTTAACGTTTTACATTTGAGTGACTTGTTATATTAGTTTTTTTGTACAATGATTGGCTTTGGTTGTATATTTTTCCTTGTGTTTGTCGTTCTTTCAAACACACAATATGTCCAAAAATCTAATGACGCAATCGGATTTCCAGAGATAGAAGAAAATCCACAGATGGTGAATAAACAAGTGAGATATTTTATTAAGATATACCAAAAATTACTTATCTTACTTAAATGATCAAGTGTTAAAAAAGAAGGAGGTTTAATACAAGTATTTAGAACTTTTTGCTACTGAACCATTTTTTATTTTATTCACCGCCTGAGGCACAGGCAATGTAAAACCCACTTTTTTATATTAAAGTCTCTGTTGGTTTTTTAATATAGTTTTTAAATTAACAAAACAGAAGAAGTCTAATTCAATGAGCGTTGTTCCCAATTTGTACTTTATTATTTTGGTAACCGTTTTTAATTGCTTCTTTATTCCAAATGCAGATTTTGGTGTATCTAAACATATGTAAAAAAACTGATTTAAAATGAATTGTAATCTTTAAACGTGTAATTACACTTAAAGATTTTAATTATCTGATATGGCTCTAATTTATTTCGATGTCGTAGATTAGTTCCAAGATTTATTTGAAATGTACATATTTGTTTTTTTTTACTCATTGCAATTACATGTAATGTAAAGTTTGTAATATTCACCCATACATAAAACTATTATATGGTAATTTAAGAATTTTACACATAATAAACAATTATTCATGGAATCAGCCTCTAGTATTTTAATGAATTTAATTCATAGATATAATAAAATACTGTTTAAAAATAATAACAAAAAAAACATTAATTATGAGCCTAGCCGTAATCAATACTTAGACTTCTATAAAAGGTAATTTATTTTTTTATCACGTTATCTAAAATGACATAAGCAAATGAAACTAATATTTTCGGATTTTACTTCGCGTTTTATTTTTGATTAGAAACTACATACTCCCGACGTTTCGGCTACTTTTCAGCAACCGTGATCACGGGCAGACGAGATGTGAGTGTCTGTTATTCACAGAGTATGTAGTACTCGCGAAATGAGTACTCGCGAAAATCTTAGATCTCATTATGACATAAGCACTTACTTTATAGTTTATACCTATGTACTCTTTAACCCTTTTAAAGATTTCTCTCCAGACACCTCTAAAGTTACTTCAAGCAACCAAGGACACAATACCTTTTAGAACATATGAAATATTTATTTGAAACAAATTGCCATAAAAATTTATTGAAGTGAAGCTTATTAACATAGCTTAAGAATTCAAAACAAAAGAATCTATTTTCTATAAAGTAGTATTTTCTAGTAAATAATATCCTTGAAATCAAACTAATCACGGCAGTAAATCCGAAGAATATTATTTTTATTTCAATGAATAATCGCGAAAATCTAAAATGTTGTTACGGTTATAACCTATCAAACGTCTGGAAAGAAGTTTACATATGAAAAATAAGTCCATATTGGTAACGCCCACATAAATTGATAAAACCAAATTATTATTTCAGTTAATATTACCTGTTTTTGTTTCTATTACTCATGTTATTTGAGATAATTCTGAATAAATAAGATTTTCAATATGTTGTTGACAAAACACATTGTAATTGATTATATGGAATTAAACAAAACTGTGGATATGCGATAAAATTATTATTAAACAGGTAACGAAATTAACACCCACATATTTGTTTGTGTGTTAGCTTATTGTTGTTGTATTACTAAGTGTTCCTTACTTCCTGCCTTCTGTGAAGGGTGTTATTGAGGTCACGGTCATCTAGCGAAAAGTAAAGGATTCCTTTTTCTTTCTGTATTTACATAGTGGTGGTTGAATAGATTGTTCGTTATACTATTCATTACGTGTACTTTTGAATTTCCCTGTTTGATATACAAGCTTTTGTCCATAATCTTACACACGTTGGTAAATAATATATAGATCAATTCAACATATAAGTGTGTGATATAATACATGTCATTTTCAATTTATTCTATAATTATTATTGATCATGAAATTGCAAATGAACGCCGCATCTCTATTTCTAATGCAAAGAATTTTGGGATCTTCTTCATTCAAAAAAATCCTTACTTTTACATAAAAATATACAGCAATCAACTCAATGATTCTTTCAAACTTTGCAAAAACTTTAGGATCTAAGTTGTTTGTTGGTTGGTTGTACAAAATGTCAATACTATATAAGACATTAATAATTAATTAGCTAGAAATCAATTTTTGGAGAGAATAAACGCCAGTTTTAACATTAAACTTGATTTGGTCTGATATTATTTAATCACGAGGTCGAATGTCACCGTTACGACTCTGTAAAGGTCAAGCGTAATCGGTCTGTTTCTTGACGCGCAATCAAGATTAATTATTTATGTTTGTTTTGTGTTGAAAGTGAACAATGTTCAGGTCATTCGAATATACATTAGTCCATCCTTGGAACCTTTTGATTTCAAGTAAAAGTTTGAAGAAAAAAAACAGCTCCAATAAAAGGCCCATATGAAGTATCGTCGTCTTGAAGTTTGAACGTAAAATTTCAGGCATAAAATGGACGTGATGTAGTATTATTTTACTGTCGGTTAATTAAGTAATCGTTTACAGAATCGGCAACCTGTATACATACCATCAATTTGCCCGGAAAATGAACTCTTATACCCTGGAGACCAGGCGGATGACTGGATCTGTGATTGCCGACCAGGTAATGTTCTTATTGATATTTCTATTACATTTGGAATGAATTGATTAATAATTTCAAGTATTTTTCAGGTCACTTATATCATCCAACTACGGATAAGTGTTGGCCGGCCTATAGGGAAGGTCCGTGTGAAAGTGGTCAATACATAGTTCTGCCTGATAATTCATCAATACCAGTATGCGTGAAAAACTCATGTCTGGTCGATGGTTTTGTTGTATGGAACGGTAAATGCGAAGTATTAGGGAATAGTTGCGGTGAGAAGTTTCCGATATCACTGCTTTCGATAGACGCGGTCACTCTTAAAGTGGCTTGCGTTAAGGTAGATGAACTGGAGTCTAGATTTTCATTGAACGTTCCAAGTAGCTGTCTTGCGGGAAGCAAAAGAAACATTAAAAATAAGTGTTGATAATTCTACTCTTAAATCGTTCATTAGATTACTATGTAATTCAATTTTATTGTGTAATTAAATCTCTTTATTTGATTGAATGTATGTATGACATTGTACAAGAAAGTATTTGAATTAAAAGATATAATAATATTTTACATTTTTATTTGCAACAACTCTAGTTGCTTATTTATATATTTTTAGGAAAATGTTTTTTGATTTTAAAAAGAATAATAATAATATGACTACCATAAAAATAATGAGTACAGTTACATACGTAAAAATCTTTTTTTAACTTGCTTTATTACTTAATGATATAATTGTATTTAATTAAGTGATTTAAGTTTTTCTATTTATACATATATACTTTGGTTGGATTTTTACCTTATAAGGTTTATACTAAAACTAAAACAGATTTTAATATTATTATTATCGTTATTATCTTGTTCTTTGATATGGTTATATCAATTTGGTGCAAAGGTTACCTTATTATTGAATACTGATATTAATGTATATTAAAACATCAATATTTTATGTAAAAATGATATAATCTTTTCAAATAATAGTTATAATATTATATAACTTTGAATATAAAAGTTTTTAGTGTACAAAAATTATCTATGGCAACAGATAGGCGTCCTATTAGTCGTCATGACTACGAAAGCATGAGTACAACGTTTTTCAGTATGTATTATTCCACATTTTTATATTCCATTGTAGATGTGATGTGTCACTGTGTGTTTCCTAGTTGTTATTAAGGTAAGACAGTAAGCATTATTTGTGTGTATTATAAACAGGATTTCAATATTTATTGTTATATTTTCATTAAATGTCCAACACAATTCAAATCTTCTGTATTAAGAGTTTTTATAAACAATACCTATTCGAAATTTTACAAAATGTTAATCTCGGTTTAATTAATTTTAATATGAATTAAGGAGATATTTTAAGAAATATTGTTTAAAAATATTGGCATTTATAGTGGCATAATTATTTTCTTCATAAATTTTATGTTACATTTGTAATCGAAATATATGTATAAAGAAATAATATTTTTATAGATAGGTATACAAATATTTAACTGTTTATACGTAGATTAGTACTAATGTTAGTATAATTATATAGTAATGTAGATTTAATTTCTTAGAAATATTCTTGTATTTTACATAAACTCACGTGATTCAGATTTGAGATAGAGCAGACGATGGACGATTAAAATGAAGTCATGTTATGCAAAATCTTTTAAACGGATGTATTTCTTATTTTTACTGCAAAGTTTAAAGAAACCCATACCTACGTATAATGGCTATAAAATTAGTTAAACAGGAATAGGAAATAGAATTGGTTGTAAACGAAATATTTAATGTCCAGCAGTGGACCTCGTAGGGCTGACGATGATGATGATGAAATGTTTAATTTAAAACGATAATTGGTGGCTATTTGGAATCTTCAAATAGATTATAAAAATTTGGCAGGGACGAAATCTTAAATAACCTGAACGTACACAAAATATGATTTAATATGCAAAGATAAAAAACCAGTACAAAACGTAGTAATCAAAAGTATATAATTTAATTATTAAAACGCGTATAATGGAAAATCACTGTTTTGAAGCTTTTAAAAAAATCTATTTACGAATTAAATATATAGGGTGGCAAACGGAGGTTCCAGGAAAACTAAGACACATACTTGTAATATGTATATTAAAATAAGAATTACATGTTAAAACTTATAACCTATAGCTAAGATTGATTGATTGTCCCGATGGTAGGATGACAATGACATTCTATTGCTTGTGTGGTGTGTGGTAGTGACAATCAACTGGTTCATATGGCTTGGTGTTGGCTCTGCGGAGTCAGCGGCGTCAGTCGTTATACGATATTTTACCGATACTAAGATGTCACCCAAGCGATGTTCATTTTTTTTCTTCATATTTAGCGCGTACGTAACAAATTGGAGAAGGAGTAAATGGTTTATTGATAGTTTAACAAACAAACAAATATCATTCTTTGTAAATTAAATTTAAATTAAGTATTATGGAAAGATTACAAAAAAAGAAGAAAGTACGGCTATGATTTTTATGTCTAATAAAAAAACAAGACATTGTAAAAATCTTTTATAAAATATTCACACATTTTTATAATTTACATATGTCAAGATTAATTTTCTCACGACACGCTTTTCCTTGTAACGTAATAAATTCACAGGTTTTATTTAATTTTTAGTTACTTTTTTTATCTCGGTTTATTCACAAAAATTGGAGTTATTAAGATTTCTTATTCATCTGAACCAACTTATTATTTTGACACAATTTAAAATTTTACATCCATCGCTTAGGGGAAGTCCTTTACAATTCATTTATAAGATTTGATCAGAACTAAATTTTTATACGTCGTTACAATATTTTTTATATATGGTAAATTAAATTTAAGTACTTATATTTAAAATACATATACCTAGTTGTAACAAAAACATATACGGACATTGCTTATAATAATATAAATTAAGGATGATTAAATTATTCTTTATCCATTGGTTTTCAAAATCAATATTATTTTAGTTATGTTTGAAGAACTTCAACATGACCGCAGAGTTAACGAAGTCCAATGTATAAGATGTGTTTATACACAAATGCTATAAAAACTTACAATGGAAACAAAAAAAAAATTAAATAATTTCTTTAAAAGTGCTCTGTCCTGTCAACATTTAAATAATATCTACAATTAAAGCGTGAATCAAATATGAGGAATATTTATAATTCGTCAAATTTAGAACAAACTTATTCCTCATAATAAAAAAAAAACAAAAAACCTGTTCTTAATTTAGTTGGTTAAGCAAGTTTATAACTGTATGGACTGTTTACTAGTTTTTCAAATTAATAATAAAGACGATATGTATGTGTGAGGAAATAATTACTGTTGTTTTTTTAGGAATGAACATCAGTACTCATAGAAAAATTGAACTTTAATCAATAAAATGATCTTGTCCCGTTCTTACGCATATTAAAGATAGGTTTAGTTTTCAAATAACTGATTTGCTAAGGTGATTTAAAAATATGTGCTTTGTATAAACTATAATAGTAAATTGTACAAATATGTATTTCTTTTTTGTGTTCATTTTTAACTGTAGTAGAGGGCAGCAATTCTGAGAGTTTGCTATTAACTTCATCCCGGTTTTTATCAAGATTTACTTTACTTTACCATTGGCTTACGCGTACATTTTTAGCATTCTTTGATAGCGAATTCTTGATACGTAAAGTTAAGAAAATATTCAAAGAGTTTTCCTCAATTATTCCGATATTTCTGTGCTTAGCCTAAAGCTTTTTATATAGGGTTTATATTAACCTTTTAACTAAAATATTTTTTGTCAATAAAGAAATGTAGAGATTAAAATGCTATGATTTAGATTTAAGATTATTAAAAAAACATTTTGTTTAATAATGCTTGTAATTCATTACGTAAAAAACATCTTAATCTAAAACTTTTGATCAGAAATGGTTATACAAATGTGGGTCAGCGGTCAATCGTGATAAGGGTTGGCAAGCTTGGTCGCGATTATATGGAAATTAATCGGGTTTCGGCCGAGCCATTGAGGTCTAGGTATATCTTACAATTGAAGTATAACAACACACAGAAATAACTTTCCCATAATTAGTATAAATTTATTTTATTTATGGGATAAATAATGATTATTTATTATATATACCTATTTTATAAATGGTAAAACTGAGCATCACGCAGATATTATGAGTAGAACTTTCAATTTAGACCTCCCAAATAATTGCACGTCAGCATGTAATTTAACCAAGTAATTTGGCAAATTGAAAGTTCTCAAGGCGCTTTTACAATAATTGTAATTATTACTTTGAAATGTCTAATGTGGCGAGCAGCAAGCTTTCAGCAGAAAGTTCTTTCTTCTGTCTGTTCTTCTATCAGAAGACACCTCTCGGTGAAGATAGTTCTAACCAGTCTTGTATTCGCCATTGTTTTCTAATGTAAACGAATGTCGGCGACTCACGACTGCTTAATATTATAAGCCAGTTAATCATAGCTCATCTATTATCATCAGTGCCTCATAAAAAGCAAGTTTCCAGATTAAGCTCCAAAAACTTTAATTTTTGACATTCAACCATGCGTTTCTAGTAGTTTACACGTGCCATCAACGTAATGTCTCAAGACCATCCAATTATTTTGCAGTATCTGTACACAAGACACGCTGGATAGAACAAACTTGGATGTATAACGAGGTCGATACACGACCCACTTTGCTTATAAATTAGTTTAATTTAAAACGTTTTATAATTACTTCACACCCCTTTCCCATTAAACAGCAAATCGATATACGATAATAATAAAATACCTACTTTAGATTAAACAAAAAGAGATTACGTTTATAAAGTACACTAGAGATTGTCAATACGAAATGTAAAAATATATAATAAAATAAGTAGTGCGGTTTTTTAAAACCAATACTTGGTTCATGGTATTGAAATCGTGTTCATTCCTAATTTATTTAATAGGAATAATTAGAAATCAATAATACCTAAATAATTTTTACAAGTACAAGTTTCAATAATACATAAAAGCAATATTTTATATGAGATGAATTTTAAAAACTGTTCAAAATATTATACATATTAAACTTCTTACAACACAATCTGTTCTCCGGCGGTTGTCGGTTTCCAACTAAGATACTTAATGATTAAAGATTTCGCATTATCCTAATGATTCTAAAAATATGTTTCTAGATATTATTTCACAACAATTTTTTTTTACAAATTTACATACAGCCATATTGTAAAAAATATATAAAGTAAAATAGAGTAATAAAAAAAAAGTACATAGTCTAAATAAGTGATATGATTATTGTTTATGATATATTGTTTTTGATATGATTAAATATAATAAACAAATAGATTTATTTTAGAAAAAAAAAAATAAAGTAGTCCATAAATTAATAACAATTGTTAGTGATATCTATCTATCAGTAATCAGTATATAAAGCACAAATATTAACAAACTTACTAGAAAACGAAAAGTATGTATATCTATGTAAAACTTAAGGACATTCGAATTTCACAATATCTGGGCTTCTAATTTTATATCTTAAAAGTGTGTGACCATAAGAAATATGACATACAATATTGCACCAAAGAGATTTTTTTTATATTTATTGAAAAAACATAAAATAAGGATGTAGCACAAATGTACGTTTAAAACTAATAAGCAAAATATGTTATTAGTAACTAACACCTTCTAACATTACTTTCGCGAGGGACACTATCCCAAGGTGGCATTGCATTAGAAATCCACAAGGGGCTCAAGAATTGTAACGCAGAGGCTGGAGTTTGTCGATTAGGATAGAATAATAAAGGTAAAAAGGGGAGCACAGGCTAAATGTCTATATAGCTAAATACCTAAAGATTATTCACGAGTATATCTCTACAAAGAGAAACCCTGATGTAAAACACACATCTCGAAATTCAGGTCCCTATAGGTATAGTATACCCTGTTAGTAAACAGGGTAAATTAAATGTCGGCAGTAGTTACCGCTTTGTACTAGGTGTGCAACTAAGTTCCCGGGTTTTACACATAGATGCCGATAGCGATAAATGTAGTCGACGTACATGTCTAAAATCGTATTTTTTTACTAGCTTGGACATCTAGTAACAATAACCAGTTGTAAAATCAATAGGTTCCGCAGGGTATCCATGTATTGCAAGAGAGATGGCAAAAATGTGTAGCTAGCGAAGGGAGATACTTTGAATAAACCATTTTTTGTATGTATCTTGAAATTTTTTATTTTTTATTGATCAAAAAAACCCGGAAACTTAGTTGCGCACCTATGTAAGAGACATGAGACATAAAAAGGAAGCATAGTACAAGTGTATCTATTGAAGACAACTGTTGGAACATACCTACCGTTACTGATCCAAGTCAAAACTAAATAGGATTTTTATTTATCTCAAATCTTTGGTTCAAAACGCTTGAAACTACGAAAAAAAATGACAAGCTTGAAGTTGAAGTCGAAGACGTAAGTTTGTTAATTTTACATGCAATTAATCGTCAGGCGTTTAACAGGAAGATTAAAGTATTAGACAAGAAATTCTTCGCCAAGTCCCATATATCTTGCGGCAACCGGAGAAAACTTATAGTAAAATAATTCATTAACTTAATTTCTATAAGTAATTCAAAATTCAAACAGAAATCTGAAGTTTAAAAGTGGTATGACAATTTATACTATTCGACATTATTGACTAATTCATCGAAAGACGTCTTCGAGACGCTTTATTGGAACCAACGTGACATTAATATCAGCGGTCAATTCTTTACTGATCACATATGTAGCTATCCTAGCGGAATCTCCAGGCCTGGAAATTTTATGAACAGCTTGATCAAGTTTTCAAGATGACTGTGTCTCGATATGAAGCTTGACAAATTATGGTTAATAATTTTTATGCTATTTGCTTTTTGTTTCAATTACTAAATATGTTTCATTATTATAGGTTTTTTAAATTGTTATGGCTGTGACAAATATATATTTTTTTTAACACATTTACGATAGTCATAAATTATAATTAGAAGACAATTATTTTTTTTACCACTAATATTGTTTACAATCATAAATACCACGCTAATATATTTGAATTTCACTCAATTTAAATATTATATTTAAGCCTGCGACTTTCAGAAGATTCAAAACTGAAGTTCAAGTTTGTCGGGACGTAACTTTTATCCCCGGAAAGCTATTTAGGAATAAATAAGCAAAGAGTTTTTGAAGTGTTTGTCGTAATGAAGCAAACTTAGAGAAATATTTAGAAGGTACTATTTGTAGAAAATTTAATTGTCTAAACCTGTAATCCTGTAATACTATTTATAGTAAAATGACGATTTAGAAACTTATAAAAACTAACAAGACATTTAGTAACACATTTTCTTTTAGGCGTCACAAGCTTTTTTTTTCTAATTTTTCAACCAAATGATATCAGAGCAATCTGATATCATTTGGTTGAAAAATTGAAGAGCTGTTAATGACTTTATCTACTAATGTGTTTAATTTAACTAGACTGAGTTCTCAGAATTCCGAAATGACAATGTTCATTAATATTTGTAAGAAAAATATTGAAAGGAACCATCCTTTACTTTTCTATTATATATTTTAATGTAACTTGATTGTAAAATTAAACAATAACAACTTACCACGTCTAAAAGAAAATTAATTCAATATTTAATTATGTTTGTTAATAACTTTATATTAGGTCTAAAATTTATGGCAGTTAAAAATCTTTGAAAGATTGCCAGTTTATAAGATACTATTCTTTGTACCCCTTTTTTCATGGCAATAAGGCAAGTTATAATAACCCTCCTTCTAGATAAAGTAAATAAGTATCATTCATCTGATATATACAAAGCAAAAACTAGAAAAATGTGACATTTCAGTATACTTTTTTGACAAATTGCCTTGTAATTTGTAACACTAGATGTAATGTTTGAAAGTTTTCTTGAAAGATCATTAATCACCTCCACACCCACAGTCATGTCATCTAGATGACAAACAAAAACTTTTAACAGATTTCAAAGCCCTTGAAAAGTTTTCCTTTCATAAAATTAATATTCTATATAAAGCAGTATAGTAAGTTCGGCGATTATTATCGGACGGTTGGCGTGGCTTACGTCACGCATCGAGCGATAAGACTAAGGCAACTTCTCCAACTTAATGACTGCCTAATAACCGCCCTAACTGTTACCGAGGCACCTGCCACAACAATCATGCGTCTTTAACCTTGTCCTGATTTAAGAAATGGCAAAGAATCAATGAATTGATATAGGTATATATATATTTTATTTAGTATAGGCGGTTTTTGATATTGTCATTCCTTACATGTGCCGAATATTCCTTTTAATGCAGTAATAAAATCTAAACATGATAGTGCTTTTATAAAACACTTAGCACCTAACACCTTTTAACACCTTAGCCATTATTGAGAGGCTGTAGAGATTTTTTTTTCAGTCAGAGGTTCTGATAGGATTTTTTGTGTCATGTAGGGTCTCCTTTGTAATTAAGAAAAGGGTGACCTGGTTTTGAGCAATGGCCGGGGTTGCGTGTCGTTCAGTGGTTACGTCCGAGTGGGCAGTAGGTGGACGCCTAGCTATGGTTACAGTTTCGTGGGTCAGTCGAGGCTTCGCGCCCATAGCGTCCGCCCGTCGCGACTCACTTTCCCAATATTTACCACATGGCACGCACGCCACTCTAACCGCTTTCTGTTATGGACAAGCGTGCAGTGAGCGGCCGGGGCGAACCCGTCCCGAGCATCCTCAAGAAATCAAATAAACATCGTTCCGGAGACCTCGTTGATAAGAGCTCGAAAATAAAACGAGAGAATAAGAGAGGTGATGTGAACATCCCTCTACCTCAAGGTTGCACTCCACTCATGTACGCTTGCCAACAGGCAAACTACAAGTCTGTTATTGAAATCCTTAACAAAGACGTAAGTTTAGCGTTTTTCGTACAGTCAAGTTATTTTATTGATATTCCGTTTTGACGTCATAGTTATTTAAATTCATTTGAAGTAGTGTAAAGTTGCTTACAATTTATTCGGATCAGGTTATATGAAACACGAACTTTATTTTTCTTTCTCACTGGAATCACGCGATCAACTCTTTGACGCGTCTAGACATTGCATCGCCTGTAAACAATGTCGGATTGGAATAATCACGAGACTTTAATACTTGAAAATTTTTTTTCATATACCTATTTTCATATAAAGAAAATATAAATGATATGTTGGATATTTTGTACATAGGTTCCACTATAACAAAGATGAATTTAATAATAACATTTTCATTAACTCCATATTTGAATAACAACGCAAGAAAATGACAACAAACCAAAATATTATCTTACTTCGTTATATTCCATTTAAGATACTTTAATGATAAAACAAGTTAATAAATGAGCATAAATGTAAATAGCGCGGTAAAGCTATAACACAGGAAAGCTATCAAGGAAATGCACCAGGAGGGGCGACGTGAAGGCGCGGGGAATACATTACAGTCAATCAATAGACAAAATCGGCCAATACAGTGAAAAGTTCTTACGTGCCCCACAAAGGTTGCGTTACAATGTAGCTGGCGTGTTTACCTCGTTAACATGCAGGATCGTGTAAAAATCGTGGGTTAGCATTCTAGCATTTATGAAGATATCGTTATGACTAACCCGGTCTTATAAAAAGATAAAGAAATAATTTATAAAACATATTTTAAGTAGTCATTTATATAATTACACATACGAAGTTTTATTTGATGAACAATATATGTTTTTTACCAGCCATCATCAGTGCGCATTAGAGACCGAGGTCTACGCTGCGCTCTGCACTACTGTGCTTCGAGCGGTGCTGGTGTGAGCCAGGCTTCTCGAGCGGCTTGTGCTGACAGGGTGCTCATGGCAGCCAGCCACTTGGCTGACGCACGTGACGCCGATGGCCTGACACCCCTACATCTTGCAGTGGTTCACGGAAACGTACCACTGGTGCAGACTTTGCTCGCTGCTGGAGCTGATGTCAACGCTAAAGACAATGAACAGCATACAGTCGTTCACTGGGCAACAGGTAAATATTCGATATATTATGAAAAAAGTCGTGAAATATCGCTATTGATAAATCATATCCTATACTGGAAAATACGTTTTAACTTGAAATCTCTATCAATTTGTGGAAATATCTTTACCAAGACAGACCATAAGGTTGTCATTTAGCCTTAGCATTTTCATCGCTTTCGTGGCTTTCAACATGATTCGTGCACGCAACAATTGATGACTTATGACAGTTGATGACTTACATATGAGATCTCAGACGCCAATCAAAGTTTTGTTAAATAACGATTTGTTAAAAGCAATATAATAGCCCCTTCACAATTTATAAATAGAAATATATCATGATTCTTTAATGTAATTCATTTTTTACACCTACCGGAATGACCTTTCCTCTCTATAAAAATTACTTCCTGCGATTACAAATATCTGCATTATGTATTTCGGACTTTACTACTGTATTATTTATTGTAACCCTGACCTTTTTGTTCTGTGTAGCAAAAAAAGACTGTTAAAGAATGTTTTTAGCTCCAACATAAAATCCGATTCCATAATCGCTCCTATGACGAATGGTCCTGGGTGTTTTAGATTTACCCGCGATAGTCTAATAGACCTACATAATGTATATATGTTTAATGATTTTGGTCGGTCAAAGGGGCAAAGTTTGTATTCGTTGTTAGGGAGCCAAGGGGTGTCTAGCGGACACTTTATTGAACGTCGACCAAGGCCGGACCTTGAACTCATAAATCGTCTCTACCTAGGACTTGGACTCATGCCTATCAGGGTGGCAGTCCAAAAAGTATTTTAATGAATTGGGCAAAGAAGACGATTTAAAATGTGACATTGAAGATTAACATTTTTATAATACTAACCGCTTGTTGAAATAACTGTAATGAGATTTTATGCAGTTATTTTTTCTATTATATCTAAATTTAAGATGAATAAATTAAACAACTTCAAAAATAATAATCATGTATTTGTTTTATTTATTTTTTCAACAAAAATGTAACATTTAAATCTTAACCTGGTCCACAGTTTCTCTATGTACCAAATTTAATAAAAGTAGATACATATAAGCTCACAACTATGATATACGGTAGTATTTCCTAAAAATTACATTTAGTGTAAATTTTATATGCATTGTGAAAGAGCTGATACTTGAAGAAAAAACTTTTGTTTTAAATGTGTTAAAATTATGCATAATTTATATTTGGACGGTTTATCATGACAAAATTGCTAGATGTAACTAGTAAAGGTAATGAAAGCTATACTTATACATACATATTTTTCGTAGTCTGTGGGGAGGTCGGCGCTCTGAGAGCCGTGTTAGTATCAGGAGCTGATGCCGCTACGCCTGACCAGCACGGAGGGTATCCTCTACACTACGCTGCTCAAATGTGTGGAGCCCCGGCCGCTACTGATCATCAGGTAGTTGCACTATTTTCAAATGCATTCATTTTCTTTACTATCAGTTTGTAGTGATTCATGGATCTAATGAGTGTGTTACATAAAATTATTATAAGCGTAATTAAAACATGTAGGGCAGAGGAGCGGCGTTGGAGGTACTTCGTGCACTAGTAAGGGAAGGCGGCGCTCGGGTCGATGTCCGTGATGCTGATGGGAGAACACCTCTACTGTGGGCCGCGTCAGCTGGCTCGGCCGCGGCAGTACTAGCTTTGCATCAGGCAGGAGCGAGTGTAGATGATGCTGATAGGTAAAATTAAAATGTTCGAATTGTTAGAATATGGTTGTTAAGAGTAGGTTAGGTTAAGTTACTGATAGATATATAAGTTATAACTAATGCTAAAATGGAGTATGTGTGTCTTTTTCTATTTATTCATTGTTAATATACATATCAAAGCAACTTGTAGAGATGGCCTGACAGCTTTACACTGCGCTGCGGCAAGAGGACATACCGAGGCACTTGAGACTTTGGTTGGACTGTGCGGTGCTAGGGTTGACGTCGCTGACTCACACGGCTGCACACCGTTACATTACGCAGCAGCTCTTGGTCATGCTGATGCAACCTCAGCCCTACTAGTTCATGGCGCGGACGCACATCGACAGGACCGTAGAGGAAGGAGTCCAGCTCATACCGCTGCAGCCAAAGGGCAAATAGAAACAGTTCGCATACTAGGTTACATATATATAGTATTTATTGTAAACTTTTGACATATCTTACAATTTATTATAAATTATAAACATTGCAGGAGCAAGAGGAACTAATTTATGGTTAAGAAATTCTAAGGGAGATCTACCATTACACGAGGCTGTTGCCTCGGGTCGGAGGGAATTAGTGAAATGGCTTTTAGATGGTAGACCATCACAAGTGAATGCTACAAACCATGAAGGTCGAACCCCTTTACATATAGCAGCAGCAACTGATAATGCCGACTTGTGTCGTCTACTTATGGATCGTGGAGCTGAGGTAAACCCTGTCGCTAAGTCATCTAAGAATGAACCCCTGACTCCTTTAGACTGTGCTATAAGTAGAGGTCATCGAGCTACTGCCAAATACCTACAAATGCACGGTGGGTTACCAGCTACCAAACTTTCAAATACTCAAATTATAATAGATGGTTCCTCTATCACAGCTTTACCAACAAGAAAAGTAACAAGTACAAAGATTGATGTTAGAGATCGAATTTTTATAGAAAAACGTGAAGTTGTAGAACTCTCAAGTCCGATAACTAATAGAAAGAAAGTAACAACTCAAAGCGATTCAGATTTCGATAAGAGTTCATCTTCAGAGGAACGTAAAGTAAAAAGAAGAACTAGAAATAAATATACGGATAGTTATGCGAAGCGTAGAAAGAGGTTATCAGAAAAACAGAAAAGTTTTAGTGATGGCTGTGACAGTGAATTTGAAGAAACTAAGAAACGCGATCACTATAAGCATACTATAGTAAAACCAAAGGAAAGTAAAAGTAGATCAAAAAGCGAACCCTCTAGAAAAAGTAAAAGTAGTAAGAGTCGTGAACGTTATCATAGATCTACCTCACAAAGTTCATCTGAAAGCTATTCCGCTAGAAGGAGAAGTAAAAGGCATCGAAAAAGAAATAGAAGAAAAACTACGTCATCATCAGAAAGCTCTACATCAGAAACTAGTAGGCGACGAAGTTCGAGGCATAGAGAAAAAAAGACATCTATTCATATTGAAAACGACGAAAGGAAGCAAAGTGTTAACATAATTAAATACAAAAACATAGATGATTCTCAGGAAAAAGATAAAACAGTTGAAAGTGCTTCAGCAATATTGTCGTCACAAAGAACAAAGAGCGAAGAAGAATCACCAAAAAGTAGAGAAATATCTAAAAAAAAAGCTTACAGTGAAACAGAAACTGATACCGTGTCTGTTAAAACGAATATGGTAATAACAGAAGCCCAAATCCATATGGAACGTGAATCTAGTCAGCATGGCAGTGCAGAAATGACGGTCACTATGGATTCACAAAATAACGTTTCTATTGAGACAAGTAACTTATCAGTTACTCACAAGGATAAGAATGAAGACGAGGAAAAAACATCCGAACCACAAGTTCCAACAGAGGAGGTAACTGAAGTAGATAAACCTATCGATGAGAGCAATGAATCAAAAGACGAAAACAAAGTAGCTATCGAGAGTTCTGTAGAAGATGCTAAAAGTATGCAATGTATAACAACAGTGGGCGATTCAAAAGAAAGTGAAACTAAAAATAACATATCTGATAAGGATACTCAAGAGACTTCAGAGGAACTGAAAATAAAGTCTCCATCTGAGGATAATGAAATACCTGAAAAGGAAACTTCTCCCACCGATAAAGAAATTAAAAGCATTGATAAATCTCAAGACGATAGTGTGACAAATAGTCAAAAACAATCTTTTCAGGTTTTGTCTGGTCCCAAGGACACCACATCGGAGGAAGGCGTTTTAAAATCATCGGGAGAAAAAGAGTCAACAACAAAAGAAGATAGAGAACCGCCTCCTAAAGTTTCTTCTGCAGTGTCATTTTCAGAAAAAGATGAAATTTTTAAGATCAACGATATTGAAACAACAGCAGATCAATCAGACAATACAGAAACTTCCAATAAGATTATAGACGTCGACTTAACAAAAACACCCCAAGAAAGCAAAAGTGTCTCTGAAGAAAAACAAGAATTGCAGACAGAGGCTAGAATTGAGGCCGCTGAGTTACATACGGCCGCAGATAAAGGTATAATTAAAATTTTACCGGATGATTCAACTATGGAGGATGTGGAAAATGAAAATTTAGAACCTGATAAGTTTGTTGACTATCAAGACTCGTCTGTGACACCTATTTCGCCCAGGCGGATCTCGAAATCAGTAAAAGATAGTCAAAGTAGTAGCAGAAAGAGTAGCATCTATGAAACTGAAAGTTACAAGGTTCTGTCAGAAACTGTCGAACCTGATGAAGTTAGTACAGGTATTTTAAAGAAATCAAGTTTTATTGATGATGAAAATATAGAAGGCGATACACTTGATAACACATTGAGAAGAGATAATTCTTTTAGTAGAATTCCAAGCGTCAGTGACAATGAGATTTATTACAGCCACTCAGAAGTCAATGGTCGAAGAAAACGATTTCGAAAAAAAGGAAAAATTAAAAGTCGATTGTCCTTAAGATCAAAAAGTGAAAATTCTGAGAGAGATTACGAGTCCAGTGGTTTCATGGACTCCGGTTTTGAACCTAGCCCGCGTTTAGTTCAAAGACGCATTATGAGTCCTCGGCTACAAGCTTACTATCAACAACGAAGAAGTGCTAAGTTGACGGGAAAAGTAGATAGTAAAATACCGGTGAGAAAACCTGGAGATAAAAAGGCTGTCGATATGAGATCTGTGACGCAGCGGTTGCAAACAAATATGAGAAGGTTAGTATGAATGTTGGTTTTAAATTTGTTTTTATATTACAGTAACATAATTTCTACTTTCCAGATATTACTGTGAAAGAAAAATATTTCAGCATTTATTAGAGTTAAAGCGACTGCAAATAAGAACAAGCAAAGCAAACGAAGCTGTCTTAGTTAAAAGGACAATTGACGAATACAATAAGTCTAGTCTGGCTACAGTCGGCTTAGGTCCATATAACAGCACAGACTACTCATTTAGTACTTTTGAAAAGTTTTTATATGAGAGCTTGAGAAAATTACAAAAGAGTGGCAAAAAACATCTCGACAATTTGCCTGAAAGACCCATTGATTTTGATTATGGTGAGAGCGAGTTATATAAAATGACCGGCATACCTGATAATCCTTGCTTATGTACAAGCAAGACACATCGATGTTTCCACGCTGTACATGCATACACCGGGATACCGTGTTCTGCTTACAGTGAGTATAAGTCATCTTGTTGCTACTTTATTAATGTATAAAATTATGCTGTTCCAAAAAAAAAAAATTGTTTTTATACGATACCAAGTTTCTATCTTGCAGTTCCTTATAAATGGAATCATCATACGATGCCGAAACTTGCTACCGCAGTACCAAAGACGAGATCCAAGGGATTTTTACCAAAAATAAATTCGAAGCCACCATCTGGTAAAGCTCACGTTACACTTGAAGTCTCCCATGGAACTGAAAGGCAGCTAATTGCATTACCTGCTGAGAAACTTGATAAAAACAAAAGATATTATGTAACTTTTACGGTAAAAGGTTCTGAACCACCGTCTGATAATGATAATCCTTCACCAAAAACATCTAAAACGCCAAAAAGTGGCTGAAAAAAGTACCTAATGTTGAGATAAAATTTTGGTCGTTATCTTATTGAACGAATACCAACTTAATTTGCATTGTGTCCCAATACAATTATACTATGTAGGTAGTATAATTAAATATTACAAAATGGTTATGTACTTCACGTAAGTTCATATACTGTTGTCTAGAAGATGGTTACAGGTAAATAAGAATATCATAGTGTTTTAAACTCCCGTCCATTGTGATTGTAAGGTATACAAATATAAGTTTAACATGTAGTATCGTTAACTGATAGACATTTGAACTAAGTGAGAAAAAAAGGCAATTATTTAATAACCCATCAGGAGAAAAAAAATATTTGTCTACATATTATGAACTTGTCCTATTTTTTGATAATTATTTAGGTAAATTAACTTTACTATATAGGTAATATTAATAGCGTGATATTAATATAATAGGTAAATAAAATATTAAGTGTTTAAATGTCACGTTCCCAAGTACTTTCAGTTGTTAAAAAATATTTGTTTTCTGGCCATAAGTAATATAAATTAAAAATGAATCCTAATATTTGAATAGGTGTTTCAGGTAATTACTTACAAAGGAATCATTAAGCATTAAAACAAAATAGATACGACTGCATCTCATCTTGATCACTGCCGTAAAGATGCAAATAAATTAGTTTATACATTTTTTTTCGCAACTGTAAATATAATTATAGATCCTATTTTTATAAAATATTGATTGGTACTCATTTATTATGTTTTATGTTGCTTTTGATGTGAAAATATAATTATAAAAATTTTAATCTGTTTTGATGTACCTGTGTTATGATTATTTTGATTTTTAGAAATACAGAATAAAGTAAACGATGCGTTGGCATTTTATTCGTTTTTATTTCTTCTTCCCGTTACTGCTGTGAAATGACTGGCTAAAATCGTAATGGGCACCAAATACACTCATTAAATATTATTTTTATTAGCTAGTTTTCATTATGACCTTTTGTGTCTTGGTTTTGTGTTGGTGACGTCTAAACAAAAAACATTTGTTATGACAAATATAGCTGTGGCAAAAATTAAAATCTATTTGTTACTTAGTTTTTTTTACGGTACAAGTTTAAATTATTTTAAATTACACTATGCCCCCATATTATTATTATTACTATACCTTTTTATAAGTCGGTAAAGTCTAAACTAATATATAATAACGTTACTTTATTTATATTATAAGCATAGGCGAAAAAACTTTTTAGTTTTTTTAACAAGGTCGAAAAGCTTTCATTTTACTTTCAAATTTACTATCAAAAGTAGGTAGGTGCGATGGTTTTAAAATGTTTAAAAACATTGTTTCAGTGACGTCATTTTACACTAACTTTACACATATGTAGAATTGTATCAGAATTAAAACTTCTCATCACTTTCATTATACATATATGTATATATGGATAATATACATACAAATATGTATATATGGATTGCCATGTTCTTGAATATGAATATTGAAGTACATACTTTACAAAAGAAAATGCTTTCAGTATAAAATATTTATTATATTAATAAATAAGTTAAAATAAGATAACAAAATCAAAACAAACTACAGATTCTTATACTCCCAGTAGTAGAGCGACGCCGGCGAGGGTCCACCTCGTTGGTTTGTACTTCGTCTTCAGATTAAATGTCCACACGAATGTAGGGCCGCGCATGCTGACACATACAAACACAATATATACATACATATATCCAATTGTCCCATTTTTAATGACTACATAGCTACTTGCTCATGACCTACCAAATTATTTTGTCGTCTTGACTACATCAAGTTTAACTTTTTCAGACTGGTCTGTCTAAACCATTTTCGTAAACATTTTGAGTTGCTTTTATGAAAAATTACCGTTTTTTTTGTTCGATTGAACCCTTTTTAGATGTCTTTTCCCGAGGTTTTCTTTTAGCTATTTTCATATCAAAGACTAGTTGTATCATTATTTTAACCCCTCCATTTTTATTATTATTTTAACCCCTCCATTTTTATTATTTTAATTTTATTATTATTTTAACCCTTTTCATTATTTTAACCCTTTTCATTATTTTAACCATTTTCATTATTTTATCCCTTTTCATTATTTCAACCCGTGTATAGTCAGTGTATAGTGAGTGTTCGTACCGTATCTTGTAGACGGGGCACTCGTACACGTTCTTGGTGTCCTGCTTGTCCTGCGTCACGGCCTTGATGTAGATGACGGGCATCATGGGGAACAGGTCCATCATGTTGGACTCCACGATGCCGCCCGTGGCCGTGTCCCAGCGCGCGCCCTCCATGTACAGCCCGTGGATGTTGGCGCCCTCGCGGGGCGGAGCGCTGTACACACCGTTCAGAATATGTTTAGTGTTTACTGTTATAATAAGTTATTAATTTGGAATAAACTTGGAAAAGAACAATTTTAAAAGTTTATTTCCTATTTTTTGTGAATAGAAATAGTATTTATCGCTGGGAATCAATGTCTTAATCAATATGTAAGATTTTCGCGTCTACATATTTAAATAAAACTAAGTTTTTCGGATACTAGGACTTTTTCATTATTAATCTTTATCATGTAGGATTTTGACGTTCTGTTTCCTCTTCAGTAGCTGAGACTATAGAGAATAAAAAAAAACAGTTAATAACTTTTATTCCTTTTCCTTTTTTTCCTAATAGAAAACTTAATTTCATTTCCTTAATAAAATCAATAGATATGAGAATCCGAAAGCGTTCAATAATAATAATAATAATCATAATGTACAAACTTGAAATCTCCCCTGTTCTTCTTGGTGACGTCACAGTTGAGGCACATCTTGTCCAGAGGCCACTCGTTCTTACGAGCCGTCTGCTGCATGATGGCCGTCAGGAACGACTGCGGGTTGAAGAAACCAGCGAGCCACACAGCGGGCGGCAACTGGACGTATTGAAACGTATTGGATATCGGACGAACTTGGGTTGATGGGGCTTCACTATTATGACCTAATCTTTGGGGCTTAGGATATTTTATCATTTACATGAAAATCGCACTGATAACAAAACAGATATCCTACTAATATTATAATTGCGAATGTTTGTGAGTGTGTGTGTGTTTGTTACTTCTTCACACTCAAACGGCTGAACCGATTTTGACAAAATGTTGTATACAGGAAGCTGACGTTCAGGAATAACACATAGGCTACTTTACCCGGTAATCAGAGGGTAACACCGCGGGATGCAGCTAGTATGAATATAAAGTTCGATTAAACTTGTAACAAAAATGAAATGACAATGAGTAGTTTCAAATAACATAACTTAGAGACACTTTTCTTTATTACGTACTATTTAATTATTAAATCAAGCGACGTGATATCTCATTAGCACTTAATACATATTATATAGGTTTGGAGACCTTTATTCTCCAAAAAAGACACTAAGTCACATACATGGGAACATAAAATTCAAGTAATATTAAATGTCGTTGTTAAGATATAATTACATAACGAGTTGTTTTAACTAACATTAAAGTCTCCGGACCAGTTCTCCAGCTCGGTGAGTCTGAGACAGAGGTCTGAGAACCACGCGGCCAGACCCAGCAGGCTGGGGTAGGCGAGGTTGGACCAAGAGACTGGCACGTGGTCCATGAACAGAGCCTCCATCAACTTCTCCATGTCACTGCTTATGGTCAACTCTCCCTGGGGATAAATGTATAATACAGTAAGGAAAACTGCGGTAGAAAATATGATTTATGTATTTTTTTTAATGAAACTAATACTACGCGACTTTATGTTTGGAAAAAACTACATACCTACTCTCGACATTTCGGTTACTATCAGCAACCGTGATCACGAGCAAACGAAATGTGAATGACTTATACTTTTTAGAAGCTTTCTAGGCAACGAGAATTTTCTATAATTTCTGATTAATATTTAAGTAGAAAACATGCTATATTTTTTTTGCTGCTTATTTATCTAGTACTAGTTTTTGCCCGCGACTTCGTCCGCGTTAATTTCGTCATTAGTAATATAGGTATAGCTGACCGGGCAAACCCTATTCCGTCTTCAATAACCCGCTATTGGTATTTATTAAATTTCTACTGTTTCAATCGAACAGAATGATTGACATATTAGTTAGTTGTCAAGTCTAATGGCAAAAAATCGTTTGTATGGAAAATAATAAAGGGCTGTTTTTAGGGTTTTTCCAGCAATTATTCCAATTTTTCTCACCTTTTAAACCTTCCCTGGACTTCCAGGAGTATTTCAAGACTAAAATTAGCCAAATCGGTTCAGCCGTTCTTGAGTTTTAGCGAGACTAAGGAACAGCAATCCATTTTTATATATATAGAAGAAGAAGATTTCTAAATTTTTTTGTAAATAGTTTTCCCTCTTACTTTCATACTGCTGATGGTATTTAAATAGTAAAAATTCCAAGTGAATGCATTCTTTAAACATCTCACATATGTTGTCTACCTTAAGTCCCAACTCCAATTCTTTAAGTGACCGTCGTATCTCCCCCATGAGTCTGTTCATCCTCTCACACTCTTGTAACGCTACTATAGTGTATGGAGTCAGTTCCTCCACCTTCCCCATCAGTTCCACTAAATTGAACGGCTCCGGCACTCTGTCCATTATATCGTCAAGGATATATCTGACCTGGAGACAAATACTATATTATACACTATAATACTATAAAATATGGGAAGACTTCTATGATGATGAGAACAGAATTCTATGATTCTAAGATATTTGGAATATTCCTATTAATGATATGTATTTTTTTCTGTGAACAGATAATTATGTATTATAAATATTATGTCCAAATATATAAGTAAATTTATTCTTACTATTTCTTCTTTACTAGCACCGCCCCCAGCCTGCGCTCCGGTGTCTCGAGGTTGCATTTCAAATACCACCTGAATAATATTGAAATGCAGAATTACACAGAAATATCATTTTAAATACATAAAACATTAGTGTATGAAAATACAAAAAATAATGTATAATATTCAATAGAGACGAAACCTCTTAGCATTCAATGGATTCACCGTGCGGGTGCCGGGTCCATTGCGTTGCAGGGAGAGGAGCTTCAACAGTGCCTGGGACTTGCGACCCAGGTGTAGGTTTAAGGGGGCCCTTAACTAACGCGCGTTATACGCTCACCTCCACTGTCCAAGTTCCTCTCCCTACCTAACCAAATTTGAAAAGAACCTACTAGGGCTGCCTTCGACGTACGTTCTAAGAATGAATTAATGTTAGTTCTGGACAGGCCCAAGTCTTTTAGTAGGTTATAGAGAGATTTAGCTGTTATACCTCTCGCTCCCACCTCTACCGCGTACAAATCAACGACGAACCTATTTCGAGTTAGTTCGTTAGTGAGCTCGTAATACTTATTGACCTTGATGGCATGGTCTTTGGGGATGTTGGTTTCCCAAGGCACCGTAAGCTCTATCATCACAACGCGCTTTAAAATACGCGAATATAGAAATATGTCTGGTCTGGAGGCCGACGCACAAATATCCTCGGGGATTTTGTATTGTTTCTCATACGTATCCATCATGATAGTCCAATCCGAAGCCGCTTTAAGGATAGAGTAAGGCTTGACGTTTGATTTTATAGCCCTGGTGCCCTCTCTCACAAAACCTATTGATCGCTCGTTTGTGGTTATTTCCCTTTGCGCTCTGGCTACCGAAAGACTAACCGCTTCACGTATGATCTCTAAAACCCTATCGTGACGACGCGAGTATTGACCGCTGTCCAGGAGAACCTTACATCCCACCAGCAAATGCTTGGCAGTTCCAACTGCCTTTCCGCAGATATAGCAAGTTTTTTCGGTACCTTTACCCCATCTTACTAAATTACTCTGATCTGGGAGAGTCATCTGGAACGCATTGAGATAAAATTTTAGCAAGGCTGGCGACCAGTCATGAATTAGGGTGCGCCATTTTAGTGCTAGTGGAATGCAAAAATCTCCTATGTCTAACCACTCGTTCTGCATTTCTAAACTCATTGCATGGATCTTGTATTTATCGTTCTCGTCTTGCCGAATAAAAGACTTCAATATATCCGTATCTTGGACTTTCCTACTTGATCCTAACCCTACTCTGTTATTTTGCGCTCCGATCATAAATTGTTTATGGAATTGAAGTCGTGACTCTAGCTCTGGGGCATCATTGTCTTTTGGGAGTGATGTAACGACGTCATCATGGGATTTTCCCAGGATATGTCTCTTGGAAACTCTTAGGTGTTTGTAGAGCTCCGATGGTCTTTTTAGATTCATCCCAAAACTATTACGATCCCTGAATAAAGCCGATGAATCAGCCGTTAGCGCGAGCCCGAGCCACAACTTCAACATCTTTATGACGCCTGCATCTAATTTAGATAAAAGGGTTTTACTAAAATCATAGACGAGGAAAGGCCAATTCAAACGTGAAGTTAAGTAATTATCGTAGATCCATGCTTTTTTTACGTTACTGATCTGCTGGCTATCTACCTTGTTAAGATCATTTAAAAAGCTATCTACTATTCCTTCTAAAGATGGAGTACGACCTATATTATCAATCTTACGACCGAGAAACTTGAATGGTGCATCTTCCGTAACCGTAGAAACGCATTGACCGCCTATCGATAGTCCCGGATCGTATGAGGTGTATCTTGTATTCCGCCTACCAAGACACAAACAGTGACATTTACTTGGTTTTGTCCTCAATCCATCCGTCCACTCACAGAATTTATCCACTTCATCCAATAGTACTTGACAGTGTTTGGGGTGACGTGTCAGTATTGCGAGATCGTCAGCGAAGGCTAAAATGGATTCCGTGTATTTATTATTAAACTTAAACCGATAACCCCATTTTTTCTCGTTACAGATTAATTTGTCTACTAAGATGTTAATAACGATATTAAACGTAATTGGAGATAGACAACAACCTTGAAACAGTCCTACATTATAACTCAAACTTTTTGAAGGGCCTTCTTTAGTTATTATAGAAAACCTTAATTTTGAGTAATACGACGCGATCATATCTCTAACTAGGGGTGGAAAGTTGTACCATCTAAGCGCGAATAGCATCAACTCGTGTTGTATCGACCCGAACGCGTTCTCTAAGTCTATCCAACAAACTGTAATTTGCCGCTCGCTTTTTCTAGCATCTTTCAAACTCTCCGACAGCAAGGTGTTGTGTTCTAGGCATCCAGAAATCCCGGGTAGAAACCCTTTCTGGTGATTTGGCCTAAAATACTTGTTGCTGAGCATGAATCGCGTCATTCTCGTTTGTAGGACCGAGAAAAAGATTTTAGAAATTGTATTTGTTAAGGCTATCGGTCTAGTATCCTTCGGATCGGTAACTCGATCTTTTTTGGGAATGAGGACAAAAATTGCTTTCCCGAAACACTCCGGGATTTGCTTCCTTGACCAGATTTTGCCGTATATATTTATGAGGTGTTTACGAACCGATGGACATTTTTTAAAGACTATATATGGGATACCATCGGGGCCCGGTGCAGATTTAGATGATTTCCTCTTTATGTGACTACTTATTTCGTCTAACGTTGGTGGTATGCCGTGAAAATCGATATGAGGAATTTCCGGTTTTTGTTCGTTTGGATCCGTATAGAGCCTTACACTTTTAGGCACTTCGTATGTGCTCTTGAAATGGTCGTAAATTTGATCGTTGGTCAAGAGAAGCTGTCCGCGTTCTTTCTTAAAAATGGTTTTCGAATACTCAAAAGGGTTTTTATCAAAATCTACTTCCTGTTTGGCCCGGTCAAAATTACCGCGATATTCTGCAGTTTGTGCCGATATTCCTTGAATTAATTTAAGGATTGACCTTAACGCCCTAGCTAGCTGATGACTAAGGTGGTTGTCGCCTAGAGCTTTGGCTATACGTAGATTTTTTATTAATTCCCGTTTTTTCTTCCTCATTTTTATCTTGAACGAATTTTCTTGTTTATATAATTAATTGTTTATTTGTGTACCTTAAACAATCTTTGAGACACTGTTGTCAAGTATCCGATTTCAGCATTAGGATGTAATCCATATAGATACGGTGTTTCATCAGGGAGGAAGTCGTCTATATACTGGTGGTAGCCGGCGTAGTCAGAATTGGGAGGCGATATGAAGCCTGGCGCTAGAGTTAGCTCTCCATCGACCTAGAAAACTAGTATCTTGAAGAATAAGTTCCAAGAGACATGCTATGAAAAGTGCTAAGGTCCTTCTCTCACCAATTCAGGCTGCATGTATTCCAAAAGGAAGGTTCTGCAGAGTCGCCGGTCCCAATCGTCCGTAATATGCCCTCCATACATAATCTCCCCAAAAAGATACCTCAGATCCTCCCAGGGCACGCGAGGGTTCGCCTCCAGGTAGTTATATAGCACGTACACACATATAGTGAGATCACCGAAGTTGAACGGATATACTCTATAGGAAATTGTAGTATAAGTCCTTTCGGTTCATATAAAAATAGCTAAAGATATAATTAGCCCCTACAAGTATGTAAAAGAAATGATGTCAATAATACTGTCAAATGTATAATGAATGCAAAATAGGACTTCGTTTTATACAATTGTATATGAAGAATGACCATTGAGTTTTTTAATCTTCAAATGTTCTTTGTTTAAAATATAAAAATATATATTAATCACGTGTAAAAATCCCAAACCTGTTCCATCCTTGAGGACCGAACTTCCGTCTCTCAGCCACAACAGCGTGGAAGTAGCAGAGCGCGAATAAAACAGATTTAAATTCTGCCTCCTTGCTGCACATCTCCAGCGTTTCCTGACTGAAGTTGTCTAAAGCCTGCAAGACATTATAATAATAATAATTGTCAATAACTGTAATAATAATAGTATTTCAAAAACAACAACTACAACATCCAAATGTCTATATTATGACTGATCATCGTTGGTAGGTAAATCCCCTCTTGCCAGGGTTTACATACGATTCCCAGGAAACTAAAATCTAATAAATAATTATACAGTAAATTAAACGTACCAACTGCTAACATACTACATAGGTTTAGGTTTGAAGAAGTTTATTTCAAAAAAAAAAGAACAAAGTTCGCTTACATAGATACTAACATCCCGGAAAACTAATAGAATTGGAAAATGTTAACGAAAACGTGAATTGCAACATACTGTTAAACGGTTTAAAGGAAGTACAGCAGGCAGATAAAAGGAAATGCACGACAAATATCTGATTAACTAGTAAAATGTTATATCACATTAGTATAAATAGGATTTATGGCTAAAAAGTATCTAACAAAACCAAAATTGAGTTCCATGGATTGTCAGACAGGTTCAGAATTCTCAACATCCAACTGCTTGGCCATAAACAACAAACAATATTTTAAGTACATGTCCAATAGAGGTTTCCAAATGAGAAACGAAAAAAATTCTACAGACAAATAGGGAGACCAATATCAAGAAAGTTTATCCAATGGAAAACTATAAGAAAACTAGAAGAAAACCTTCTAAAAAGTATTTATGAGAAACAAAAAATATCTACAAACAAATTAAAGGACCCATATTAAAAAATAAAATCATCCAAAGGTAAACTATAAACTAAAAGTTAACCGTCTCATAGGTATTAATTACCTTATGTAAGTTGGCCCACATTCCAATCGGTGGTTCGTTAGTGATCTTGATGGCTGACTCCAGGATGCCCTGCGGTATGATGTGGTAGGCGGGGTCCGCGGCCGGCTCAGCGCTCAGGTACAAACTGTAAAGATCTCATCTAGTTATAGTGCTATAGATATATTACAATTATTACTAAATCGTATGACTCTAGAAAATAAAGGTAGTAATAATACTTCCAGTCAGTAAAGTATTAAAGTGCTAAAGTATTTCCTTGCTACATGCTTGAGTAATGGCAAATACCAAACCATAACTTGAAACTATAGATTTGATTTTCAAATCCATTATGTAAAATCACATTAGTTATAATAAATACCGGTAGTCTTCCAACGGGCTTTCAAACGTTTCCTCCATCTTCTTCTCGAGCGTGGGCAGCCACTTGGCAACGAGATGCACGTTCTGCAGTATGACCCAGTGCCCCCTCTCTGAAGCTATTCCCATCGCCTCTTCAGCCACTACTTCCTGTCCTTGGCCAAGTGACACGATGTGGAAGTTCTTCTTGTCCGTTGAAAATCCTAGCTTGCGACCCAATTTTTCTACATCCTGTTCATAATAAAATTACATGTTCAGTAACTGTTACACTAAATAAAATATTACTTGTATGAAGCAATCATATATCTGTTGGTCTATTGAACGTAACTTACATATTGTATGACATAAATTGGTGTAACTTTCAACGAACAGAACGATTGAAAGAATATTGAAAACAGAAGACGAGCAAAAATCTAAATTACAGTTATACATTTGTTATATAATAACCTTAACAGGATCTACTCCTGGAGACAAAATGAAAAACACTGGTGTAGTCGAAGTACTTTCTTCGTAAGACTTTGAGAATGGCGGTGTTCGGGCTTCCACGTATTTGGTTCCCAAGTTTTCTTCACAAAAGGCCCTTGAATTTTTAGGTCATAAATTTTATTATTATCAGTTCGAAAATTATGCAATTTATTAAAGATTATTATTAATAAATATGTTACCCCGAGGCATAAGACATACGATCCGGTCTTAAAGCTCTTAATATACAAAGTCTCTGTAGTGGCGTCTTATTCTTCCATTCGCCAGGTAACTTGTCCCTCTCTGGAGCTTCACCGTCAGTGTATTTTTGCCACCTACATTACAAAAAAATATATATCAGTACCCATATATGAGTATTTGGATGGATTTATTAAAGTATTCTTCACCTCTTGCTAGCTCCTTCAATATCTTTATCGAGATTTTCAAACGCATCCATCTTGGACAGAGCCACGATTCCACCGAAACAATTATTAGACAGCCAGGTGTAGGGAGAGTTCGCTGGCGCCACCGCATACTTCAGCAGGAAATCTAATTCTCTGGGATCTATTTTGCCTTCAGCTTGTAAAACCTGCAAAAAATGTCCATTGATTTCGTTATGAATTCCTTAATGTTATTACTTTTAATTTAATACAAACCTGTAGAGTGATGAGGAATAAGAAAACCAGTTTGTCCTTCTCGAACAGTCCTCTGCTCGTGTAAATAAACACTGCGAATGTAATGCTGTCCAGTAAGTTGTGGACTCTCGTCTCCAAATCTTCGGAGGGCGTCGTCTTAGACAGCGCGTCCTTGAACACGACGCTGTATGCCTTCAGAGAGAACTGGTACATCGGGTTTATTTTGTACAGGTCGTTTAATATGAAATATAAAATCGATGCGCGCGTAGCTGCTCGTCTGTTGAAAAAAATTTGATGTAATGTACTAAAAACCTTGTGAATGAATAATCATATAAAAAAAGTTCTGAGTGTTTATTTTTTTAGCAATTCTTAATCATTTTTTGAACCATTTGAGCCCAAAAGTATGTTAAGGAAAAAAATTTAAAAATGACTCCTTTAAAATATTCAATTATTATATAAATATATTAAATAACCTGTATCTCTCACGGGCTTCATCAATTTTAACAGCTGTGACCTTTCCTTCCTCCACTTTCACCTCAATATCAGCGGCCGTTTTCTTCGTCGTCTCCAGATTAATGACCAAGGCTGAGTCACTCAGTATATCAGGTCCAGCTGATGACAGTCGCTTCAAGAGATCGTCTTCTAGACTCTTCAGTGTGATTTTGAAATCGTTCTGTTGTTTAGTAAGACCTGCTCTCAACGCTTCCAAATCTGGTCTCTCTGATTTAACCACTTCTCCAAGTAGCTGTTCTTCTAGACTGAATTCAGTAATAATATAGAAATAAAGTGACATCTTTGTATACATAGTTTTTAAGAATGTTCGTATCCAAATAAGTTCGACTAAATTAGCGTATAGATTGACAAGTACAAAAAGCTTTAAATTTAACTTAATACCAAGCAAACAAAAAACATACAAATCCGAAGATACTATTTTGGTCATTCTTTCATTTGTCATTTGTTCCAAAGAAACGAGGACAATTTTTTAGAAATATTTAAAATAATACTACTAAAACACTAAACAATACTATAAAAATTCATACCCATCTCTCGTGACAGTGAAATTGATAAGTGTACATTGAGCCTGCATCTCCGGCTGGTAGTGAGGGTTCGCCAATTTAGTTTGAAGTATCAGACGGAAATTCTGATGATAGTCTATCTCTCTGTCGCCAATCTGTGATACAGGAATACATAAGCGATAATGTATACAATTACTGATTATATATCAAGAAATACACTTTGATATGCTTGACTAGGCCCAAAGTAAAAAAGTAGAAAGAATACGAAAAAACGAGAAACTAGACATACATCTCATGAGATTGTTCCAAACGTTTTATTCAAATTCAAACTTAACCGCCACGATAATAATAATAATAATTTATTGTCTCCAAAAAAGCAATTACAAGGTATTTCAGTTAACAATAAGTTCCTTAAAGTATGCGAAACGTAATAAAGCGGAATCATCTGTTGCTGAACTAGGTGAACCTGTGTCTCAACGATTTGGAAGTAGAATTCGATGACGAATACGAAGTTGAATACTGATCACATGAGATTATTCAAAATGATTACTGATGCAGTAGACCATTAAACTCCATTTATACCTTGAGCACTCTTCCTTTTCTGATGAGTACTCGTCCTAGGAGCGGTTCCAGTACAGCGTCCACCGTCTCCCCGATGTTCTCCAACAGGACCACGTCTCCGTTACTGACGGCCCTCTCGATGCGGTCCAAGTAGTTGCGCTGCGTTAGACGAATCACTACGAGACCGTCGCCGTAACGCGACTTTATCCATTTGATGCCTTGGCTGTTTGTTAAAATATACAGTGTTAAGTATTAAGGTCCTATATATGTATATATATAATATATCATTAGATTCCATTCTACATAATTTCAAATTTTAAAACCAATAAGCAACGTTAACAATATATACTAAATATATTTTACATTAGTAGCTTTGCTATAGAGGCATGTTAAAAAAACATCTTAATATCTTTACTGTTTTTGTGTTTTACATCGAGAATAAGGTATTTTTTTTATAAATAGAATGTTTGTTATATTTTGGGTCTGAAATCAAGATTATTGATATAATTAGTTATTCATACAGTTGCGGGTCGATCATAAGCGGCCACCTCGCCGAGTTGGTGAGTATGGTCGCGTTCTCCGTGCTCATAGTGTCTGTGGGCAGCCCCTCGTTGTTCCAGGTGGCCACTTGAGCGTCGTCAGTCAACATGCTCAACGGCTCCAGACCTTCTGTTGTTTCTATTTTGGGCTGGAGGCATACATTTTATGGATATTGTAGGATCCCTGGTCCTACATGTAAGTATAACTAGTCACTGTCTCACTACTACCCCGCCTAGAGCGACGCACGTCACCGTTCCACTCCGCGCTAGTCATTAGACTGCCGAGCGCATGCCACCCCCTCCAGTGGGGTACGTGAGACAGTGTATTATATCTATTGTATAGATACATTCACTACAGATACCAAAAAGACAAATATGTTTATCTATGTAGTCACAAGAATTTTATTACATGCTAATAATATAAGTACAAACACAATGAATTATAGAATGCCAACCGTTAAATACTTCAGACTATTTGTTTACATTTTTTATCTCGTCTCGTTGGACCCACTATTATGTTAAACTCACGTCAGTCTTCTCGAGTGTTGGTAGCCAGTCCTCGTTGATGAGCAGCAGCCTGTACCGTCTCGTGAAGCAGCCCACGTACGAGATGAAGGCCGTCACCACCAGTACATCTCCCGGCAGCATTATACCCGACTCCTTAAGATTCACCACCGTAGCCGACCATCTGGAGTATGATAATTGATAACAATGTTACAAAGTGTTGTGACGGTGTCATAAGTGGTTGTTTAATTAAAATATAATTATCTTTATACGGTGTAATCAGAGGACGCCTTAGCTTCTGGGTAAACTCGTCTATTCTACGCGGGTCTGACTCAGCATTTCCGTGTGAAGACAGTTTTTGGTTTTATATTTCTTTTATGTTTTTAGATTATAATATTTCTTTTAAGAATTTCATTAGATTTATTGTCACTATTTGTTCAACCTTTGTGCAACATAGTCGAAACCTAGTTGTAATTTACTTTTAATTAAATTAAGTCAAATAATTTTGGTTTCATTGCATCCACCGACCGTCGACATCATAATTAAGGCAATAACATCTTTAGTGTTACTCCAACTTGCTTATAAAACCTTTGTAATAATAATAAAGAGGAGCTGTATTGACTGAGGGATGAGTTGGCGGCGGAAGAGGTGTGGTGAGAAGAGGAGAGGAGATATTATTTAAACAGCATTTTTGGGTATAATTATTCATTATTTTGTGGAAATTGGAATAAAAAGTGATTTACCAAGTAGTAGTACTGTTTTAATTAATTTCTTTAAAAAGTCAGTTGTTTCGTAATTAAAGTAATACCTTATTTTCTCTGAAGCCAAGCCATTCACGAGTCTGTTAGCCAAGTCGATCGTATAGTTCGTGGCATCCGCTTCCGCCTGGCACTTCATTTTTTCGTTGACGGCTTCTTGGAAAGCTTTCAGCAATTCTTCCAGCTTTTCTTCTAGTTCCTATAGAAAATACAATACTTTTAATATTACTTCTACAAATTACAAAAAAAATATTGTGGGGACGTGTAAAAGTATGGACAGATGTGTATTAATTTTTTATAAAATTTATGTTAACACGTTAATTATCAATATTTTATGAATATGTTGTTACAAATTGTTTTAAAACAATTACATATTCATAAAAACTTCAGACATCTACATTTATTGCAATTACATTTATGAAATAAACGGGTTTCTTTAGCATGAGCTTAAACTTTCAGAATTATATACATATATTAAAGTACTATTCGCAGTTTTATTTGTCAAACTAAATACCGAATCTTTGTTAATAAAGAATTCATCGAAAATTATGGCTACCAGTATATATATGGAAGATTCGAACTCCTCTAAAAACTCATATAGTATGATGAGGATATTATTTCCAGTAATTCTATCATATTACATGAATCTGTTCCGTGAGGAAGGCCAGCTTGTCCCTCGCGGCCTGCAGTTCAGCGTTGGCTGCGTTGAGTGCGCGTCTCTTGGGCTCCACGACCACGTACACGTCGTAGAACTTCACTATGTTGATGACCCACGAGCACAGACCGGCCGCCGCCGCTGACTTGGACATTATGAACTCCGCGTTGAACTCCGGGTTCTTTATATAGGGGAGTACCGCCTGGGTGGGGGGAGGGGGTAGAGCACGCGAATTAGTGAAGGGATAGATCTTAATAAATGGGTAGATGAGTTTGTGGATAGATGGATAGATACACAGATGGACAGATGATTAGATTAGAAAAATCAATAAATATTGTATTTATATTTTGAAAATTAGTTTTTTCGTTTTTTTTTATTTGGCCATTATCATTTTGGTACTTCTGCACACTACGGGTCTAGTGTAGACATTTTATTACATATGTTTATACAATTATTTATGTCTTTAATTCTAAAATGTGTGAATCTAAAAACATTGTTCTGAATTTATTTACATTTTTTTTATGTTATTTAATTTTAGATTTTTCTTTTATTTAAGATTTTATTATTAAAGTAATTCAGTTGTCAGGTGTAATAATTTATATAACAGACATACCTTGATGACATCAGGATGTATATTTTCTTTATCGTAGTACACCAGGTCGTATAAGAACTGGTCAACTTTAGCCATCATCAGCTGCGAATACAAATTACTCATTACTATATGTATAACCAAAATGACCATCATTTTATTAATTATCCTTTACCTTGCAGGCCTTCCACGATCTATCTTTAGGTATTTTTCCTTTCTTAGAGAACAGAACCAATACAGCAGCTGTGACATTTACTACAGCGTCCGGCGGTGAGCCGAATGACTTTAATTCAGTCAGATTGTTTTTGTTCAATGTATTCAAGGCCTCCTGCGCGGCTATCAGCGCCGGCTCCGCCTTAGCCAGATCGTCAGCGCAAATCTTTGCTTTAATCGTCACGTCTTCCTCAATGACCTTCACTTTCTTTTCCTCCTCGGCGGCTATTAAAAAAATAATATACTATATAAATATCATCATTTTAATTTAGATATTTAATAATTTCATTAGTAGCTATACCGAAAGCTTTCTCCTTCGATACTTTTTCACTTTCAGCGCCAACAACTTCTATGAGTTCTTCGGCGGCCTTGTTTTTAACTTTAAGTATTTGTTCTTGTTCGGCGAGTGTCACCTGAATCAAATAATTACATCAATAATCATACATGTCTACCCTCAATATTATAACTAATTCCCTGTTATTGTTCAGTAAAATAGAGCCCTTTAGTCCAAGTCCCAAAATATTATGATTTAATACAAATTAGCAGCATTAATTCTTGTGGTAACCATACACAGAAAATATATTTGTTATTATTAGTCTATGTAGCGTTCCTGTATTTAGTGTATTGTTTTTTTATGTCTCTAAGATAGGCTGATGCTAATATAGTGCGATTATCCCCTATATACCTAATAACGGGTGAAAGGAGGAAAAAAATATTCATTGTTTTTGACGTTAGTAAAAATTAGGATATAAGTAAGTCACCTTCAACACCGCCACATCAGCTGCACAAGACGCCAGCTTCTCCAAACCATTTTCTAGTCTGAATATCATCATCTTCAGGTTCTTTGTCTTTTCGTTCAATAGCTTCCCATACAACGATATCTGTTCCAAGAATGTTTTGGGCGTCGTGTAGTTATATCTCCGCTCGTTTTGGAAGTACACAGCGGACATTTGATTCACGCTTTGATGCACGTGTGACATGAAGTTGGAAATAGGATCCACGAGGTGAGGCTGTCAAACATTGTACTCCTTAAAATCACACCAATTCAATGAAAAAGTCATGGTAAAATTCAATTTGTTACTCTAGAACAACGGCCAATATAATATAGCTTAAAAGTATTTATTAATATAAGTTAAAAATTATAAAGTCTCGGACTATAAAAAAGAGAACCTAATAAGAAAGTTATTTGCTGCGTAAGTGATAATGAATGGACCATAAACTTTCCTTATAAATACTAAAATATTGCGTAATTTTTGGTAGTTATGTTTGCCGTAATCGCTTTTACATGCATAAAGACTGTTCTTGTTTATTAGTTTTGATGCTGAACACAAAATTTTATCACATGTACATATAAATACATATGTCACACAATATACATACGGGTAAAGATTCAACTTCAGCGATGAATCTCTTGGACACCGACCGCAGCGCCTCTTGCGGCCACTCGTGGAACCAGTTAATGGCCGAGCAGTTCACTATGGAGGGGAACTTACGAGCTCGCACACGGAGCGTCGCGCCCACCGGAGAGAAACACAATACAACCTGGAAGAAGAGAAATTATTATTAATATCATTGATGAGAGCCCATAAATAAGCATTGACTAGCTATTGATTCATGGTTCCATATTTGAATTCTTATTACAAAAACCGCTTATTTAATTACTTGATTGAATACCAAATACATGACTTTATCAACTCCTAGTTTCTGTTTTAAACATATTTACTCTAAACCTCGTCAGTATGATAGAGAGGTAATTTTGGTCTTTTCCTAATTTTACTAGTTCAAACTAAACTAAGCATTTAAATTAGCATCTAGCCATGTCAAGATTAAGTCAAACATTTATCTAATTTCTTTAGATCTACTTTAATTCCTATAGTCCTTTCCCTTACTGGTGGGTGGTGGAAGGACAAACAGTATTTTATTTATCCTTTGTTGCTTAGTGTAACTTAATGTAAATTTTCTATAATATGTTTTACCTTCAACATTGTCCGGACCCTGTTGATAAAGAATCTCCAGCAGTTCTCCCGAGTGTCTGGCACTCCGGTAGCTTTGGTCTGTTAATCAGTAGAAGAATATATATATTAATGTTTATTATACCTTCTATTCTGTAATCTTTATTATATATTATTTAATTGTATTGTTATTTTATGTTTTTGTTTTTTATTTCTGTTTATGTTAGTGTTGTCTCGCAAAGATTTCACAAATAAAACATTTTTAACTTTCTTTTTTCTTATTACCATATTCATAAGTTTTTCGAAAAAAAAGAAGAGATGAGTATACCATACCGCGATTTATTTGCTTCACCAAGAAATATTAACTAACCAACAAAAGCTTACCTCTCCTCTGACGCCATTAATAATATTTTCTATTTCATCATCAGCAAACAGATCTGGTATTTCTCCAGAAGCCAGCAGATCGTTGATGAGCACCAGGAACCTCTCTTCAGCGACCTGTCCGTCCGTCATTAAAAACACGCAGCCAATGTTCTTGAGACCCGCCTTCATGTTCAATGCAGCTGTTACAGGTGCAATTTTGTTATATTCGAACTATATGCACCAAATCACTTCTTACTGATTAGTTTGGGACACTAAATACTACTTCTACCTGACAATATCCCAGCTTTAGCCAGGGTCTGCCTTACATGTTGTGAATAGTTTTGGATAATTGTTTTCACGACCAGCCGTCTGCCTGACATCAACCCTCTTTGGGAATGCATTAATCAGTGATGTGTAAATACTCTTAGAAAGTACATATGACTTGGAAAAACCCATTGGTACTTGCCAGGATCGAACCAGCGCCCTCGTGCATGAGAGGCGGGCCTTTTCCCACTAGGCCACCACTGACTAGTTTGAGACACTAAATAATTTCTATATAAAATTCTGCTTATGTCTATATTTAGTACCGAGATCAACTTTAAGGTCGTTGATACTGTATCCTTTTCTCAGTTGTATCTGGAAGACTTCTAGTGACGAAATAAATGATGATAGTCGGGAAAGGGACTGCTTGCCTGAACCGCCCACACCCACCAACAGGGCGTTGCCTCGAGGCGCTTCCAGGATACGATTAATCCTAAAAAAAAAACTCTTTATACATATTCTGACACTATCAGAAGTCAGCAACTATTGGTCTAAACTAATTTACCTGCAAATATGGTACATAGCGTCCTCGAAAAGCACGAGATTCATAGTTGCTATTAAATCGTTGTAAGATGAGAGAGACTCATCAAGGAGTCGTTTAATATGCGGCCAGTCCTTGATCGGAAAGTATTTTGGATCACCAATACCTTCCGCGAAATGGCAGTAGATTAACGGCTTCTCGAAAACCACATTTTCATCGAAATCCTATTAAATACATTTTTAAAACATTAAGGGACACTGCTGTTTCTGCAATATATTAAAAAACGGATACTAACTTCACAATTTTTCTTGATGGTGTCTCCTATAAGTTTGGTGAAATTCTCATTGTCAACTGAATCGACTAGCTTGTCGGAATACACTCTATAAGCTTCGTGCATCCACAGCCTTAACATTTCAGAGGGTTGTTTTATAGCGTCTCCGGTTGTGAACAATATACCCTGAAATCAGATATTGTCGAAGCATAAAGATAGTACAAATCCTATACCTTTCTCAAACATCAACGTTTTCGTAGGAAATCCTTACAAGTGCCCATGTAAGTATAGTCACTACAATAAGAAGTTACAGTTCTTATCGTTGTCATTCTACTATGTAAATCATCTTGTGTTAAATATTGGGACAAATATAAACTTCTTTTATTGCACGTAATAAACTTAGTCAAAATTATCTCTATTTGCTCCAATACAAGGAAAAGCAAAATAATAATAATAATAATATTTAAAGGATAAACGTTGAGGTTAAATACCAACAACAGCGCGTACTCTTTCTATGGAGCAATTTTTTTTTGGCATTCTTTACATATTTCTTGTCTACTGAATATAATTTAGAAAGGGCCTTTACTACCTTCTTAAGCATTTAAAATTGTAGTCCGCTCTACATATGTTTACTTTATGTAAGACTTGATTCTCTATTACATCACGTTATTTGAAAATCATAAAATACTTTAAAATATGTAAAAATCATGAATAAAATATAAATTCCAAATTCAAAAATAATACATATTTTTAACAATTTTATGGCCAGCGTTATTATATTACCTGGAATATATTTGACAGGTCCCTCAAGTTGAATAGGTAATGGAACTTGATAGCGGTCGGTAGGAAGGTTGAAGACAACTTGTTGTGGAGCGCCAGCGCTGTATTGACTAAGGTCTCACTAAAACGTTGCACCGCTGCACCAAATTTGTTGAGAGGATTGGCAAGATGCTGCGATAGGATCTGCTTGTAGATATGGTAACACGCGTCCAAGCCGGGGAAACTGGGAGGAATAATAATATTAGTAACGGAAAAAATAACTTATATTTTACCTTACAATATATTTTATTATTACCTCACGGCAAAGGTGCAGAAATGTCGTTGCAAACGTGGATCGATGGTAAAGGAACCCGCTGTGGGATTCATGCACGACACAAACATACAGTTGGATATGTCCTTCAAGCTGAGTTTCTGTCTGTCATACCTACGAATAAATTCACGATGAGGATTATACAATAATTTATTAACATACATTTGGTAGAACGTTGTAAGAGCAAAAAGTATTCAACTGTGCTCTAACTAGACCAGACAATGTAGGCCTATCAATTTTGCAGCTACAAAAAACACTACATGCAAGAGTGATTAGGCTGTTCAATTAGTACTTCAGAATCATAATAGCTTTTCTACTCATTAATATAGTTTCCGTCAAACGAAACTGTTTCAGAAAATATTTGCACGACATAATATACATAAGCATCTCCAGAAATGAGTACCGTTACACAAACATTTCAAAACTCTAAAATAATGGTTGAGAAGAATATGTGGCGCCTTCAATTCATGGTGGTTGATGTTTTCTGTGAGAAATGACAAATTCAAAAATTTCTGTTCCATTACAGTTATAGAAACTATTTCTAGTTAAATTTTTACATCTATACAGGTGCGTATATGTCAAATTAAAATATAGTTTGTCTATTTCATAAGGAACTCAATCAGGTGACAACATTTTTCCTTTAGATTTAATCGTACGAAATGTTAATTAAATCAAATTACCAGTGTCGATAATCCATAAACTGTCGTATTAATGTATGAGGCTGCACAGTCCCGTAAGTATCCACTTCAGGCATGTTGAGGTCATCCACAAAGAATATCATGAACTTACTTCCCGGCGGCCCGAAGTTACGGCCAGATTTTTTCTCAAGTGGCTTTTCAAGTACTTTCTGAATCATTTCTGTTAAAGATAACGTTACGATTAGCGAAGTTATTGATTCAAAAAGTTTTCAAGGTCAGGTTTCAAAGATTTTAGTGTTGGCTATTAACATCACTGTCTGTTTCATATACTATTTATTAACTTAATAAGAAAACTTCTTACAAAATATAGGAAAAAAATTGAATTTTTAAAAAACGTATTTCAATAAATACAAGAATAGATTTATTCAAGTTAGGCTTATTAATTCATTTAGCTTTAGTTAATCTAACATATATTGATCGTTACATATAACCTGAAGTGGTGTAGAAGTTCAGCGGCACGTTTGTCACAGCGTAGTTGTCAGAGAGCGCGTTAAGTTTGGCAGCCACGCTGACCGTCTTCCCGCTGCCCGCGGCGCCGACCAGCATCACCGGCTTCTGTTTGGCGATCAGCAGGTCCATGAAGAAACGGATACGAGTCGTCTCTGATGTAGACACTAGGCATGACTGGGGAGGGAAATACATTCAGGCTTTTACTAAGCTCTAGTGGAACTTATATAATATCTTATATAATAACTAATAGGGGGGAGAAGACACCAGCACATGAGATATACGAGTAAACACACCATATGAGGAAAGTATTCAGAAGAAATGGAATTTTTTTAGCCAATGGTTGTTGTCATACATTGCTAGATCACGAAGATGATTACACAGGCAGTAGAATTTGAATATAGTTCACTGATCTATTTTAAACTATAATTTTTTTCGAAAATAAAATAAAATATTAGTAGCATAATAAATGGATAATTTGAAGAAAATTAGTAGAATAAATGTATGCAATACAATTTTTATTAACGAACCTGCAACGGTATATCCGGATCCAACTCAAAGGACTCTACTTTTTCTACCCACGGGAGGAATTTCTTGGTCTCCGGATCAATAAAGAAACCGAATACATTTCCTGTCGATGGAAACTTTATCTGTTTGAATTCGTTGCAGAACCATTTACTGAATTCGTTCCTCCAATCCACGAGCTGATCTTGGAACAAACCGGAACCAAAGCCCCAGACGATGCAAAACACGAAATACGTCTCATACCTAAAAAGATTTGGAAAAATTATTAAGAGAAATATACAATAACGTAATTCGTTGTATATCTCCATACCATTCTTTCGGGCAATCGCTTGGCAACAGACTCTTGTTCAGGAAACACTCCAGTAGATAGCAAGTCAGTTGTATTTGCTGTAGTTCACTAAGAGGCGTTATACGCTTATACTTCTTACATGACTCCAGTAGAGACGGTATGTATTTATCAAACATGACCGTCAACATCGCCTTCTCGGAATCATCATCTCGAGTCGTTTCTATCCAGGACGCTACAAATCTTTAAAAAAAATTAACAGAGGAATTTGAATATTTAGGCCTCTTAAAGAAATTATTTGTTTGGGCAGACTTCAATAGATTTTTTAGGTATTACTTTATATGAAATTATAAACCAAAGTATAATTTTTATAGGCTATCTATAACATGATAAATTTTAGTTACATTGATACATTAGTATGGGAAAATTAATGAGGATGAAAGTAAACATAAAATGTAATAGCCATTAAATAGTTATTTAATATTTCTTATACAATTATGATATACTCACGGGTTCCAGCCTAGATCCTGTGGATTGATATACAGAATACCAGCTCTTGATACTGTAGCAGGAGTTGCTGTGCGTAACGTGGCTATCTCAAATAAAAGGCGCATTGACTTTGTTAGGGCGATACGCTCATTACTGGCTAACGTTAATACCTAAAATTGGTAATATTTTTGATATTATTAATATTAAACTTTTTATTCTGTAAGGAAAATACACAAATATAGTCCAAAATTTAAATTTGATTTAACATCTCGTCTGCCTGTCGACACGTTTGCTAAAAAGTAACCGAAACGTCGGGAGTATGTAGTTATTTACGAAAACAAAGCACGCGTATTATGTCCAAAAGATATGTATCATTTAAATGAATGGTCGAGAAAGTTTTAGTTCTCATTAACTTTGATTACCTTATTATCATCCATTAATGTATTTAAACTCTCAATCCACATTGGATCAATGTCTCCATCAAGTACAATCCACTTCGGTCCTTCCCCAGGCATGTTCGCCATATCTCTCATTATTGTTGAAAACAGACCATCCTTCCATTCTCTAGTAGCCGGATTGATGATACCAAACAACTCGTCATTGGTGACCGCTTTTGGGTCAAGGTCATTGTAATACGGCTTCATTTTGAGCATTTGATAGGTCCTATGAAGACACTGCCACACCATAGACTTGCCGGTCCCGGCGAATCCATTGATAAATACTGAATGCCTCACAGCAAATAATTCCACCAGTTGTACCATCTGGAAAAGGTCAACTTAGAAATTCTTACCATTCCAATTTTTGTTTTTATTTTTGTATAAACTACCTTCAAAATAAATCCAGGCTCTGGTTGCAGCTTCATGGAAATTGCGCCGTCAACGAGATTCTTCTCGAAATCTAAATCTCTTTTTCTTGGCACGTCAAGAGCCGGGAACAAGTCTCCGATAAGTCCCATGAAGACCGGCATATCATCAGTTACTATCTTGGGTATATTGAAATCTCTCAGCGCTCTCATTAGCACCTGGTCTTCGGGTCTTTGACGATCACCTCTCTATATTAAAATATAAATTAATACTATATTACGTCTGCAGGAAAAGATTATATACTTTATTGCTTCTGAGTAGAGTTATATAAGAAAATACAGTTTTGTTTGAATGTATAGTCCAATGAAAATACTACGAGTCGTTACTTTAAATCAAATGATTTTGTTTTCTATGTGTTATAATTTCTCTGTTTAGAGTTTAGATACGAAAACTGTTTTTATTAATATATATTTTTTAAACAACTTATATAGTTAAAGCATATAAGTCTCACCTTTAAGGAACCAGCGACTACCAATACTGACTTGATAGCCCTGAGACCCCAATCGTAATGGTCTTGTTTGGAGAGCAGTTCCCTACACAACATATACAGGGTGATGAACTTGCGAGCCAAGAGACGTGCGTCTTGGAAGCCTTCTGCTACTAACATGATTTCACAGATCAACTCGAAGTCTGGCACTACCATGGCACACGGTCTGTAAATAATATTAATGTATAGTTCTACCGTCTAATAACTAATTGTATTAATAGATGAGATATGAGATTAACACTTTCAAGTATACTGTAAAGTTGGGGTTTTTAAAGAAATTACAGAGTTTCTATACGGGTATAATCCACCAAACATAATTGTTTCAGAATAGTTAAATGCCAATAATTGTATATTTATGAAATTTACCTAAAAAGTGCCTTTAGATTTTCAGGTAATTCTGTCCTGCCCGCATAGCCTGGATTCATTGTAATAAACATCCCAATGGTAGGAATCAGCGTTATGACTTCACCCATAAAGTCGAATTTCTTTTTCTTAGCTTTTATCGCATCTAGAACACTCTTGACTTGCACCGACACCACGGACAACACTTCCACTGAGATTCTATTGAATTCATCAAAGCATCCCCACGCACCCGTTTGTGACAACCCTATGGTAGTAATTATAAAATATGTATTACGGTTTTATGTTACATCTTGGAATTAAATTAGTTAGTAATTGGACAATTAGTATGCTAAACTACAAAAATCGAAGAACTGGGTCAGAACTGATTTCATCATCAGCCTATCAGAGCCCACTGCTGAGCAAAGGCCTCTTTCTCACATGGAGAAGGTTTGAGCATTAATCACCACGCTGGCTCAAGACGGGTTGGTGATTTCAAATTTATAATTGTGAAACTGTAAGTCCAGGTTTTAAACACATTTATTGGACAAATGTCAACTATTATTAAAATTACCTTTATATATATTCCCGCACGACTTATAGTCCATCTGTTCCGAGCAGTTGAACACATACACCATGATGCCGAGCGCTCGTCCCAGATCCTTCGTAGTCTCCGTCTTACCGGTTCCTGCCGGTCCGGCCGGGGCACCTCCCATTATTAGATGAAGGCTCTGTTATGTAGAACAATATTTTGATTTGTTTTATGCAGAGGTTAGGTATATATAAAACCGCTTTATTAAGAAAGAAAAGAAAAGAAAGAAAGAACATTTTTATTTGGGACCGTACAAAAATAATGAAATATCAGTTATTTCAAAAATAAGAAATAAAACAACAAAAGAAAACACACCAAAAAGACAACTTATAACTATTAAAAAAAAATTAAATAAAGAAAAAAATAATGCTATCACAATATACATATGTACATGACGTGTCCCAAATAGGTATACCATTCAACAATTAATAGGCGTGGACACCTAATGCTGGTTTTCAATGGTACCCTCTTTGATAACTATTACGATTATTGATATTAACATATTAGTGTATTTATCTTTCAATAATGTAACAAGTACCAAAATGATGGCATTAATTTATTTGTGCCCAACATTTTAACGAACCTGTCTCAAAGAGTTGTAATAGAATTGATTTGCAAGTCATTATTATACAGTTACCTGTGTCAATGTTATATAACATCTATCAGTAAGCGGCGTGATGACAAGCCGAGGAGTATTGCCAAGATATTCATAATCGTACAGGAACTGAGCATCACAAATGTTGGCGAAGCAGTTATTCAGTTTTAAGTCCCATCGGTGCCTAAAATTATTACACATTTATATTAACAACAATATTCAGCTATATAGTAATCAAATATCTTCGAAGACAAACAAAAATTGCCTAACGCTTTCTTGACTAAAAGAGATGGCAGAATGCAAAAGTGTAATAAAAAGAATTTTTTTGGACCAAAAAACTATTACACAAAATTTTGCTTTTAAAGTATTTAATTAAAAAGTTCTTACCTCAATTGACTTTGCCATTGGAAGGCCGTAGAAGATTCAACCTTAGCAACTATGAGTTTCGCCACAACATCTCTTGAATGTACATCTATAGTACATATAGTCATAATCTTCTGCCGATCGCCGACCGTGAGATCACCCAAGAGCAGAACAATGAGAGCATTTAATTGTGCAATTTGCTTTTTTTGATAATCTTTCAAAGCAGCTTCATAACCTGAAACGTTTTATTATATTTTAAAATACAGTTGCTTCTTCCTTAATAAAGTTGGATTTCATTAACTCTATTAAGCAAATCCATATCAAATGTCTTTTTGGGATGGAAACATATTATATGTAAAACGGACGTCTGTATATTGTTTAAGCACAGATAAAGTTGAATATGTTCTGACATTATTTGACACGCTATTAAAGACAACAACAACAGTATATAGTCCTTCATTAACTGGTCACCTTCCTCCAGCTTCTCGAAGGCCTGGTTGGTCTCGGTGGTCCACCAGATCTGTGTGCCGACCAGCGCAGGTTGAGCCGGCCAGTCGAACACCCACTCGTCTCGAGGCTTCTCCTCGTACGACTTCACGCTGTGCTCGAAGATATCTCTTAGAGTCAGCCGCATGCAGTCTGTTACTCGGTTCAACCAAATCTCCACCTTTCGTATTGAAAATATGTAAAAAAAATTGTGGAAGTACATATAGAGGATTTGCGATATATGCATGTATAGATATCGAATTATTATCAAACTTATCTCAGAGTAATACATTTATTTAGTACAATAAAAGCTATCCAAAGATGGTGTCAAAGTTGTCATCAGTTTAATTTATAAATTACAATACCTTCCCAGAACAGTCACAACACGGCGCCTTAAACGGCACATGCTCCTCATTTTCCTTGGAAATCATCTCAAAGGCTTGCTTACTGCCAGGTTTCACGAACACCAATTTGGCCAAATTATCGTACAGCTTAGACAAATGTCGGCAAACAGCGGGTGGATTGTTTCCGTTAGATAGAATATCTAAAATGTTATATATTGTAATTTAAGGGACCAAAAATAGTAACAAAATTATTTTAAATTGGAAAATTACCCAGCAAGTCTGCAGAAGATACGAAGTAGAACCGGGGATACGCCAAACGTTTTGTCTCCAAGTAGTCATTGAGTGCCTTCTCACAGAGATTAAGTGCAGACATCAAATCCTCTAATTTGTCGAGCAAACCGGGCTTGTTAGTTGCTTCGACAACATTAGGAGTTGAACCGATATCTTTTAGCAATTCCTAATATAAACATATATTGTATAACATGATTATATAACAATAATTTTGAGACGTTCTTAAAAAAAAAATTAAAAATCAAACTGAAATAGGAGGGCAGCACCTAATACCTGATAAAAAACCGAAATATATATATACTAAGAATTTTGTTGAGGCCTTATATAAACAAACTATAAAGGACCAAATTGAAAAACTAATTATAAGATGTTTAATGCACGAAAACAATTGGTAAATCACATAATAATAAGAGCCATAATAAATAAAAAAATAATTTCGTCTTATTTTCCTTATTTAAGTTAAACAATTTTTCATAAAGGACTAACAACGGAAAATATATCTTGTATGGTAACACCACGTCTATATGTATTTGTGCAAACTACAACTTGAAATATAATAAAATATGTTACAGTTTACCTTAAATGTCTTATCAATGTGGTCGAATCTCTTCGAGTCTTCCGGCAGCTGGGCCCTAATGTCGTCTGAACCAACAAAGATACTCTCCAAGTACTGCCACTTGCGCTGCACTTCAAACCAGATGGCGATCACAGCGTCCGCTGTACCCAGCTTCTTCTGCCACTCCGTCACCTCCTCCTCATAGTAGCCAATGAATTTAGACGACATCATGTTCTGGACTTGGTTCTTGAAAAAAATTGACATATAAACTCAAAATTTCATTAAAGTTAAAAGCAAATATAAAAAAAATTGACGGTCTAAGTCTTATCAAAGAATGCAATCCAAAATATTGTCAGCATCTTCAAGAACAAACTAAAAACAGACTCCCTATAAGTATGTAGTGACTTAAATAAAATAAATTGAGCCCAAAAGTATATTATTCTTTTTATTTTCATTTATGTAGTACAAATTGGGATTGGCTTTTTATAAGGAGTTGGTATCAAAATTCTATAGTCTAGTTAGCATTATATCTGTTCAAGAATCCTGATCAAGATATCTTCTCTTCCTTACCTGATTATCTTCTAGCACCTCTACAAGTTCCTCACTAGCCTTTGGTAACATAATACCAGTTCTGTCGTGAGGCATATATTCGAATTCCATAACAGCCCATGTTGCTTCCAATTCCCTTTAAATACAAACATAAAACTTGAAACAAAATAATTTTGGAGAAAACCGAACTTTTTGGCTAATTAACAAAGACTTAGGTTTATTTTTTTAATTTTTTAAATGGTATATTTGTCTAGTACCACAAACATTAAAATTAGAATTCTTAATTTGTAGTTATATGTATTAATATACTAGAAGACCGGGCGAACTTCGTATCGCTCTATAATCAAGAAATAGCTATTACGTTTTTTTATTTATATTTTTGGAGTTTACCAATTAAAGGCATAAATCGCCGTGTTTTGAAGTGCGACAGAATGATTAACATATATATATAAAGATATGTATGTAGGTGTAAAGTTTACCTGAGAGTCTTTTCCATAGCAGCCTCCTTAACAGACTTGTCAACAATGGTTTTGACTTCTTCCTCAAACTTGTGGAGATTCAAAGCTAATAAGTCAGCTAGAGTCGTGTCATCGTCGATGCTGAACTTAACCTATTAAAAATTAAATTACAACATTTTATGTTAAATAAGTTAAACGTAGCATATGGGGATACCAGACCACTTAAAGCCCTAAAATTGAGATAGCTAAGATAGCAACAATTGATAAATGTATGTTTATATATATATATTTGTGTAATAATAAAAATAATGATCTTACCTTGTTATTGTCCTTATATCCTTGCTTCAATGTCTGCATCTTCTATTATTTACAAAATAACTACAACTATATACAATTAATGATAAGAAAAAACTATAATAACAAATGAATTTTGATGAAATATGAGAAGAGTTCGGTACAATCTGAGAAATTACACTCGGTGTCGCTCATTGAGGACCATTTCCTTTGAAGTGATGCCTAGTATACGTTCTATTCAGTTTTATAAAGTTATTATTACAGTTCTCATTTTCTTGCGGCTTTGGTCTTCTAAAATTTTGAAGCTGAAGGTTACTATAATCATTCTTGGTCAGTTCTTCCATTCTTGCAGCAGCAGATATATCCTCCAAAGAGCTCGCTAACTCTTCTAACGACTTAAAGTCGGCTAAGATATCAGAAAACGTGACCCGACATCTCAAATTATGTTTGAATGCAAATGGTTCTGAGTGATCGCGCCTAGTATCGATGGACATGATGTGTGTATGTGCAGCTTTCTATATATGAAACATATACTAATAAAAATAATATGAACGAATTAAAATGATAGCAACAAAAAATAATTATGGAATGATTTTTTATAGGATACCTTTGTGGCCATCATTAGTTCGACCCAATGTCTATCTTTAATTGCCGGGTTCTGGAGGTCAGTGACCGCGCGCAGTGACGTCATGAGGTTCTTTATCGTTGCTTCTATCGATATATAAGGTTCCCTGATAGAAAGGAATTTGATAAGTAAATTTATTTGCAAATATTTCCAATAAATTTATTATCTACTTACCAAACTCTCATTTCTTTGTCGAGTTGTCTCAGGTCTTTGGTGAATCGCTTACATTCCTGATCCATGCCGTCAGCATCGATCTTCTTCCACGGCGACTTCTTCCAGAATTCAATCGTGCCCATTACTAAATTGTAGTAATCCCATAATTGCTATAAAGACAAAAATATAGTAATTAGAATGTTATTATATCGTGTCATAATTTGTTTTGTGTGACGTTAATATTGTACCTTCACTAGTTTCAATTCTCTTCGACACTGCTTCAAATTCTTTTCATCCGGTGGCTGTATGTCGAACAGGCCGCAAGACTTTTTCAACGTCTTAACGATGTCCTCAAAGTGTATAAGCTCCAAGTGAATCTTATCAATTTGCCGGTAGGGCTCGTGGCAATTTTCAAAGAATACCTGTGAATATTGTTTTTATTAGGAGACACAGGGGAGAAAGAAAGGCATTACTTTTTTGTGCTAAGGTGGCAAACGACATACGGCCTACTTGATGGTGGTAGTTACCGTTGCCCATGGACATGTGCAAAAATAGTGAGAAGAAATCGTAGGAAAAGAGAAAGGGCAATCGGATCTCTTACTCATAGAATAGTAATAAAAAAAATCATTAATAATTAATTCTTATACATATATAAACTCAATTGGCAATCCAATAGAATAATTATTTTTAATTCAGTATGGTAATGATCGATTGTACTCGCCTCCTTGAGCTGGAATTGGTCTCTGTACATAGTGAGACGCAAGTTCAGCAGAGCCACTCGTTTAGCGATCAGCGCAGCTTGAGCAGCTTGCATGGGCGCCACTTCGTTCTTGATGACAGTAGCTTGTTTCACCAAGTTGCGCCAACGCTCAGGCAGCACGTCCAGCTATAGGACACAGTATTGAATTATTTTTATTTATTTATTTAATTTATTGGGAAACAAACAGTATTACAACCAATCATTTTAGTGAACATTTTATGAGTAATATAATAAATATTTATTATCATTAATACTTTTATACGTAAACCAAGAGTCAATTACATATTTACCAAATTGAATGTTTCTGATTAATTAACCATTGAATTCGAGTTTTTTGTTACATAACAATGGAGGTACTAATAATATTTATATATTATTTGATTTACTTAATGCCAACGTAGCCCGGCTTTCACGCAATGTGCTTTAGGTAACTAATAGTTATTATCATTTGTTATATAAAGTGACATCACTTCTCAATAATTCAATATGATTTATAATACTTTATAATCTAAATTTCGTAAGGTTACGTCTTCGAAAGAGGAGAAATTAAAATTATAATAAAAAGATAAGTTTAAGATTTTTGTACTCAAATAAATTTTTAAGTCTTTGGAACCAGTTTTTTGCGACACATTTCTGTCGATTGTTATAGGTTTTTTATCGATTTGAACACTATTTATATATTAACTCAGATTGCGATACTCAATCACAACTGGTATGAATTATTTCGTATGCCTATTTGTCTTTTATTAAATTTATAGCTACAGTAATGATACACTTAAAATAGAAGTGAATAATATAATAAAACCATATAGTCTACTATATATCATGTAAAATAATTGGACACTATAAACAAATTTTCTGTGATTTTGTTATTAGGCCTTACCAAAGTGTACACAGAGTACTGATGATTCTCTGTATATTTCTATGATCCAATGGAAAGCAAGAAACAAACAAGAGAATTATAACCATTGCTAAGAAAAATAGCTCATAAATAAACGATTCTTGTCTCACCTGCTCGTAAGTTTCTTCTGGGAAGTCGACCCCGTATTCCTTGAGGACATACATGATGTCTCTGAGAGGTTCGAACATCTGGTCAGTGCCGGCGTCCATCTTCGCCTTAACTTCATTAAGGACGCCCATAACTTTCAAGAGTCCTTCATAATCATCCTCTTCTAATTCCACTGCTAGTTCTTTGGAAGCGTATGCAATGAACTCCTCCAAATCATCCAAGCTAAGACATCAAAAATTACTTAAAAATAATCTCTATTTGATGATTAATTGCAAATTATATTAGGTTTAGGGCTACCTCTTTTGCACATGATCCTTCAAGTTCTGCTTGTACAGATTGCTCCACTTGCAGATAATGTTCATGATGGCTTGGTTGAGTCTCTTCAGATTCAACTTGAGCCAGCCGTTACAGAGGTAGTCGGGAGGCAGCGACTCCACCTCGTTATATAACGCGTTGAATTTGTCGATCTTGAAAACAAAAATTTATGTTTTCATTTTAAGACTTATGTAAAAGATATGTAATTTTGCAAGATATTGGTCGTAGTTGAGACATACATGGAAAATTTGACATGTCAGCTACTGCAGTGTTTAATGAATTATAAACTACTAGTTGTTGCCCGCGACTTCGTCCGCGTTAGTTTCGTCATTAGTAATATATGTATAGCTGACCGGGCGAACTCTATTCCGTTTTAGAGACCATTAATCGCCATCGCTAGAGCCTTGAAAATTCGCAAAACGGACACAACCGTCAACGACGTCTGCCCTCAGGCGTCTGCCCGCGTTCGGGTCGCACACTCAGCGATGAGCCACTTCTTTCCCACCGCACCTACCCCGCTCCCCCACTCCCCGTTCGCCTGGCACCGCTGCCGGTATTTATCGCCGAAATTGCTATGACTCTGCATTTTAAATCTGTGATATCTTCGAAAATATTTATTAATTTACATGCTGTAAAAAGCCATATTGATCTTTATTAAATGCACAATGTATTTAAGATACTTAATTGGATAAGGATTAATACTGTATTGCTTAAAATCGCTTCGTAAATAAGCCATTATTTCTTGTACAAAGTAAAGGATAAAAAATGGTTATTGTGGGTTATTCCTAAGAGATAACCATATACCATCACGGACTCTTTTGTAGACCTTTTTAAATTGTACAATACTGTACATTGTTTTAATCTATCTTGTAGGATTCAGTCAGCGTTTGCAATGTAAGCGCAAAAAATATGTTTTTTTACGACCTATCAGACGCCCACTGCTGAGCAAAGGCCTCTTTCTCACATGGAGAAGGTTTGAGCATTAATCACCACGCTTGCTCAAGACGGGTTGGTGATTTCAAACTTATAATTGTGAAACTATAAGTCCAGGTTTCCTCACGATGTTTTCCTTCATCGTATGTCAGTGATGTCTAAATACTCTCAGAAAGTACAGATGACTCCGAAAAATCACATTGGTACTTGCCAGGTTTGAACCCGCGCACTCTGCAACGAGAGGCGGGCCCCTTAACCACTAGGCCACCACTGACTAGACCTCACATTAGAAACCTCAAAAATTGTAGCCTATGTGTTATTCTGATATATAAGCTATAGCCTATTTGTTATTCTGATGTATAAGCTATATTGTGGTAAAGTTTCATTCAAATCCATTCAGTAGTTTTTACGTGAAAGAGTAACAAACATCCATACATCCATACTTACAAACTTTCGCCTTTATAATAGTAGTAGGATTTTATAGGCAAATTTCGTAGGGAAATAAAATTTAATCTTTCTATTACCTCGTGCTGATATTGTTCCAGATTAGGCTTAACCTCGGGAGGGTCGCAGCCGTTTTCGAAGCGATATTTATCAAATTCTTCGGGAGGAATGACACGACCGTATTTAAGGAACCCAGCTAAAACCTCCTGACGATCTTCCAACCAAAGTGGAGCGTATTTCTCATACCTCTGTATTCATTAATACATATGTACTTGTACCGTACTTATATGAACTAAATAACGTGTATATACAAGACTTACCGAAGCGTATTGTACTACATCATTAATACTATTTTCTATTCTTTTAAGAATATCGTGGTAAAGATCGATCATAGCATCTTCTTTTTTAATATCGTCTGCAAGTTCAAACACATTAATATATTATTTACAACCATTTTCTTACAGAATTAACAACAGAAGATTAGTCTCTTTACCTTCGTATGTTGCTATGGGTACAATAGGATCGATTCGAGGGAACATAGTCGCTTGCAGAAACATGTCCTTCATCATTTCCTTCATGGTGTCATACAGACCATCAGCCTCGTCGAGGTCCAAAGACGGTGAGAAGTAAATGTCTAAAGAAAAATTTAGTAAACATGTTATTAGTAGATGTAACTACACCATCAGATTGTAAGATAGGAAATAAGGAAATAGAAAAATTAATAAAGCATCATTTATTGAAATCGGAAATTACCAGATGGTGGAAATTGAGAACAGAAGTAATAACAGTAGTAATAAGAAAAACAAGCATAATACAACCAAAGGCCTACACAGATAGAAAGATTAGATGCAATACACATACCACATACACATATATATACGCATACCACAAAACAAGCAGCGATCCTTACAGTAACTATAGTAAGTGAAGTAATGGGGGATACAGTATTTGTTAATGGGGATTCTAGTAATGTCACTCTTTAACGGATTTAGAGCGGCAGTACAAGAGTGCAAAAATAAAATAATAATATTGAAAAATTCATAATATATAATTACCTGGGTCCTTTAGTTCCGCCATTATTTCCATGAACGCGACCCTCGGTCCCTTTTCCAGGTCCGTTTGTTTCTCGAACAGATCCAAACTGCACTTGATGGCTTTCATCACTTGAGCTGACACCTAAACGGAAAATTCGTTTCATTTTTGGTGCCATTATTAGTTAATATTAGTTTAATTTTAATGAATACTCTTTAAAGTCTTACATATTTATCATAATCAAAATATCTATCATTAGTGTTCGATGTCATCATTATCTTTACATCAAATGTTTTGTTAATAAATTTTGAATTATTGGCGAAACCATGAATGTTATTCTAAAGATTCCAAATTTCATTTCGACTATAAATATTAACTGAGACATGATAACACAAATTACATTTAATTTTTTATTTATCTTATTCTTCATCGTTAGCAATTCACTTTCTTAAGAAATCTATAAAATACTAGCTGACCGGGCGAAATTCGTACCGCCCTATAATCAAGAAATAGTATCTGTTACACACTACAAATTATCCAGTAGAAACCAATGTGAAAAGTACACTAAGAAATGGTAAATGAATTATGTAGGTATTTTATTATAACTCCGGCCACAGACCAACTCCGACTGATATATTTGCAAAAGAGCATGTCAATTTGTTTTATTTTTTTCCTTATTTTAATGGCAACTAAGTGAATATTACTGCCAGTGACATTATTTTATTAAAAAAGTTATAAAGTTTTTTTTAGTAATTTTCGTAATTTTTTCTTACATAAGAACCTCCCCCTACTAATAACAAAACAATAAAAAAATAATTAGTGAAATTGGTTCAGCCAATCACGCGTGATTAAGGGAAAAAGGGATTCATTTATATGTATTTATAAAGATTTTGAGCCAGACACCTTTTTTTTGTCAGCTCTTTCAACCTAGTCCTCCATGCATTTCACTATCAATCTTCATTCCAGTGTCCGTGGTGGGGGAAGGAAGGGGGGGTTCACTATATTAATACGCCCTCAATTTTCAAAATTCCTCAGTCTATATTAGCTCACCAGTTCGTCCACGTATCTGACATAAGCGGGCCACCGTTCAGCGCGGAAGGCGGCCTCTTCAAGTTCTCGCCGCTCCTCCTCGATGTCCGCCAGCTCCTCAGGGTCCACCTCCTCTTCATCCTCGACGGGAGACTCCACTTCTTCACCTGTATACATATTCCTATAGTACAACTTAATGATTACAGCGACGTGTTTGATATTTATGCCGACTCAACGAAAAGAATTCGGTCACTGTTAAACACCTTACCTCGGTCACCTTAAAATTGAATTTGTCCGTCTTATGGTTCACTTTTAGTTTTTAATTTAATCTTTTCATTCTTTATTTAAATTTTTGTTATTTTGTAAATTTACCTTTTTTTTAAATTTTTGCTTTTGTTTTTACTGCGGCTCGCGTTGGGAGATCTAATTTAGATAGAAATTAAGCATGATGTATCTACCTATAAATGTTTGTCACACCTAGTTTTAAGTTATGTGTATTTTATATTTTTCTTACGTATGTGATGATGTGAACAAATGTTGGTGGATCAAATAATTAAATAAAATAAACTCGTGAGCCTAAACTAATGTTTGGTGTATTTCACTTCTTTTTAAATTCCCATATTAAAACCAGTATATCTGACCCGCTTCTCTCCTCTCCTGTCGCTCCAGTCTCTCAGCCTCTTTCGCTTCCTTCTTTAATCTCCTCGCCTCTCTCCTCTCAAACTTTAATTGTTCTTTTTCTGCCTTTTCTTGTTCCCTCTCCATTTTCGCTATCATCTTTGCTTCTCGTTCCTCCATCTTCTGCTGTAATCTCTGTTGTCGCGCCAGACGCTCATCCTCATCCATTGTGAGTTCATCGATTTCTTCCTCTTCCACTTCTTCTTCTATATCCGACTGAAAGAAGATTTATTTTTAAATACAATGTTAAATAACATATCATATATAAACAAAAATTAAACTTACCTCCTCATCACTTTTTATATTGAAGAATAACTTATAATTTTCTTTTAGTGTTTGTTCAAATTCCGCATGACTTTCCAGAATCCTCTTTCTCCTGTAACCGAATCATATTATTTTAATCATTTTTATGACTCATTTCTATTAGCCGCTTTTCCTTACCTTGCAATCATTCGTGGATGTCGTTCTTTCACAGCGAGTAATTCAAGTTTCTCTGGATTATCTTTTCTGTTATGTAGAGGCACGTCTCCCCACGCTGCTATATTGCTGAGACCTCGCTTCACGTTGTTCTGAGCCGTCAACACTCGTTCTTGTAACGTGTTGATGGCTGCGTATACTTCTGCCATCCATTCCGTGACTGAAATTTATAGGACATACGCATTATAATAAATCTCATAGCATCTATATCTCTGTATTTATTATACATACAGTCATCATTCCAAGTAAGTTCTTCCACTCCTCTCCCTAGAAGGTTGTCGATGGCTGATATTTCCTTCTCAATCAAAGCCACTTCAGTCTCATGACTTCCTTCACGTATTGCGTTATACCAGGCAATGGCACGGTTCAAACGATTCATGTCGTACTATAATATATAAATTTAATTAAAGATATCTGAATTAAAATACTATGTGATTGTATTAAATTTACCACGTACTTGTAGTTTTTCATTCCTCGCATACAATTCCAACCCATCTGGAGGTATTCCTTGTTTGTCCAAATACTTCATGTAACGTATCTCTCGTAATAACATCACCAGCTTTCGAACATATAAAGCATTTTTACGTTTATTATATTATAATCAATAAATAATTCCTATATTATTATTATCACAAAAAAATTACCATACCTCAGGGCTAAAGTTATTTCTTACAAACGGCGGGTCTCTGTATATGAGGTTTTTGGCGAGATGCATCTTGCATATATTAGGTACAGTGGTACACCATTGCTTGAACTGCCTGTCCTCTACCTGATTCAGATATCCGAGCATCTCGTGATGCTTCTGCTTCAAGTAGATCGCGTTCTCACATTCTATTATCCTGAGTAGAAGATTTATAACAAGTATTAACAACTAATCAAGTTTATTTAACACTAGCTGCGCCCCGCGGTGTTACCCGCGGATATCCGGGATGTAAAGTAGCCTATGTGTTTTTCCTGGACGTCAGCTTCCTGTATACAAAATTTTATCAAAATCGGTTCAGCCGTTTGAGCGTGAAGAAGTAACAAACAAACACACACTCACAAACTTTCGCAATTATAATATTAGTAGGAAGTAGGATAATCTTATGTAAACTTACGGATCCTCAAATAAAATAAAATCTTCCATAGGACTTTGGATCCGTCTCCTCAGCTTGTGAATCCACCAGATGACTCCCGCGACCGGCGGCAAGTACGGATCCACCATCGGCCTGTCAGCGGCTTTTGGATTAAGTTTCTGTAAAATAAACAATTTTAATGAATAACTTGAGACAAATTCATAACTTAAGTTATATTTCGTGGTTATTTACCGCCATTTCTTCGTCAAATATTTCCTTAACAGCGTCAAGGTTTGAGTGCATGAAGTCGAGAATTTTCATCACTTTCGGTTTCAACTCATTCTGTATGATGGGTCGGCGGTACAAGTCTCCCAGGATTTGGAAGAACTGTTTAAAGAAAAAACATTACTCTTTCTGTTTTTTGTTCATGTATTCAAATAATATCTCAAATACCTTAAAGAAATGTTCCAAATCGTGACATTCGTCGAGCCCTTGAGCGAATAAGGAGGCGAGTCTCCTATCCATGTGTTCTATTACTTTCATATGTTTGTCATAATCTGCGTGGAATTTCGTGTCTTCGGGATCCGCGGGGTCGTAGGTTATGTTGCCGAGGTTTAGGTAGATATGGGTATATTCGTCTAGAACCTAGAAAAAAATTAAAACTTCAATCTTCTTTCCCTTCTCAGTCTGTTACCTATATGCAACTTTTTGTAATTATTCCCAAATAGAAATATAATAAATGGACATCTAAGAACAAATTTAAACAAATTGAGATCTAAGATTTTCGCGAGTACACATTTAAATGAAACTAATATTTTCGGATTTTACTTCGCGTTTTATTTTTGATTAGAAACTACCTACTCCCGACGTTTCGGAAACTTTTCAGCAACCGTGATCACGGGCAGACAAGATGTGAGTGTCTGTCAGTTGGTCTGGTCATTTAGCTCTCCTACAATAAGACCCATAATTTATAAACGCTATGTAGGTGACACTTTCACAATATTAAATAAAAACAAAACATCTGCTTTCTTGAACCATCTTAATTCTATCAATAATAAGATCCAGTTTACTATAGCATTAAAGGCAAATAATTCTTTAGCTTCCTTGATATACTAGTCATCAGGAATCCTGAGAATACTTTGGGACATACTGTTTATAGGAAACCCACACATACGGATAGGTATCTCAATGGTAAATCACACCACCACCCTGTACAGTTAGCTACCGTTGGTAATCTTTGTTACAGAGAGCACAACACCTTTGTGATGCTGACCACCTAGAGGCCGAGCTGCAGCATGTAAGACGTGCTCTGACCAACAACAGCCTGCCCGTGCCTCGCCAGCATCGCAAGAACCAGATGAAGCCACCTACAGTTGAGCGACAACCTGCAATTCTACCATATGTAAAGGGAGTTACTGACAGAATAGGCAACATCTTGAAGAAGGTTTCAATCAAGACTATTTATAAACCACATAAGAAAGTGAGCCAATTCTTGAGACCAATCAAGAGTAACATTCCTTTACAACAAGCGGGTGTATATAAACTTGATTGTGACTGTGGCTTGTCATACATCGGACAGACAAAGAGAAGCATCGGTACAAGGGTTAAGGAACACATTTCAGACGTCAGGAATAGGCGCGCGTCGAAGTCAGCAGTGTGCGAACATGCATTGGACAAACCAGGCCATTACATTAGATTTGATAAACCACAGATCCTCGCTCGTGAAGACAGATATATACCAAGGTTAATCCGCGAGGCTATTGAAATTAAAAAACACCCCAATTTCAATAGAGAAGATGGCTGGAACCTATCAAACACCTGGGATCCTCTTCTTAAAAATATAAAATCCCATGTCCGTGACCACACCGCAGGACCTCGAGACACCGTGAGCGCATTTTGCCGGCATCCAGAGCGGTACGCAAGACAATTAAGAAATCGATGGCGGTAGGAGATAAAATGACCAGACCAACTGACAGACACTCACATCTCGTCTGCCCGTGATCACGGTTGCTGAAAAGTAGCCGAAACGTCGGGAGCATGTAGTCTTTAATCAAAAATAAAACGCGAAGTAAAATCCGAAAATATTAGTTTAATTTAAACAAATTGTTAAAATTTATAACCTTCATACACTCGGTGCTCAATATTTTGCCTCGTAGTCCAGAGAACTCCACCTTCTCCAGTTTAAAGATCTCAACAGTGGCTTCTAGAATGTTCTCGATCATGTGCAGCCTCTTCATGTACGTGTTGAATCTACTGAACACTCGGTCGAAGTCAAATGACCAGCTAACAGGCAGAGCTCCCGCCGGGAAGAAAGTGTGGACCTTGTCGCGGTTCATTTCATACGTTTCACTGAAATACAGAGACAAAACCTCTTAGCATACAATGGATTCACCGTGTGGGTGTGGGGTCCATCGTTGCAGGGAGAGGAGCTTCCACAGTGCCTGGGACTTGCGACCCAGGTTTAGGTTTAAGGGTCCCCCCCCTACCTAACGAGCGCTAAGCACTCACTTCCAAAGTAAAAATATTTGTAAAAGGAATAGTAAGTAATTTTGATATTTTTTTGTATAGTAATATATCAAGTATTTCATATTTTTAAAATACCAAACACCAACAATACAAGTGACTTACATGAAGTGGTTTAGGATACCGATGGCCTTTCTCAGTTTCAACAACTGTTCGTCCGCTTCTCCTTGGAAGATGGAAGGCGGGTCTATAGAGTTGGTGCACTGCATGATCACCAGGTTGCAAACTTCACGAAGCAGTGCTGTAAATGTGATTTTAATGATAAAATGAGCCCAAAAAAAGCAGTGCTTATAACAATTAAAGGCTGAACAATTTTTTTTTAAGTTTCCTTTTTTGTAAGATTCGTTTTTATTAGCATTTATTTTGGGGATTTTGAGCAAATGATTCAAAATTATTTTCACGAAAAAATACTCAAAACATTACTTTTAAGTGAATAAATTAATGACTATAATTTAATAAATTGTTTCATCGAAGTTCCAAATAAGGCTGTAACAAAGTGTAACTCTCACGTATCAGTTTTTCGACGCTGCAAAAGTATCGTGAGTTTCCCCAGAGCAAGCCTATGCAGTGAAACATTGGCCTTATAAGGTGCTTCGCATCAGAGAAATCAGTCCCCTCAAATGTCTCAAAATGTATCAACAGTGGCTTTTGGTAGACGTAAATATCACGGCACTCGATAATTGCTAAAATCAAGAGAGAACCTAAGATGTTTACTCCATTCCAAATGAAAATATTACGAGAAAATTTACAACTAAAGTAATTAAATAAAAACAAGAAAAACTAGACTCGGAATAATTCATTTTTGGCCATCATAGGCCTAATTAACATTTTTTCTTAACTATGACATCACATAACGTTAACTAGTCGCTATGTTTTTTGGTCATTAAGAGCTTCAACTTACCAGCAACAACATTAGTCAGCATTGTCTTAAAACATTGCAAATACACGCTTTTAGTTGATTCCAAGTAATGCGCCATTCTTTTAACCCTTGGGTCTCGTAACTGAGAGTATATTCCTTCCAGATTTCGCAGACGATGCGCGTAAAACTCAATATCAGCATTTGGGAGAGGGAACTTTGTTCTTTTGAATGCTGCGTGAAGTTATTTAAATTATGCTTTATACTGAACTTGCAAAAAAAAATTCATTTTTCATACCTATGTAGGAATCCTCTTGTAAAAGGTCATGAATTTGTTGCGCCCATTTTATAATAGCACCTTCTATATTCGTTTTCAGATGTAAATCAACGTCTTCCGAATCACTATTTTTGTATGTAATAGAAAAATGAATAGGTTTACGACATAATAAATGATTCAAAAATATTAAGTAAATACATGCCAACAATCAATAAACAACGGTAGATTTGGTAATCACCTTTCTTTTAATTTTGCTTCAGCGTGATAAATATTTTCCACACCTTCTGGCATCGGAAGCATTATTTGGCTCGACATATCGCCTTTAAGCTAAGAAGATACGTTATTAGGTATAGTTAAGAAAAATATCATTTTACTGTGACGGAAACAATCAAGAAAAATTTCAATATTGGTTTTCTTTTAAGACTAACTTAAAGCTTTCGTAATACAAATAGTTATTAGGGCTAGACGATAACGATATAAGAATACACCTAATATATTGAATGATGAGATTTGTACTGTTTTTACGTATTAATTCTTTTATGAACGAAAGTTTCATTGGTATTTCAAAAGATAGTTTTTTTTTTTGTCATAGCAATAATTACTAAATATTATCTATAATAATTTCCAACGTACTTGATGCATCAAATTCCTGAGTTCATTAACGTGTCTCTTCATGTCATTTTTGACAATTTTCGGCCAGCCCGTCTGGTTCTCAGGATTGCAAAGCAAGGGACCGATTACCTCATCCGCCATGACACTCAGATCCATTAGAACATTACCAGACATCTCGCCGATTGTAAGAGTCTGAAAAGAGTGGGATTATTATTAAAATAAACATAAAATAATAATAATAGTCCTTGAAGTGAACTAATAAAACAGTTGTTCGTATAATATTACCGTACGAAAGTTGCCCTGAGTTATTTTCTGATCTGAATTTCTAAGAAAATAAACCATTTTCCCTCTACTAATTGGCGGGAAGCTTGTGGAGCACGTCAATAATCCGGAAGTGTTCAAACGAAACACTATTACTTCGAATTTTGGCATATCGTAGAATTTGTATAACAAGTGCTTTAAAAAGAAAGGTATTAAAATAAAACTAAATTTATTTAATTTTATTTAATGTCAGTGTTGATATAATTATACCCTCTCGTCGCCTGTGATGAATTTGGTCCATTTTTCTATTTTCAGTTTTAAACTTTTAAGTATATATTCACTCATAAACTCTAATCGAGTATCAACATCTTCTTTCTATAACAATAATAATAAATTAAGTGATAAAATTTTTTTATTTCTTATAAATAAAATGTAAAAATATTTGTAAATTACTCACATCTCCCATTTTAATTTAGGTGATCGCTCCTATATGTAGATCATGACTTATTACAAAATTAATTAAAAGTATTTTTTTACAACTTGAACTAAATAATTATTATATTTATTAACATATAAGAAAATATTTAATGTTTTAGTTAGATCCCTTAGGTATCGGAATCTAACTAGATTGAATTATTGAAGAATTACCTATTTTATTTAATTTACTAAGTTGCTTAGCAACGTGTTTTTGATTTTAGAAGAATTTTTTTTTATAAAATATTATAACCTCGTTTTTCGCTGTCGGCACCAGTTAAATTCTTTATAAAATATGTATTATTGTATTTCTTCGATCTTGCTAATATGATACAACCTAAAAGTGTAAACATAAGAAACGATTTAAAATTCAATAACATTAATCTTATCATTAATTATTTTCATGTTTCCTCACGTAAATATGTTGAAAGTAGGTTTATATAATATTAAAGCTTTTGTTTTTTGTAAAGACAATATCTTGAACTGTTATATTTATTTTATAGGACTGGTATCCAGAGCTCTGTAAAAATTACGTAGCGTCTTTCGGTTAAATAATTGTCAACTGTCAATTTTCGCGCCAAAGTATTTAACGAATAATAACTTTGTAGTTTATAAGCGCCTTGAACTAACTTTTAAAAAAGCTTTTAAAGTAATCAAATAGAGTGTTTTATATATTGCAGTGATATCATAATATCTCTTCAATATGGAAGGATTTGATGATCCTGGAGTGTTTTTCTCTGATAACTTTGGTGTAGAAGAAAATGAAAGCCAAGATCAAGTTAACCTTCAAGCAGTCAAAAAGAAATTTAAAGAGTTCATTCGCCAGTTTCACACCGGAAATTTTAATTTTAAATACAGGTGACTATCTCATTTATAAAGTGACAATCGTTTATTACTCGTCTTTTTTTTTAATTTTATAAGAAATACTTTAATAGTTGCTCTTTCTTTCCAGAGATGCGCTCAAGCGAAATTACAATTTACGTCAGTATTGGGTAGAAATAAATATCGAGGACTTATCTAGCTTTGATGAAGTCCTTGCTGAGAAACTGTATAAGAAACCAACTGAACATCTTCCAATTTTGGAAGAAGCTGCAAAAGAAGTAAACAAATTTAATTGATAGTAGTATACACTCCCTTAACAAGTACATTTATAAGTATCAATTACTTTCCTATGGTTGAGAGTCATCTATCTAGTATTATATTAGCAAATGACTTATTCAATATGAAATAAAGTCCCAAGATTATGGAAAACAGTACTGTATTGAAATGAAAGTAATATTTTGCAGATATACTATGCAACTTTATTTTTGATAAAAACGACTTACTCTTGATGTGTCAATTGCTTTTCAGCAACCGTGATCACGGTTATAGTATATCTGAAAAATATTAGTTTCATTTCAATGAAAAAGACTTGTGAAAATCTCAGATCTCATTAAACAGTAATGCATTTTGTTCCCAACTATAGTATTGACAAAAACTTTTATGTTTTAAGTTTATAAGACAATAGATATTTATATATTATCATGTCTTCTTAATGTAATATCTACTAAAAATAATAGAAAATATGTTTTAAAATTATTAAATTTTTAATGAAATTCCAGTTAGCCGATGAGTTGACTGCACCAAGACCAGAAGGGGAGGAGAAAGTTGAAGATATTCAAGTATTGCTGTCTTCCGATGCCCATGCATCCAACCTAAGAGAATTAAAAGTATGAAACTTATCTGTAATAGCATTGTAAAAATATAATAGTAAAGATTATATTAAGAGAATCAGTAAAACATCTTTAATGCGGACCAAATATAAAATATATATTAATAATAATGTTACAATCAGATTCTTTAAATTAATAATCTCATTGATTTATTATCAATAATATCCACACTTTAGTTAGTATAGATCATATTCTTCAATAACAAATATATGTGTAAGTGTTAAGTACTATATTATTTCTATTATGTTAATTATTATTCATTTATTTCTTCCAGTCTGAAACAGTTTCGAGGCTAATAAAAATTCCAGGAATAGTGATATCGGCTTCTGGAATCAAGGCTAAAGCTACAAAAATTTCTATCCAATGCAGATCTTGTAGGAATGTGATACCGAATCTCCCAGTGAAACCTGGTCTTGAAGGCTATGTTATGCCGAGAAAATGCAATACGTGAGACAGCACTAAATTACTCAATATTTATAAGTTATGAATATACTATATGACTCATAAATATATTATTTTTTCAGTGAACAAGCTGGAAGACCAAAATGTCCTTTGGATCCATATTTCATTATACCGGACAAATGCAAGTGTATTGATTATCAGGTAGACACGGGTTATAATAGTATGATGTCTTACAATAGGAATTAAATTGAAATATTAAAATGTATATACTATCCAGGTATTAAAATTGCAAGAAGCCCCGGAGAGCATACCACAAGGAGAGATGCCTCGTCATTTGTCGGTATATTGTGAGCGTATGCTGTGTGAGAGGGTGGCACCGGGAGCTCGTGTCACAGTACTCGGGATATACTCTATTAAGAAGATTGCTAAAGCCGGGGTGAGTCTATATTACAACTATATACTATAAGAGGAAGTAACTGTCTGTAGTGGTTTTTCAAATTAATTTTGTAGTTATATTTACTTGAAATATGTACTGATTAGACTTTTTACATGTTTACTAGCTCTGAACGTGAATTCATATTTCATAAATAATAAGAATGAATATTTGTAAATAAAAGTATCCTACAACAAATGAATAAGAAATGAACTGATGCAAAAGTTTTAAATGTATTTTGGTACTATTATCATATGTACAAATTGAAAGTCGAAAAAATTGGCTATGATATTAATGCAAACAGACTAGTGTAAAGACAAAAATACTTGTATGTATATAATTGTTTATAGTGAACAAAAATAAATAAAACTGATGCTTTATTACAAACAATTGTTCTTTTCTCATATGAGACAAAGAAAGTTAGATTTGAACTGATCACTTCTTTCATTTATTTATTTATTTGAATGGCAAATCAACAGAACATAGATTAAACACTTAAAACTAAACATTTAAAACAGATACTTATCTAATGTATGTACCAATTACAGACGTACACAGCACTGCTCAAAATTACTGTCTAGCTGCTTAATAATAATACTCATCTTTTGAGATTACAAAAATATTACAAAAAATATGTATATAAAATTATTTACTAAATGTCATACAGGAATCTGAGGACATTCAGAAAACTCAGAAGTAATGATGTATATTGTATGATAATAAAATAACTATGATTGTGTAGAGGGAGGGACGTGAGAAGGGGTCTGTGGGTGTTCGGTCGTCGTACCTACGAGCCGTGGGTCTTTCCTCTGCGGAGGGCGCGGCGGGAGGCCTGCAGCCCTTCACCGCGGACGAGGAGGAGCAGTTCCGGAGACTCGCCGCCTCGCCCGATATATACGACCGTCTCGCTAAGTCCATCGCGCCCAGCGTCTTCGGCGCCGAGGACATGAAGAAGGCCATCGCATGCTTGCTGTTTGGAGGTAAATTAACACAAAAATTATATTTATTTTACTTATTATGTTATATTAGCTTGTAGGATAGTTCCAATGATTATATATATGTAATACATATTACTTTTCAAGAAACGGATTAAATAAGCACATTTATTGACATTGGATTTTTAATTTTCTCTAAACATCAATACTGTAATTTATATTAATATGTTCTAGGTTCACGTAAACGCCTCCCCGACGGTTTAACTCGTCGAGGCGACATCAACGTCTTGTTACTAGGTGACCCGGGTACCGCTAAGTCACAGTTGCTCAAGTTCGTGGAGAAGGTGGCTCCCGTGGGAGTGTACACGTCAGGGAAGGGTTCCAGCGCGGCCGGCCTTACTGCCTCTGTTATAAGAGACCCGGGCAGCGTTAGTATATAACATCACAAATAAATTCTACGACTGTTACTAGGCATAGTGTATTTAGCATTTTTCGGATTAATATTGATCTTGAATCAGGACGAAATTTTATCAAGTGCTATCTAGATTGGTTGAAAAATATCATATAGCGGAACGGATGCATATTTGTTATTATTTTACTTAATTTTGTGTTCTTAATTACTTAGAATTGTTAGAGTTACAATATATCAATATATGTGATGAATCGCTTACAACTTGGCTCAGGATAGATACAAAGCGAACAAAAATGGAAAAAATATACAACAAACTTAAATATTCCTTTCTAAATAACAATTGTACTTTTCTTGTTATACATATTTTACTGTTAGACAAGATTTAAAAAGTAATTTCAAGTTTTCCTCAACAGGTCTGCATTTCATATAAATGATATCTATATAGTAACCAAAATTCGATGTGTAATAAAAAAAATCTCGATAAGTTTTTAACATACAAATATATATTTGCAGCGTAATTTCGTGATGGAGGGCGGGGCGATGGTGTTAGCTGACGGCGGAGTTGTTTGTATCGACGAGTTCGACAAGATGAGAGAGGACGACCGAGTGGCCATACACGAGGCCATGGAACAACAGACCATCTCCATCGCTAAGGTTATTATTTACTTGTGATAAAGGGAGCAATCGAGAGGACGGCCTATCTGATAACGGAGGTAGTACTATTAGCCATGGACTTTAACACGCAACATAGTTTTGCGGATGCGGAGCCACCCTTGATTGGGGAATAGAGAGAGGAAAAATTGGGAAAAGGAGGGAAAAATGAAAGGACAACTGGTTCTCTTACTCATCAGACGAAACGCAGCCATTAAAGACTCCTTCACGCTCTGCTGTATAATTTCACTTGAGATTCGAAAATTTAACTATTGTTAAAAGATAAAAATGATTTTATTGATAGTTCTAAGTTTCTAACCATTATAGATAAACTTACTATAGATTGAAATGTAACTCCGTGCATTACGATATTAATTTCATATAAAACCTAACAAAGTTATGTTAATGTCACAATATAACAGGCTGGTATAACGACTACTCTTAACTCCCGCTGCTCGGTTCTGGCCGCTGCTAACTCCGTGTTCGGTCGCTGGGACGACACTAAGGCCGAGGACAACATAGACTTCATGCCTACCATACTCTCGAGATTCGACATGATATTCATCGTTAAGGATGAACACGATCAGAACAAGGATATTGTGAGTCAATGAAAACTGTTATTAGTTAATAATTCAGTAAAAATACTTTTGCTTAATAAAACAGAAAAAATAGAGTAGTAATACTATATTATCTGTTATTTTATATAAGTAAAACTAATATATGACATCTTTTTAAGAACAATTTAATTTGATTCATTAGTAAAAATTTTTAATTTGAATTCAATAAAAAGAAAACGGTACATTTTATCTTTTATAATAATGTAGAATATAAATAGGTACTGAAAATATATCTTACATAACAGTAGTTTATGCTCGCGTCTTCTGAATTCTTATAAAGAAATGTATTAAATGTTTTAATCAATAAATACAGTAACTCACCGTCAGCGGCGGCTATAGTCTATTTTATGGGATTTAATACAAAATAGGTATGTTTCGCTGTGATCCCACGAGATAAATGATTGTATACATAAAATTTCGAAACCAATTATATCTTATGTCTTATTCTGATGTTTGAGCCTCATGCCTGTAACGTTTTATTTGAAACAATTTAGTTGTTATTGCAAAAGAGAGCAAGAAACATTCATACATCCATACAGATTCGCATTTACAGTATTATTAGGGTGTATTTTGTATATAAATGGCATAAATAGTACAGTGTATGTGATATATTTTCCTCCAGACCCTCGCCAAGCACATAATGTCAGTACACATGGGCGGGTCGTCAGTACGAGAGGTCGCTGGTGAGCTGCCTCTGTCGTTGGTCCGTCGTTACTCTTCATATTGTCGCACTCGCTGCGGCCCGCGGCTTTCCCCGGCCGCCGCTCAGCGTCTCGCCGCCAGATATGTTCTGATGAGGACCGGAGCAGCCTCGCAAGAGAGACAGGCTGACAAACGACTCGCTATACCCATCACAGTCAGGTATTTAATACATTATTTTGTTATGCTATAACTTCATACTCCCTACAATTCTATTGCTCTAAATAGTCTTCAATATTTAATTGACAAACGACATAATAACAAGTAATTACAAACAATTACTTGGAAATTCTACACGTATTTTAAAAAAAATAAGAATTGTATCGCATGATATTACTATGGGCTTAGATAGTAACGATTTATCATCTTCTATCTTCTATATATATAAAAATGGATTGCTGTTCCTTAGTCTCGCTAAAACTCGAGAACAGCTGAACGGATTTATCTTATCTTAGTCTTGAAATGTTCGTGGAGGTTCAGGGAAGGTATAAAAGGTGAGAAAAATTTATTCATTTCCGGGAAAACCCTAAAAACAGTCCTTTTCTATTTCCCATACAAATGTTTTCTTTGACATTAGATTTGACAACTAACTAATATGTCAATCATTCTGTTCGATTGAAACAGGAAAAACCTGATTTTTTATGGCCTCTAGGACGGAATAGAGTTCGCCCGGTCAGCTATACATATATTACTAATGATAAAATTAACGCGGACGAAGTCGCGGGCAAAAACTAGTATATTAATAAATCTTAAGTAGTGCCCGACCGAAGGTCTATTTTCGGCAGAAGCCGAAGCCGAAGGTTTATGAGCTCTTAGTAATTTTGTTCAATATTGTCTACAAGCTACAATTAATGTTATGAATTATTTCGAAACTTCAATATTGAAGGTTTATTTTGACTGTCTCATATGGAAGTGGACTCAAAGATGATAAAAAAGTTTGTGATTTATTCTTAAAAAAATAATCATTTATTTATTATAAGTAATTCATAAATCACAATCAGACCAATCAAGTCTTTGTTTACTCGACTAAGCCGAAACTAGACTAGTAAATAAAATGAACAAACATCAATTTCTTAATAAATGATTAAATGTTGGTCAATTAAATGCACAGTTTAGAAAATATTAGAAAATTCAAAATAAATGGAACAATAACAATAGTTATAAATAATCAAGTAATGACTGAATATTCTATATAGGTTGTCCCATAAGTTTCTTCCCTTTTTTTGATGCGAAATGAATACACGATATTTGTTGTTTGAGGTTGATTTATTGTATTATATATGAACCGTTCTGTTCTTTAACCTTCTTTCATCTCTCAGGAAGCCTCATTATGCCCTCTTTCCAAAATTGTTGAGGATTACTTGCAAAATATTCGTCTGTGTGCGTTTTTATTTCGCTTATGGATTTGAAAGACTTACCACGGAGACATTTTTTTAAAGAGAGGAACAAGTAATAATCGGAAGGAGCAAGGTCTGGGGAGTACGGAGGATGAGGTAGAACGTCCCAATCGAACTGTAATAATTTTTGTCTCACGACCATCACAACGACACGACGAAGAAGCAAATCGCACGTAGAGACGCGGTTTATAAGGCCGGTCTCCGTCAATAGGTGTGGAACCCAAACTTAATACCGATTTGCATATCCCATCTTGATCAAATGCTTATGTACCGTTGTCTTGGGAATGTTAGTTTTATCCTCTATCTCGCGGATATTCAGAGAGCACAGTCTTGATAAGGTCCGCATCCGTCGTTACTGGGCGGCCGCTGCGGTCTTCATCTTGCAAATCAAATTTGCCGGCTCTAAATTTCTTAAACCAATTGCGGACGGTCCTAACGGAAGTATCATATAATGGTCGTAGTACCACTCCCGTAAACGGTGCAAATCTCATCTGCAGTGTTCTTTGCACTATTGCCTTTTTTAAAGCAATGAAGCATAACATCCCGTAAATGCTTCTTTTGGTTCTCCATATTGAATGGGGCAGATTTTTTTTTTAAAGAGGCTTTGTCACCAACGAAACGTACTTTGAAAGAGCTCTGGGACGACTGAAACCGATGCCATAAACGATTAAGAGATAAGCCTGCATGTTTATATAAGCATAGCCAGTCAGACTCATTCATAACATAGCGCGGAAAAAACTTATGGGACACCCTAATATTTTACTTTCTTTCTTCGTCTTTCGTAACAGTTCGTTCAATCCCGACGGTTGCTCGGATCTTCGGCGAAGCCGAAGCCGAAGCTTCGGTCGGACACTAATCTTAAGTCAAATTATAATATTAAACATCATTTATTGCATTCGCTTTTTCTACATTATTCGTCAATTTAGGGTTATATTAATTTGAAGCATGATTATCTTAATAATAACTTAAATATAACCAGAATTTTGTTTATTCCAGACAACTGGAAGCCATAATCAGAATATCAGAATCTCTAGCCAAGATGCAGTTGCAGCCGTTCGCCACAGAAGCCCACGTGACGGAGGCGCTGAGGTTGTTCCAAGTATCGACGCTAGATGCCGCTATGACCGGCAGTCTCGCCGGTGATTATCATCCCTACTAACATTATAAATGCGAAAGTAACTCTGTCTGTCTGTTACGCTTTCACGCCTAAACCACTGAACTGATTTTAATGAAATTTGGTACCGACATAGAGTTGACCTGGAGAAAGGACATAGGATAGTTTTTATCCCAGACTTTTGAAAGGTTCTCTTGGAAACGCGATATAACCGAACTCCACGCGGGCGAAGCTGCGGGCTGAAAGCTAGTAATATTATAATAATCAGAAAATATATCATTTATTTATCCTTACATGTCCAATTTTAAACAGTTAAGGTTAATTAGGAATATTCAATGATTATTTGAAGTTCGATAGTTAAATTTAAAGCATTTGGATTAATATTTATTATCAATACTTAAGTAGAACAATATTCATGGATTGATATAATGCATATGTACATAGATTTGCCCGCGACTTATTTACGTCAGAGTCTGAATTCAATATGTGTAGCTGGTTTGACGAACTCTGTCCTGCCTTAAAGACAGTAAATAACCAGATTTTGGATTTTATTAAATGATTTTTTTAAGTATCATATCTCCGTCTCCTGATTCTAAACTCATAAATAACTCAGAAATATATTACATTTCTAAAAGTATTTTATATAAATAAAATTTCTCTGTGCGATTTTTCTACACATAATCTTTCACGGTATTAAAGACTCTCTTAAAATGTTTACTAAGTAATCGCTTCACGTATGTATATATAGTCGTATATAAAGTTATATTAATATTGGATTAACTTTTTACAGGCGCCGAAGGATTTACAACGGAAGAAGATCAAGAGACATTGTCTCGGATTGAAAAGCAATTGAAACGACGTTTTGCTGTTGGCTCCCAAGTATCAGAACAGACTGTGATACAGGACTTCCTGAGACAGAAATATCCTGAAAGAGCTATACTTAAGGTCATACATACCATGATAAGGCGAGGCGAACTGCAGCATCGCCTACAGAGAAAGATGCTCTACCGACTCTCATAATTTTTTGTTTAAATAAAACCAAAACTCATAATTATAATTTTTAATAATACTTTCAGATTTTGAATCCATATGAGTAGGAATGAGTAATGAGTTACTTATTATTGACATGATTATACAGGATTTTATCCTATGTGGAAGTAATGGTTGAAACAATACATAACAAGCGTCATTATAGCGATGAACGTCATACGTGTCGCTTCAAACTAACACTAACATATTTTATATCACAACTAATAATTATACCAGGTTACCTAAATAGTCTTAAGACCTAGTCTTACTAGGAAATATAAAAATAATAACGATGTTTTATGCAGGTGGGGTTTGACTAGAACAGTTCAAAAATTAATCAGAAATAGCTGAGTGTCATTAACGTATGACTTTTAGCAGTATTTGTCGAGGCAGTGTTTTAGAAACTTATATAAACTCCTCACTGCTACTTAATATAAGCGATATTTAAATCAATTTTTCTCAATATCCACGGCTTTGTCCAATTTGAAAGGATATTCAGGATGTCTTTCAACGCCTTTCCAGAACAAGAAATTAAAAATACGTCCTTTCTCTCCCGTATCCAATTTCTTCAGACGATTCATTTCAGACGGCGTCAACTCAAAGTCGTACAACTCTGAGTTTTCCTGAGAATATAAAACATGCCTTCAATAATGGGTTTGTTGTTATTTGTTACTGATTAGAAAAGTATACTTAGTGTTAGTTTAGCAAGAGAAACACTAACCATATTGGTATTAAAATAATGTTATAAGAATATCTATTTAAATAATAAAGATACCTTGAGCCTCGTCTCGCTGGTGCTCTTTGGAATCACAACTACCTTCTGTTGGACCAGGAAACGCAATAATACTTGTGCGGTCGTTTTTCCGTGACTTTTTGCTATGTCCGTAACTTCGGGATGTCCGAGTAAATCGGGAAATGCGTCAGGACTGCAAAAATAATATAAATTTCATATAAGGATATCTGTTTTGTATTGCAGCTTAGTTTTTAGTGCTACTATTAGAAGTTGTTGCAATTATAACTAACCTATAATTGTACTTGTTAACAAAATGGTCCTTCGCCCCCGGGGAGCCCAGTGGGGCGTAAGCCGTGACCACTATCTCATTTTCGGCGCAGAACTTCCTCAGTTCCAGCTGCTGGAAGTAAGCGTGTAGCTCCACCTGTAATACTTGAGGTTTGAGCGTCGAAGCGGACATGATCCTCGCTATCTGGTCTTCGTTGAAGTTTGATAGTCCCAGGTTACGAATACGGCCTTCCTTCTGGCAAGACTCCATGACCTAAGTTAAAAAAATCACCCACATAGAATATTATATACATACCCACACATATGTATAAATTAATTTCATAATCATTTGGCCTAGGATCCAAAAAAAATAATTGAAGTAACATATTTTGCGATTTTGTTCTTTTTTACATAATGTGAGTTCGATTCAGATTATGAACTACTACTTAGGTCATTTTATTATTAATACAATTAAGCATAACGCGAGTAAAAATAATGCTTAAATTTTTGCATTGACTGCATATTTGCTTTTAAAATATCATAAGCTTTGAGCGTAAATTTTCATCAAAAACTTGAAGTACCTTCCACGTGGTGATGTGATTAGTGTCAAGGTCGAGGTCATACTCCCCGCTGCTCTTCACCAACGGCGTCAAGGTATCCGGGTTGCAGTGGAAGCCGAATGGCACGTGAATTAAGTATAAGTCTACGTAATCCATTTGTAGCCTTTGTAATTGCAAATTTAAGAACTTTTTTACATCTTCTGCTCTGTTACCCACGTGGGGCAGCTATAAAAAAGGTTAAGGCTTTATATAAAATACAGAACTATAAATATACACTACATTATTTAATATACTCGTAACTGAAGTTGAATATATGGTGGTGTAATGTTTTTCTTGAATATAGAAATACGAATCTACTTTCATTCACACATATAAGAAAAAATTGAGAAACAGAATATAATAGATAGAAGTGATAGATATATGAATATTCTGTTCACGGGGACATAACTGTTATCTACAGATTTTATAGTAATTTTACACAATAACCAATAAATTCCGTAATCTGGTTTCTCGGAGGTCTTATATAATCTTTATAATAATTGAAATTTGTAAAAATTTAAAAAAATCCCTTGAAAAGTTTAATTATTCCTATTTACCTGAGTATACCATTTATAAATTAATCAATTAACTACAGAGCTAGTCATTATATATTATATACCTTTGTAGTTATAAATAAATCCTTCCTCGTTCCTTTTCCATTATCTATCCATTTTTTTATCGCATTCCCAATAGCCTCTTCATTGTTATAATTGAATGCGGTGTCAATATGACGATATCCTAAGTCTAATGCTTTGTAAACAGTCTGTTCTATCACTTCTGGAGAAGCCTTGAAAACGAAAAGTAACTCAGAAATAAAAATTAGACATTAATAATGTTGAAGATAGTGCACCAAAGAACACTAACCTGCCATGTACCCAGACCTAATGTAGGCATTAAATCATTAGTTTGTGAGAGTTTTACAAATTTCATATTTCTTAAAACTTTACTAATATTTCGATTTACGAATGGCAAACTATGTTTAAAATTTTCTTTAGACACAGAAAAAAATTCACTTCTCAAAAACAATCTGACTGACATGCAACCTTGGCTTTACGCCAAAATAACGATGGGCTATAGAAGATTTAGTTTTCTTTAAGGAACAAGTGATATTAATACGATAGGTTAATAAAAACAGACATTTGAGATCATTTTCTATTAGTATTGATTTTAGTGACGTAACTATACGAAATTTAAATTTCGCGGTTATAGAGTGGACTGCTAACATAATTTAATATAATTTTTAATTTTCTATAACATAAAAGCTTTAATCAAAAATGGTATTTCATTTTCGTTTAATTTTTATAAATCAGCAAGACAATAATTACATTTCTAATTTTTTTATACTTTTCTCAAGTACTAAACGAAATTGTTACGCCAGTGTCACCATTACTAGATTTTAATTGGTACAATTTATGCGACATGTCCTACTATGTGATACGGTTGGTTTGATATGCACAACTAGAATATTTTAACCAATCGGAATGCTTGAAAAATTTGCATTTCACAATTTCTTGTTTTGCCAATGCAATTTTGACTTACAGTTACGGCATTGTATGTTTGTATATGTTTTATTTGTGTAATTCTTCCCGCCTATTATAAATTAAAGATATCAAAAAGTATTAATTAAATACACAGAAACATTACATACAGTCTATTTGACAAAAATGGGAGTAAGTATTGTTATGTTCCTTCAACAAAACCATTTATTACTTTAAGAGAATTACCAATTCCTTGGTCGATAAGTGTTTTTAATAAATGTGATATCTAAAAACACTTAATAATGGTTCAAAATGTGGGGTAATATGTTTTATAGTATAATATATCTTATGTTTTGGTACTTTTCATAGAAGAAAACGGTGGCATCTGCCAGTAAGAGCAAGGAAAAGCGTCAAGCTAGAAAGCTTGAGCAGCGTCGAATAGCGGACGGCATGTCGTATGTAACTTCTGCAAATAGACTTAAAGACCTGGCGCCTTTGTGCAAAGAGTTGCTTGTGTATTCAAACAAAGACTTAGAAATCGATATGTATATACAAAGAGTGACTGAACTTAACAGAAGTGTACTGGATTGGGCTATAGACCTTACAGAAAGGAATATGAAAAGGCTGTAAGTATCAAACAATAAAAACTTTATTTCGGACATTGAAATTAAGACTTCTCTGAATTTTATTCACAAAATTATTTTTAATAGTCGTTTTCTCTCATCATATGATAATTTACTTTCTCACTACTTAAAAGAGGATATTACTTATTTGTATTTTATTTTACTTCCATGGTTATGTATTTCAGGTATGAGACATGCGCATGGGGTTGGAACAGAGATCGTAAAGTTGAAGAAATGACCGATGATGCTGCCTGGTACCTGATAGCTAAGGATAAAGATAATGCGTTACAGGCCTTCTCACATTTCAGATTTGATATGGACTTTGGAGACCCTGTACTTTACTGGTAAGAATTACAAATGTTACCAAACATAAAATTACCAATGATGACAAAGTAAAGATAAATTTTATCAAAATTATGTCTAATTTATTTTGCAATTTATAAATTTACATTAATTTTAAATAAATTCTTATAAAATAACATTACTATTTTGGATGTATTGTTGGGGAATTAGGTAGAGATTTTTTTTCAATTATAGATTTCAGTATAAAATGGTTAATAAAATTAGTCTGAGTAGTTGATAATTAAGAATATATTTTTTTTATTATGCTAAAATTATTACAGTCAAATTAAGTAACCGACTATATGTAAGGAATGTAAGAAATTATGTAAAATTTACAATTTATTGAAATAAAATTATGAAACAAAATAAGTTAGTATAGTCCTTGAAATTCTAAAAATTCTAGATTTTGTGATTACATTAATGAGACACATTCTTATTTGCTTATCCCAAAGATTTATTTGTCCTCATATCTTATGTGTGTCTCGTCATTGGCAAGATTAGCTTAACATACCAAAATAACACTCATTTTATAAACTACTATAAGCAAATACAATTCCATTATGAACAAGTAGAATGTTACATCTTCAAGAATCGTTAATTTATTTTGGTTAAAAACAGAACATACAAGAAAGTTTAAATTGTATATTTATTTTTTACTACTTATTCTTTTTAAGAAAAAACTAAGATTTCTTCAGTAACAACAGTATAATAAGTTATAACAATTTGTCAAAGTAAACAAAGAGTTTTCAGTTTATCATTCATACATAGTCGCTCATGATAGTATTAAGGTATGGTATACATAATATAAGCTATATAAATAACAAACTAGTCTCTTGGTTGTTTTAACGATTCAAACCCATGGTAAGTTACACAAGAGCAAATTGTGAAACTGATTTTTTGTCTCAAAACAAAGTAAAAAGTAATTTCCGATTTAATAATTACATTTTGTCACAAATATTAAAAAAATATACATTTTGATAAACAAATTTGAACTTTGTACATAACATTATTAGTTATAACAAAGAAATTTTAAATGAATCATATTTAAATACTCATTTCTAAAAACATTTTTATAAGACATAGTCCGACTTCATAAGAAAGCGTCTGTAAAAAAATACTATAGAATTAGAGATATCGATCTTCTTTTATTAGGACTAAAGTTCAGTGCTCTTATTATAAACTTTACATGGTCTGATTACATACGAAGTGTTGCATTCATAAAACCTGTCAATTATTATGTATTAACGTAGGTTATTAAATGGGGAACGGCAAACGGCAAACTATTTATAGTGTGACAATGATAACTTTTTTTAAGCCTACTGTTGCTTTCGTTAGATTATATCTCAAAATTTGACGGAACTGATGTTTTTAAATTTTTTGATGTTGAAAACCTTCGATAGAACTAACATTTAATATTTCAAAAAATTAATGAATGTAAAAAGTGTTTAGGAAATTACTAAGTCTATTAAATAAAACAAAATGAAGCCATCATCATCATGCCATCAATTAAAAAATTAAATTGTGCTTAAAACGGCTCGCGTGATAAAAGATGATACTTTTTAAATGACGTCATGTGTTGATTACACTCATATAAATGAAGTGTCGCGATGAAATCAATATCCGTATAAAAAGTACTCATATATCCGGATGGGCATGGATTTTTTTTATGGATATCCATATTTTTTTATCACTCCCCCTATAAATATACTTGCATACCTGTCATAGATTAAGTGATACTAAAATCCTGTAAACTTCAGTGTACTGAGCACACGTTTACGTCGTGACACTACACACCGTTTCCTGTTTCTCATTCAGTTATCTACCTTAATACTATAATGTGGTTAGTTTTATGAATAAAAATATCTTAACGCTCCCATGTGACGTGTGGTGTAGTCCTGGGGTATGCATACAGTTCTTTTGACTTTCAAGACTCACGTTAAATCATTTGTTTATATTAAAATCCGCTCCCGCATTCGTTCATATTAAAATCAGCTCCCGCTAATTACGAATAAAGTCATAGGTTATAAAAAAGCCCCCACTAGGTTTTGAGTAGAATGTTAAGCGCAGGTAAAAAAATTAGTATTTATTTTAGGGATGACTTTCAAATTAAAATTGCTTCATTACTAATTTTGAGAATTGCCTTGGCATGAAAAAAATACGCGATCTATTTTGGGGAATATTTATTTCACTGAATACGTTTCCATCTCCTGGTAAAGCACTAGCTGGCAACACCGTCCATACATATAGATAAAACTATTAAGCTTTTATGTTCGTCATTGATGTCTCAACTCCACTGTAAGGCGGGCTTAATAAATATCTTACTAATTATTATTTACAATACACATATCTTAAACAATATTATATCAAAGGAATTCTAATTAGGCTTCACTTTGTATAACCAAAGAAAACACTGGAACAAACTGCTGTTCCTTATAAAGAGTCCCTTCTCTATAACAGTGTGTTTCTTGCACCACCGAACGCAACGGGTGCAGAGGTATCTGAATAGCTTATGTAGTATGTATGTGATGGTGGCTGTGATGGCTATGATTAGGGCTGCCACATCCAGCAGGTGGTACTCGGCGTAAGTCAGGTCTAGAGCTGGGGATCGTAAGTGATGCGCACCCCTGTGCCTTATGACGTATTCGATCCAGTATAGCCCAGTCTCCAGAGGCGGTAGAGGCCGGTCCATGAATTTATCTCTGAGTTCGATAGCTTTCTGTTTGTACCTGTAATGTTGAACTTCGACGTGATTTTTTTGCACTTGCAACGGTTTATCGTTTTTAATGTCAATAAAGTTATCGTGAGACAATTAATTCTGTTTTTTAAATGATAATTAATGCAATTTATCTGTTCGCCTGTCTTCGATGCGTGCGTAATTTTTATAGGTATTTCGGGGTTAAATTATAATACTAGCTTATACTCGCAGCGTTGTCTACTAATTTATTTGTAAATCAAATTATTTCTATAAAATATTTATGCATAGTCAACGGAACACCAAAAACCATTCCACATATAAAACTTTTTAGTTATATATTTTTCTGTGATAAATAGCTGTCATACCTTGTATTTGTCAAGAGCTGTCTCAACGCCTCTCTCCATATTTCTGTGGTTGATTCTCGTAGTGTCACAATTCTAGCGACTCCTCGGTCACTCATGGCACGTGCGTTTAGTGCCTGATCCGCGTACAAGGGCACCATCAGTATAGGAACACTGCACGCCACAGCCTCTTGTGTACCAAGTAGACCACCGTGAGATATGAATAATATAACGTTTGGATGGCCTGTAGATGGAACACATGGAGATTAATTTTATTTATTTGGCCCCACGTCAGGGTCTTATTCACACAAAAGAGACGAAAAAATATATTTTGATATGGAATTACTTCTTGCACCTTAATTATTATTATTATCAGAATAATTCAAGATCTTTTTATATTATTTTATATGTCATTCAGTAGTTAAAGGAGTATATGTAGCAAATGTTATTGTTCGTCTTCATTTGAATGAAACATCTACAAAAAAAAATCTTTAACTTTTTTGCAATGTAAGCTGTTTCTATATTTCCATTTGCGGCGTGTAATGAGTTATTGTTCTACACATACTTTTTATTTCTTTTGAGTTTATAGTCAAACTTACATAAAGTCTTATACTGTGGTATCCAATCCATAGCATAAATGTTGTCTGGTACAGTCAGATTCCCCGGTAGCATCTTCTTGTTCATTTTCACAAGAACGGTCTGTGGCAATTCAGATATAGCAGCAAATATTTGTTTCAGCTGTGTGTAAGGGATTGTTTCGATACGAGACATTGAACCGAAACTCCAATATATTATTCCTTCGTCAGCATTGTCCAGGAGATTTCTTAATTCCTAAAAAAATACGAATATTAAGACATACAGAACAAAAAGACTTCTTGGAAATCTGTTCTATTACAGAATTCTAAGATCAAAAGCAAATCTATCATGTTACAGAATTCTGAGATCACAATCAGGAATTACCCAATTGTCGGAATAATTAATGCAATTCAAATTAGGTTACAAGATATCATATTTATTGTTACAAATGCATAAATTTCACATTGTTATTAGATAGCAGCTAGACAGTTATGATAGACGTGAATGCATTATCTCTATATATATTAGATAAATTAAACTACCTTCGGTAACTGTTGCGTGTTGTCAAGATGTAAGCCTCCAACCTCCACCAGAGCTGGTACTAATGGCCTTACTTCGTTTATACTGAAGTGACTGTTGGATAATACAAGGCTATAGTTCTGAGCTAAAGCTTCAAGCCTTGGACCTTGACCAAACAGTCTGTCAGCGATAATCTGTGTGCAAAGAAATATATTTAGGCTTATTGATATATTATAAATTAACAAAACATTTAATACAAACCTGTGATGGAATCTGTGATTTGTTCATATAAAACGCCTTAGCCCATATCACTGCTATGGTGTTAATAAAGCGTTCAAATAAGTTCATGTGTTGTCCATAACCCATCATGTAGGCTGGTACATAGGCGGTTTCTTCTGGATTTCCCAACTGATCGTTCAGCCAGGGCAGAGGAACACTCGAGAGTAGACCCACGACGGGTGCATTGAATCTCTTCCCGAAAGGCAGAAAGCATTCGCTACCAAAAACTTCGACTATCACCAGGTCGAACGTTTTCGATGAATTGACTAGTGCTTTGACTTCAGCGTGTTGGGAAACAACGTCACAGGCGTGTACGCATTCCTTGATGATATTCTCCAAATTCCTTATAGTGTCCGGTTTGAAGGTCGACTGCTGTTTTGTCAGGTTGTTGGCTAAATCTGGAATCGTGCCGGCTAGGTTGATCTCTTCCACGTTTGGCGGCGGATTTTTCTTTAATCAAAGTAAATAATATTGTGTGAGTTTGTTGGTCTATTCATTTGGCACGGTTGAGTGAGCTCGCGTGCGAGATAAGATGTTCAAGAGACAAGTGAACTATAGCCCTACGAGTTATAAAGTTCAACTTCATTGATAGTGATTGATTTACTTATTAGGCTAGACATGAAGTCTACATACAACAATAAGACTTGTACCACATATGTAGTTGATGTAAACACATACAAATATATTCTTAGATATTATTTGTATGAAAAATAAATTGAATTATTAGTATTTGACGGTTATTAAATGCTAAAATTAGTAATTATTTCAGTATACAGGATTTGTCGAAGTCTTTATTTTTTTCTTATTTGTTGGTATAATTTTAATCATCTCATAATGACCTATCCCAAGTAATTTTAAATTATTTTTATCAGTCACCGGCTGCAATGTTAAGATGAGATACGGATCGCTGAAGGCGAATCAATGTCATGGATTTTATAACAACGTTAAAAATATATATAATTAAAGTTAATTAATTAGTTTTAAACTACCTACATATATGCCTAATATTTATCAGTGAATAGTGAATGTATGAACTAGGAGGGTTTATAGATAATAGAATTCTGTAAGCAGTAAACAGGAAATATATTGTTTTAAACAGCACATTCTGATTTTGTTATGACAGATAGTTGGTGTGGGAAAATTTGTACTAAGAAAGGAATTAACCTTGGGTCTGTAGAGCTAAAAAAATATTTCACTCGCCACTATTAGTTATGGTAATATATATAATTATAAATAAATAATTTTCAAATTAAATAAAAATTACACAAAATTTACGATATTAACTCAAAATTTGTATATTTTTCTTTGTTGTTCTTTTGTATATTTTTAGTTTCGTAATCAAATAATTTTTTTACGTACACTGATTTATGATTAGCTAAAAATTAAACTAAATTTTAGAAGTAATTAAATTCAATTATACTATTATTATTATTATTATTTTTATTATTATTATTATTATTACTACTATTATTTTTATTCACAAAAAAATTAAGCTAAACTTGAGGTAGAATATTATATATTATCAATTTTATCGTACTAGATCGTTAAAAAATATTTTAATTTAACAAAAAAATATATAATTATAGTATCGAAGTATAATTGTTTCCTCCACTGATTATCAAGCAATAAATTTTACTTCAACGAAAAAAATTTTTAGTCCCTAAATTTAAATTCCCATAAAAATACATACCATAGGGAAATGCGTGATCACAGTTATATTATGTCCATTGGTGGCCAGAGCTTGTATGATCCTGCCGTACATGACGTGATGGCTCTTTGTGTTGGTGGGCAGCACAGCCAGTATGCTGGCAGCGTGGACTGTAGCGCAGCATAGCGCCAGACACAGCAGCGCCTGCATCCCGATGCAGCTCGACACAGATTGCGTGTGATATGACCAGTCCACCAGATATCGCCAACCCCTCTTCGGTCGTATCACTAACCCCTCGACCCCCAGTGACCCCTTCAGCACCATCGCCAATAATTCGTAGTAATCTGAGTTTTCATGACCACATACGTCTAATCGTGTTAATTCTGCAATGCTCTGTGTACCTACAATATTTCTTTTTATTTTATTTTTGTAGTAGGTCTTGTAGAGATTTATTTGCTAAGTTTAGTTGTAGTCTTAACACCACATTGCTCTAAAATTTAACCTTTTCTTTAATTGAAATGTGTCAAGGTAAAAGTTAATTAAGTTTTTATTACTAGATATTTTTTAAGAAATAACTGTTTTGACTGTTTGTGTAATTTTAGCAGTAGCAAAGAGTGTTTTCAGATTTACATCGATATTTTGTCGTGATTTTTTATAGTTTATATTATTAAAATTATACGAATGTGACTTTTTTGATGCCACATATTTAACAGGACATAATTAAATGTGTTTTAATATTGAACGTACGTAATTAATATTTCTTAGAATAGCTGATCTCATAGTTTTTTAAAATTATATGAACGTTAAAAACATAACCCTCTTTTTTAATAAATGCAGTTAATAACGATAACATCACGCAGTTCATAATTTTTGGAATTACTCGTGTCGTTGTATACATATGTATATCTTGTTAATTAAAAATGAGTTTTAAAATCATTTAAAGAAAACATATTTAAATCTAAATAAATAGAAAATATAATAGATATTAACTTGATATATACGAAATATATACGAAAAAGTTTAAATCGTATTTCTGGCTCTTTTAAATTTTGTAGGTCAGTTAAAGTGGAACTAAACTAACACAAGATTACCGAAAAATTTTTAACCCTAGGTTACCTAAGGTCAGGTAATTAAACTTATCGAACTACATTTCTCATTTTGTTAAACAAGTCTTTATTTAATATCTCGAAATTATATACTGTAAGGAAACTTATTGAGTCCCTTGTGTAGATAAGAAAATTTTGCATCATTTAAATCTTTTATGTTAGGTTTTTTATAAAACTTAAAGTTATTGTAGCCCGTTTAATGAACCAAAGTGTGGATTTAATACGAAATATATAGCTATAAGATTATTTGAATAAAACTGTGATTTATCATTTAATTTCGCTCGAAATATATTTTTTATGTATGTATTAAAAAAATTCTTCTATTGTCCATATATTTAACCTTATGTGACATTTAATCTTAGAGTTCCGAGCGTAAAATTACAAAAATTTTTAACTAACCGAATATTATGGTACAAATTCAATAAAAATTATAATTTAAAATTCCTGATTATAACATATATTAATTAAAAGTACTTTTCTATTTTATTTCATATTAAAAAGTCTCATAAACATATTATATATGTTTTTTTCTGTTAGGTCACAATCAGAAGTAAAGACCTAGTATCAACATCGTTAAGTGTTATTTTACATTAAGTATATTTATTAAGTGTATCGGAAATCAACATAGTACGGGAATCTGTATGAAAAATATATATTTGATTGTCTTTTAGTCACATTAAAATAATAACTTCATACAAAATGCAGGTATAATATGATTTGTTGTAAAGAATAACTTGTTTATATTTATTTTATTAATATTTTTATGTAGGTATTATGTTTTTATATGAAAAAAGGGCAACCGAACAGACGGCCTACCTGATGGAGGTAGTACCGTCGCCCATAGACATCAGTAACGAAGATTTGTTGTTTGTAGATGTGTTGCCCTTGATGTAGGGAAAAGAGGGGGGAAAAGGTGGGAAAAAGGAAAGGGCAACAAGTTCTCTCACTCATCGGACGAAACGCAGCCATTAAAGACTACTTCACGCCGATTTTTTGTGAGAGGGTGGTACTTCCCCGGTCGAGCCAGCCCATGTTCGAGCTGTTCATGTAGTAATTGACCACAGCTAGGCTCTTACATATAATATATAATTATTCTGTGTAATCGTTGTCGAGGGCACAGCTAGTTATATCTAATAAATTTTTCCATTGTCCAAATATCAGAGGAACAGTAAATAATGTCTCATTTTAACCTTATTCAGGTCAACGCATCTGCAATCTGTGTAACGTAATATGTTTGTTCTTATTAACAACTAGTTTATGCCCGCGACTTCGTCCGCGTTAATTTCGGAATTAGTAATATATGTGTAGCTGACCGGGCGAACTCTATTCTGAACTAGAGGCCGTAAATAACCGGATAATGGAATTTTGCTTAGTATTTTTTCCCTTTTGATCGAACAGAATTAAATATGTTATGTCCATCTCCTGGTTCTAAGCTATCTCCCCACAAATTTTCAACCATATTCTTTTAGATGTATAAATAGTGTAACCAACACAATTTTCTTTTTTATATATAGAATAATTTATATACAATTGCTTTATATTATGTATTCAGAGAAATAATGAATATTAAAATTAATTATTATTATACTGAAGTTTCTTTTCTTTTCGTATCAAATAGTAACTACAAAAATACAAATCAATTTGATTACCTCCTTTTCAAAGTCGGTTTTACATATATAAGTACATATACGAATAGTTCAAAGACAATATTATAAAAGTTTTTCCTTATAAGATGAATCTGTGAATACTTTAATGATATTGAAGATGCGAGATTACAATACAGCTCGTCAATGGATTGTTATAATTTTTAACTCATTTTTTCTTATCAAAATCTCACGTCGTTGACTCATTACGTATGAATGAAATTGACATTCAAATAGTTGTTTCTAGAAGGCGATACAGATACGAAGTAGGTGAAAAGAATATTATACTCAAACCACTACTAATATATATACAGCTGCGTGCAAAAGTATTAGGCACCCCTATTGTTAGTCACTATCTCATTATATTGCGGTCAAGTGTGTGTTTTATGGTTTAGCTATTGTATTAGCGCCCATTTTTAACCAAATTAAGATAAAAGAAAATGTTTATGACATCCAGGTGTGCTCCTAAGCGGTGTTTCTTCGAATTTGCTTTTTTTGCGTTTCGGGTTATAGTGTGTTATCAGTGCTTGCAGTGAACATACACGTCTTCTACGCAACTATTCCTATCACAATTCTAAAGACTAACATTTAACGTGTTAATCATGCCGAAAAAATCTGAACTTAGTGCTGAACAGCGTCTAAAAATTAAGATTTTACATGAACAAGGCATGTCTCAGCTTAAAATAGCCCGAAAAGTGAAGTGCTCGCGATGTGCAGTTTAATATGCTATAAATCGCTTCAAAGAGACTGGCACCCATGAAAATAGACCAAGAACAGGCAGAAGAAAAGTTACTACTGAACGGGAAGATCGATTGTTGATTAGGCAGTCTCTACAAAACAGGAAAAAAACTGCTTTAGAGCTCGCTGCAGCATTATCTGAGGCAAAAGGCAACTCAGTGAGTGTTTATACTGTGAGAAGAAGACTTCTTAAAGCTGGATTAAAAGGATGTAAAGCAAGGAAGAAGCCGTGGCTGTCAGAACACAATAAGAAAAATCGGTTGGAGTGGGCACTCAAACATAGAGATTGGTCAGTGGAAGATTGGTCCAACATACTGTGGTCAGACGAATCTAACTTTGAGGTATTGTTATTTATTTTATGTACAATATTAAAACACATAAATGTTTTTAAAATAACGTACTGCAAGAAAAATAATAACTTTGAAAATAAATGTGTTTTTTTCGTTTGGCATAGGTGTTTGGAACACCCGGTGTGACTTATGTTAGGCGAAGGGTTGGCGAAGAATACAACCCAGAATGTGTGGTTCCCACTGTTAAGCATGGTGGAGGCTCAATAATGATCTGGGGCTGCATGGCTGCCGACGGAGTGGGCGAAATGGTGTTGTGTGAGGGACGAATGAATAGTGTTAAATACACTGAAGTTCTGGAAACAGCACTGGCAACGTCGATAACGCAAATTTTCGGAGATACAAACACCGATGGCCTGAAATTTCAGCAAGACAACGCCACTTGCCACAAGTCCGCGCATACCATGAAGTGGTTTGCTGAAAATCATATTGAACTTTTGGACTGGCCACCACAATCACCAGACCTCAACCCGATTGAGCATATTTGGTCCATTTTAAAGAAAAATATCCGCAGGCACTCGATCAGCAATAAACAAGCTCTATTGGTGGCGTTACAGCAGGAATGGAAAAATATATCAAGAGAAGAATGTTTCAGGCTGGTAGAGTCAATGCCAAAAAGAGTGGCTGCGGTTATTAAGTCAAAAGGTGGACCTACAAAATATTAATTATTTTCTTAAAATAAACCATTGTAATCATAAATGCAGTTTTATTTACACTCGCTATGCTAAAACACCCTCAAACTTGTCTTACAGTAGGGTGCCTAATACTTTTGCCCGTGGCTGTATTTTGGGGGGTGAGCAGAGGAAGTAATACAAAATAATTAAGAACAAAATAATTCATATTGTTTTAAGTAACAACAAAAAGCTCTAAATATCCAATTAAATAGTTAACCTTTTTAATTTACTCTTTTCTTTTATTGCTTCCTTCTTTCTATTCGTATTATTCTGATCTCGGATGTCCGTCTCAACAGCTACGAGGTTCAGATCGAGGAAGGCGGCCGTCGTCGCGGGCTCGGCCAGAGAGTGCTCTGTGTTCTGGAGCGACTGGCTCAGGCCACACGGATGAGGTGTGTCAGACTCACAGCTCTCACACACAACCCCTCGGCTGCTGCATTCTTCAGGGCGTGCGGGTATGTTCACATACACACACACATACGCACGTTCACACATGCACGCACACGCACGCACGCACGTACGCACGCACACAAAGGCAACTGTAACTAACAAAGTTTTAATAGTGTTTTTTTACGTCATAAATTTTAAATACATGATTTTTTTTCATTTCTAAATTCATTTTAATTCGTAATTATCATACAAATAGTCTCACAAGGAACTCGACTTCATATAAATTATAATAAATACATAATTCGTTAAAAATATTATATTATTTGGAACTTAGTTACAAAACACAGTTTTAAAGATAAAGGTGCATTGTAATGTAAACAATAAATTCGTTAATTGCTCCCTGATTGGTGTTATCGTATACGGCGAGTGGGGTTAATGTAGCTTGATAAATATGAGCTTATCAGTTTGTGCAACGGTGTCCAGAATGTGTATGAAATGTGACAGGTACACCTTCAATATATGGAGGAGATTATAATGATAAATCTAATACAGAAACTAAAATGAATTTGATATCTGTAGGTAGGTAGGTAGTAGGTGGTGTATAGGGAAATCTGTTATAGAACACTTAACTTATAATAAAATCAAAATAAATTATGTTTAGACTATGTTCGTATGTATCTTTGTGTGTTTCTAGGAAATGGCTTAATGCATTTCAGTTTGGTTTTCCTTATTATTTTGGTGAGATTCATACAAAAAACAATGTGTTTATTTTAATTCAATCCGTTTCTTAGTAAGAAAATAATATTAAATAAAAAATTCACGTGTACTTTGTCGCGAGTATAGGAAAATTAAGTATTAATTTAATCTGTTTTGTAATAAGAAAATTATAATCATTTAAAAAATGACTTGTACATAATCGCGAGTATGTAGTTAGTTATAAATGTACTAATTTCATTTAAGACCTGAACTAGTGTTGCGATCTTCAAATATATGAAAACCATTTGAAGATGTTACAGTGGTGTCAATGAAACTTTGGTTATGACTGAAGCCACAAACTATTAAAATGTTATTCTTTCGCCAGACATATTAAATTTAAAGGAGCCATTCTATATTGCACTTTAAGTTAAAGAAGTATAATTTTAAATAAAACATAGTAAAAGTAGTAAAGTAAAACAAAAAAAAAAATTAGTTATGTTCCGTTATTTAAATATAATAATTAATGTTTTAATATCATTACTTCGGAAAGTGATTTAAAATGAATAAATGCAACAAATATTGAGATATCAAAAGTCTCATTAAAGTTAGTGTCATGCGACACGCGTGTGATATCTACTGACGTGTGTGGTCTAGAGATACTAGACGCTTACTACAAGTTTGGATCGAAATAAATACGGAAAGTTTGCAGTTTTTAGTTCTTTGATTTCAAATAACAGGGTGGTATCATCGTAGGTTAATGAATAAAAAACGGAATACGTTCCGTATTTAGTATGATGATGCAAACTTCTAATAAGGTTATACAGTGAGCGAGTTAGAAATCAATATTTTTTCTATCATTTATTTATTAAAGAGACATTGATTTAAATTTATTTATCTTTTCTTCAAATTTGCACAAAGAATTGCTGATATAGATAGATATATAGTTTTTTTCGTTTTATGTGTTGATGTGTATGTATGTTTGTTTGTTTATTGAGCTGTCACGCAAAATGTACTGAACGAATTTAAGTGTAACTTTTCAGTGATGTAGCTTAGTTCACTTGGGAACGTTGTTTGATTGGTATTTCGTTTATTCAAGTGTAAATCATTAATTTGTGACTAAAACCAAAAATGTAAGTCAAGTCACGAACATAAACTATCATAAAAATATGACGAGAAGATAAGAAATAAAGTATGACATAATTGTTTTAGTTACTTTTATTTTCAACGAATTAATCTATTCTCAATAAATAAAAGTTAAGTGCCGGTTTATTATTTTAAAGCAACAGCTTTTGACCAAACATACAAAAGTACATGCGGGACTTACAACAATAATATACTTTTTCAAAATATGTCCGTCTGCGTGTATTCCAACTCATCTCTGGAATGGCTAAGGGTAGGTTAGTGTTAATATCTGAAGGAGGAGCATAGATTGGTTTAATAACGTCTTCAAAAAGAGGAAAGTTTTCAAGTAGATTATATGATTGATATACTAATACTTCTTTGATTATAGAATTATTTTTATGACTGTTTTTTAATAGTAAGAGCGTGGTCATAAGGTAGTTCCATTGTTAAGTCAGACCTGATTAAAGTGCATTCGAAAAAGTAAAAGAAACATCGTAAAAATGACGTGTATTTCAAATGAGTTAAATATGAGGCCACAGCCACGACTAACAGCTAGTTGCAATAATAAAACTAACCTAATCTAACACAAATAATAATAGTATGTAAAAAACACAACGAACAACACAAAAATGAGATAATACACGCATTGAAATGTGATAAATATTTGTTATAGGTACAGTATAGACGACACAAGCCCGCCCAAAGAGGAGACGAACCATTACGAGATACTCAGCAAGGCTACGGAACAAGTAGAGGGTGAAGACTCCAAGGAACAGTCAACAGATGGCGCGCTACACACTGACATACACTGACAGAAGGATGTTTTGTTAAATAAATATTGAAAATATATATTGTTTTACTCTCAATAGGCAAAACCTTGACAAAAATATTAGCACAAATTCCTTAGTAATACTATTTCACGAATCACATTCAATAACTTTAATACTATGTGAAGAATTATGAATGGAAAACTATTTACGGTCCGTTTGTAGCGACGATGCGGACTAAGTACAAAAGTTGTTCGAAATTCAACAAGTATCCAACAGACGATGACCCTTTAAATAAATGTTATGAGGTATAAAATACCATATATTTATAAAGTAATTATTATACCACATTACAGTGATTATAGTTATATTTTAAATTATTAACGAGTTCTAAAAACTCACAAATAATTAGATGAAGATACTTTTCCTATTACTTTAAAATATATACATGTCTTATATAAATTAATAAAAATGTTCATATTTCCTTGTTTAGGTATAATATTGTAAGTTTCTCTTTTTCAATAGAATTAATATACATAACATTCATTATATTTCATCTTTTTATGAAATATCCAAATACTTAAAAAGTCATACTACTCATATATGAAGGTCGAAAAAACATGAGCCTTATTGCTATAGAAATATGGTTGGTAGCGAAATACATTGAATAAAATGTTTTAGAAATTATTGGATTAAGCGCCATGTAGTGGTGAAGTTTTAATTCAAAGCTAAAAAAAGCTTATTTTTAATATCGGTAGATCGTTTGACTTCTTGCTTTAAATTCATATTGTGGAATAATCGACAAATATCAAAAAAACATATTTTGAGAAGAAAATGCTATTTGTCGTATAGATACTTTTAAAGATAATAATTGTAAGTCTGCACATCACGATTAAGTCTGAAACTTAAGCAGTCCTAATAAATATTCTGTCATTGTTTTATGAAAGAAAAAACTACCCTTTAACTCCTGGTCGATGTACCTTAATTCTTGAACTCTTTATTTTCAAAACAAAATAGATTAATCAAATAATAATATCAATAAGTATGCGTTGGACAATAGTAAAATATTAGTTGAACATGTCACATTATAATTAGTATTTTAAGTACATATAATAAATGTAAATGTAACACACGGAACAAGTTGATTTCTTTCTCAATGAATTACAGAAATATTGTGCGCAAAGCTACGTTACTGTTTAATATTTAATCTGAAAATATTAGTCGTCATTAAAAAGCAAATAAAAAACAAAAACTTTATGGTTACAGCCAACTATTAATAATTAAATAAAATTCAAGTATTTTTTGTCATCCTGGATTACCTATTATCTGGCTATTTAATATCTCAATCCACTTTCATCTTCTCATGTCATTTACAGAAAGGTAACCTGAAAGATATCACTGATAGGCAATAATGCCGCCTTTTGTGCTTTACTTTTTCTTCTATTCTGTACTTAAATTACATACTTTTGTGTGGTGTATAAAGGAAATACTACTTATTTTATACATTATACCAGTGATAAGTATTTGAAGATAGAAACATCTCATTAGCATAGATATTTTGTTAATGTAATTTATTTCGATATGTGATTTTTTTAGGATCTAAATTGTTATTTATTACAATGCACATACGAGTGTTTTATAAGTATTAGACTTATAAGACCATTTATTAAAGGTTACATCATCATTGTCATCCTCATTGGCTTATCGAAGCCCACTGTTGAATAAAGGCCTCTGGTTAGAGTATTAATCACCAGAATTGCTCAAGGCGGATTGGCGATTTCAAACTTATTATTTGAAATCATAAGTTCAGGTTTCCTCACGATTTTTTTCCGTCACCGCCTGTCACTGTTATCTAAATACCTTAGAAGTACAAGTGACTCGGAAAAGAGCACATTGGTTCTTGGCAGGTTTCGAACTCGCGCCCTCATGCACGAGAGGCGGATCTTCAATTTCTAGGCCACCACGACTTTAGGTTATATAGACGGAATAATAAATTACGCAAGAAGAAACAATAATTATTTTTAATATATTTTATTATTTTTCGTGATTTCTGAGGACTGTTAATATATTGACTATTCCATATTCAGGAGAAGAATAATGAAAGCTTATTTTCAAGTCTATGTTAGTTAACTTAGAATTATTAGTTAAATATAATATTAACTGTTTTATTTCTTCCAGAGCGGGCAACCTACACCCCAGGGTGTGTTGATGAAGTACACGTGCATCGTGGTGACTCCTGGGTTTTCAGCCAGTTGATACAGGCATTCGGGGCCTTCAGGGACGATGGTCTGAAAGTAATATCATTTTATACGAAAAGTGAATCCAGTTTCATGCATATAAATATGTATAAAGAAAAGTGAAATTAATAATGAGGTATATTATGGACTTAATAATATAATTTCAACATCAGAAGCATGCATTGTAATAGAATAAGTGGCTATGTTATAAATTATACCAGACGCGTCTTGCAGAATAAATGGTACTAGTTTTAAAAATTCTTATTTACGTGTTGCCACTAAAATTACAGATTTGAAAACTTTGATCGAGCATTAAAAATAAGGGGAAATTCTAAACTTATATGGAGCAAAAATACTATATAATGATTCTATGTATTAACTCGACAATAACTTTTTAGAACCCAATAATTTTTATTTAATATCCTAAGGTTCGCTCTTACTAGTAAAAGTTTGTAGTGCCAAAAACGGCTCCCTGACGTATTTAGCCAGCTAGTTCCAACTTCAATTGAAATGAATGCTATAAATGCTAGTCTCCGTTTGATGCCTTTACAAATAATAAGTCTTACCGAAACAGCTAATCTGGGAGGGTGTTCAAACCAATCACGCGACTCTTTGACGGGATAGCTGCCAATAACCACCATACCAACAGCAATGAGGTTTCCGGAGTCCGTGAGGGGGAACCAGGGGTACATGGTATCAGCACGACATTGGGTCGATTTTGTCATTTTATGGTAATAGTGACGACCTGAAGAAAGAAATAGTTTCATTTCAAACTTCTTAAAATTATGTGGTTCTTTAAATCTGATGCAATTAATTTCATATAAAAATATCTTATCGATTAATTAAAAACCTATTTCATAAAGTATCTGGACCTTAAAATGAAAATTGAGAAAAATATTTACCCATCCAGGGGATGCAAGCTTGTCTGGTGAATACACTGTTCTGTATGTCAGAGTCTTTAGAAGAAATTCTATCAATAGTTCCATTGAAGCCGGTCACCCATAAAGCATCTTGTTGAAGTAACTTGGAGTCATCATAACTGGCCTCGCGGTCAGAGGCAGGCAGGTTCAGGTATTCTAAAAACAGTGAAGAACTTGTTCGATATATCTAATAATATTAAATATTGCCAAAAACTCTAATCAAGAAGATTAGAGTATATATGAGATATATGTTTCAAACCCTGGTTAACGAAATACATCTGAATGGCCCAGAATCTTCGAATGCTGCCGTCTCTCAATGTCACTGCCCATTCAACAAATCCAGTTTGTTTCATGTCATATCTGTTATTAAGCTCTGTTTGATCCAACTGTTCATAAAAATTACAATTGTTATCAAATTATGACTCTCTCACAATCAGTAAATTTATAAAAAAAATAATTAAGCCATATGATTTAATGACAAAATTTGTATCACTGACCTATCTTAGTTTGATATAAGCTCATGAAAGTGATAAGCTTGAGATGTTATAGATAGATTGCAATATAATTTTATATAATTATTTCATATAATATCGCAATGTTCAATATTTTGGAAGAGAGATTTGAAATAAATTTTTATATTGAATACTGACCGCAATTTGTAATCCAGCAGCATGTCCGTTGTCGTCAAAGAGAGCGCACACTGTGAGGTCTGGGTGACAGTACATGGACAGTGAGGACAGAGGTCCAGCAGGTCTGGGGGTGAGGGACCAGTGGTCATGGATAGCTGCGGCGATGGTGCGGGGCACGTTGAAGAAGAAGTTGGTCCCGGGATTGAAACCAACATTGAACTTCACTGGAAAACGATATTTTCAGCATAAATACATTTATCAAGTAATTATTTGAATATCACAGGGCAGTTTCAAGTCAAATTTTTCTTGTATTTTTATAACATTTACATAACCCTAAATTTAATATAAATTTAATAAAAAAAAAGTATGAATGTTTGTAAAGAAAATAGAATCCGTCTTTTTTTTACTTTACGCTTTTTAGTTAACAGTCTGGACTTGTTCCTATAAACTACGAAAATGAATCGGTTTAAAAAAATATAGGAACAATCCCTAAAATAACACTACCGATATGATTTATACTGTAAGACTATTGTTACAAATGCTTAAAAGTAGCATACTAAAAAGCGTACTATTGAGTATGCTTCATACAAGCATGCCTAGGAATAGTTTACATTTACGAGCAATAAGCATGCTAGTTTTCAGTATGCTCCTGAATAAGCATGTTCAAAGCAAACATTTATAATACACATGCCATTTCTCGCTTTCTGTGAATTCAAATAAAGTCATAGAAAATCAAACCGCTATCAATATGGAGATAAATAAGATCATCTTTTTGCTGGGGATGCAACGCATTCAAAAGCTCATATCAGGTCGCCAAAAATGGAAATGAAAGTTAATGACTTGGGTCCGTAATTCGATATCTAGAAGACAGGACTTTAAAGCAAATGCTCAATTACTTGCAGAAATACAAAGAAAAGATGTTTCATCTGTTGCAATTGACTTATCGGTGTCATGCTAAAAAATCGCACGCCTGTCTATTTTAAAGTGTACCGAAAATTAACATGCTCATTTTACAGCGCAGAGAACGCCGAGGTGGTTTAGTGGGTGGAAATCCCACATGCCCCTGTCGCGTTTCCCCCGCGGCAGGAAGTCTTTAAAAGATTCCCCTCGTAGAAAAAAAAAAAAAAGTTATTACACTGTTATCTTTATTGATTAATCTTCTATATATATATATATATATATATAAATGGATTGCTGTTCCTTAGTCTCACTAAAACTCGAGAACGGCTGAACGGATTTATCTTATCATAGTCATGAATTGTTCGTGGAGGTTCAGGGAAGATATTAAAACTGAAAAAAATTGATTCATTACTGGGAAAACCATAAAAACAGCCCTTTTCTATTTCCCATACAAACGTTTTTTTTGACATTAGATTTGACAACTAACTTAAATATGTCAATCATTTTGTCGCACTTCAAAACACGGAGATTTATGGCTTACAGGTAAACTCCAAAAATATAAATAAAAAAGGTAATAGATATTTCTTGATTATAGGGCGATACGAAGTTCGCCAGGCCTTCTAGTTAATTATAAATAATGACAATGCATAAAAAATATAACTCACCTCTTAAGCCTGGATCATATTTGCCCACTGAAAAGTTAAACGCATTTGAATTAATAAAGTAATTCTATATATGATGCATTCAGATCTCATTCAAGAACAGAAGTTACTTAATCTTACCAACACACGTTACAGCGAGAACCAAAACTAATAAGCTCTTCATGATGACCATCCTACCGACATTCAAGAACATTTGACTCTCAACTTGTTTTTATACATGATAATTATAAAGCTGCTCAAAAAGATTATTTTTTATCACAGATATTATAAAGTAACACAATCAGATCTATCCTGATAAGTTAACAGGGGGTATGATTATGAAAATTTTAAGATAAATTTATTTTTTTTATGATATTATGTGATTAAATGTTCGCACCAAAAATATATTTTGTTTAACTTGATGATACACGAATACCACCAACAAGTTGTGTTAATAGTACATAAATAATTACCTCTGATCATTAAATATTAACACTTTGATAGAAAAGGTAAGGTGTGTATTATTTTTTTCTTATCATTTTCCTTAAAAATTGCAAACTTTTAAGATAATCTTCAACATTATATTATTGAATAATTTAAATTGAAAATGAAGCATTATTTGGAACTGTACACTTACATTTTGAGGTTGTAGAGCCTAGCTGTGGTCAGTTACTACAGCTCGATCATGGGCTGGCTCGACCGGGGAAGTACCACCCTCCCACAGAAGATCGGCGTGAAGTAGTCTTTAATGGCTGCGTTTCGTCCGATGAGTGAGAGAGCCGGTTGCCCTTTCCTTATTCCCACCCTTTCCTACCTTTTCCTTTTCCCCACCCCTCCCCATCCCTAAAAAAAAACAAGGTTGGCAACGCATCCGCAACAAAGATGTTGCGAATGTCCATGGGTGATGGTAACCACCTTCCATTAAGTGGGCCGTCTGCTCGTTTGCCACCTTTAACATAAAAAAACTTACACCAAGTTTGTATCGTCACACTACTTACGGAGAGTGAACAATTTTTTATACAACATCGCACATACAACAACTTAGTCTTCTGTTCAGATTAAGAGCTAATATATTCTTTGCTGTAATGGCTACTTTTAGCATCTTACCATCTGTCCTAAAATTAAAAAAATAAAGGCTATCAATGAAAATGATACTAAAGGTTCCACAGGTTCCGTCCACACTCTACGTTAGTTTTTATAACATTGCATAACTTCACTCAAAGCTTAACGTTGTCCATTACTACGTGGAGACAGCGAAGCCTGTCAAATTATTTTAGACCAAACCCAAATATCAAATGCTGGTGACACATTAGGCCTTTTTTTTTTGATGACGCAGGGAAACTTTTTACGAGCCGTCCAACCGGCCTTGGCGGGGCCCTAAAACCACTGCGAAAACCATCGGCCGCTATGTCGGTGTACCCCGGATCTGACACATCCGGCCTACATTACCCCGGGTATAGACTTGAACTTCTCTTGTAGCACCCACGCTGGGTATGTTTTTGTAAACGCCTTAACAGCCTTCATTTACGTAACTTGTCATTTATTTTAGGCTCATATTGTTCTCGATTGCCTAACCTGTTTATAGACACAGGTTAGGCAATCGAGAACAATATGAGCCTTTACAAACACGTATAGACGTGTTTGTAAAGATATACGAAGGTGACAGTGATGTCAACCACATTTTCGGTCACGTCCCGGATGCCTCTAATTCAGTGTTTCAACGGCACCTCGGAGTAGAATCAGTAATCCTCATCAATCTTTAGAGCAATTAATTGTAAAAGAATAAAATAATTTCTTAAAAGCCATTTGTTTAACTTTCATTTGTTTAACTTTAAATTTCCAAACGACATGTATTTTTTAGGTAAGAATATTTCTACAATAGTTTTTTTTAAGACCTCGAAAAGACTTGGGTTACTGGGAATGAATCTGTTCTTTTCGAAAAATTAAAAGCATCTGAAATAAGGGAAGTTTTTTGTAGTTACTTAAAGCTTCACTTAATCGTTTCACAACCGACTACCTTAGACCCTTTGCTTTTTAAGATGAGTGTACATCAGGGCTTCTCAAACTTATTTTCTCTACTGCCTACTTTGAGAATAAATAACTTTTTTAGGGCTCCCATTTTTTCACCAAACAAAAAACTACTATAACTTATCGTAGCTAAATAAAATTACAAATCACCTCCCAGGTCTCTACAACGCCTATTTTTTTCTGGGTCTCTTACCTAGGCCTGCAAACCCAACAAGGGAGCGCTATCTACTATATTGGGTAATGCTCGTATACATAAATGATACCTTTAACTTTTTGATTAACTCCTAAAAATTTAGCTTTTATCTTTCACAGAGATACCACAGTTTGGTTCTCAGGTAAAATGTTAAATGTAAACAACCGAAAAAGCAAGTGTTTGGTAATTTAATGTATTTGTGTAATAATAATTAATTAATTAATTCTTATTGAATATCAACAAAACCACATATATGTATAACTTTTGGATGCCATGGGTGCTTACAGAGTTTCAAAGGAATCAGAAATATATATACCCAATAGAAAACTAAGGATATAATTTTCAGTTATATTTTTAGACAGTTTGTAAAGTGAGCTTCTAATACTTAAGTGTTTATAAACATTTAAATTGGAAAATTTGTTCTTTAATTATGTTATTAACGAATTATTTATTATTTCTTGCTCGAAAGCGTGATTCTTGCTTAGTACCTTAAGACCCAGTTTCACCAATCAATGTTTGTTTAAGCTTATCACAGCATTTACTAACCAACCTGCAAAATTATAAATGTCGGTTAAAATATTTACTTCCCAAGATGACAAATTAACAACGCATTATTAAACGTCATGTCAAATGACCGACTACCAAATTATTCGTTCTTGTAATAAGACGACCAAATGGAAACTATAGCGTTTAATACGGCACGTTTGCCACGATGCACCACTTTATACTTTGATCGTATATATCCCTCAATACGTCACTTGTTAGGTAATGCGACAAAATTTTATATATCGTTGGTTGCATACATTTAGCACACAAAAAGCTTTCTTTTCAATTTACTAGGTGTAACGTCTGTCAAAATCGGGTTGTCAATAAATTGTGTTTTATATTATTATGTTATAAATATAGGCATAAATTGTGTTCAAATTATAAGAGATAAAAAGAAAATTTAATTTGCAATGTTATAAAAAAGCTGGAGGCAAAATCATCATAGGAAATGAAATTTTAATTCACTTTATTAATAAGTACAAGGAAATAGTCGAAACTGACAAAACAGATGACGTTACTATGGTTACAAGAAATCAGGGCTGTGATTGGACAATCGAGTTTTGACAATGACATTAACATTTAACATTCTGTTAGCCATTAGACGGAACTCCAGAGCAGGAATTAATATTAATGTTATTAGTGGCTTGCTAAGACATTTAAACGGACATTTGTGCGTGGTGGGCCGCTCGATACATCTAACAGAGCATCAAACGCATTAACACGATGTTACTTATCTAATAATGATTGGTGAAACTGGGTCTAAGGCTTAAACTCTTTAGTTCCAAAACATAAAATACAAACTTAATAATAATAATCAGTAGGTCTGCATTGAATAGTAGGAAATCATTAGTTGAACATGTCACATTGTTACGAGTGTAATTTTATTAATATAGACATAAAATTTAACACACGGAATTATGTGCAAACCTACGTTGCTGTTATATATTGAATCTGAAAATATTAGTTGTTTCTAAAAAACGATTAAAAAAAACAAAATTTTAATGGTTAAAGCAATTCGACATGCGTACTTTTAAGCATGCTACTAGCAGCTCGGTGCGAGGGGGTATGCTTAAAACAAGTCTAAATATGATGAAACATCGTCTCCTCGTATTGCTATAACTAATGAAGCACTTGCTCTCAAGTCCTGTCTTCTCGATATCCAATTATTGATCCGAATCATTCTCATTCTTTCTTTTTTTGGCGACCTGATATAAGCTTCTGGTTACGTTGCCACGCCAGAAAAAGGATGATCTTATTCATCTACATACGGATAGCTGTTTGATTATCCCTGACTATGTTTGAACTGACAGAGAGCGAGAAAAGCATATTTTAAAAAAGCATGTTTATCTGGAACGTTTGTATTGACCATGCTTATTTAAAGCATGTGTAACTGTAGACTTACTTTTGTGTGGTATATAATAAAGGAAATACTATTTCATACATCATTATACTAGTGGTTGTATGTATTTAAAGATAGAAACATCTCTATAGGACTCATATTTTGTTTATACAATTGTATGTATTTCAATATGTGATTTTTTTCAGGTACTTTTTATTATAATGCATGTAAGAGTGTTTTATACGTATCGATAGACCTTTTGTTAAAGGTATAAAGAAGGAATAATAAATTACGCAAGAAGAAACAATCATTACTATTATTAATTTTATTATTTTACTTGTTTTCTGAGAACTTTTAAAAGATTAACTACCTCATATTCAGGAGAAGAGTAATGAAAGCTTATTTTCAAGTCTACGTTATTTAACTTAAAATTATTCGTAAACATTTAATTGTGTGTCAACTGATTATTTCTTCCACAGTGGGCATCCTACACCCCAGGGTGTATTGATGAAGTACACGTGCATTGTGGTTACTCCTGGGTTTTCAGCCAGTTGATACAGGCATTCAGGGCCTTCAGGGACGATGGTCTGAAAGAAATATTAATTTATTGTAATTGTCATAATTTTGTAGTAACGTATTTAACCTATAGCTAGTTTCAACTTCAATTCAAATGAATGTATAAGCCTTTACAAGTAACAGTCTTACCGAAACAGCTAATCTAGGAGGGTGTTCAAACCAATCTCGTGACTCTTTGACGGGATAGCTGCCAATAACCATCATGCCAACAGCAATGAGGTTTCCGGAGTCCGTGAGGGGGAACCAGGGGTACATAGTATCAGCACGACATTGAATCGATTTTGTCATTTTATGGTAATAGTGACGACCTGAAGAAAGAAATTAGTTTCATTTCAAACTTGTGAATATTATGTGGTTCTTTGAATTTAACGAAAATTATTCAACTTAAAAATCATTATAGATTAATTGGAAACCTATTTCGTACAGATTCTGGACCTTAAAATGAGAATTGGAAAAATTTATTTACCCATCCAGGGGATGCAAGCTTGTCTGGTGAATACACTGTTCTGTATGTCAGAGTCTTTAGAAGAAATTCTATCTACAGTTCCATTGAAGCCGGTCACCCACAGAGCATCTTGTTGAAGTAACTTGGAGTCATCATAACTGGCCTCGCGATCAGAGGCAGGCAGGTTCAGGTATTCTAAAAACAGTGAAGAACTTGTTCGATATATCAGCCTATCAGACGCCCTCTGCTGAGCAAAGGCCTCTTTCTCACATGGAGAAGGTTTGAGCATTAATCACCACGCTTGCTCAAGACGGGTTGGTGATTTCAAACTTATAATTGTGAAACTATAAGTCCAGGTTTCCTCACGATATTTTCCTTCACCGTATGTCAGTGATGTCTAAATACTCTCAGAAAGTACATATGACTCCGAAAAATCACATTGGTACCTGCCAGGTTTGAACCCGCGCCCTCGGCAACGTGAGGCGGGCCCCTTAACCACTAGGCCACCACTGACTATCGATGTATCTAATAATATTAATATTGACAAAAACTCTAATCAAGAAGATTAGAGTATAAATGAGATATATGTTTCAAACCTTGGTTCACGAAATACATCTGAATGGCCCAGAATCTTCGAATGCTGCCGTCTCTCAATGTCACTGCCCATTCGACAAATCCAGTTTGTTTCATGTCATATCTGTTATTCTTCAGCTCGGTTTGATCCAACTGTTTATAAAAAATATTTTTTTTATCAAATTAAGAATCTCTAATAATAATAATCAATATATTTACTTGTATTTTTTAAGCCTTATGATTTAATGACAAAATTTGTATCACTGACGTATATAACTTTGATATTAGCTAATCAAAGTGATAAGCTTGAGATGTTATACTACAGATTGCAGTATTATTTTATATATAGGTATGTATATCAATGCAAACAATTTAAATAGATGATCTCTTTAGCTTTATATTTATATGCAAGATAAATTTGAAAAAAAAAATCGAACAGTCATTGATTGAATACTGACCGCAATTTGTAGTCCAGCAGCATGTCCGTTGTCGTCAAAGAGAGCGCACACTGTGAGGTCTGGGTGACAGTACATGGACAGTGAGGACAGAGGTCCAGCAGGCCTGGGGGTGAGAGACCAGTGGTCATGGATAGCTGCGGCGATGGTGCGGGGCACGTTGAAGAAGAAGTTGGTCCCGGGATTGAAACCAACATTGAACTTCACTGGAAAACGATATTTACAGCATAAATACATTTATCAAGTTATTATTTACAAATTTCACAGGGCATTTTCTCAATTATTACTTTAAATTCTGACAAGTTTCTTTTGAAATTTTATAACATTTTCATTATCTTGAAAGGGTAAGCTAATATCAATTTTATAAAAAGGAAAACTTGAATGTTTCCGACTCAGTTAACGCTGTTTAAAAAACAGTCTGGGCTTGTTCCTATAAATTATGAAAATGAATCTGTTTAAAAAAACATCGACAAATCTTACAACCACACTAACAAAATTATTTATACTGTAAGGCTACTGTTACACATGCTCAAAAGTAGCACACTAAAAAGCGTGCTATTGAGTATGCTTCATACAAGCATACCTAGGAATACTTTACATTTACAATAGCCATGCTAGTTTTCAGTATGCTCCTGGATAAGCATTCTCAAAGCAAACATTCAAAAAAGGAAATGGAAGATAATGATTTGGGTCCGTAAGTAAATATCTAGAAGACAGAACTTTAGAGCAAATGTTCAATTACTTCCAGAAATGCAGTATGCTCAAAAATCGCAATCCTGTCGATTTCAAAGCATGCTCAAAATAAGCGTCCTAATTTTGAGCAAAATTTCGACGCACATGCTACTAAGTAGCAAGTGCTCAATTAAAGCATGCTTTCATGCTTGAAATGAGCATGTGTAATAGAAGCCTTAATATTTCTTAGGCATTTAAAAATGGGTATAAATTAAAGTAAATTAGTTAGAGATTAAAATTAATTAAATTTAAAGCTTTCCTGGACTATCCTTTATATTGGAATTTGGATAGTTTACGTGTCATTAAAGTATTTTTGGTTTACTTTATACCGATTATACTTAGTTTTTAATACCTGACTGTACTCCGATTATATTTAAAAATCGATTACAATTATAAGTTGAATATTTCGTTTGATGTTTTATATCATACCGTTACATATTGAGATTAAAATGCTATTTAAATAGGTACTGTAATTTGTTCGAAACACTCATGGATGTGAATTTATAAAATCAAAAGTGAATGAATTAATGGGTAGGAATTAAATTTTTTTAACTGACAATCATTATTATTGGAGAGCTTTTGATAGGCTAATTAAATTATTTCACTGTTATCTTTATAACGATTAATAAAGTGAATATAAAAAAAATATAACTCACCCCTTAGGCCTGGATCATATTTGCCCACTGAAAAGTGAAATGCATTAAATTAATAGAGTTATTCTACAGATGACAGTTCATATCTCATTCAAGAACAGAAGTTATTTAATCTTACCAACACACGTTACAGCGAGAACCAAAACTAATAAGCTCTTCATGATGACCATCCTACCGACATTCAAGAACATTTGACTCCCAACTTGTTTTTATACATGATAATTATAAAGCTGCTCAAATAGATTATTTTTTATCACAGATATTATAAAATAACACAATCAGATCTATCCTGATAAGTTAATATGCTGTATTATTTTGGAAATTCCCTGACTAATTGCAATTTCTTTAATATGTAATAAAATAAAACTATATTTTGTTTACTAACTTGTTTAATGAGGCGTAACTTGATGATGTATATAAATGATTACCACTGAACATTAAATGTTAACCACTTTCATATACAGGGTTTGTTATTCGTAGCTTATAATTTTGTATAGAATTAAAACATTAAATTGAAAAGCTTCATAAAGAGTGTGACCATATAAATTTTTACTTTACATGCAGTAGGTTCAATTAGACCGGACAAGACGTGAAGTATAATCCTGTTTTTAACATTTTAAAGGAATCATATTTTTACTAAGTATTTTAGATAATTCGATTTAATTCTTTGATATGTTTTTAAAAATATCTGTGTTCGTAGAAACATTAAAAACCTTCGTAAATGATAATCAGATTTATATAATTGGCTTAAAATACAATTACTTTCATATTTTTTATCAGATTTAACAAAAATATTATATCTAATTTGATAACCATAAAAGATAATTATTATTTAGGTATATATTAGTAGACAACATAGAATTAATTTCACTGCTTTGTATATTTTTCTAAATAATACTAGTTACCGTACATACTGTTCTCAGTTTTGATATTATTCAGTAGGTATTACATATATGATATTTAGAGGCTATATATTTTAACCGATTTTTTGTTCAGGTAAATTTCTCTATTGACTGTAATAAATTTAAGTTATTTTTGGAAACATCTAAGTCATATGACAGTGTAAGTTATTACTAAGACCTTTTTCTCAATGTCCAGGACCACATTTTTATTTACAGCTGTCTAGTTCAGTTCTAATATAAAAACTACATTTAGCCATAGATTAAGTGCACTGAAAATAATAAGGTCTATCGACATTTCAATTCAACGTGATTGATAAACATTATTAAGATGTACCGATAATGACGTTAGGCACATTATTAGATATAAGTTGTCACATTTTCATATTTATTTTATCAATTCACGTTGAAATAGATTTTTAATTGCTATGAATCTACATAAAAAGTGAAGGTGGAGTTAGAAATTATAAAATTTCTATAATTTTGCTAGGAAATATTAGTAGATATTAAAGCATACTTCAACAAGAATGTCCACTGACTTTTTACTTATACATATTGTTTATGAGTTTCTTAATCTCTAATCAAAGTTAAAAATAAAAACAAAAATCCGATCTCATCTATTTATTTTCATCACTACTATCTGTTCTAGTTACCATTAAGATAAAAAAAATATGAAACATTCCATTTCAGTACAAATAAAATGAATGAGATTCTTTCTTTTATTTTACAACACGATAAAATTTTATATTATTTGACGTTAATTTTTAATAACTGTAAAATATTTTTTTGAGTTCATCAACAACGACTGTTGTATATCTTTGTCCGTTCAGCAACAGACGGTCCAGAGGTGATGCTGGAGCAATGGAGTCACCAGATCTGGAAATAAAATTATATTCAATATATATAAAAGATTATCTAATGTATTATATAGTGTAGGTACCTACAAACTAAAACAACTACAGTTTTATGCCATCAATTTTAAAGATTTATATTAGAATGTATTTTTTTATACTGCGAATTTCTCATTGCTTTACTATGATAGAAACATTCCATTTAATCTAAGACATTCTCAAAGTTATTTTGTCAACCCACTTTGCCCACTTTGAAAATAAATTATATTTTAGTCCCTTAATTTCTCACTTACATACTAAAAAACCACTATAAATTATCCTAATTAAACAAATGTAAAATTGCCCAGGGATCTACGAAATGCTCCCACTTTTTTCTAGGCCTCTTAACCCACAAGGGGGTTTTATCGCCTAATTTTTGGAAGACTGGTGTACATAAATGATCTACTTATCTCTATAGTTAAGTCCAAATAACTGAATTGTTACCTATGACAGACATGCCAGCATTTGGTTCCTAATAATAATTTCTAAGTGTTATAATAATGTTAGGTAATTTACCTGCATTTCACCGTCCACGGTTTGTCGATGTAGTAAATGTGCAGGCTGATTATGGGATAGTTGTCAGACAACTTAAGAAGACACTCTGGAGCGAATGGTGCAACCGTCTTTAAAATAAATACACTTTATATACTTTATAAGTCAGTGGTGGCCTAGTAGTTAATCGGCCCGCCTCTCGTGCACGAGGGCGCGGATTCGATCCTGGCACGTACCAATGTGATTTTTCCGAGTCATATGTACTTTCTAAGAGTATTTAGAGACCACTGACAGATGATGAAGGAAAACATCGTGAGGAAACCAGACTTATAATTCTACAATTATAAGTTTGAAATCACAAATCCCTCTTGAGCAAACGTGGTGATTAATGCTCAAAACTTCTCCAAGTGAGAAAGAGGGCTTTATTCAGCAGTTACCTCTAATAGGCTGATGATTATATACTTTCTTCATGTATAATGTAATTAATTATTATAAAATAGGCATCTTCAAAAATGTATGTTATTGTTCGAAACGTTTAAAAAATAACAGGATTTAAATGAGAATTGAATCAATATTGCATTTGCGAACCAAAGCTACTGGAACGCGTTATTGAAGTTATGGAATTACGCTCGACTCTAAGAATGTTTCATTCAATATTTTCAATTTGAATTTTATTTAAACCATTTTACCTAAGCTTTTTTTAATATTGAAATAATAATAGCTCAAGAAAAAATCAAATATTTTGTAGATAACCTTAATTTCTTCCTACTATTAATCAATTAGCTTTCTTTTGAAACGCGTTTTTAATGGAACATCTTTTTACCTTAACAACTTGTCTACCATTGACAACTTCGAACCAATCCCGTCCAGCAGTGGGCTTAGTCAGTTTTCCCACCACCTGGAAGCCCACTCCCACCAGGTAACCCCTGGTCGTGAGAGCGAACCAGGGCAGCAGATTTTCACAGCTCGTTTCCCGCGACATATTGTAATAATAGTGGGTACCTTTGTTTTAGACATAAAGCTAATATTAAATATTAGATTATAAAAACTTGATGATATCTATGACTAAGCGATATTTCTTTAAAAAAACTAATATTTTCTATGAACGATTCATTATATTATGATGAAAATGTGATTTTCATCTCGTCTGCCACAAAGTTACCGGCACGTCGGGAGTATGTATGTAGTTTAAAATGATAAAAAAACGCCTGATAAATCCCAAGATATTAGTTATTAGTTTCATTTCTTATTAACTTCATTAATTAATTTAGTCTTGAATTATCTACATAGTTAATGTTATATCTGTTTGACAAATGATACTGATTTTAAAACTGTTTTATGTGATTTAAAGTATTTGTCACATTACAATAAAAATGACGACCATCCATCCAGCGGTCTTATAATATATATTTAAAGGTAAAAATTATGTTAATAAAAATCTTAAAACCATAATTTGCATAGAGATATTATTATAACGAAAAGAGTAGGTATGTTGTTTTTTTAATTTTCAACTTTGGAATCTGCTTATATAATTTAGAAAACTATTCAGGGGTATGGCTACTGTATTAGCTAGATAATAACATTTGCTAACAATGCAATCAATTACATGATAAATAATTATCAATTTATAAACACCACGACAACAGTAGGTACATTATCAAAATCAGAATGTAAGATCTAAATCATTCGATACATATCGTCACAAATGTTGTGTTAATTATGTAATAATTCACCCATATTTGGAATACAGTTCTGTTTCTTGAACTGTGTGGTGTTAAGTTCTGCCTCTGTGCTCGGTATACGAATGTATTGTCCTTCTAAATCCTTGACCCAAACGCCGCCATCTTGAAGCGTCGCGCCATTTTCGACTTGAGGTCCCGCTCCCGCTTTCAATGATTCTAATGAATTTAATTATTATAATATCATAATAATATACTTTACAATTATACATCATGGAATACATCGAACTATATACTTATATATCATGGAATATATTGAATGAATATAAATATCTTTACGTATATGTTACCTTCTGATACCAAGAATTGTGTTATGGTCCAATATTCTCTAGCTGGTTCACCATCAGACGCAGGCACGCTCCATTTGGTGAACCTTTTGTCCGGTTTGAAACTGGGAGTTATTATTTCATCAACGGGAAACTGGATATAAAAAATATAAAGAAAAAGTTAAAATTGGTCCACACTTGCAGCAACTTTCTACATACATAGTGTTTACAAAAAATATAAGTCGATCTACCTAAAATTACTTTTTAAATCATATTTATGTAATAATTTGTAAGTTCAATCACGCAAACAAATACATAATTATATCAGAACAAAAATACCTACTGATAAATAAAATGGCCTTGTTAGTCATACCTAATGAAGGCGGAACGTAATCACTTTCATTACAAGTCATAAATTTTTTGACGCTACTAAAATATTTTCTAAGATAAGCAGATATATTTTTCTCTAATTTTCTTTAATATTCAAAGTATATAATTGCCTAATCTGTTGTTAGCTCCTACAACATTAAACATAGGTACATTCTAAATATTCAACGAAGTAAATAAAACAAAGAAAGTTTCACACTTATACATATATTTACGTATAAAGACAAGTTTACATGAGCAATAAAGAAAGGTAAAAAGAGTTCTTAATTGAAAACAATAAACAAAGTAACAAAACCAATATATAATACCTATTTACTTTATGCTAATCATTCTTTCCTTTAATGATTTATGCAACAAAATATTTGTGGTTTCTGAATGGTTTATAAACTCAATTATACAAGCAGTAACCTGTTCATGACAGATCAGAAGTCATTGAGTCGTTCAGTTAAATAAATTAGATAAACGATTGCATTGTGAGTTGACGGAGTGAATTGTCGTTGCGTGTTCAATAAGATGATTTTATGAAAGGAGTGTAGACTTGAAACGGTTTAAAGATGGCCACGAGATTTAAAATTTCATTTGAACATCGTGAATGTCTTAAAAGCTTGTAACTTGAGACTTAAATCCTTGTATGTTTAGAAAAACTTATACATATGCTTGATTGTTTTTGTAAATTTTTAATACGTATCCTTATTCTTATAGCTTGTCTATTGTCTAACATACAATTTCATTTAATAGCTACATTCACAATCCAATTACATACATATAAAGATTTGTACGACGACTATAAAAAAACATTTAAATATCGTTGTCTCCAAACCGATAATTAATTATATTTTTTTCAAATTGTCAACATTGATATTGTGTTTGACATTGAAATTAATTTCGAAAGAATTTCACAGCGATGAATTTTCAAGACACAACTACTATTATTATAGAAGTTAATATAAAAGTATGATTATGAAAACATGACATTACTTAAAATCAATTCTTGCTAACTACAACGTTGCTATTTTCAAACTAAATATACAATCTATTTTCAAGATTATAGAAATCATATTGTATATATTTTCTTTCTGGAGCAAAGCTATAACTTCTTGAGGTTCTTTGTATGTTTGCATACGCTTAGGAAACGTACCGCAAATGACACTAATATTTTTCGTATTACTGGCGTATTTTATTAAACTACTCCTAACGTTTCCGTTACTTTTCAGCAACCGTCTTTTAAAATAATGAAATACGCGTAGTAATACGAAAAAATATTACAATAGTTTCATTTAAATGAATTCTCGCGAAAGTCAAATCTCATAACGTACCGCTAGTTGCAAACCGGCTACAAATCCTGAGGGATCATATAGTGGGCAAACAGCCCTTCCAACAGGACAATAGAGACGGAGTTCTGGCAACGGCCCTGGAGGACGCTCCATTCGGCGCCAACCATCGCTCTCAGCTTGAGAGAGAATACGGGGGATATTGAAAAAGTACTCCTTGTCAGCTAAAGCGTCCGACCAACCGAATTTAACTGGAAATATTTATGAACTATGAGCGGAGATCACGAGGTAGAAGAGAAATGGTATTAATAAAGCAGTATCTAAGGTAATGAAACGAAACATATTAACAATGTGACTACCTTGAGAAAGATGAATAAGATTTGTAATCGAACTATTAAATATTATTTCAACATATAACATATATATTTTATCTAAATACACATTGTCAATTGTCATGCAAAATTAAAGTAAAAAAATATAATGTAATTATCTATAATATTTACTTGCACATGATTGTATATAAATTTGATTATTTAATAGTATAACAGTTGAGTGGCTATTTATAAAAATTACCTCTTAAACCGTTGTACTGCATACCTAGAAAAGGATACGTCATTAAAAAATATTTTATTTTAATATTATAGCAAGAACTAAACAAATAAATAATTTTATTCGTGAAATATACAATTTTAGTGTCAGTTTATCTTATAAAAATTAATAAAATAATCAATCTGTTATCATTTATTCCATTCTTGTGCAATCTGAACCTTTAACTAAGTATACTATTAAAATAATTTAGTTTTGTAGTCCAAGAAAATTCACTTTTCAACTGGCACAAATTATAGTAAATAATAAACGTATAAAAATAAGAAAATCACTTAATATATTATGTTCATAACATCAAACGAGGATGTGTGTTTTGAGAACATGAGTTTCCCTTCCTTTAAACACAACTGCATCATTGGTAGCACAAATGAAATAAATCATTATATTGACAGTTTCACATCAAAACGAATTATATTAATAAATTATTTATTTGCATGCAAAAAAGGACCTTCGTTTGAATTTAGCAAACCTTAAATATCAAAATACATACACAGTATTCATGAAAATATACTTCACTGATTTTTCAAATTGCATTTGCCTGCATTACGAACATTTAAAATTCTAAAGTCCATTGAACTGTATTTTTGAATAAATTTTCATTACGTACCAGAACAAAAAGACACAGTGGCCAAAATAACTAGGAACTTCATTTTATTTTTTTAACACGACTTGAGACGACGAACGCGGCGGTAGCTCTCAATAAACCAAATTAAACTCGACGTTTGAAGACGATGTTATTACTGAAGCTATTACAAATTGCAAATAAAACTGCTAACTTATTCCTTACTTATATTACCTTAAGAATTGTCAAGTTTAAATAACTATCTAGAACTAGTAACAGAAATAATTATTCAGAATTTTATCACATGCAAATTGTTTATTTCGACATTTTCGATTTTTTGAACTACTTTTTTTAACAAGTGCTTATAAAAAAATACTTAATAAACATTGTTTTACTGCAGAAACATTGCATCTATTTAATGTATATGTGAATTTAAAACATAGTATAGATCAAACGTTATCTGTATTCCCATAACGACCCTTTTGTAAGATTTTCTATTTTCATTATAAGAATATATTACTTGTAGATTTAGTTTTATATCTTTCCATTTTCAGTGGAGGATGGATACCGCTTTGTGAGATGTTACCAGAAGCTCACTCCCTGGAGATTACACGTCTAGTCAGCTTTAGGATACAATAGCTAACGTCATATATAGCTGTGTTGTTCAGTTTTACTTATAAAACGACAACACAACCATTTAAGATTTGATGAAAGTGTAATACGCATCTTAAAATGTTTTTAAATCATTATACACTCTTTGTTAATTGTAATATAAAGTCAGGATAACAAAATACTTTGATATTATATTATACGGTAGGATATGAGTAGAAAGACTATTTACAAATAATATTCATAAACATTTTTCTCTCTCAGACACCGCTATAGGCAGGAATTACTTGGAGTCAGTTGAGTCAGCCTCCAAACGTTATTGATTATTATGTAGATCTTGTCTTTCCCGTTACAAAACATCTCCAACACTGAACTATCTCCTGGAAGAAGTATGATTTCATATTCGTTGAGGAGGTTGCACGGCTAACGTAATATCGGGATTCTCCTTTTAAGATCATACATAAGGGATATTAACTAAAATTACATCAATTACACTCATATATAAAGAATCATTATAACCAAATCTCAATTTTAGCTTCCTTCCTTTTTCATATACTTATACAACGAACAAAAAGATAAATTCTTTCAAAAATTTCATGATTTAAAGCATTGTCATACAAAACATATTTATCAATGGAATATTTAAACAGCCTGTTAAGAAATATTAGCAATTTCACAAATCGACGTTTTAAGAACCAGCTTTTAAGGCGCCTAACTTTTTACTTTAACGACTTGGCTAAAAGCCCACGGGTAAGTGAAGGGAGCTAGATCACATATTTTACTATCAGAGAATTCACAAAATATTCCTTTGTTGATAGATATCTATAGTTTATACCTTTATGTATTTTATTCTTATATTTATGTATTTTAATTATTACTTTTTATTATTTAATAACTTCCTAATTAGTTTAATATTTCGGTAATATGTTATTTCAATACACTTTCAACAGTCGTTTAAATAATAATAATAATAAAAAAACTTTAACAACATATCCAATTAATGAAATTGTAAAATTTTGGTTCATGTTCTTAAATAATACCTATTCCATTGTCGATTTTAAATAATAAATAACATTGTTTCTATTTGAATGAATGTAGGACATTGTACGGATAATATTTTAGTTGGTTCTATTTTGCAATACATTGGGTTTATTTCTATCATAATAGTTGCCGGTAATGCGTCAGTGGTCGCTGGTAAAGCCCGCCATTGTACTCGACTTACGAACGGCCTTTAATTTGATAGTCATGACACAAATTTCACATCCGATAGTGTTTCCCGTTGTGTATCCTTAATTTTAGTTTTATGTAACTTTTTGTGTTTTACGTAATAAATATTTGAAATGTTTATAATCTTATTAGATTTCCATGTCTGAACATGGCTTATCATTTGTAATTCAGGTTCAAAGTGTGTGACTTTTATCATTAATAGTATCAAACGAAATTTTAAGGATAATAATATACTCGAATGACATTATAATTGGCGTAGTTATAATTTAAACGATATTTTTTTATCTAAATTTAGTTAAATGTCTTGAAATCCTTTTTCAAAGGACGTAATAAAGGCTTCAAAATAAAGTTCCCAGATTTAATGAAGTAGTGAAATTGGTTGTAATTGAAAGAATTCTAAAAATAGACAAAAGCCTCTTTATACATTTTGACTATCAAAAGAAACTAATAGCTATAGAGGTCGAGTTGCACTTAGTAACATGAAATTTGATCACAAGCAATATTATCTACAATAAGTTAATGATAAAATATAACAAGTTGTAGGAAATTTTTAGTAACATCTCCTAGCTTTAATTTCGGATTTGATATTACAAAGTTATTTGTAATGTAGGTATTAATAATAGTAACCTGTAGTTAAATCTATATAAGTCACTTATTGCGTAAACTTTTTTGAGATTTTTTTTTCATGCCATAATAATATTGAACATATTTGCAACCTGATATTTTGATTTAAATTTATAACACTCTTATTATAGCTTTCAAAGTAAATCTCAGGAGGATTTATTTAAGTCATTTTGTTGCATAAAAAGGATAATTTCGATGCAAGTTGATAATTTCTAACTAAATCACTTCAAAAGAAGATCTATCAACAATCATAGCGGAGAAATAGTATAAAATAATGAATAATTATAAAAAATATTTATTCCTTTTTGACTAATTTTATTAACAAATATGAGGGAACCAATTCAAGTGATTAGACAACAGAGTAAGAAAGACTTATATCCGATATAAGAATACATAGCGAAAAGATTTAATGGCCAAAAAAATAAAGGCTTTTTGGTGGTCAAAGACAGGATTTATGATATTTTCTGACAAGAATCGCGGCAAATTTTTTAGCTAATGTAAGAATGAAGTAGTCGTCCAGAAATAATTTATACGTTAATAAATTACTGGAGTATAAAATTTATCGTCCTCGGGAACTCTCCATAGACAATCAACTTAAAATATTTTTAATTTGTCTATCTTAAGTAATATGAGTTACTCTTATATTTTACAGAATAATTGGTTTTTTGTATAAGGAGTTCATGAAAAACATATTTTTCTTGTTTCAGAAGCACACGAAAATTCGTATCAGAAAGGCGTGTTTAATTTTCATGAAATGACACATCTATATTGTTTTTAATCTTTGACCATCTGATGGGTCTTATGTACCCATGATACTATGTAGTACCCGTATAAACGATTGCTTTACATAAAACATAAGTGTTTATAAGGAGTTCCAAAGAACAATATTTACGTGAGTATATAAAATAAATAAACTAAAAATCTATCAGTCTTCTATCTGATAAATTTATGCTAATTCGTTCTTAAATGATACCAAAAAAGTTTTCTATAAATAATCTATAATAATGAAATTGTGACTTTTAATATAATTTTAACTTTTTTCATATTAAATAACTTCGTCATGTTATGACAGCGAGTAGTTGTTTAATGAAAGTCAGCAAGATTCTGTGTTAATGAAGTGTGAACACTGATAAAAAGATGAATTCAATTAGAATATATTTTGAAACTTTTAAAACTTTATTTTGGTAGACTAAAGTTACATTATTATAACGAAATTTTAAGACGAGGTCTTTAATTGTATATTTTAAGACGAGGTAGATTTATTTATTACGAATTATTTACTACAAAATTCAAATATTCTAAGGATTTGTCTTTCTAATTTGCAAACAAAATACTAATAGACAAGTGAAAGAATATACTATCTTATCTCAATATATTAAATACAGTAGATTTAATTTTTCAATCTTGATTTCCAGAATCTAGACAATCTTTCAAATCGGAATATATAGCAAAACCTAATAAGTTCTTAAAGAATTATATATGTAATTTATATTATATAGCTTTATCCAAATAAAAACGTAAGTCGTAAAATATGCTTGTTTGTTTATTTTTTGTTTTATTGGTCCTGTAATAGAATTATTATGTTTGTATTTCCTGTATATTCAGAACTTTGAACGTATGTATATGTATGTACTATTTATTCTTATCTACGTTTTATTATGTTATCTTTAATGCAATCAAAGACTGATTTTGATTGATTGATTCCATAATAAACAATTGCATTGTGTAGCTGAAATAAAAATAGAAATAACGTATATATCGGATTTATTACAGATTTGTAGTTTTTAAAGAGAGAGAGACGCCAGCCTCGCTGACGTTACAAATGTCACTCCTTCTAGTATAATGTCCATGATACTTTAAAATGAAACTTCAATTGATCTTAATGCTCCTGTATTTCTCAAAGATTCTTCAAAATAACATACTTCTATGATACACACTCACTGAACTCTGAATTATCAATTCTGAAT